CGCCTGAGCCGTGATTGTGAGCACGGCCCGGGCCGTGCTAACAAAAATCGTGGATTTCCGCATTTTTTGCGAGCACGGCCCGGGCCGTGCTCACAATCAAGGGTATCAGAGGACGGATGGTCGCGTCTGAGACGCAGACGTGATTGTGAGCACGGCCCGGGCCGTGCTAACAAAAATCCTAGATTTTCGCATTTTTTGCGAGCACGGCCCGGGCCGTGCTCACAATCAAGGGTGTCTGTCAGAGAACGGAAGGTCAGCATTGCTTGAACGGCTGGCATGGTCAATTTTGCAGCAGAAGTAACCCGAATCATATTCCGGCAAAGATCCGGAATATCAGTCCTTGCTGCAAATCCCAAGTCCCACAAAACGCGAGACTCCGCTCCAAAGAATGAACATTGCGGCACATCACTCATGAGTATCGTTCATTGTTCCAAAAGATAGACCACAATCGCATCCTTGCGCAATTCGTGTCATTCAGACCGTGCATCTTTGTTACATCTGCTATCCATACATTTTGCCTATCGTTTTTTTCTTTTTGATACATACTCTTAACCTTAAACTTGCAAAGATGACTAGAGCCATGGGAGATCTGGATCTGCATCTTCCTGTCATCTTCTATCTAAATTTACCTTCTCCCCTCATCAGTCCATAGGAACGGGGAAGCTCTCGATGCCAAGGCCAGCACACAACGCCTCCAATTCCAGCCGCTGCGCGCACATCGCATTCATCACGGGGATCGGTGCATTCTGCTTCGTCAAGCTCACTGCCGCGCGCGCATCGGCCAAGGCGACATAGTCGTGTCCTCCGAACAGGTATGGTGGAGCCAGCTATCAAGACCGATAAATAACTAATACTAACAAGTTACCGCCACCACCAGGCCTTTCCTAGAATGGATGGCTATGCGAGTCTTGCTCCATGTACGAGGAAGCAGTCGCCGCCATGTGCTCTTTGCATTCCCGCCCGCCACTTGAAGCCTCTACCGGCCACCAGAGCAGCACTACAACGGCCTAGTAGACAACCACACCAAGTTCTCCATGGCAATGAATTTTCCAACGGCCACCAGCTTACCTTTCCCAAAAAGAAAAATCGCCGACCAGTGCTAATAAATGAACTACACCTAGTTTTGCTTTTGCCTCTACTCCGCGACCTGCGCGAGCTGCACTAACCCGTTCTCAGAAACCTACATACATCAATCATCGGTCTGTATAGCGAGCCCCCTTCCGTACAATCGGCTTCACCTTCGCAACGATCTTTCCGAAGGTGTCGCGCAATTGGCAGTATCGCATGCCGGTTTCCAGTGCCCAGCTCGTCGCTGCGTTCCGGCCGTGACCTGCTCCGGACGACATCAAGTCTCGCAGACAGTCTGAGGCAGCGCGGCGCACCAACGCCTTGTCTGCCTCGGACCGCACGCATTCGATCGGGCCCTCATATCCAACTTCCGCTCCATCGTCCTCCGCCCCGCCGGCTAGCAGCTGCGCGAGGCGGCTTTTCTGCTGGTGTGGATTTCGTGCTTCAGCGCCCCTCCTATCCAACTCCTCTTGCATGGCCTGCAGGGTGCTCGTCGGGAGTCGTGCCTGCTCTTCGAACGGCACGAGGCCAGCAGTAGCCTGCGCATCCGCGAGCGCTTTCCGGGTCACCTCCCAGAGCCGCGCAGAAGGGGGATCCTTAAAGCTCGCCAGCGCGCTCTCGTGAAGGTCCTGCTGGAGCACCGTAGCCAGGCGGTGGAGCTGAAGCACGTCCTCGCGCAGCGTGGAGGTCTCTTCGCAGTAGTCCGAAAAAAATTGCGGACTCACGTTGCGAGACGTCGTCGTGCTGTCCGGAATTGCAAAAGGAGTTTTGCGCGTGATGCTTCGCTTTTGTTTTTCACCTGGTTTATTTGCTGCTTTTTCGTCGTTGCTGTTGTTGTGCATAGTCGACGTGCTCGCCCCTCCACGCGGACGCGCGTCGGCGGCGTCTTGTATGGCCTTCACGATATTTTTGTGTTTTTGTTTCAGCTTCTTCATCGAAATGGGCGTTGTGTCTACCAAGATCCGCCAGAGGATGCGGAACAGGTAGTTGCGCATCGGGTTGAAGTACTGGTCTTTGATAGTTTTTCCGTCCGTGAGGAAGTCGCGGAATTCTTTCGGCGAGTGCGTTCGCCTCCGCCACAGCAGGTGCGAGTGCCAGTGCTTGTCTTGTTCGTCCAAGTTCATGAAATCGGTGACCTCCTCCGTCAGCCCCGTCAGCAGTTTTCTGACTTCCCACCACATCACGAAGAGAAACCTGTCCGGCGCAACCGCGCCCAGACTTTCGATCTTGACCGACAACTCCTGGCCCGGCGCCACGTCCTCCAGCAGAACCCTCCATCGGTTTGCATCGGCCGGCATCGGTCCCAGCAAGCGCACGAGCGCGCCATTGTACTGCGGCTTGCCCTGAAGACCGCGCAGCTGCTTCCGCTCGCCTGCGATCATTTTCGAATCTTCTCCCAGCAGCAGTTGTCGCGGACCGGCCTCTTCGAAAGCGACGAGCAGCATGCAGAAGATGCCGCTGAAGAACACGAAAATGGTGCGCCCAGACCTTCCCACGTCATAACGGGCGCACACCACGGCGGCCAACCTCACGACCCCGCTGTGCATCCCGCACCCGTCGTCCCTCGTCCGATCCGCCTCGGGATCTACTCTTTCCAAAAACAACTTCGCGGACCGCAGGGTCATCTTCACCACCTCGAACACTTTCAGGTAAAGGTCTCCAGCGAAAAGCTCTTCGTCGTGGAGGTCGCTGAGGCTGCGGAGCACCATGAAGAGCAGCAAGTTCACGCGCCGCAGCTGCGCCCCAAATCCACAGCCTCGCCCGCGCCACGCAACCGGGTAAGGGTAGGCAGAAAGCCGGCGGAGCATCTCGTCGCAGAACCGCAGAATAGAATCCGTATGCTGCCGCAGCAGCCGCAGCCCGTGCCGGGCACCTAAGCGCCCGCTTATCAATTTCAGGGAGCTGCAAACGTTCGACGCCGCTGCGGCGCTCTGGTACGTCGAGGACGCTTCATCGTTTCGCCAGATGTCGAGGCGAACGCGAACGTCAGCGACAGGCTGCGGCAGCTGCGCAATTGCGGTTTTGCTCTCAACGTCGTGGTCCCCGGTGGTACTATTCGCTGTGCAGCGGAGATGGTGCTTGATAAGGTTCGTCGGGCTTTGCAATAATTGCCCGCGCAGCCTCTCTGCGCGCGGATCTACCTGTGCCTTGGTCGTGGTTTTATCCCCACCTACCGAGCAGGCGGTCGACTTCGCGACACTGCAAGCGTTTTCCGTTCTTTCGTGCTGCAGACTGGAGATCAGTTCGACCCATTCGGCAACGGCACTGTCCTTGTCGATGGCGATTCCGATGGGCAGACCGAGGTCCCGCGTTGGGACCTTGTTAAGCTCCGCAAGCTCCGTGTGGAGCACGCAATTCTCGATCCAGATCTGCTCCTGGTTCACGGGGGAGTAACGGTACGTGTTCAGAATCGCACGTCCGCGACGGACAGCTTCTGCGGTTGCGTTTTCGTCATACTCGTCGCTTGTACAGTCGTACCGAGCGGGAAGTGCGGCCCGTTCGTCCCGTTCCAACACGTTTTCTGCCAGGAGGTGCGAACCCTTGCCCGTGTTCTCCGGCGCGTCCCCGCTGTTTTCTTCTACACCGCATTCCACATCACTGCTATCCTCATCGTCCTGTTCAGCCGCGCTTTCAGCAGCATCAGAATGTTCATACTCACGCCCCGCTTTTTTCCACGCCGCCAGCGTCTCCAGATGGTCACCCGTAAGGTCGGCGAGGGAGGTCGGCACGCCCAGCGCTTCCAGTTCCGCGTGCAAATCGGCGCCGACAATCAGAGGCAATTCACGATTGAGTGCGGCAGAGATGAGATCATCTGCTTCCCTCGCATTGGGGGCCAATGATGCCTTGGACCGCAGAGCTCCTCTGGAGAAACGGACACCACTCCCCCGCCGGCCGTTGACGTGACGCAGTGTCGCAACCGCCGTGTTACCGACGATCCACGCACGCTTGGCCCCCGCAAACAGGTCGTGCACGTTCGGCTCCCGTGGGTCCTCCACTCCGACCGCCGTGCGCAGGTTGGCAACCAGTGTGAACGCAAGGTCCCCGACGCGCTTCTTCAGGTGGGGATTCCACACATCCTTCCAAGCGAAAGGCGCCTGCTCCTTGTGCCGCTGACCTGATGCTTGTTCAACCCGCGTCTGCAGTCGTAGCTGCAGAGTTTCCCGATCTGCCCTGTCGGGTTTGGCGCGTCGACTCAGACACGAAGTGCACTGCAGCATGCGGTCGTGCTCCCCAGGAGTCGGGAACCGGGTGACCTGGTCCAGGAGGTACATCCACTCGAAGATGGGGTACGCCAGTTGGAACGTGGCGAGGCGGGTGAAGAAACGCGTGATCTCGGCACTGTCGAGGAAGCACGGGCCGAAGCGGACGGAGAGGTACTCGCAGGCTTGATTCGCAGCGATAGAAAAGCGCTGCGCGAAGGGCAACCCCATAAACTCGTAGTACAGCACCGTTTCGGGACAGACGAGCTGCTGCACGAAGGACAAATCGGGCGGCTCCTCGCGTTCCGCTTCCGTCCACAGCTCTTTCTGCGCAGGAACCGCTGCTTCGACTCGCTGAGAAATAAGTGTGGCCACGTCCGCTACCTGAAGCTGCTCCTTCGCGGCAGCCGCTTCTGCTTCCCTCTGGGCCTGCCGCTTCTTCTTGTTCTTACTTGCCTTGGCCGGGCGCGCGACCTCAAGTATCTCCGCCTGCGACGCCGTTGCAGCTGCCGTAGTTGCTGTCATCTCCATTTCATCGCTCGCGTCTTCATCGCGCTCGCAGTTGATTCCTGGCCCCAGCAGCCGCAATCTCGAGTTCCCGCGCACCCCGAATAGATCCAAAAGTAGGTGCAAGCCTTTCACCATCCCGACGCGACTTTTCTTATACTCTTCTTCGCTCACAACCTTGTTCGGTTTCTTCATCTGCTCCAACTCGGCTCCGGTTGTGTAGCCTTTCGGCGGCTCTCGCCTGTTGCACTCATAATTAACCACCTTCGTGCACTTGTGCAAGGACTCGAGGTACCTCGCGCACAAAAAATCCGTCAGCGACTGCTTCCATTCCTGGAGCTTGGTTGCGGTGTCGCAGGTCTTGGAAGATGAGGATGCCGCAGCAGAAGCAATATTCCCCTCGCGTGACGCCGTTGCGACGATTTTCTTGACGCAAGTGTCCAGTTGCGTGAAACAGGCCCGGATGAGGAGGTCTTGCACCTCCGAGCCGAATTCACACTCCACCACAGCGTACTCGAGACTGCTGAGGGAGTGGATAAACATCACGTCGCAAAGCAATGAAGTCCGCTCGTCTACGCTCATGCACGTAGCTGCTGCGCGGCAAAGCGTTTCCGCATCGTCTACGGTGAACGAGCTCGCAGGTGGTGCCGCGTCGCCATCTTGCTCCGCACCGCCCGCGACCCTCCGCGTCCCCGGTGCAAAACCGAACGACTTGCCGATGTCATCGAAGCTCCTGAGCAGAATGTCGCGAAGGTTCTCCAAGTTTTCAAGTGCGCACACCAAAGCGGTCGTATCCAGGGCTTCCGCAAGAGCGGCGGCCGCGGCATCGCACAGGGATCGAAGCCGCGTTGCCTGCTCTTCCAAGTGCGCGCGCCGTGCCTGGCGCCCTTCCTCTCTCGCTTGCAAGACCGTTTCGTCTTCCTCGGTTGCCAATACGACAGGCGCGAGCGCCGCAGCATGCCGGGCTGGTCGGAGCTCATTCGGCTCGGCGCGCCCGCCACCCGAGCACGACGCGTCAACGGCAGAAATCGCCTGCGTGTCCGCCTTTTCAATCACGAGCTCCTCATCTGCACTAACGTGGGGTAAGTAGTCCCCGACATTGAGGCCCGCCTGCTTCAGAACCGCCCGAGCTACATCACGCCTCACGCATCTGTTATGCACGACCACCGGAATGCAGCACTTCCCCGGCTTGACGTGGATGTGGTGGCTACCGGTAATCCGCACCAACTTCCATCCGTTCTGACGCATCAGGCGGAGAAACGGGAAAACCCGCCGCTCCTTCTGCGACAAAGTGTTTGGCGTGCTCGTCATCATATCGATTGCAGCTTCGTAGCTGGTATCTTTGTGCCTACTAAGTAGAAATTCTATCGCAGAGGGGGAGTAAGTAAGTACTTACAGAATATCATCCGCTGTACGTGTGACTCCGATTGCAACCAATCGGCAAGTCTCAGAGCACTAACCCGAGGCAGTGGGTGACGAGAACAAAATTCTTACTTCAACTAGCACAAGCAATGAGCTGAATTCAATCTGAAGAGAAAAAGATGCCTCAGTACATGGACACCCTTCCTCCTCGGCCAGCTGACCGCAATGCCTCCTCCAATTGAGACATTTTAACGTCAACATCACCATGGTCCATGTAGTGGAGCAGGCGTTGCCAATTTATTCACTCTCTCGTCCCTCCTCACGGTCTATTTCGACAGATATCATGGCTTTCAGACGCCCCTACGCAATTTGCGTTTTCGAGAGGCTAGCGAAACTGAGTCAGCGTCATAGTAGCTTGGAAGCAAGCTCCCGGCGGCTCCAGCCAGTGCGATCAGGAACAAAATAACACGCAGGCAAATTTCTTGCTCTACAAGGAGCGGAATCGCAGCACGCTTGACGATCGGGGCTCGCTACAAACCGGGGCACGAGCGGGGTCCCCCGCCCCTTCTGCGCGAGGGCGAGAGCCAACTTCTATGCGCATGCGCGCGGACGCCAATTACTGCGCCCGCGTGCGCGCATGTGCGCGCGCGCAGGAAACTAGGCTCCGCGCAAGCAATTAATCGGCGCGGGCGCACACGCGCAAAGCTTCGCGCGCAAGCCACACCAAGTCGCGCGCAAGACTGCGGGCCATCCACAAATCGGGCCAAGGCGCGCGCGCACGCGCGCGAGCGTCTTGGACTATTTCCGCCCGCCGTTCCGGCCCTTTCCAGCAATTCGAATTCCGAGACCACCTGCGCCGTGCCCCTCGCGCTTCGGCCTCGTTGTCGGGCAGGTCCGGAAGAAACTCCTGGAAAGAAGCGGCGTTGTCGGTGAACTCGTAGGCGACCCCCTTTCTAGACCTGCGCGTGACGATGTGACCGGCGGACCCGACCGGACCCTGGATGGTCTCCGCTGCCTCCTCTTCTACCGCCGGGGCCTTGTTGGCGTGCAGGATCATCAAATCAACATGCTCGGAGGTGTAGCCGGACCCGTCTTTCCTGTGTAGAAAAGGGGCACAAGGATTAGCGTGGAATCCGAATAGCGCGCGCGCGATTGTGCCGACTCATCCACGACGTGTTGCATAGGTCGCGTCGTTGTATTTTTTGCCACACCTAGAAAACGCTTCTTAATCCACGACGATGCAGATTGATGCCAATAAAGCAAGAACAGCTAAAACAAAACATTAATAGCCTGAACCTGATTGCAGAAACCAAAAGCATAACCATCAGCGCTCAGGCAAATTATGACTATCGGGAACGAGATTGCATTCAATGGTCATCATCATCATCATTTATCCTGCACTAGGGGGGGACGTGCGGAGGGGTTGGGGTTCGAGTTCGTTTCAAGCTGCATCTCGGGGCTTTGTCACTGCAGCTTCGCACATCGTGGCTCGTCGTGTACTAAGACTACCAATTTATCGAACTCCTCAACTCTCCGCAACGTCACTAGTGTCGTTCTCATCTTCTTCTTCAAGAATCGGATCGCATTTCAAATCGAGCTTTCTTTGCGCGCAGCACTTCTTTTCGTGCGTCTTCATGCGTCGGGACGCACCAACCTTCTTCTGGAAATCGCGCGGCCAAGATATCGAGTGCGTCGCGCAGTGCGGACAAATCAGCTGTCGGGCGCTAAACTTCGACGCCTCTGCCCCGTTGAGAAACCGCTGCGGAGGAAGGACAAAGCGCTGCGATGGCTTGTATTTCGACAGAATACACTGGCCCGACCTCCCATACGCGAATTCCTCGGCCGGTGTGTAGGAGCCATCGCGTTCCGCGACGATGCGGACGAAGTCGTCTTCCTGGTGCAACTTGAGGTGGGCACGCAGGGCCCGCAAAGATCCACCAAGCGCCGCCGCGCACTGGTTGCACCACAGGGCGCCTATTCCGTCCTTGCAAGCAGTGTAGATTCCGCCCGAGTTCCGCACAAGCTCGTCCGTCTGCCGCTCCGAAATTTCGCCCTTCAGTTCCGTCTGTTTCGCACGCAGCTCCGCCAAGCTCGGAGTCACTTTGAGGGTCGTCCGCTTGCTGCCGACCCGTGCCCGATCGCCGTACGCCGCATCAAACTCCTCACGCGAAATTCCGTTTTTCTTCAAAAGCCGCTCATATGCAACTAAAGCGCGCGGCTGCGAAAGTGCGTCACGCCAGGACGCGAAAAACCAATGCTGCATCGTGGCATCGATATACCACGACCTCGTACGCAGGAACCAATCCCTGCGAGTCTCCGAAACTGCAAACCCGGCAAGCTCCCGCATGGTAATATAAACTTTCGAAGCTTCAATGGTCTAACACTTGTGCCCTCTCCGTCGACGCCCTTGAACCAGCTGACGGCCCCTCGAAGCCAACGTGCTACGATAACAATACTCAGAATTGCTGGCATGTCTCCGAAGAAACAGGCTCATGACAACCGCAGATTGGTCCTGTCGCTCACGTCTCCGGTGTGTTTACGCCTGGACGAAAATCTTTGGCTGGTTGCACCTCGTTTGACGTACTTTTTCTCTCGGCTTTTGAGCTTGCTTGACTAGGCCTTTGACGAAGACGAACCAGCCGCCGAGTCATCTAAGGGCCGTATCGTCTGGGCAAAAAAACCTCCACTTCGGCTTTTTCAGGAGCACGTCGGCCCGAACAGTGTCACTTTAAATGCACCTTGGTGTAGTTCAAGAGACAGAGACCATAGGTGTACGGATTCACGGTTAGGACATGCGCTAGTCGTACTTTCAACATCCTTGTACAAAAGCGGGGACAAAAATCATTCCAGGTTGATATGTACACTGAATATCCTTTGAAATCCGGAATCGCAGCACTAAGAAGCTGCAAAACTTCACTTCGTTGTGGTCGAGGCAGGGACTTCTCTTCTGATGTCAGGGGAAGGTTTATTTTAATGATGTGAAACAAAATGTTGGTCATCGTCAGCGTCACGGTTTCTTCTGCCATGGAAAATACAACACCAGGCTGCCCACCAGGCTCTCCTGCTTTTCGAACAATAAAACATCGTAGGTACATTGGTTTGCTTTCACTTCTACTTGTGAAATTCAGATAGATAAAGACCAGCACCAAACGCGATAGAGACAACTCGAAGACAAGCAGCGCACCCTCCTAGCAACAGCCTTTTTTCTTGCGCGTCGCGGTTTTCACGGGTTGAAAGTGCGTATACTCCGGTGGGGGATTGAGCCCGTGAAACAGGAACCCGTCCGGAAAGTCCACGATCTTCTCGGAGACGTAATTCGCCTTCTTGATCAAACTGCTGTCGGGTGCGAGAAAGGGCGTTGGCAAAATTTTCGAAAGATACTCCTCGTGATCGTCCTCGCGATCCCCCTGAGCGCGGTACTCCCCAGGCTGTGGCGCTGCATCAGCAGCAGCAGGTTTTTTGTCCGCTCCGCTTGAAGTTTCTTGGGTCGTGTCCCGCCGGAAGGCCGCGAACACGTCAGCGTAGTCCAAACCCAGTAACTGCTCCAGCACGACCGAGGTTCGCGGAATGCACACGAATTCAAACTTGCGAATGTTCAACTTGTTCTTCGAGCTGCCCGTCGTGGCTCGCTGTTGCTGTTCTTCCGTAGTCCCCTCCGTCTCATAATAGAGAAACCGGCGGTCGCTGATCTGCGGTTTACTTGCTGTCTCGCGACAGAGATCTCGTCCCAGTGGTGGCTCTTTAGTGCTCTCGCACAGTATTTCTTTGCAGCTCAGATTTTCGACTACACGAATTGCTTCGGACGAGCACGTCTTGCTTTTTGCATTGCTCTTGTCGGCCTGGTTGTTGCACAGTGGCGTGTTCCGCCCTGGAAGCAGTTGCACGGGTCGACTGGGTGGCAGAGCAGACGCTAGTGGCGTGCGGTACGTCGACCTGGTCGTTTTACTGTTCCCCTCGAAAGGACCTGAGCCCTGCTCAAGGACTATTTCTTTTGTCTGCAGCATCCCGACGTCCACTTCCACTACTGTTTCAGGTACTGGGACAACGAGCGTGTTTTTGGACGCTTCCGGTACTGTGGATGCCTCCGCTATCTCGAAAGGCAGCAAATTTTCTTCACTGCTCGCACAGTATTCTACCAATCGCGTGCGCCAGGGACTCTGGTGGGTGACCTCGTGGAGAAATGGGGACGTGGACGATCTTGTTTGCATTTCGGACGCCGGGGAGCAAATGCTTTCCTCCGAGTTTTCGTCGTCATCGGGAGATGATTCCGCGAGCAGAACCGCAGAGACTAGCGGACTCGCGAGGAGGTTTTTGTTGTTGTTACCGCGGCTAGCAAGGACCTTCCTCGTCTGATCCACTGGCACTTTGTGCGCAGGCCCAGCCAAGCGTCGTTTCTTGTTGCGGTACGCAGAAAGCACCTTGTAGAATATGGCGCAGTCTTCATCTTCCTCCTCTGCAGTGAGCTTTTCGTGAAGGTAGGTTGCAAACGGAGAGGAAGCGGCAAGCCGCCCCAGTAGGGCTGCATTGCTATCGTTCATCTCGTCGGGGCTTTTTCTCGAGACGACAATGCTCGCCACAATTTGCGTTAGCGACGGCTCCATCATACTGTGTTCGCCTTCAAAGTCGGACGCGCCGGGCACGGCAGGCGCCTCTACTTCCTCAGCACCACTCGCCTGTGACGCTGCGAGTCCCGCGTCCGATGCACCGTCAGCGGGGTTCTCTTCTATTTCTTCTGCCGCGTCGGCCTGCCCCGGCTGCCCGGGTTCCTGGCCCTGGTCCGCCAATTCGACGTCGGAAGCGCCCTGCTCTTCGTGATCAGAAACCCCGCCCGTCAACAGATTGTCATCGCCACTTTCATCACCCGCTACCTGAGGACCAACAACTCCTGGAACTGCTAGTGAAGACTCGGTTGCATTTTGTTCAACTTTTTGACTAGTACTATCGATTCCGATCACAACCTTTGAGAGATCATTGGTTGAGCGATCTCCAACCGCCGACTGTTCGCCTTCGGCCGCGTTCTTCTTCGTTCCGCGTGAGGCGCTCTTGCGCATGTCCTGAATGGCATTCAGGTGGTCTTCCGGAAAGCAAAATTCGTATTTTCGACCCAGCGTGGGCGGCACACTCACTTTTCCGGCGAGTAATTGGGAGGAGACACGGCCCCGCATCTCGGTGTGCTCGTCCGGTCGTTTCCGCGCGTAGCGGTCCGCCGACTCGCGGTCTTCGAAAGTCAGAAACTGCAGCTGGTAGTCGGCGGCCCGGAACCTGGACACGTCCGTTGCAAGTTTCAACACTTCAAACGCGACCCGGCGCTTCGGGACGCAGGTGTGAAACTGCAGCACCACCACCGTGTCAGCGCTCGCCGCCGGCTTTTTTGTGGAGGTTGCAGCAGTACTAGTAGCCGACGCGGAGAAACGCAGCAGATTCACCTCACACCTCTCGCCTTCCGCCTGCAGCTGCGACAGGTCCAAGATGGCAAACCGATGCACCTTCTCCGGGACCATGGCGTGCAGGCTGACGAGCTCGATCAACAGGAAGTTTTTGTGCCCGAACCGGTGCAAGTAGTGTCGGGACAACTCGAAGCACAGCCGGGCCAGGGCCTGCAGGTAGTACCGCCAATACAGGAGGCGGCTCTCCCGGTCTTCCGCCCCGAGGCTGTTCATCACGTCGACGGTGTTAAATTCGGACCGCCCCCAGTCGAAGATTTTCACGAGAACGCGGATGCCGGCGTCGTCGCGGCGCGGATTGCTAATCACCGGGTCCTCCAGAATCGCGCGCTCGGAGACGCCCTCCAGGTCGAACCCCAACCCCACACTACTGCCGATCCACTGCTGCGGAGCGGGCAGACGGCGGACCGCCCGGAGCGTTTCCATCAGTTGTACGAGCAGCCGGCGCAGGACGCGCTCCACATACAATTCGCGGACGTGGGAAGCACGCCACGCCGTTCCGTCCTGCTCCCCGTCCAGCGGTTCGTACATGCTTTCCTCGTCCGCGGCCTCCTCGTCCGAGGGCCGGTCGGTGTCGTCGAGCGCGTGTTGCGTGCCCGGCACGCGCCGGCGCTTCGTGGGAAAGAACCCACTGTGCGGGTGATGCATCTGCTCGTCGGTTTCCTCGATGGCGTCCAGCTCCTCCTCCTCGTCGGTGGACAAGAAGTCCTTTTCGTTCGCCCCTTGCACAAGTGTTTTGGTTCCGCCGGTTGCCCCTATTTTTCCAAAATTGCCTGCTGTGCTTCCCGGTGGAATGGCGGTGTGCACGCCCTCCGTGGAAGAGACTGGAGGTTCGACAGCGGCTCCGGACTCTTCAGCATCACGCGCAGATGTGGGAACAACTACAGCACTCGGCGACGAGAGCACGGGAGGTCCTGCATCAGCATTTCCTATGCTCTGCTCCGCTCGCTCCGGAGCCGGACTCTCGTCTACTTTGTTCGTCAACAAATCATTCGCTGCAGCCGCCTGTTCTTCTTCCTGAACCAGCTCCACGTCGCGCGTCTCGAGCAGCAGGTTGAGGAACCCGGCGGCGTCCAGACTTTGGAACAGCATGCGACGGAGGCGCTTCGGCTTGAGTAACGCGGTGGTCACGAAGGAGGAGTGCGCCTGCAGGAGGTGCTCGACCTCCGACTGCGGCTCCTGTTCCATGCCCTCCAGGCGGTAGCCCTCGATCGCCGAATTAGTGTGCGCGTCCACCATCTGGTTGCGCCACGCGCGGAAGGCGCTCTTGCCCTTCCAGTCCGCGACGGCGGTCTGCTTACCCAACTTCACGTCCATGAACCGCAACTTGTGGAACTGCGAAAACATGTTCTCCAGCATCAGCACTGGGAGTTCGGGGTCGTTATTTCCAGGAGTGGACCGTCCACCCTTCACTGCGGTCGGAAGCCGCAGCAGGCCGGGACAGGAGAGAAACGCGCGGTGCAAAAACTCCGACGTGCGTAGGTGGTCGCCGGCGGTGCCGCGGCGCTTCTGGGGGTCCAGGAGGAAACTCCGTAGCGCATCGTAAAAGTCCACCTCATCCATCGCGTGCAAGGCGTTTTTTGCGATCCAGAAGTTGGCGCTTGAAACCGATGTCGGTGGGTCGCGATACCGAACGAAGTAAAAGGGAGCGGTGCCCCCACTTACCGTCACGGGCTGCAGCGGCAAGGCCAGCTCCTCACCTGTGACGGCGCCAGGCCGCCACCGCGCAAACAGGTCCGGGCCCTCATCCGTCTCGGCCTCCTCCGAAATTTGCTCCTTCGTCCAGTTTCCGGTGGCAGCGACCAGCAGCGCCTGCCCAGCCGTGGTGGCCACCTCCATGGATCTCCGACCCACACGCAGCGCCGCATCTGCGGTTTTCCGGGCTGCAGATGCCAACCGCCCATCAATCCGCGTCGAAGATGCTTTTCTGTTGTAGGTCCGCGGAGGCTTCGCCGTCTTCTTCTTGGTTGCAGTGCCAGCAGCTGCGCCAGCCGAAACCCCGTCTGCTGATGCGGAGGTCCCACCAGGCTTTGCTGCACTGCCGTCAGCCGCGGCAGCCTGCCTCGCTGCTCCTACATTCGCGGCCATTGGTCTCTCAGTAAACAACTCATCCGCGAAGTGGGAGAGGCGATGAAAGAAAAGCCTACTCGATCATCATCATGAATGTTCGTTGCGCTGTCGACAGGAGAAGACAAAGAACAAGAGTAAAGTCGCCTTCACGACAATGATGGTGCACTAGCTACTTCAGGGCCTTCAACAAGAAGACCTGCCACGACGAGGACGACGACCCCACCCCCAACATTCTGACGTACTCACAGCCACGATGACGAAATGGACAAGAGAGTAAGTAAACGACCCTGCACGAACGACAATAGGCCACGTTTCCTTTTTCTTTAGAAGTGACAACACTATCGAAGTCAACGACGTTGAAAACGGAGCCTCCCTGCTCCTACGGAGTAGTAGAGTACGATCCAATGAAGAAAGACAGACACAATGCGTTTTTGACAGGTGAACAGGCTCCCGTGGTAGACGGAACCTGCATACTTATTATTGCAGAATAAGGCCAAGTGTACTTGAAGCAGAGTTGCGTGCTGTCATTCACAGACTCGGGAAGTGCTCTTCGAATTCGGCCTGTGCGCCTCGTCTCCCAACAACGCGCACAGTGCTCGATGGTTGCTACATGCATCGAGCAGCATGCTGAGAAAGACACGGTTAAAGCACAACACATGAGTCAGAAAGCCAAAGCATTCTCACTACTTCTCCACAAGGAATAAAAAGTGAATTTCAAAAATCCGGCTCCGCAGTGCCCACACCCCGCCTCGCCCCTGCGTCCGACCCCCGGTTCAAATCTCTTGTCACCTGACCGCGCCGCTTGTTCTCCCCCCTAACCGGCACGAGATGATTCCGCACGTAGCCGTTTTTGCTGACTGCCAACGCGTCCCGGGTCCGGTTCCGCTTCGACCACTGCCGCACCTGCTTCCCGTCGGAATACACCATGTTGCGGTGCAGCACCGACAAGAGTTCATCCTCACCCCAGCAGTCATTCCGATACGCCAGTTTCGAGTTCTTGTTCGCCACGCCGGGCCAGAGATTCAGAAACGCCGTCACCCGGTGCACCTCCACGGCCTCCGGACAGGGTAGATGGGGGCCGAGCCGCGCAATGTCCCGGACCTCCCCGAGGATGCGACGGGCGAGCTCCACCATCAGGGTCCACCCGGCGTTGGCGAAACTGGCGTCAACCCCCTCTAGTGCAGCGGGATCATTATCGTCGGCATGAAGGCTATTGTTGATATTCGCGTTCGGGTTGTTCATGACGTATTTCCGATTCGACACCGCGGCTTTCCGCCGTTCGTACCCCCGGTGTTTTTCCGGGATCGGGTTTGTTTCGTTGGGTTCGCGGTAGCTCCGCTCGTCCGCCGTGGGCGAGAAGGACAACTGCAGCTGTACTCGGTGCCCTTCGTGCAAGAAGGAACGGACCTGCTTCAGTTTCCGGGCGAAAGGCGGCGGGGCGATCACCGCGGAAAACCGCATGCCCTTGACTTTCAACGACGGATCGAAACGGAACCCGTCGACCTCCTGGAGTCTGCCCCCCTTCCGCAGCGACTGCGTCTCGTTCTCCTTCCGCTTCGCCTCCAGGTACTCCGCCAAGTCCTGGAGTTTCGCCAGCGGGGGGTCCGAGTCCGCGTCCAGCAGCACCAAGTCCGTGTTTTGCAGGTTGGCGAGCTGGATGGCGTGCTCCTTCTCGTAGTCCCCGAGCAGCTCCCCGTCTTTGGACACCACGCGGACCACGTGGTGCCAAATGTCACCGTTGGCGATCCAATCTTGATGGTTGTCGAGAGTACCGGGTAGAATGGCGCCCGTTCCGAAGGCGCGCTGCGAAGATAGGTTGGTGAACATCATGTTGATGTGCACCGGTGATGCGCCAATTGAGAGGTTTGTCCGCGTTGCACCCCGACGCGGAGGAAGAAAGACGCTTGTTCCTGTTTTCCAGCTGCAAGCCGGCCGGGTTTTGACGGGTAAACGAGGCCTCTCGGGTAGTTCTTCTTTTCTGAAGATTGGGATCGTGTTTATGAGCTGACCTTGACCGGCTGCATTCTTCGTGCACTCGACGCTCGTTCCGTTCGGCCAAGTCAACCTGGAGCAAGCGAACGTGCTTGTGGTCGTGGTTCTGGTGCCCTTGTAAATGAAACGCTCCCATTTCAGCGGCGTAGTATTTGAAGCCCGCATAAGAAGTAAGTACCTCTAGGTCGCGCTGTGTCTGTAAGGAAACGCTCCATTAGTTGATCCTGTAACAGCACGACGACGAGGAATGCATTTTTCTACACAACTTGTCATGGAATTGTCGAAAGAAGATGATGATACCGAGATCTACACTTTTGCGTTCGCCATTTCCACCGCGTCGTGACGAACCGAGCCACTGTTTGGGCGGAGGTCGTAATATGAAAAGAGAAACACAATCCGCCACTGACGAACGGATAGTCAGCCGTGCAAGCCGGAGCCGATGCTCCACAAACAGAAGAAGATGAAGAAGCAGAACGTAGTGCATCTACAATTTCAATTTCGAATGTCTTAGTGCGGGTTCACCCAAAATTTACTCACATTATCCTGTTCTTTTTCTTCATTGGCCTTCGTTTCTTGACACGTAATTTATTATTATGCTCAGGCTGAAAAGGAGAAGTTAAACGGCGCAAAAGGCCGTGCATCAAAACGAACTTGAAACAATGAGTGTCGTGTTGTGTGTGAAAACGGGGATTAGGTGACTGATACGAGTGTTGTACTGACACTGAGCCGATGAAAAATGTTTTTGAAAAAAACTCTCGAATAATGTACTACTGTAATGTGGCCTTGTACTTCATGTCATGGAAGTTGTTCTATCTTCTTCTCAAATGTTGTAGAACGCTAAAGTTAGGTCTTGGTAGGATATGTTACCCATCATAAATCAAAAAAAAAAAAACCTACGAAAAAAACGACCACTTTCATCTCAACAGCAACTTCCTAAAAATCATACTCCTCCTCCCTTCATCCGGGAGGGTGAATCTCGAATGTGCTGCGCGAACTGCGCTGCCACGTTACCATAGGCGCCTCCCTCCCGCTCCATTTGCCCAAAAGCGTCTTTGTCCTTCCCGCCCCTTCCTCCTGCTTTCCAGTCGGGCATGATCCCCCCCTGGTCCTCGTATCCGCCCCACCCTTCGTGGACCTCCTTCGCCTGGTCGTGAAAGTCCTGCTCGTCTTGCTCCCACTGGTCACGCTTCCCCTTCTTCTGAATCACCGCAACGCACAGCACGATGGACAGCAGCCCCAGCACCCCCAGCGGTAAGGCAATGCACACCCACATCGGACACCCGGCGAGGTTGCCCGAGGCCGGCGGCGCAACCGGCCCCGTGCCCGGGGCCGCGTCCGCCACCGCCTGGCCGCCCGGAACGCTCAACCCCCGGGCCTCGTCCATCAGCCGCCGGTACTCCGTGCTCATCGCTGGCACCGAGGCGATAGTGCTCCGAAATTTCGCCAACCGTGCGCACAGTTGCGGGACACTGAGCAGTTTTGAGTGGACAATGATGGTTTATGATTTCAACAGTACTTCGTTCCTTTCTCGCTTAACCTTTTTTAGCAAGATAAACATTCCATGAGTACTACCGTCCGAAACACAGCATTTATGAAATCCTAAAACAAACCTATTGGGACAGAAAGTCAAACAATTAGCACCTAGAGCCCGCAGGATGTTGCTATTAATTTCCTTTATTCAAAAAAAGACTTTATCAATAAATACACGCTGAATTTCGCCACTGTCGTTTTCAGCAAGTCGGAATTCGACAAGCACTGCTCGCCCTCGAGTCTGCAGCACGGGATCAGGTCCTGCGTCGGCGACACTGCGGCGGGGATGGTCCGGCGCACCGATCCGTGCGCGTAGTCAAAATTTTGCACCACGTATCCAAGAAAAAAACACCATCACAATCACATTTGGGAGGTTTTGCATCAGAAATTTGTCTCGCATGACAAATTTTTCTTGTATTGCAAAAACACAAAGGGAAATCGCCCATAGCTCTTGACTGTGATGCATTTTTGCGCATGACAAAAAATTTTGTATTGCAAAATTGTGCAAAAGTGATTGTGATGGTGTTTTTTTCTTGAATACCACGTCGCGAACGGGCAAACAGTCGTGGGCCCCCTCGTGGGCCTCCAGCTCGCAGATCTGCGACACGATGCCGTCCACGCGGGCGAATTCCCCGTCCACAACTTGCGTGTTTTGTGTCGTGGTGGGCACCGCGTGCGTGGCTTCGTCCGATTTCCGGCGCGCCTGTCGCTTTCCCGTCTTCAACACTTCGACGGCGGATGAGGAAGAAGCAGAAGGCTCGTCAATCGCAGTCGTGCTGTTTTTTGCCGCACTAGCCGCGCTTTCCAGATTTGTTGACGCGTCTGCTTTCGAAGAAGTGGCCGCTGCGTTCTTTTCCTTCTTCTTTTTCTTTCTCTCGCCTGTGTCCAAGTGGGTCGCTTTCACAACCTTCTGGACGAAGCTGCTCAGTGTTTCCTTGCCCTCGCCAAAAAATCGGTCGTACAGATGAGCTCCGGCGTGCTCGAAAAACCGCGTGGCCACCCCTTTCTTGCCGTCCCGCGGTGCCATAAACATGGTCTTCTTCTGGTACTCGTGCCGCTCTTTCACCGTGTCAGGATGTTCCTCCGAGTCCGATTCCTCCTCCACCAAGTCACCTTTTGCGTCCAGATGCAGGTGCTGCTGCTTCCTCGCGTGGTGGCCGTGTGCCTGTCTGGACTGGTCTAACTCCAAGTAGGACACTTCTGCGGCCGGTGTTTTGGCACTGGCGGGTCCTGCTGGTTCCGGCTTCGCATTCCCATCCGTGGCTGCCGGCGTGGAACTGAACGTTTCGGTGGTGGGAGCGGGGGTCGACGCAGATGAAGATGATCCGTCCTGCAATAAGGACTTGTCGTTTCCAGAACCAGCACCACTTGCTCGCGTAGTGGAACTCGCACTTCCGCTTTCTTCTGCCGTCGAGTCTTGCAGAAAGGAGGGGGAAGGCGACGTGGAAACGGATGGAGTCGTAGTACCGCTTTCCGTAAGCATTTCGGGCTTTTCCTGCAACGAAGGGGACTCCGTGACGGTAGGGGTGACAGTGCTGACGGGAACACCCGATGCAGCAGCGCCCTCTGAGTTCGAAAATCCTGCTGGGGGGCTTGCAGTAGTGGTCGCAACCGCCTCTGGGTCTTCTTGCAGGAAGGAAGGCGAGGTAGCCGGCGGGGAGGTTGTAATAGCAGTAGAAGGTGTTGCCGTAGTGCTGACTGGCGCGTCTTGCAGGACCGAAGGTGCGGTTGTTGTACCTGCCGGCGTTGTGACCGAACTTTCTGTTGTGGTTCCAGGTGCCTCTTGGAGGAAGGAAGGCGGCGTCGTGGTCCCTTTTGTCGAAGATGTAGTTGCATTGGTTGCATTGGAGTTTTCTGAAGACATCGTCGGAGACGGCACGATCACGGGAGGAGTCGCGGTGCTCTTGCTTCCCTCCACGGATGAACTTTCCGACGGTGCAGCCGCTTCCAGAAAAGATGGCGCGGTGGTGCTCGCCGAACTTGACGAGGGGCTGGGTGCCGGTGCTTCGGCTTGCAGCTTTTCGTTGTTTTCAGGAATGGTCTTGCCTCGCTCCTGTTCGGTGAACGCTGCAGACGGTTCACTTCCTTCCTCCTGCGCAGCCTGCGGCCGTCCGGCGTTTTGATCGATGCTACCTCCGCTTTCCGGTGGCGTGGCCGATGAGGATGGACCACTTTGCGGTTGTGTTTCTACTGCTGGCGCTGCCGTGCTGGAACCTGTTTCGGCACTCCAGCCATTTTCCTTCTTGCCCTCGTCCCCTGGTCCGGCAGGGGTGTTGCTCTCAGGCTTACCGGCATCTTTCCCTTGGTTGAACGACGTGGCGCTGGTCGCGTCATCCTTTTCCCGAGACTCCGAAGTAGAACTACCGCTTCCGACTCCTTTGGTCGCACCACCGCTGCTCGTTTCCGGCGTCGGAACAGGTGTTGTTGTCGTGGTCTCTTCCTCTAGTGACATTGAAGCCTCTGAGGAGGATTTCGTGTGCTCTGCACTGCTGTCGCTGCTTGTCGAGTTGTTGTTTTCGTGCTTTGTTCCTTGTGCAAAACTGGACTTGTGCAAAGAGAGCTGTTCAGGCGCGCTTCCCAAGGGAACTGTCCCGGTCACGCGGGCGCTACTTGCCTGCTGGATCAATTCGCCGTTCGAACCCTTCGTTCCCAGGCCACTACCGCCACCGCCAACATGTTCAGTCGCCTTTTGTTCCGCTACAAGCATGACCTCGTGGCGCGCCTCCTCGCTAAGATTGGACAACACAGTTGCTGCGGTTTCCTTGGCCTGTTTCGTGTCCGAATTCCCGATCAAGACCTCCATCGCGCCGTCCAGCACGTTCTCGGCCGTCTGCCGCTGCTGTTCCGCAGACATCGGGACCTCGGGTTCGATCAACCGCGACCCCGGGGCGTAAGGGGCCGCAAATGGCGCCGTAGAAGTGGTCGTGGTCTGGTCATAGCAGTCCAAGCACCCGCCCGCTTTCTCCTGCAACAACGAGGACGCGGGGGGCGGCGGAGGGGCTCCAGCGCCAGCAGCTCCCTGCTGCTGCGCGTTTCGCAGCTCGCTGTTTGCGCCATAGTCTTGTTCCTCAGGAGGGGGCGGGGGCGGAGAGGCTTCGGATGGAACCGCCTGCGGAATCGCCGCGCTTTCCAGCGGTGGCGGTTCTTGGTCGGCCGCCTCCGCTGCTGCTTCGGCCTGCGCCGCCGTTGCGGCGGCCTGAGCGGGAGGCATGTCCGCGATGTTTGTGGGCGCCGGCGGAGGTGCAACGACCTGGGTGGTAGCAGCCTTTTTCTTGTTGCGCCCGTATATGCAGTCCACGCAGTCCTCCAAACGCGAGGGAGACGGGACCGGCCTCGCCAGCGCCAGTCCGGCCGGCATCGGGCCGGCCGTGGTCACGACGGTCGGCTGATCACCAACCTTCTCCGCGAAGCTGCCCGACGGCTGCTCCACGAGTGGCGGCGGTGCGGGCGGCAAGTTGTCAGCTACCGCGGCTTTGTCCGCGGCTACGTGGGCCGCGAGCGCGGCTTTTTCGGCCGCCGATTGCGGCGGCAGCGCGATTGCGGGTTTTGTGTGGCTTCCTTCTTTTTCAGTCGGGTAGCAGTCCCCCAACCCAAGGCAGCCTCGATCGGGAGAAGCCTCGCCGTTTTTCAACTGCTCTCCGGACAGCTGCTCCCCCTTGACGACGGCGGGCGAGGCCATAGGGGCGTGCGAGGCCGTCATCATCAGTTCCGGAGGGGAGGCAGGAGGTGCGCCGCGATTCGCTTGAGGTCGTGGAAAACTACCTGTGCCAATCGGCGGAGGCCCACCTGGCTGCTCTTCGAGCGCGCCCGTGGAACCGTATAATTGGCCCTCTGTGCTGGCCGTGGGCTTGTCCATCTCCGCTGTTGAGCCAGTGGATTCATGCGTAGGGGCTTGTTGGGTCGTCGTGCTGCTACCCGTCTCTTCATGTTGTTCTCCTGCCGGTGATGACGCTATGTGCGGAGACGGAGTAGTGGTGGACATCTTGTGCTCCTCCTCCAAAAAGCTGGTAGCAGTACCACCAGGCTCTTTATTCTCTTGCTGGGCCTCCTGCTGCTGCTGCTGCTGCGCTTCCGAAGAGGCTGCTCCCCGCCCTTGCGCCTCCGCTAACGCGGCTGGGTTTTGCGTTGTGGTCGGGGCAGCCGTTGCGTTGGCCGATGCCGGTGGCGCTGGCATGGTTTGTGGAGTGTTGCTGTCGTCCACGACCGGTGGCAATTCCCCGTCCGCACCATAATTGTTGTTGTCATTATCTGCGTTTGCACTGTTCCCTGCGGGGCCGGCGGGCGCAAGGTTCTTACTGTTTTCCTGGAATGATGACGATTTTTCTGGTGAACTTGGGATGCCAACAGTAGGCTCAGCACGATTTTGCCACCCCGCTAGTGAAGCCGGATTCTGTGTCGTCGACGAGCCCGCTGTAGCGTTGGCCTGTACGGACGGCGGGGATGGCATGGTCGCTGGAGGTGTGGTGGGGGTACTTTCCTCCATCGGTGGCAATTCACCATCTGCTCCGTAGTCGTTGTTGTCAGTATTCACATTTTTTGTTTTCTCTGCGAGCTGATTTTTGTTATTTTCTTGGAACGACGAAGACTCAGACGATGGACTTGCGTCCAAGCTCGGACGTGGTGCCCGATGCAGGTCGAAGGCGGTAACGAAGTCCGAGATTGCGATCCCGAGCGCAATGGCTGACAATGAAACTGAAGCTCGGAAGTATGTCATTCTCTTTACATCGTGAAGATAAGAGGATACCTTTCTTCGGTTCACAGGCATGATAATAGACGTTTACTTGAAATTGCGAAATAAATACTAGGTAAGGATGTATTGTACGAATGTGTGCTTGATCTTGCTAACAGCTTCTTGTGACGAAGGGGGCTTCTAAAATTTCTTTTTCGAGTTGTAGGGGGGCGGAACGAGTGCAAAATGAGTACGTGTGAAACTAGGACAAGAAAAGCTGAAAATCACTGGCCATGCATGATCAAGCAACAACAATGAGGTCTACTTGAACGTTCTTCTACTTGGTGTTCTTACGAAAGCCTGAACGACGAGGACAACTCCGAGAAGCACGACAAGGTTGCACGCAGAGGGAAGGGGAACAAGACGACCGAGGGCACTTACATTTAAATATGTTCAATATGTACTTTCCGCTTCGCCAACTGTGTACGAAACAAATCGAGCCGAGACAGCATGCATCGCACGACACCGACGGAGTCTAAGGTCTTCTTTCACGATGCAGCACAGAACAGACTCAAAACGAAAATCCAAATCATGATGCAGCGAGAACGCTAGCGTAAGCAACCGAAGTAGGCCGCGCACAGCGGAAAGAAAACCGAGCTGAAATGCCACTTGGATGCGCGCAAGCATCTTCCGCCTGAACGATGAAAAGAGACGCGAAAAAGACAGATCTTGTATATTGCAATCTTACCGAGGAGTCGCTTTATGAAATAGCACGCGAGGGGGCATCAAATTTACATTTATCATCCTGCTACGAAATCAAAACCCGAAGAACAAAATTTGACGTAGAGAAAATGATACAAAACCTGAGCTCACGTCCACAGCCTGTGTCTGATATAGCCTCATGTAGTGTCGTTTTGTTTTATCGCTACGATCATGTGAATGTGTCGGGTGCTTTCATATCTTCATGCTGCTTTCACATCGTAAATTTTGGCCCTGGGCACTAAACCAAATTCACAATGGAGCACATGCATGTTGTCGCTTTCTCTATGTGAAATCGTCTATGTATGTGAGCAAAAAAAGAAGTTTGCGGATTGCACAGGGACGAGGTTGGCTTCCTTTGCGTGAAACTAACATCAAGAAGTGCATGCGTCGCGGGGTGCGTGTGTCGCCTTGTAGTATTCTTGTTGAAAAGAAGAGACAACTCTATTCGTCAGGTCTGTCTCCAAAGTATCGCAAACAGCAAACGCCGAAGGTCTAGCGCTTGATAGATGAAAAGGCCCTCTGCTAGCACCTAGCAGCGCTGGGATATCCAAGCACCGGCCTTCAAATTCGGAAGCGGAACGCATTTTTCCTCTCCTCGCAAGATAAAAAGGAAAAGCGAGATCATTTTATACATCGGTACAAATGTCCGACCGTGTCTTCTATCTGCTGAGCAGTGCGTTGCAGACGTCTTCGACGTGCAGTTTCCTCAAATTTGTGTACTTCTGCCCCGTTCCGACGAACACGACGGGCTGCCCGCTGACGTACACCATGGACAGCGCCGCGCCGACCTTGTCGTCCACGGTGTCGTACTTCGTGAGCAGCAAGCCGTCGATCCCCCGCGGGTTCACCCGGTCCGGGCTGAGGTCGATCAAGGAGCGGTTGAACTGCTTCACCTGGTCGATGCCGTCGTTCCCCGTGAGCGCCTCGCCGACGAAGAGCACCAGATCCGGTTGGTTCACGGCGACCATCTTGCTGATTTCCCGCATCAGCGGTTCGTTCCCCTGCATGCGGCCCGCCGTGTCGATCAGCACCACGTCGATGTTTTCCTTGGCCGCGTGTTTCAGGGCGTTCTTCGCAATCTCCGCCGGGTCCTTGCCGTAGCCGCGCTCGTACAGCTGCGCATCCAGACACCTCGCGTGGGTCTTCAGCTGCTCCACGGCGCCCGCGCGAAAGGTGTCACAGGCGGCGATCAAAATCTGATAGGTATGGGTTTTCAGCTTGAAGAAGTAGTTCTTGGGGTATAGAAATGAATACTTAGCAGTGGTCCTGATGATGTTACACAGGGAAAGAACCTGCTCTGGCAAGTTCTCGTTTGAGACGAAAATTTAAATTTTTCCGAAGCAGACTTGTTCAAAAAAAAAAAATGAATACGCTCAGCCCGCCCTGCTTCTTCAGATGATAAGCCACCTTCGCTAGATTTGTGCTTTTCCCGACCCCGTTGACTCCGATGAACGCGATGGAGAAGGGCCGCCCCGCGGCCTTCGCCTGCAGCGCCGCCCGCATGACGTCGACGCTTTTCTTCGGTGTCAGCAGCTGCGATATCGCCCGAACCATCTCGCGGTAGATGGTTTGCCGTATGGTAGTCCACGCCTCCGTTGTTTGGCCAACCAATGACTGGCGCACGCTCTCGAGCAAGCGGTCGGCGACCTGTTAAGTCGGATGTCGTGTGACTTCAAGATGATGTTTTGTTCTGCGTATCTATGTCATTGCAGAACAGCAAGCAACGATATTCGTTTTCGTATTCACTTCGTAGCACCCCTCAACATCTCAACGAGTACCTCTTTCGCCACGTTTTTGTTAAGCAATTGGTCTCGTATTGGTGCGAGCAAGGGTGCCAAGTCGTCCTCTGTCAGCTTCTTTCCGCCGGTGAAACCTTTCATTTTACTGCTCAGCTTCCCCCAAATGCTGTTAGGAGCAGTATCGTCCACAGGCTCGATCAGAACCGGCTGTTGATGTTTTGCATGTGTAATATGGATTGTGTTGATGCTGATGCATTCTAAGAAAGTCCGTCGATTGCGAAAGCAAAATTGAAACTCGAAAGGCCCATCTACCTCGCCCGAGACATATTCAGAGGCATTAAGCCCCGTCGTGTGTAGCCCCTGTGAGAAAGCATTCATTTCGCAAGCTTTTATCTATACGTACCTTCTGATTGATCTCCGGCTCCCCGTCGTCATCGTCATCCAGGAACTGCGCGAGAGCTGCCGCGTTTTGGCTCTCTTCCGAGGCTTCATCCTTGCCGTCGCCGCTCTTCGAGAAGTCCAACTTATCTATGGCCTGCTTGTTCACCTTTCCGGCGCCGACCCACTCGCGCTTCCCCCGCCGCCCCGAAGCCGCGCCGTCTTCCGACTCCTCGGATTCCTTCTTGTCTGCGCCGTCGCTCACCCCGACGCGTTTGCCCCGCTCTGTGTCAGCGAAGGACCGCATTTCCGTCTTTTTCGTCAGCCATTCCCGGTCGAACTCCAGTTTTATACGCTCGAATTCGAGCTTGAAGTCGTCCCTGAACCTCCAATCTAACCGGTCACAGTTCGGGTCCAGCGTATTGGCGAAAGCGGCGGAAACCTGCTGGAGCAACCGGTCCAGGTACGCCATTTGCAAGATACCCTGGCGTTTTTTTTAATTGCATGATAGACAAGCGAAAGTCTACTTTCGTCATTTCTAGAGTCTTCCACCGGCTTTCGTGCTACTTATCACAGGAAGAGATCTTCAACACCGATTGAACAATGCAAATGATCGTGTTGTTGAAAACATAGTTACACAAACAAATCATATGTCGTGCAACGAAAAATCCTGTAAGTACCTGGTATATCAGCACAAACACGAGCTCCAGGTCGTTTCGTATTTTGCACTTCAGTTTGTAGTTGTCGACTTGCGTGGACGCACTGTCATCGTTTTGCTCCTGCAGAAGGACCGTCTTGATGAATTTGTCCACCGGGTCCTTGGCAAGCTTCAGTTCCCACCGGAACAAAACCACACCGGTTTTTGTGAACACAATGAAATCGTCGATCATTTTTTCGGTAGATGCTTCTTGCAAGTCTATGTGAAGAAAGATTTTCACTACCGTGCAAATGTCATTGTTGAAAAATACTACTAAATGGCCAGGAATATTAACTAAAAAAGGGCGAAACTAACGAACTCTACTGAAACGGTCAAACCAAAATTTCTCTTTTTACTTCGACTTCGAAAAGAAACTACTTAAACTGTGAAATGGCAATATTCCGGCATGCTGACTAAGCTCTCCTCTACCATAACGGGCTGATGCGTTTTCAGAAAAAACTCTCTCGAGGCGAAGGCCCAGTTTGTTTAGATCTGTAATTGCTCTTCAAGGGCCAGAATGATTAGATCTTATTCCGTCAGAAACCTCGAACTACACGCAATGTATGCGTGAGAACCCGCAGTTCATTGTCATTCGATCCTGCAATAAGCTCGTCTCTGCGTTGGAACACGATCCAGACGCGACACAGAAATGGCTTCCGCGGCGCCTACTTCTCGGTAGCTATTTTTACCACCTCGCTCGCGATCTTTCAATTTGAAAAAAAATCCTGCAAACAAGCGGGAAGCTTCACTTACTTTCTCGTCGCAGCAGTTTATCGTCGATTAAATTCTACAATAAGTTCAAGTTTACACGGCACTACAAGAACCTTGATTCAATCAGAACTTCCCTCCCAGAAATACGCGCTGCCCGTCCACCCAGCCCCACTTGCTACCCACGGCGCTGCGGCCGCAAAGCACCTCTACTGCGCTGAAGGATTTATTCGCGGGTTTACTTGCGGTTGCCCCAGAGGTGGCAGCTGCCGAGTCGGCGATTCTTCCCTGCTGCTTTTCGCCTTTTTCCTCCCACTTAATAACCTGCGACCAGGTATTGTGCAGAACCTGTGGAGTTATCTTTAGATTTTCCTGCTCCGCTGCGCTGGGAATGCGAGACGACGTTGCCTTCAGATTCTTGTGCTGGTTGCGATCCCCGTAGGTCATCACCCAACGGGCGTTCTTTTGCGCGCCGGTGTGTTGAGGCATGTTGGTGATGACTGCGAAATATCTGCAGGCTTCTTTTTGTACAGAATCGAAAGTAGCTGACAACCGCGAGCAAACGTTGGCACCACGAACAAGCTAAATCTCAGTTTCTGCATCTGAAGTCGTTTGCGCGGAGATGGAAAGATGTCCGATCCCTAAGTAATCTGCAGGACAAAATATCGCCATTTTGATCTACCTCTCCTGTTGTGGGCCTGGGCGGCCCTCTTTGACAAAAATAAAAAAAGCGGCACTCATTGCACACTCAAGCGAAGTCTTTCTCTTCCACATTCACCTTCGACTCATCTCTTACAAAAAACAAACGAACATCCCGCGCCGTCCCATCTCATCTTCCAAAGACACGGAAGATCGGGAATTCAACTGATCTGTCGTGTATCTGCATCTTCCCTATGCCCGTGTGAGGGTGCACATGCCATCCGTCGTTAAGTGCCGCAGTTCTGTTTCAGTGATGACCTGGAGGGAGATCGTTTTCCCGCCCAGGCGGCCTTCCCAGTAATTCTCGCCCTTTTTGTCCATTTTGTGTGCGAGGGAGCCAGATTTAGCACAAAGATTCGGACAGCACCCACAACACACGCCGGATTGCTCGGAGATCGTGATCTGGTGGTCTGAATTTCGGCTGTCGAAGGAAATCACCCACGTGCCGTTGTACCAACAACTCCCACACGAGTGTGTCGAATGCCATTCCCCGGCAAGGCTGTGTGAAGAGGAGGACGAAGATCTGCCCATAGTACCAAGGATCTCTTTGCTTCGTCGGGAATGAACCAGTGGCTTATTTTCCTCTTGATGCCGTCGAGGTGTGGAGCAATTATGGTTCGTGGATGAATCGTCTCCTGTCATTGAAGATTACAAGACTTTGTATTTCAGTCATGGCTCAGTGACAATTTGCTTTGTCTTTGTTTGTGTATGGTACAAAGTGGGCGCTGAGAAACAAGTGAGTGCAAGCAGATCCCCATAATCTTGTCTGGCTGACGGACGAAGCAATAAGCACGACTCAGTGTCCATTTTTCTTTTCCGTTCACTCGACGCTCAGAGAAAACAAAAAGCGGCGATCCTGATGCTGCGGTCAACTTAAAAGCATCCAGTATGAGGATGAACACGAGTGCCTTACCAAAAACAGGCTTCGCTGTGCAAGGTCCCACTAAGACAACATAGTCCGATTGGTTTTCTCATGTGATTGAAAGACTGGTGACAAAGGCGGGCGGGCTACTCCTTATAAAAATTCAACCGGCGTTCGATAAGGTGTTAGATGTCAGGCGAATCAGCAGTTGGCAGGCAGGTGTGGTTGTACTGTAATATTCGCTGCTATGCGAGACGAACAAAAAGATCTTGAGCATGTACAAATGCGAAATAGTCCATGGCGGGGGTCTACCCTCCGATAGATTCGCCACTCTATTCCGATAATTTTTGCGCGTTTGTAATATTCACGAACTCCCACTGTCTCCAAAGTTTCGTCTGATTTACCTTTGCTGTAGTTACAGAGATATGGATACTGGTCGTCACTTCAAAAAATCGCGACTGCTTATAAAACATTCTCATGAAAATAAAAGTGTGCTTCTGGGTGGAGAGGACCTGAAAAGACCGAGTTTCCCAAATAAATGCGACCCCAAAACTGCTCCCCACCAGACCTTGACACGCATCCAATCGTCACGACCACCTAGCACATTTGCACCTTGATCTTCTGCTGGTTCAAGGTACCGCCATCGTACTTTTGGATCGCCGAGGAAGCGTCTTTCTGGGTCGTGTATGTCAGGACGAATTCGCCGGTCTTTCCCCGCACGGTGTCGCAGCTCTCGATCCGTCCACATTGCTGGAACGCGTCCCGCAGGTCGCTTCCCGAGATCTGCGCCGGCACGTTGGTGACCCGGATCATGCAGTGCGCTCGGTTACCTCCACGGTCCCGGGAAGACCGGTTGTTCCCGCGGCTGTTTAGTATTATTTTTTGTCGCTTCTTAGGCAACCTGGCAAACAAGTATGACTATGAACCTCCATTTTGTATATGCAAAATAATACAGTTCCAGTTCACGAGTTATCCAAAATACTAGTAATCAATGCGTTACGACTCGTAGGTTCTATCATGCCGATCAAATCAAAGAAGCCCAAAAAAAATCTGTACCGGGACGGCTTTTCCTGTTCTTCGTCCTTGTAGTACCCCCGGGTATAGTCCGGCTGGCCCCCACCTCGGCTCTGGCCGGCGTCGTACGGTTGGTAGCGGGGGTTCTGCGGGGGCGGCTGGCCGTACCGTGGGTTGCTGGGGCCGTACCCGTAGTCGTCGTAGTAGCGATCCTTGCCCCCACCGCGCCGGTCGTCGTAGTAGTCCCGGGGCCCGCCGCCCTTGCCGTAGCCGCCGTACCAGTCCTTCCCGTAGTAGTCGCTCTCGTACCAGTCGTTCTTCCCCGAGTCCCGGCGCCCGTAGTTCGTGCCGCGGTCGTAGTTCCGCCCGGAATTACTGCCGCCCTTTTTGTCGAACTTCTTCTTCACGTCGTTCTCACCACCCCCCTTCTTGTCCCCCTTCTTGTTCTTCCCCTTGGACTTGTTGGACTTTTTCGCGTTCTTGTCCGCCTTCATCACGTCGTCCAAACTCATGGCCAGCTTGTCCTCGGTCTTCTTGCCGGAATCCGCAGCAGGAGCGTCTTCCTTCTTCTCCTTAGGCTCCGCTTTTTCCTTCTTCTCGGGCTTCTTCTGGTTCTTCTTCCCGTCCTTGATCAAATCTTCGAGGGTTTTTTCCTCCACCACCTTCTTGGAATCCTTCTTCTCCGCGGCCTCCTCGCCATCCTCGGTCTTGTGCTCGCCCTCCTTCTGCTCCTTGTCGAGCTTCATCACGGTGGACTCTTCGTTCTTCCCCTCCTCGTTGGAAGATTTGTTGACTTCGTCAAGCCCACTTTCCTCGGCCAGCACCTTCGGCTCAGACTGCTCCAGGTCCGACGTCATTTTTATTTTCACAGTAGTTGTAGTACAAGATCGATCTTTGTGGATGGAAACAACTGCGGTTCTTTTGTTGAGATCTTCGAAGAAAAACACAGTGGACAGAACTGACCACTTCGTGACTACTTATATCTTCCTAGGAGGGATATTAGTAGATACCCGTAGTTTATTTCGGTAAAAACGACCAAGGAAAAATTTTTATTGGTACTCGGTGAACAAAAGATGTCGTTCTGTCGACCTGGACAAAAGTTTGAAGAGGGGTGCGTGCAATTTGAAAAAAATTATTAATAGTGGGTGGGGGGCGAGACGCGATGCGTCAATGACATCAATGATACGAAATAAACTTTTGCGGGAATGGAAACGGTTACAGAAAGTTCGAAGATCAGGGTGAATCGGGGAAAATTCTGATCGTGAAATTTGAAACTCGTTGTATTTGAGGAACTTAGGTTTGCGACGATTTTCTATTGCTTCACGAAACCATCTCACCATTTTCAAATTCTACACGCAAATTTGTTTCGCTTTCTGGACCAATTCTTTGGCTTGATGAATTTTGCATAAATTTAGCGTTCCGTACGACGTAGTGCCAACACGATTAATCATGCATATTAAATAGGCGCCTTGTAGAAAGATAGAGGGGCGATGAAACGGTAAAGACCGGAACACCCAAGGCGGGGAGCCACAAGAGTAGAGGGAGACACAAATCCCGAGGCGGGTTTTTCTTTGTTTTTGTTCCTCACGTGAAATAAATTCAACAAAATATTGTACATCTACATTTATGACAAAGCTCCTAAAACAAATCATGTTCAACTCCCGACAAACGTAGACCATATGTGAACAACTGAACGGCGATGCAAAGACAGGCTGCCATGCACTTTCAACGTCCGATGAAATCTCGATTTATTTCAGAAAACTGCGCAACAAGTGAAACAAATGTAAAGTACATTACTATAGAACCGATAGAAGTAGAACCACTATGACTAAGACTATGCAATAGCACACATTTCAAAAATAAAAACCCAAAACTAGAACCTTGTTGTAAGTATACGATACTGCTACATTGTAATCCTCCGGTCGATTCGATCTCAAATCCAGGCGTTTCCCCTGCTGGACAAGTGTTTTTTCTTCGAAAACGCGTCCAGGTTCTTCGGGTGCATCTCTTCCTCTTCAGTCGAGTACCCCTGGTCCGCTGCGTAGAGGTTGTTCTCGGACTCCTCCCCATCCAAGGTAAAATTGTCGCTCTCTTTGTACACCACGTCTGCCGCGGCGAAAAACTGGTTTGCGTAAAAGTTGCGGCTCGAACTGCTGTGCTGCTTGGCGCGGATCAAGTACAGCCCGTAGAGAACGAAAAACAAAAACACCATCCCGAGAAAATGCTCCAACGTGACGCAGGGCGTTTTGGCGACATCCAGTTCCTTTGCGAGGCCGATAAAAATATTCCCGGAAGATGAATCGGGAGTAGATGAACTTGGCGTGGTCGTGTAGTCTCTAGTACTCACCTCCAGTTGCTTCTGCACCGTCTGCGACCCGAAGGCCTCCGCCTGCTGCGTTTCAAGAAAAGACTGGAGCTCGATCTCCGCCTGCATGTCAGAATCCTGCTGGCTTGCTGTCAAAGTGGCATGATTGCCAGCTTTTGGCACCGCTGCAGATCTGGTGGTCCTACCTGACAACAAATTTGTGTCGGGAATCGTCGCGAAAGCCGCCTTCATGATTTTATCATCAGCGAGATACTGCAAGCTCCTTCCGCTAGTTCCCCGCATGTTGGTGTGGCTGCTGTGGCCGTAGACGCGGCGCTGCAGCTGTTCCTCACTTCGGTACTCGCGACGGAATTCGAGATAGGTCACGCGACGCGTCGGCGTCGACATTTTTTTAGTTAAAGTCAAACTTTTTCAAATTTTCTAGTCCACTTTTCCCGACGAATCAATTGGCCCAGACCCCGTATGATCATCGGTCATCGAATTGTGAAAAACAAAAAACGTCCCGTCAGAGGCTTGCTGTGTGTTGTGGAGAAAATCCTTTGACTTTCTGTTCTATAGGAATATCAACGTTCTGGGATGACAACAGCATGTTTTTTCAACGTCCACTGCATGTGGCAATGTTTTGATTCTGCGAAAAGGTCACGAGACGGAGACGAAACACGATAGCATTCTACTTCCTCTTAACGGTCTACCTTTACGATGATGCATGACGATTTTAAAGTAACACGGTACTTTGTGCTATTGATTAGCAGCGGTGCGGATCTACGAGAACATTAGAGAAACAACGGATATTGATACAACCGCGCGCCTGCGAATTCAGAAAAGACAACGGCTCATCGCGTTGACGGCTGAGATGTCCATCGTTTATGACGAGTCATGTTTCTTTGGTATCTTTTTCGACTGTAAACTGACTGCTGCCATACCCGGCAGTTGTATCTACTTTCGTTTTCTGTTTCAAATCTGGCGCTGTCGCCTCAACATCCTTTCTCGTTGTACTATTCCTCCGACCTTCTGTCTGCTCTATTTCTGGCTCGATTTGAAAGTCCAGGTAAAAGATGCACTGTGATGAACCTTTTGTATTTTCAAAAGTCACGATCACGTTTACCTCCCGCTCTGCTTGCGGGTCTCTGGCCGCTCCTGGTTCCCTCGACCCGTCCTCAAAATTCTCCCTGTTCTTCTCCAGCATCATATCAGAATGAAAAATCCCCCCTCCCCATATCAAAACGAAACTTCTGATGCTGGATTTGAGTACACAAATCAGCTTTGTATTGCAGGAAAGCATTGCAGTCAGGTCCCCAGGCTAGGTAGGGGCGTATGCGCCTAGTTGTTCAGCATGGCAAGCGGCCCCCCTTTAGGCCCAACAGCATGACAAATCGACTCCGCAATGGGGTGGAAGCTTCTGCCCTTGCCTTCTTGCAAAACAAATGTGATCTGTGACCTCAAATCAGCAACACAAATTTTCGGAAACATGCCTTTTCAATATGGGGAGGGGGGATTTTTCCTCTCAATACATCAGCTCCAGTAATTTCAAATCCGCCTTGCTGTCGCGCAGCGCAAATTCCGCACGCAAAAACGTGATCACGCCCTTGAGTATGTCGGCATAGAATACCAACGCGTTCTGCAAATGCTGTTCGTGCGGATTCGCGACAGTTTTTGCCTGCCCTCCCGCCACAGGCGTGGTGTTTGTTGCAGCAGGTGCCGCCGCGGACGCGGCTACCGTCAAGTGGCATACCAGGTGCCTCACGGGCCGAAAGTCGTTGTCCCACAGCACATATCAAATGTAAAAATGTCTGGGTCTGGAAGAGTCATGCTGTTTCTGCATGACACAGAAGGTCTGTCATGGAAGCTCTGGCATCACAGGTTTCGAGAAGCTTCCGCAATGCCGAACCCGCATGACAAATCCCCCATTTTGGTGACAGAAAGTGAGCAGCTTTTGCTACCTATGCATGAGAGATTTTTGTGTGTTCTGAAATGCGCATCACAAGTTGCATTCTTCCAGACCCAGACATTTTTACACTTCATAGCACAAAGCCTCCCGTATCGCGGTTCACCTGCAGCCGGTCCGAATGTATCAAATGTAAAAATGTCTGGGTCTGGAAGAATGCAACTTGTAATGCTGTCTGCGGATTCTAAAAATATCTGTGTTGCATGAGCAGCGAGAGGAGTCAGTTCTTGGCACGCCGAGAGGGCATTTGTCATGCGTAATTAGCATCAAGAAGCTCGCAAAAAATCTGTGATGCTAGCACCAGCATCACAGACCTCACGGGTCATGCAAAATGTGCATGGCAAGTCCCGACTCTTCCAGACCCAGACACTTTTACAATCCATAGCCTGCTTCCCGAAGCAAAAGCTCCACACCTCGCGGCACAGAAATTTCACGGCATCCCGGTGCTCGCTGATCACCTTCTTTCGCAGCAGGTGCTTCCCGATCTTTTGCCCCAGTCGGAACGCCATAAACGTAGCCCCGGATGAGGTTGGTGGGCGAGTAGAATCCTCCTCTGGGAGGTCTACTGTTGGATGTGCTTTCGGTAACGTACCGATTCTGTGGTCCTTCTCGCTTTTTTTCCGGTTCTGCAACTGCAGAAACGCATTCTGGAAATGCAGCAAGACCGGGTAAGCAATCTCGCTGGTCATGGTCACTTTTTGCTGAGGCACTTACGTTTGTTAACAAACTACAGCTGAAAAAAAGTAAGTACCAGAAAAGTGGTGGCAAATCTAAATATTCCACGAATTAACGGTCCCATACTTTCACTTTCCACAAGAGTAGAGGTCCGGTTTGTTTCTACACCAACATTTGATCCTCCAATGTTTCCTTGCTTCTTCTGTGGAATAAAGCATGTACGAAAAGCAAGAGAAACGAAGAGCCCATGACTCGAAGCTAGCAGAGGCGCACAAGAGGGAAACGAAGTTGAACAAAAAAATTCTTCCCGACACTGCGAACTCGCATATGCCAGTGTGGCTTTTCTAGACACACTATCCCAAATCTTCGTGCGCGATTCGTCCTTCGGTCCTCCTTCATTCATACAGTTTTCTTATTTCCCTGCACCTATCTTCTCTATCATCCACACCTCTATTTCTTGATCTGTTCTTTTGTGCTGCGAGTCTGTAATTTCTCTTCTTTTCTAATCGTTCCTGTATATTGATCAGTCGTGCCCAAATTCTATCCTTTCTATTGCGTCTTCTTGGTTGCGCTCCAGCACCTGGTGATCTTTTCAGATTGATGATGCTGCGGCAAGAGTGACCTAAGCCTCGACACCGGTTGCTACCTTTTGCAACGACAATATCTAGGTCCTTTCATGGCGACTGGCGAAACTGAAATCTTCACGACTTACCGCATGACCCTTCTTTGTGCAACCTCGCAATTGTCTGACATCATAAGAGGCGGTTTTTCATTTTTCTTGTAGTGATAGTTTTTCCTCACATAATGTTCATCATGATCATCATATGAATGAAAGCAAATCGTGCAAACTGGATGGGTGGCGCAAGAAATGAAATATGTGCTGCTGCGACTTGTCGCAAAAAAGGACACTTATTTTGCTCCACCCCTAGAACTTTCTCTGGCAATAACTCTACAGAAAGTCAATCGAAAGTGAAGTCTCCGAGAAACTACAACAGTTGTGCCAACGCCGCCTGATCGCTAACGCTAACTTATGAGGATGAAATCTCGGCATCACCGCGCCCTTCGCTTGTTTTTCCTGGCAGCGTATAACTTCCCATCTCTGGCATTGGCAACATACTGCTTCTCTCGTCTTCTCCTTGTGCAGCGCACAGTCTATGGTGCCGCATCGACTCCCGCGGCGTACAGTCTGAATGCTCTTTCGATGTCTTGTCTTCCTTGGCCGCTGAGACCTGCTCGCTGTAACATACCTGCGTGGGCGATAACAACCTGAAGTTTCGTACCGGTCCACCTTCCTTCGTGGTTTCGAGCTGTCGTATGTCGCTCCCGGTACGCTTGCACAAGGTTTTTCACTTGCCCAATCCTACCCTCGTACTCCTGCATACCTCGGCCCTCCGATTCCGGACGAACCTCCTCCCGCAACTCCTGCCACTTTCCCTCCCCGACCGGGAGAAAGTGGTTTTGGAGTAGACGCAAGTTTCCGCCGGTGGCTTTCAAATGTCTGGCCGGTTTGGGCATGGGACGCAAAACAGTCCGGGAAGTTGTCTTTCTGCCGTCCTGTGACCAGTTCATACCCCTGTCGAGCACCGCCCAGAGGACGTCCCGCCCGAGGATTCGGTGCGCCTGCAAGCACCACTGTTCCCCGAGCTGCTGCGCAAGCGGAAACACGGGGTGTGTGTGCTCCTGCCACACCTTGCAAAAGGCTTTTGCTTCTTCACTTGGCGGTCTAGGCTGGGGGCGCTGTGGTCGTGCTCCAATTTGTGTCGCTCCTGCTCCAATTTCTCCCGCTCCTGCTCCTCCTGGCGCAGAAGCAGGACCTGGGGCAGCGGCTGCCGGAGCTGCAGCAGCAACAGGCTGTGCGCCTGGTGAAATCGGCAGTGCTGTTGTGGCGGAAGACGAGGAACCTGGTGGCAGCGACGAGGACCCAGCGGAGGCTTCACCTGGTGGTGCCCCGGGGGCATTCACCGTGATCTGAAGGCTCAGCTGGTAAGGATGAACGCCCGGAGATTTCCTGCTGCATCGCCTCATTGGCGCCGGCCCTGCGAAGACCGTACTCCCTCCCACAGTTCCTGCGCTCTGCTGTGGCCCCGCACTCACACGAGATTCTTCTCCAGACATCGCTTCATCTCCAGCGTTCGTATCTGGCAGTTGCGAGGATGCTGCATCAGTAGCAACGGCGTCACAACCTCCATCCGGCTGGGCAGGCGGTGCAGACGCGGGGTCGACATTGACTGCATCTCTGCTCGTTAGTGCTGCCAACGAAATAGCCTCGTCTCGTTCTAGCACACGACTTTCGATAGGGACACCAGAGGGAACCGTCAGGACACCACCACCCGATGGACCGCCATCGGCTTTCACAGTTGCACTGCTCTCTCCTCCTCCAGCTCCAGAACTACTCCCGGCCACTTCCGCCTCTCCTTCAGCGGCAATCGAGCCTGCCTCGTGCTCTTGTTCGACCTGATCAGCTTGTTCACGTCGAAGTCGTCCGAGCGTAATCGGAGTTTCATTTTCTCGCGAAGAATCAGTGGCGACATGAACTTCTTGATCTTGTGGGCCTAGCGCAGTGGGCGCAGCATCCCCTACAGTTCTTACCGCTGCTTCATCCCCAGTGATCGCAGGAACTGAAGCCTCTTCTGGTGCTCCCGGATCAGCCATTTCGACATTCTCGCCTGCAGCAGGGTGCTGGTCTTCTTCTGCCGATGCGGCCGCAGAAACTGGCGGCTCGGAGCTGGTGCTGGACGCACGTTGTTCGTTGCCATTTTCATCTTCGTGCGTCACTGAAACGCCTGCGGGAGCAGCCGCCGGAGACTCGCTTATTAACGAAGTAACATCGTGAGGCTCTGCTAAGACCGGCTCCTCCACGGCTTCCGAGGCCGGTGGTACTGCGTCTACTCCAGCGGTTCCGTCAATAGCAGCACCATCAGTCCCGTGCACACTCGGAGGGGAAACATCCGCAGGAGTCATCGAGAGTCCACTCCCACTGGCGTCACCACGAGGAGCTTCCTCGGGCAGATCAATCAATCCATCTTCCAGGCGAGCCGAGGGAGATTCAGTAGCGTCCTGCTGCTCCGGATCCTGTCCACCGGTGGGATCATGATCTTGGCCAGACCTGCCCTGCAGCGTCAGATGAGGCGCATCTCCTTCCTCGGTCAAGAGACCCTCGCTACGAGGCGTAGTTGGAATACTCGCGACGACCCCGATCTCGTCCCCGGCGCCATTCGGATGAACTACAACTGCAGCCGGCTCAATTCGAAACACTTCTCCTTCGGGGTTTTCTTGTCCTGCACTGCCCGAATCTCTACCGACTTCTTCCTCGCCGCCCGTGGGCGGAACTGCAGGTTCGTCAGTCGGATTGCTCTGCCCAGACCCAGCAGCAAGAGCAGGCACACCTGCCGCCGCGTCAGTGCTGCTCGCAGAAAGTGAGGCCTCCACCTCTGGCGCTCCTGCGCTGTGTGCGAGAATGCCTGTTGTCCCACCGGACTGATCATCTTGTTCTGGTCCGGACGCAACATTTGCAGGGCTGGGCTTGCCGCCGTCCAGCGCTGTGATCTCTTCTGTCGGTGCAAGCTCAGGCTGCGTGGCCGCTTCCCCCCAAAGCTCTTGACGCTCTTCGTGCGTCGCGTCTCGCGGCATGGGAATGGAGCCTTCCAAGTTTGTCGGTAGCACGCTACCGAGCCAGCCCAGGATTGTGCTTGCATCTGTGGTGCCGCCAGTAGGAGAGTGCTGTCCACCGTCGCCCGCATCAACCTCGATCTCCCCAACGTCCGCTGCCCGAGTTTGAACCGGCGCGAGGGGAGACGATGGCGCGGCAGAATTGGTTGGGGCGCCGGCGTGCGGTTCCGGCGTATCAGCAGCGCCTGCGGCTGTCGCTGCGGTTGCCGCGTGCGTCGCTAAGAAAGTACGACTCTCGGGAAGCGGTGGGCTTTCGACAGCTCCTGTATCCCCCTGGTGGTACAACGCTGCAGCGCTAAGGGCTGGGAATGTCAGAGCGGCTGTCTTGCCCGTCGCAAATGCGAGTGGACCAGCTGCAGCTGATGTATGTCCTGTATTCGCCGGGGCCTCAGTGTGGTCCGTATGAACAGCTGCTGCTTCGTTCTGCTCCTGAACACCCGAGTGGTCTCCAACTTGCTCAGAGACGGGAGACGGAGATTCCGGGGGGGGAGGGCAATGAGCATTTCCATCTTGCGCATCACCGGGTGAGGGAACAGTCGCACTCGCAGCGGTGTTCAGGGCATATCCCCCGCTTACGCCGGATGGCAGAAGCTGCTGCTGCTCGCCAACCGGGTGGCTCTCCTGTGCCGGAAACTGTGGGAGCCCAAGCGGCGGCGTCCCAGGGGCTGCTACCGACAGCGAAGGCGGTGTGCTCGGAAGGGCCGGCCCTGGAATGATCTGCTCTGCCTGTAGTGCTACTGACGGGCTCTGAGGTATTATCGGCTGTTGCAGCTGTTGCGCCGCTTCCCCAACGCCAGCAGTGCCTACGACTGCAGTGGGAGCTTCTTGTCGCTGTTCCGCCCCCGGCTGCTGGATTTGCTGCTCAGCCTGCTGCGCATTCTGCTGCTGTGACCCTTGTTGTGCCGGCTGCTCTGCCTGCTGTTGCTGTGCCTGCTGCTGCTGGCCGAGCTGCTCCTGCCCCGGCTGTTGTGCCTGTTGCAACGCCTGCTGCGCGGCTGTTCCAACACCTGCCGCGGTTACTGCGTCAGTGGCTGCACCGGCGGTTGTGTCCGCGGTTGCGCCGGGGGCTGACTCGGCGGTTGCGTCACCGGCTGCTGCGCTGTTTGCGGCACTCGTCGCGGCGGTGTTTGCGTCGACAACGGTTCCCAGGGGGGGAGGTTGCTGTTCCTGATCGCCCGAGTTTCCAACTTGCCCAGAGACTGGAGAAGGAGATTCCTGGAGGGGAGGGCGATGAACATTTTCATCTTGCACAACAGCGGGCGGCGTCCCAGGCGCTCCTCCCAAGGGCGAGTCCGGTGTACTCAGGCCGGCCACCGCTCGACTCTGTTCCGCTTGTTCTGGCGGCTGTTGCAGCTGTTCCGCCGTTTCTTCAGTGCGAACAGAACCATCTGCGAGTGGTGCAGCGGAAGCTTCATTCTCTCCCTGCGCCTGCATATCTTGTCGCTGCTGGTGCTGCGGCTCTTCCACACTCGGCTGCTGTTGTGCCGGCTGCTGCTCTTGCTGCTGCTGTAGTGCCTGCTGTGCCGGCTGTTCGTCCGGCTGTTGTTGCTGTGACTGCTGCTGCTGGGCCGGCTGTTCATCTTGTGCACTGACGTCCGCCTGCTGCTGCGCAGGCTGTTGTTGCCCGTTCTGCGGCTGCCCGTGCTGCTGTTGCTGCGGTTGTTGTGCAGGCTGTTGCGGCTGTTGTAGCGACTGCTGCGGTTGTTGTAGCGGCTGTTGCGCATTCTCCCCGTCATGCTGCTGCGCTGGCTCCTGTTGCAGTGGCTGTTGCGTTTGTTGCAGTGCCTCTTGCGGTTGTTGCAGTGGCTGTTGCGGCTGTAGTTGCGGCTGTAGTTGCGGCTGTACTTGTGGCTGTAATTGCGGCTGTTGCGTCGGCAGTTGTTGCGGCGTCGATGGTTGCGGCATCGGCGGTTGTGGCGTCGGTGGTTGCGGCATCGCCGGTTGTGCCGGCGGTGGTTGTGCCGTCGGCGTTGGTGACGTCGACGGTTGTGGCGTCGACGGTTGAGGCGTCGACGGTTGAGGCGTCGGTGGTTGTGCCGTCGACGGTTGAGGCGTCGGTGGTTGTGCCGTCGGTGGTTGTGCCGTCGGTGGTTGTGCCGTCGGTGGTTGTGCCGTCGGTGGTTGTGCCGTCGGTGGTTGTGCCGTCGGCGGTTGTGCCGTCGGCGGTTGTGCCGTCGGCGGTTGTGGCGTCGGCGTTTGTGGCGTCGACGGCTCCTGCTGCAGCTTTCCAACCAGGCTTGCTGCGGCTGCTTCCGGCAATCCCTGCGAAACCAGTGCTTTTTTCACCGCTTCCCACCGCGCGCGATCTCGCGTGCTCGTGTTCTGGGAAGGGTGCCCGCCACTGCTCCCATCGTTCAGCATGGCGACCAAGTCCTTTCCCTCCTCTTCCCACGACTTGCAGCAGTTCCGCACCAGAAAAGTGTATCGGTTCTTCGGATCCCCCTGTTCGGACGTGGAGAGGTCGTCCCCCTCCTTCGGGAGCAGCCGAAACGCAGCCCAATCGAAAATCTTCGTCTCACACGTTTTGGGGCCGAAGTGCGAATGCTTGCAGACCCGGCCGAGCGCGGTCTCAACGTCGTGGGCGGGAAGATTCGCCAGCGGCAAGTGTTTGCACTTCACGGGAACCCGCTGTTGCTGCGCTGGGTCCACTGGATCGTCTGCAAGAGCAGACAAACCGTCCATCATCTGCTGCTGGAGCTCGACAACAGAAGGCTCCTGCGTGGCCAGAAACCCGCTGCTGCCCTTATTCTGTCCCGGGTTGAACACCCCCTTCGCTCCGGCAGCAACTGTTGTTACGTTTTCATCATGCAAACGAATACATAGTCATAAATGTATCGCTCCAACAACGTCCTCGCCGTCGGCGAGGTGTTCATCAAACGACCTCCAAGGCAAAAACGAATACAAGTGCGACATCATCAACATCCTGAAAAAGTCAGGCTACACAATGCAATCGAGACACCATAAAAAACGCTTATAAGTACACAGAAAATATGTTGTACTAATCCACGTGAGGAAGCCCGCTCCGCAAACTGCAGCGACCATGATGAAAAACACCGGCGACAGCAGCACTGCCGCGACGCCTCCGCCCCCCGCGGCACCTGCACGCGCGCCGCTCGCCTGAAACGAGGGCTTTCTCGATACGAGGAGGGGTTGATCCTGCTCCGGGTTATTGTGCTGAAAGCCCTGGTTTTCTTCTTCGTCATACGAGTACGACCGGAGGTGCAAACGGGGCCGCCCAGAGTCGGCATTGGACGTTGGATGGTTCATCCCACCCACAGACGCCGGTGGATGTTGGTCATCTACACCTGCCATTGTACAGAGTGGCGATTTTCGCCTTCGAGATAGGAAAGCCGAGTTTTCGGCGTAGCAGAAAATCAAAATTTACAGTGTAATCATTCAAATAAAATGGGTCGTTTGATAGTGAGATAGAAGTTACAATCCGCCCCTCTAATCATCGGGAAAAATATTCGAAAAAGATAGATTCTACATGAAGATTCTGATTTCACAACTCACGGGAATTTCCACCAATGGATTTTTACGTTTTCTAGATGTGTTGGGGTTTTTCTTATTTCGTTTTTGATATACCGCTAGAGTCTGTCAAAGTAAAATGATCTTTGCGAAGCAAACAGCTGCCACGCTACCTACAATAAGTCAGTTGGATGAGAATTATGTTTTGTTGAGCAAACAGAATTAGTCCCACGACAGTGGAACGAATAAGTAGACTGCACGTGTGCGTATTAAGCAGGCAAGCGTATAAGTGTGTATATCGTCGAATATGGATTATCAAGACACATCCTCAAAACCGACAAAGTCTGATCGTGATTACCTTGTCGATCATGCAAAGCGTGATCACTGAGGAGCCAAGGCGCAGCACTATGCGTTTTCACGTACTTAACTGCTAGGATCTTTCTTTACGTCCTATTGATGTGCGATCTTCAAATAGACTTCGATGTAGGGGGCTGAGATCTGCTTCGGCAGTTGCATGGATGCAACTCACGCTAAGCGCGAAGATTATAAGTATGTCCGTCGGACCTATCATGCATCTTCACTTCTGCTTTGTAGATCATCTTGCTCATGTACTATTTTCATAGTCCCTCTACCTACTAGTGAAACCAAACCTGAAGATCATCATGTCGGAAATCGAGGTGTTCTCCAACATCATCTACTTAAACAACAACCGACAGCTACCAACGCGCGATCCCGGAAAAGTCAGCAGTGCGCACATGATATCGTTTGACGTTCTGCTTCAGCATCTTTCCCTTTGTGCGAGAACAAATTCCATCGGAGTGCAGTTTTGCATGCCTTTGTCAAAAGGCGGGCAACCACAGCTGCCAGAATTTTATCGTTCCTTCGTGTTTTCCTTCGTTCGGACCACTGGAATGGACAACAGAAACAGAATCCACCTTCTTCCGGCAAACTCGTGAAGCACAAATCCACGCCATCTTTCCCTTGCTGTTCCATTATGTGGGCAACTTCACTCCTCGGTCGCAGACCAGGCACAAAGTCACCTGGTTGGACCCGTCCGGCGGGATGAACTCCCCGGGCAGGATGCCCAAGTTCAGTGTGACGTTGACCAATTTCCGCGCGTTGCACTTCGGACAGGTCGTGCCCGTGGGTTCACAACTTTTCACCGCCCGCGGCAGCCAGACGACCTCCTTGCATTTGGGGAACTGGTCACACGACAGCCGCCAGTTGGTGTTATCCTTCACTTTCAGCACCATTTGCCCGTTCCGACACTTCCCGCACTTCGCCACCGCCTGCTGCGGCCGGCCGCCGGCCAGCTGGCAGGTCGCGTGCCGGCACTGGAAACAGCGCATGTTGGCGGGGGTCGGAAGGTTGTCGTTCGGAAAATCCGGCGGATTGTTGAAGCAGTAGGGGCAAAGCGTGTGCTGCGTGTTGGTCACATTGTTCTTGATCAAGACCGTGCCCGTGTTGCAGATGGGGCACGTGAAGTTCCGGTCGGTGATGGTCTTCTCGCTGGCCGGGGTTCTGGAGGGCAGCAGGAGCAGCGTGTTGCCGCCCGCGGTGCAGTTTTGCTGCAAATTGCACCGAAACATGTAGTTCTGCACCACCAGCTGTGGCGTGTTGCTGTTGGAGGCTGAATTTCCCTGTTTTCCCTTGCCTTTTTTCTTCATCGCGGTCTTCTTCTTTCCCTTGCCGCCCTTCGCATTACTAGTGCCAGCATTTGCTCCCGCAGCACCACCCCTCGAGGACCCCTCCGCCCCCTCCGCAATCGTGATGGCTGCATTCGAGCCGCCCTTGTTCCCGCGCGGCACGGTCATCTCTTCCTGCGCGAGGAGGTCCAGCCGGCCTTGGCCGCAGCGGCACGGCACAATCCCGGCCTGGATCAGGCGGACATTGGTGTTAGGATTGTTCGAAGTAGATGCATTCGGAGCGGCAGGCTGCCCATGTGGTCCTCCTCCACCTCCACCTCCCGGGCCGCCGAAATTCGTACCCGGACCCCCGCCCCCTCCGGGGAAAGACCCACCTCCCGGGCCTCCAGGAGGGGGGAAGTGGGCAGCTCCAGGCCCACCACCCGCTCCCGGAAAACCTCCGCCCGGACCCGGTCCACCTGGCGCACCTCCAGGTCCCCCCGCACCACCTGGACCTCCAGGACCCGGCCCGCCGCCCGCACCCGGAGGTCCACCAGCGGCGCCCGGCGGTCCGCCTGCTCCCATGTGGAAGTTGCCCATCACGTCTGCGAAGTACGTGCCCAATTTCCCGTCCAGCGTCCCCGGATTCTGGCTGATGTTCACGAACAGCTGCTGCATGTGCTGCAAGCAGTTCTGCAAAAACACGTTCTTTTGCTGCTGGTTCAGCGCGATCCGCGTCATCTCCGCCTCCATCGCCGCCCGCAAATCCGGCTTCGAGATGTCGTACCCCAGCAGAGCCGCGAACTCCTGATACCCCTCGACCAGGGCCAACCCGAGGGTGGTGGGCGCGAACCGGTTTTGGTTGTTCTTCACCGAGTAACTGCGGTCCTGAATGGTCTGGATGTGCGTGGCCATGGTGGCGTCCGTGCCAATGCCAAACCGATCCATCAACGCGATCAGCTCCGCTTCGGTGAGCAGTTCCGGCGGCTGCGTCGTCCCGCTGGTCATTTGCAGCTCATCCACCACGCACGGCGTCTGATTCGCGTGGTGAAACACGGGCTCCAACACTCGATTCACCACGCAAAGAGCCGCGGGTAACAACGTATCCGTTCGCCCCCAACGGTCGTAGGGGTAGACTTCCAAAAACCCCTTGTCCGTCACGCGCAACCCGTTCGCGGTGAACTCCTCCTCGTTTTCCGGGGGGTTGGTACTCGCTGTCACGGAGGTCTTCTCGCCCGTCGCGTCGGGGGAAAGGCAGGCTAAAAAGTGCCGGGTGATGAACTCGTAAATCTTCCACTTCCACCCATTGATCCCGTTTTCGTTCTCCTGCAAAGTCTTCACCGGGTGGATCGGCGGGTGGGCCTGGTCGTCCTTCGGCCCGTTGCGCGGGTTGGTGAACCGATTCAAATTATGCACCTGTCCGTTCACGAACAGCCGGTTCGCCACGTAGTGGCCCCAACTGTTGTGGTTTGCGTGGACAATCGCGAGCTGTTTCAAATCGATACTAGGGTGGAACTTCTCCGTCTCCGTCCTCGGATAGGAGATATAGCCCGCTTGGTACAGCTCCTCGGCCAGTTTCATAGTTTGCGCGGAGGGGATTCCGAAATACGTACTACATTTTTTCGTCAGTTCAATGGTGGCCAGCGGGATCGGGCGCCAATGCGTCACGTTGCGGATTTGCACGTCCGTGACAATCAGTCTGCGGCTGTTCGCGGACTCCAGTACGTCCTCAAAAAAGTTCAAAACCGCAACCCGATCGAACAAGCGGTTGCGGTGCCAGGTAAACTCAGTCAAGGACGGGTCTCGGTTTATTGGCTGATTGTTGTTGTTTGCGTTATTTGTCCCTCTATTTCCCCCGCCGCCGCGCCGGGTATTTCCTGTTCCTCCAAAGTTGTTTTCCGAACTTTTGTTCGCCTCGAAGTTCGTGATTTCGTCCTGCGACAGATTGTGCGTCTTCACGACCAGTTTGATTCCCCAGAACGGCTCGGGCAGGAAATTTCGGATCAGTTGGTACCGTTCCTATCCCACGAAAAAACTGTTTCACTGTGATGATTTTGCAATATCTGCATCACAAGTTTCTTACACATGACGCGGAAAACTTGCCATGCGCGCTTCCCAAGGGAAAACACGCTTCAAGATCCGATGTCTTGCAGGTGTAGCAAGACAAACACCTTGCTGCTTCGTTCTGTGCATCACAAGTTCACAGTGAAACAGTTTTTTCTTGCGATAGTTCCACGACGAACCCCAATGTCGGAAACTGACAGGGGCCGTACGACTATCCTGAGTAAAAACGTACCCACACCATAGTTGTCATGCAGATTTGCCATGACAGGAACATGTGTGATGCGCAACCCCATGAAAGGCATTTTCAATCGTGTTTGGGAACTTGTAATGCTGTAAACAGGATCAGCAGATCGATTTGTGATGCGGCTTTCCTTGCTAAATTGCACTACCTTACAGGCTGAAACTTGTCATGCGTGACTCCCAAAACTCCTAGGTTTGTGTTGCAAAATCCCCATCTTGACTCTGGTGTGGGTACGTTTTTAATCGGGCTAACGACAGTAACTGGTTCGCCAAGTCCGGGAACCTTCGCTGGTACCGGAGACACATAAAGCGCGTGAAAGCTGCGCCGATTCTGAGATCGATCTCCGTCCGCGCCTCTACGGCGTCCGCGAGGGCTTTGTTCGGGATTTGCAAATTTTGCACGGCGTTGGTCAAGTCTTGGAAGGTTAAAGCGGAAAAGACCGCCCGCTTTATGACCAGGTTGGGGTTTTTGTTTAGCGCAACCTCCAGCACTTCGTACCCGATCGCTTCCCCCTCCCGGTCACAATCCAGCCACAGAACGATCCAGTCGGACTCCCGGGCTAACTCCTCGATCATCCTCTTCAGGGGCAGCATGTCCCGGGGCACGAACCGGTTCACCGGTTGGTTCAGAAGCAATTCCACCGGAGGCGGCCCGTTCTGCCAGGATTTGCACGCCTCCGGGAAGTCGATCTGCATCAAATGTCCACGAACGGCGGAAACCTTCATCTTTACCTGCGTCCCCTGTATTTGATAATTGAACTCGTCCACGTTCACGCCGTTGAAGCCCTGGCCCCCGATTCGGCGCCGATTCACGTTTGCATTCCGCGCTAGGTGCTCGGTGATGCCCCGCTGCACGGAGGGTTTTTCCGCGATGTTCATGATTCGGCAATTCGGAAAGGGGGGCAGATTGGCGTTGTTGTTCTGCCCATTCTGGTTGAAGAACGCATTGTTCTGGTTGTTTGCTCTGCGCCGCGGCGGCATCTTCGCGATTTGCGCAGCGACTTTGTCGCTGGGGGAGGGACAGGGGGAAAATGAGGTGCAAGTTGATACACTGGTGTTGGTCTCCGAAGGCGAAGTTGTCTGACAATCCTCCACGTTGTCAGGAGGCAAAGGATTAGTTGATGCAGGGCCTAAATGGGCTGCTTCAGAGGAAAACAGAGCTCGGAGATGCAGTTCTGTCTCCTCTGAGCCGATTCTGGAGCCGCAGGACGGAGTTGTCGTATCGTGTTCGTGTGGCGCCTTTCGTGGGGTAGAAAGATCTTCCGCCGCCGCGTCCTCAAGTATTTTCGATGTGACGGTCCCATTTCCGCCTGCTGGTGTGCCACTGCTAAAATGTCGCTTCAACCGTCGCGGGTCATCATGATTTTCGCCTCTAGAAAGGCGTCGCTGTTGCTGCTTCACCAAATCAAGTCGCGAGCTTTGTGCGCGGCAGCTACCGAGCGTCAGATGTTCCGCATCCGCCCAGACATTTCGAAATATGCCATTGGGGCGATGCGCATCTACATATTCAGTAGAAATATCAAACGCAAGTGTGCGAAAAGTGCTGAGATGATGGCGTAAAGTTGTAAAATGCCTCGGCAGGCGCGATTGAAATTTGTCCTGTGGACGAAAAAAAGTCAACAAGGTAGTGGAAGAGTAGTGCGTTGGTGGAACAACGGAAACGTAAGGCTTGCTGGCCGTGGATAAACTTCTAGTCAGACGTCCTCCTGCACTCATCTAAGATCAAATTCGGAAATGGTTATCGTTGATGTACGTATAGTCCTGGTGTGCGGCTACTGTCTTTTCTGACAAGACCTCTGCACACACGGGACAACGATTCAATGCCAAATCTTTGAGTCTGATGTGACTTCAGCAAGCATTTCGTGGTTGTCCCTTCGCAGAGAGATGCGCCACGGTAAAAAATCGAGGACAGCCTCCTGGCCACGATTCAATTAAAATTCGCAAAAAGTAGCAATCGGAATGGCGATTTTTCGTTTGCAGACCACGATTGGAGAGCTACTACACATGAGTGACGCAGGCGCAGTTGAGAATTTCACGACGCATCAAACAATCCGACGAGACTATGATTTACAGATTTAATTTTCATCGCTGCAGCAAGACGCAGGTACACGCACGATAAGACAAAGACGCGGAGCTATAGGTTTTTCACCGGTTGATGCCTTCACGACACGGAAAAAACGACTACCAGACGATAATACACCTTTTCATCCGAACACGGTGGCAAGTATCACAAATGGCCTGTTGCATGGTTGTTGTCGCGAGCGTCGCGATCTAATGCGCTGTACGTGAAGTTTGCAATGACTTGATCCTGCAAGCATTATTCTAGCGTCAGTTTGGTCGTCCTTAAACGAACTTTTTACGGTGGCGAAAGCTACCTTTTACGCTTTGTTTTTCTTCCTTCTCTTGGCTTCCAGTTTTCCCATTCTGGCTTCCTTATCGGCGTTATTCCCCGTCGGTATGCGCTTTTTCACCGAGATCTTTTGTCCGAACTGCAACAAAGCGTTTTCCCCCTCTGCCAGCGTCTGTGCCTCCTCCTCGTCGATGGTGGTAACCTGCCCGCCAATGTTGGCGTCAATGTCGACTTTCTTCACTTCAGCGCTGCTGCCGGAAGCGTTTTTCCTCTTCTCCTCCATCTGTATTAAGAGGAAAAACGTACCCACACCAGAGTTGTAATGCTGATTTGCAAAGACAGGAAGACTTGTAATGCGCATCTCCATGAGCGGAATTTCTAGTCGTGATTTGGCATTTGTAATGCTGTAACCAGGATAAGCAGATGGATTTGTGATGCGTTAGCCCTTGCTAACCTGCACTACAGTACGGGCTTGAACTTGTGATGCATGAGTCCCAAAACTCCTAGGTTTGTGTTGCAAAATCCCCATCCTGACTCTGGTGTGGGTACGTTTTTACTCAGGATAATCTGTCGTTTGACCTCATCAGACAGCATCGGCTCGAGCGCCTCCGACCACACACGGATTAGGATATGAACTGCAAAAATGTCTGGGTCTGGGAGATTGCGAGATTTGTCATGCTTGTCTGGCATGACTCTGAACTCTGTGTTGCATGGCCGCGAAGAGCTCCTCCTCGGTGTCATGCAAAAACGCAGTTTCTCATGCGGAGTACGCAACTCAGAACCATGGAAAAAACTTGTCATGCTTGGCAGCGCATTATAGTGAGTTCACTACTCCCTTTCCTGCATCACAAGTTTCCAGACCCAGACATTTTTACATTTGATATAGGAGCTTCGTAAACAACGCGTGGGTTTGCGACACAGGAAGCTGTAACTCCTTCGACACCTGCTCGAACGTCTTCTGCTGGCAGCCGACGGCGAGAAGGATGGCGGCGTGCACCGCGGAGAGTTGTAAGTTGCAGGGCGCACCTTTATTTGTCGCTGGTGCGCCACTGTTGACAGCGGCATTGCTGCTACTCGGTGCGACAAATTTCCCGTCGAAATACAGACTCGCCAGCACCGGGAGCAAATCCTGAATCAGCGCCACCTCGGCCCGCTTGTTCGCGAAGAGCTCGATGCGGTGCAGGTCGTGTCTCGTGACTTGCTGCAAAACGCAGTTCAGCAATTGCTCAGAGTGGGAAACACGATTTTCATCTGCATCCGTCAGAATTCCAGGTGCTACCGAGCTCGAGCTCGGCTGCCCGGCGACGGAAAGTGCGAGATTCAGTGGCAGTTTTTGGAACTGTTGCGTTTTCAGCAGTCGCAGGAACCTACACCGGAAATCTTTGTGGAACTCGGCCAGCCAAGTCGCGGTCGTCGCTGAATGTCGCTTGTTGGAACTTGTAGAAGCTTTACCACCACTTCCCGTGGCCACCATGGACGATGAGCCCATTCTTCTCAACAGAATTCCGCTGTGTTCACCAGTCACGTCGTTCGCCGTCTGCCGGATGTAGATCGGGTCAAACTTCAGCTTGTTGTGCCAAAATTCGAACAGCGGCAGAGTAACGCCAAAGCTGGTTCCGAGCCAGTCGAGCTCGAATACGGGTTTCGTGTCTTGGACGGACGAAAGCAAGGCCGGAATCTCCTCTTTTACGGTCAAAGCTTGGGAGTCGGCGGCCGTGGAACTTTTACTATTTCCCTTTCCTGTTTTTGACTCCTTTTCCTCCTCATCTCCGTACCCTCCCGCCGGCACCATTTCCAGATTGCACCACTTGATGAACTGGGAAACCGCCTCTTGACCGTAGCCCTGCCGCATCATCTGCGGGTGCGTCGCGATGCGGACAATCCTGGCGCCCTTCAGAGAACCGAAATTAGCGTCGGAAAACTGCTGCGAGATCGTCCAGGAGATCATGTCCCCGCTTGGACGAAGGCCGCGGGCGAGCGAGTTCGCCACCGCCTCCTTGTTCAGCGCCCCCTCGGTCGCGACGTGCATCGCGACCAGGATCTCTGGAATCGTATCGGACTCACCGGAGTCGTTCTGTATTGTAGACAAGCACTTTCGTAGAATTTGAAAGTATTCGAGGCATAGAATGAGCAAATATGCTACTCTAGCTAGAAACGCCGCGGTGGTACAACCTCTAATGGATGCATAAAAACCAAGTCACCAATAGTAAACACAGCGAAGTTATTTTCTATACCGTTGAATCCTCCCCGTCGGACTGGTCCGAATCTTCCCGACTCGGCGCCAGCAAGACGAATAGGTAATGCCCCGGCGCGTCGGACAACAAGATCAGATCGTTTGGACTGTTCTTGTAGTGGCTCGCGACAAACAAACCCGTTAACTTCTTTAAGAACTTCTCCGAGGCCCCGTGGTAGCTGAACAACGCCGTTCGGTCGACTAGGAACAGCTCGCACTGGTCCGGCATGGGGCACCCTACCTTCTTCATTTTTTCCAGTGCTTTTTTGCTGGAAACCGATTCCGACGCGTCCAGGAGGCACAACTCGTTCAGCCACGCCTCCACCGCGTCGTTCAGGCAGTATCGAATCGGCTCTTTCAATTCGATCTCCGCAGAGAGTTTCTTCTGGTGTTTCAGATCCTGTAACAGTTTCAAGGACAAAGACCGACCGGTCCCCTCGTACCCGTTCACGGTGGAGGACATTAACGTCAGGTATGGCCCGAGCATCTGCTTGATGATGGGGAGCGGAATGGCCGCCGCCTCGTCGATGATCAGCATCTCGGCCTGGGAGAGCGCGGTCCCGTGCTGCGAAACGATCTCCGGCGGGATGTACTGGATCGTTTGGCGGTGGTTTTTGAACACGTTGACCCGGACGATGTTGCCGCGTTTGCTGTCCCCGTGTTTCAAATTCAGATTCTGGTTGGTGTTTGATTTCTCCAGATCCGCGCGGTTTTTCAGGGACGATTGGTCTAAGTTTTGGTTTGCACTGTTAGTAGTGTTGTTCAATGCGACCAGCACGTCGTAGTCCTTGTGTTCCGTGTATCCGAGTGCGTCGAAACCCTTCAGGAGAAACTCGAAGACCGTTGTCAAATTCTCTGGACTCGGCGCGGACACGAAAATGTTGCTGTAGCCGTAGGCAAGAGCCGCAGCCAGCGCCAACCCTAAGGAAGCAGACTTACCTCGCCCACGACCGGCAGTGAGGGAAACGGTCTGGGACAGGGTTTTCTCGGAAATGACGTCGACAAACTGCATGAGAGCTTGCGCCTGGTCCAGGGTTTTGGCGAGGTTCAGGAGGGAACCGAGCGGCTCGGCGTCTTTCAGGTCCTCTTTCAATGCGAGGAGCTCCTGCTCACGTTTGGACTGCAACTGTTGCACCTCCAGCGAGCCAGATTGCTTCGTGGGGGCTGCTGCGAGACCTGGGTGTGGTTTTGATCATTTTGTTGCATGTTGACGTGGATGAAGTTCGTTTTTTTCAAGGTAGAAAGTGATGAAATACCAACAGAAAGTTACGATGCAAAAGCGAATGCAAAAAATGCAAATGCATGAAAAAACGCATTAATTTCCAGTATTATACCTTCCACGCCCTCGATTGCGTTGTTCTCCATTCCCATGAACGCGCGGTTTTTGCAGATCGGCAGCAAATTCATCTCGTCGTCCAGTACCAAGCAAGTGTCGCACCGGACTAAAGACAGCAAGAATCGCTCGTTCCAACGGGGTTCAAAGTCCGTCTGCTTCTGCTCCTTGAGCTCAGAGGAGAACTTTTTGTGAATATCCATAGAACAGTTGTAGAGCTGTCGGAGCGAAGACATGTTGTTCAGCAACAGAATGACCGCGCCGCCGCCGGAGACGGTTTCGACGGTGCGACAGAGGATATTCGGCGTCAATGCCTCGAAGTCCTGCAGAATCAGCATCTGGTGCGTCTTACCCAGAACCTGTGAGAAGATGGTTGTATCGTGGTAGGAGTTTTGTGGTTTTTGCTTCGGAAAATGCAAAAGAGCATACAGATGAGATGGCAAAAAAGTTGGTCGATGTCTGAAAAGACGATACAAACTACCAAGAGGCCCTATGAAATTTCGAAGAGCTTTGGGACATCCGCTTTTCAGTTTTTTTCTGCGATTTGCATGTCGTGGTACTCGATCAGATGGAACGCAAATTGGTGCTACGAACCAGATCTGAGTACGCAAATCGGGGTTGTCTTGTCCAACCACGCATGACAACCTCAATGTTACTCTTTGCAATTATGTATCAGATCCAGATGAAGATGAAACCTCGGTCAACAAGTACAACTTAGGTACCTGTTCACTGTCCTTGTAGTAGCAGTAACGGATATCGTGTGCGGAGGTGAACAGCTCAAACGGATCCTCGATATTCGCGTCATAATCCCCCCTCGCGACTTTTTTCTTCAGCTCCTTTGCCCTCGTTTTTCTGTTACTTGAGAACCCAAGTTCCTTCTTGTAGCACCACAAAATTTGCTGTTGCTTCTTCGTGGATAGTTTGTTCAGCATGAACTGCAAATTTACGATCTGGTCGCGGCCCCGGTCGCCGAGGATCACGAAAAAAGACCTCTCATTGTTCTTTACACAGTGCTCCAGCAGCTGTCGGACCCGAGCGTCCACCTTCTTCTTACTGCTGGAAGAGCTGGACGTCGTCATTGTGGAGGAAAAGGGTGGGTGCTTTCTCCTGAAAACAACAGGGTGCTGCTTTATGCTGTTGCAATGGACTGTCTAGTATGTGAAGATGAAGATTATCACTACGTAAATAAATTGCCGCCTGCTCAATAACTTCTGAATCTAGGAGAAGTAAAATGTAAGTACGTATGAGGTTGACGTTGAGGTCCTGCGATTTTTTAGCGAAACAAAAAGTCGACGGGTGATCACGAATTTCCGCACGATGCTGAGCTCGTCCAGTCCAGATCCAGATCCTTTTGTGCAAAGTAATTTCTTCCTTCCGATCTTAGCAGATGCGGCCATTATCTTCGATCGAGGTTCTCGTGCATTTGATCCCACATTCATCGTCGAGATCTGTTTTCAAAACTTTTAAAACATCGATCGTCAACAAAATCGTTCTTGCACTGTGATATTACTACTGGATAACTTTTCATTTCTTCCATTTTCTCACGACACTGGATGCAGATCCTGGACATTACCGATCGCAACTTTGACCTGGAAACCGAGATGCTGTTCCTGTGCAAGACAAATTCATGATGCACAGGCACGGCCAAAATCAGCAGTGCCCACGGTGCAAAGGAAAAGGTAAAGGTTGGTAATTGCTTGAAGTCCAAATAACAAGTCAAACCGGCGTATTGTACTTTCATCCATTGTGGCTCCAAATTCGGTATTTTCTCGAATATTTTCTTAGTCTGCTCAGAGGTACGTTTTGATGCAACACCTGTAGCTCCAACGTGTGAATAACACGAAGAGTCAGGGAGAAGAGAAGTAGAAAAAGGAAAGTTCTAAGTCCATTTGAATCAATTTGAAGGCAAGCATGCACTTCTACTACGGTCCTGAGTCAGGAACGCGGCGCCCCCTTGAAACGTAAGAGGAAACAAAAAGCTCAACTATATCAACATTTATTTCGTCAAGGGATCTTCCGTAAAAGCATTTCAAGACACTGAGAGCGAGGCTTAAGCTGGTTCATTAAGTTAAATTTTGTCTATACGCTGGTCCTAGGAGCCTTTCTAGGTCTAGCTGCAAGGGTTCATTTTGACATGATTTTGTTTCGGTATTCATACGTTATTTCATACAGAGTAAGAACTTAAAAATCGCGTACTGACACAATACATCACTTTACGCCAAGATCGGCACGTCTGCATTCCCTCCGATAATCTGCGGTGGCTCCAACGGTGAGGTTTCTGACGCTGAACTGGCGGACTTCAGCAGTGGATCGACATTGGTGCTCAGCGACGAGTCCGACGGGGAGTCCTTTTTCAGCACTTTTTCTGTCGGTTGCGCGGAAATCCGTCCGAAGGCCACCGGGTCGAGTTTCGCCGTGTCTTTGAAAATCGCTAGGCCCTGCATCGTTTGCAAATGCCGCCCGTCAAGGAAGAGCTCGGTGGAAACGAACTCTTTCATTTCGATCGCACCCGAGAGATCCGGGTCTAGCGCCTGCCAAATCTCCTGCAATTTATCCTCGGAAACCGGCTCGCCGAGGGCCTGGAGAGGGGTTTGGTTGATTTCACACGAAATATGTTTGCTGTGACGCACAAATCGAACAAGAGAAATGAAACGTAAAGAAAAATAAAAATTGCGCGGTTCAAACTACTGCATGACAAACAGCCAATCCCTTTTTGATACCGTTGGCAAGTATTGCTTGAACTCTCCAAAATCGATGACCCCGTCGCCATCAATGTCGAAGTGGCGAAACGCGTTTAGGATACTGCCGTGCTTCTTGTAGATTTTCGCCCGAATTTGGTCGATGTTCATCTCCTCCACTGGCAGAGACATCTGCGCGCCGTCGCGGGAAATGCCCTGGATCGAAGATGGCGCGGAGGTCGTCTGCTTGCTCGATGACCGGGAGCTACTGGAACTGGTTCCCTGTGCCGACGTTTGTTCCTCTTGACTTTCACCCCCTTCCACGCCCCACACGAGCGGCTCGCCGTCCTCCTTCCGGATGCTGGCCCGCTTGGCGACCCGGGTGGCAGCATCGCTGCCGTGCAGCTGCTGGATCAGGGCCTGCTGACCTTCCTTCTTGAAGTCGGCGTGGCGGTGTAACGAATGGCTGGCTTTGTAGCTCGCAAACTTCCGGGCAAATTCCTGGTACTGCAGATTACCTCCACCATCGTCGTCCGCGATACCTGGGATGAGAATGAGATGAATTGCTACATGAATTCGTGACAGAACTTCGAATCACAACATCGTGAATAGCACAACGTACAAATTTAAATTTTTGAAGTTGCAATAAAATAATTAGTTCTACTCCAGAGCTGCTCGACTTGGTTCTTGGGCAAATCGATTCCCGCGGACTTGAGCCCTTTCGAAAACTCCGCCTTGGAAATGCAGCCGTCGCCGTTTTTGTCGAACGCGCGGAAGGCGCCAATGACGGTGGAAAACTTCTTTTTGATCATGTTTCTCAGCTCGTCATCCGTCATCTTCGCGGAATGCCTGTTGTAGTGCGTGATAATGTCCAAAAGCAAAATTCATTATATTGATTTCTAAGCCTGAACGTAATGGCTCGACCAAAAATCCTGATACCTCGTCGACTCCACCGAAGTCTTCGCACTGTCGTCCAGGAACGCCAAGGGTTCCCAGCCCCCGAGCTTGGTCTCCACGGTTTCGATCACCTTTTTCGTGAGCGCCTCGACGTGCGGCCACTTCCGTAAAGTGAGCTTGGAAAACACGGGGATGCGTTTTGTACCCTTGACGACGGAGACCTCGAAGGACCCGACCCGGGGGTAGCAGAACGTGACATCCTGGTACCACTTCTGCGTCTTGTCGTTCTTAATCATCGAGTGCCACAGCTTGCTGTTGTACGGCGATCTTCGGCAGTGCATACCGTACGCCTGAGGTTTGATTTGTTCTTCGAAGATCTCTTCGTGCGACATTGGGAACTTAGTTCATTGAAAATCAATGTGATTTGTGAACTTCTTCGGCCAGAAACATCAGCAAAAAACATCTCAATGCTTACCTTAGGTCCCGGATTGCAGAGGTACACGTAATCTTTCCCGGCGCAGGCGTTTGTAAGACACTCCACAAAGCTCTGTTCATAGCGGTCGTACTTCTCCTCACTGTGCCGTGTGTGCCATTGCGAGTCTGAGCACTCAGTGGACCGTTCCAACTCGATCTGCACGCGCAGCTCCTGGGACGCTGTGGCCTCAAAGGACCCGGCGGCAGCCATTTTTGCGATTTGAAGGCTTTTGCTGCGACAATGAGCTTGGTATCGCGTCAAGCAAGGATAGCGGAAAGCTATTCCGCTAAGTTGGATTTTGAGAGATAGCAGCAGAAACGAGTTGGAAGTAATTCAGTACAGTCAACATTTTTTTCACCGCTAAAACTTCTTCATGCGCTCTAGTGCGAAGATATTCTCTCAGAACGAAACTTTTCGCAAATTTGCACTCCTCGGTCGACCACCACCACGCATCAGTATCTATTTGCAAAATAGAAAACTCACACACACGACCAGCTCTGGGCGGACGCGGGGGGCGCTGCGCTACAGATGGCCAGCTTCAAAACCTGCCAAAAGTGGATAAATCTTCGAAATGTTGCCTCTCTTCTAAACAAAAGAACCATATTCCTGTGCGCAGTCTCGCAAGCGAGATGTTGTCCGTTATCTGCTTAAGTTGTTTACTGCGCTGTAGTAACGTCGAGTGACCAGTGACATAGCTAAAACTGAGAGCAAGAGCAAGTCGTAGTATGTTGAAAACAGGTACCCCTTATTTCAATAAAAACCCACTCCCTACCCCAGCCCCTCGTCCGCACTGAGCAGACCCATGGCCCGCAGCTTTTCCTCCAAAAATTCCTCCTTGGAGGACTGCGAGATCGCCACTTTCCCGGTGGGCACCGCCTCCTGCGCCGCCGACTGGGCCAGCAACCCCCGCACCCGCGCGATCTCGTCCTCAATGTCTTCGATGTGGTCCACTTTCTGGCTCGCGCGCTTCCTCGGTTTCGACGGGCTGGTGTTCGGCGAGGAAGCGGTGGCGGAAGAGCCGGATGGGGCAGCCCCGTACGCCGAATCTTTCTCGTAATTGCTGCCGTGGTGTTGGGACATGTGATCGCCGTGCAGATCTACTTCCCGTCGGGAGCTCGGGTAGCGGTCGGAAGAGGTGGCAAAAACATCCTGGTCGACGTCGAAGTCTTCCTCCACGGGCGGCATGCGCATCGTCACATCGCGCGAATCTTCTTCCAGAAGATGGTGCTGTTGTTGATCACCTAGTGAAGACCCAAGACCCGCTCTGGGTAACGGCGCACCAGAAATAGAACCACTTCTCTTACTGGTGAACAACTCGTCTTCGCTCTCGTTCCACGAGGCCGTCCTGGAGCGCCGCCGGGCGAAGAGCTGCGATATCGGAACAGACGAGATGTCTTCTTCGAACGAATCCTTCCGCGGTCTGGACTTGCTACCGATCCTGGTAGTGCTGCTGCTGCTGCTGCTCAATACATCTGTGTTGCTGTAACTCTCGTCGGCGGCACCGTCATCGTCGTCAAACTGTGGAAGCCTTGCTGCAAATTTGTCGATGTCTCGGAGTTGCGCTACCTGCTGCAGCAACTCGTCGGCCCGACCGGCGAAGTTGTCTGTTTTAGGTTGCAGCATTGATATGCTTGACGGTGATATTCAATTTTTCAAATGTCCTATCAGAGCATCACCAAGTTTCAAACACAGTAGCACCACACAGCATGGTGTCGCAACTTCTACTACATCAAGTAGAAAATAAATCATCAATACCATCTGCAAACGCCGACGACTTCCCCCCTCCCTCCGTAATCGCCTTCATGGCCCCAGAAGTTTCGCCTCCTACCACCCCGAGTTCGTTTGCACCACTGTGACTTCCCTCGCTTGCGATTGACAGCTGTTGCAGTCTCGCGTCGATGTCGGCAAGCGCTGCAAGATCCTCCTTGGCATAAAGCTGCGCCGGCTCCTTGCGGCGGATGGGCGAGACGCTCCCGTCTGCTTCTTCTGGTGCGGTCGAGTCTGGTGCTTCACTTGCTCTGGCGTCTTCTCCGTTTGTCACCATTGGCTTGCCTTGCAGAACGCTTTCCAGCAAGTCCTCCTGGTCAGCGGTGTAAAGTGCAAGCTGGTTACTTTCTGCATTCGATGTTGCGCTTCGACCACTTCCCTTTCCGCCTTTATTGGACGGCTTTTGCGCCGCATTCGTTGACCCGCTCGAAGATCTATCCCGTTGGCCCTTACCTTTGTTTCCATCCTTGTTCATCTGCTTACCTGCTGCCACTTTGCTAAACGCGGTTGCCTGCGGCTGCTTCTGCTGTGACTGCGCGCTCGCCGCCGCATTCCGTCTCTGTGCGCCGTGTGCAGACGAACGGTTACTGGACGACGCGGTGGCGCTCGCCGATGCGCTCGAGGCGCTGTCCTTGGACGGTTGCCGCGTGCTGATGGAGCTACTGCTGGGCAACCCGGTCGACGGAGCGGAAGAGGCAGACGCGCTGGACCGGTTCAGGTAGTCCTCGTCGTGGTCAACATTCGCATGATCTTCTTCTTTTTTCTTCACCAAGTTTCCCGATCGGACGAGCTGCACTTGATGTTTCAACGCATTTTTCTCCTGCTCGCCCCCGCCTCGATCTCCAATGACCGGCGGAGTCTCGAACCCGTCCGCATGTTGTTCCAAACTGACCGAGGACATTATGCTCACGCTCATCTGGCTATAATTACCGCTGTTGTTGTACGCCGGGATCAGACTAGATGTGCTGTTCCACCGGTCCCAGTTCACATTGGTCCCTTGCTCGAGCGGGAAGTCGATCTCTGAGGTGTTGCTGTTTTGCTCCGATTGGGCCGAGGAGCTTGACATCCAGTCGTTTCTCTTCGCTAGGGAGGTACTACTATGCGACCCTGCGGTAGAGGACTTCAACGCCTTCTGCTGTCCAGCCGTGTTTGCAGTTCCGAGATCCGCGTGGTCGGCAGCAAGAAGACCTTTTTCAACCAAAGCGTGCAGCTGCTCCTTGCGAGCCTGCGACGCGTTCTTCTCCACCGAACGGTCCTCCCTGTGAGGATGCGTGTGATCGAACAAAAAATTGCGGAGAAATTGGAATTATCCCGCGTTTCAAAAGCAACGCATGAGGTGGGTCACAACTACATGGACAATTGATGCAAGCAAGAGAGCGCTATGTAATCTTGAGAACAACACTTCTTGTTACCACTGCTTCCTAGTCGCTTCCAATTCGGACTTCACCTTCTGTTCCTTCTGTTCCATGTTTTTCAGAATGTCGTCTAGCCGCGCGATTTGGTTCAAGCCTTCCTCGATCAGAATGCACTCTTCCGGCGTGTAATTCCCCGAGACGAAAGTGATCCTTGGGCGAGGCTTCGATTTCCCAGACTTTGACGGGGACTGTCCAGCTTGGGAGACGAGCTGCAAGTTGTTTGATTGCATCCCTCAAACTGCACGGAATGGTGAACTTCCTCTGGTGCTTGTCGCCTAGAATCCAAATGCAAAGTCGTGATGAAAAAAGAACTCAATAGATACCTGTCCATCCTTCCCATCCCATTCTTCGTCCTCTTCTTCCAGACAGCGGGTGAGAAACGTGGGTAAGACGCTCTCCTTGCCGTGTCCTGAATCCGCAGCAACGTCTGCAACATCCTCAAAGGCGGACGGTAGGGTATGCCTGAAACGGGATTTTTCATTCTTGTATTGCTGCACAGCTGCAGTGGGACTGGGAGTGCTTCTCATGATATCATCTCATGCAATATTTGCATTTTCCTAGATGGCAAGACGACCATCAAAAACAAAAACCCCCAAGTATACTGCTGCATCAGGTCGTGCATGTAGTTCTGCAGTTCCGCGATCCGGTCCCGCTGGGATTTTTCATGCTTATGCAGCAAGCTCGACACCAGCTCCATGCTCGATTGCGCCTCGGGCAAGGTGGCTTCGTACGGACCATCTGGATCCTCGGGATTACTAGTCCACTGCAGTTGCAACGACATTCTCTCCAGCTCGCGGTCGTCAATCCTGTTGCGCATGATTTTAAGTAGCATCGTGTCACAGAGCACATGCCCCCATAAAATCAAAAGCGACCTTCGAACTCGATGCAAAAAGTTGGACAGAATCTCAAAAAAAAATTGTTGATCTTTTCGTCTTACTCATCTTTGCCCTCGCCGTTCCACAGAGCCAGTGCCAGGCTCCCCTTGTCCTCTTCTCCCCCACCTCCCGGGTCGTATTTTCCGCTCAGCAGTCCCTCGATCAGCGCGTTGGCTGCTTGAGTGCTCGTCGGGGATGGCAGTTTTGCCGTACCACCAGCTACCTTGTCCGATTGCATTGCATTTTTAGCTGCGTTTTGCGGAGCCGTGATCTTCCCTTTGCTTTTCATTCCGTCGGGTTGCAAGCGACCGCTGGCGTTGGACCCTCCAGGCGTAGCCCCTGCCAACATCGAGACATTTTTATTCGAGGGCGGCCTTGAGGAAGTAGAGTTCGTGGTGCTTCCTTTCCTATTTCCGCTGGTTCTACCCCCGGATGCAATATCAGGCGGGGTTTTTTGTGCTCCTCGGGTGCTCGTACCTTTTCCTCCGGACGGGGTGTATTTCATCGCGGCGGCGGCACCATTCCCCGCCCCTTTGATGCCCTGTTTTGCCGTGCTCGAGGACGACGGACTTGTCCCAGTTTTCAGGGGTATAATCGGGTTGTGTTGCGAGGTAGAAGCAGTACTCTGCTTCGATATTCCACTGCTCGCATTGAAACTGCCGCTCACAACTCCGTTTTTTCCACTTGCGGCGGGCGAAGACAGCTTGACAATCTTCGTCGGCTTGTTTCGATTGCCGTTAGAACCAGTCGAATCCGGGCGGCCGGACAGAGGCAATGAGTCCTTGAGCGGCACCGGAACTTCGCCCTCCGCAAGCACCTGCATGCGCGGTGCCGAGGTGGGCCGACGACTGATGATCCCGGGGAACATGTTTTTCTTCCTTTGCGCTTTTGTGTTGAAATTGAAAAAATCTCAGGCTCAGAATACCAAATGCGCTTTTTGGCTCGCTCAGTGCTCTACCACGTTCGCACGTGGAGCCATTTTTTCGAAAATAAACGAAAAACGATCAATGCGCCGTGGTACTTTCAAAAGCTCAAGGGGCAGCCACGGTGTCCTCAGGGTAACCTCTCACAAAAAAAGCTCTCACGCTCACCAGCTTGCGACCGCTCTCGACACAGGGTCTCAGCCTCGCAATTTGCAACGCACGATGCAACTCAGACCAGACACTTTGCCTCTTCAAACGCGGCTCGAGAGTGCCTTCGCGAAAGGCGGCTCAATTACTTACGCGACTTGGGGGCCTAATCAGCAACGAGAAAAAGAACCAGCGCAAACTTCGAGTTGATTCGATACTGCAGTTCTTCCAGCGGCAGAAACTAGAAGTGGCACCTTTGCCTTGGTAATGGACAACTTCTTTTTCGTGTATGGCATTACGTGTGACATCCAAATCTTCGCGTTCTATGAGTTTCGTACGTAAAAAACGTCGTATCCATGTCAAAAAGCCGCTGCTTCATTGTGATTGTCTCCATGTCGTGCTTCTTTGCATTTTCTAAACGACGAAACGATGTTATTGTATCCGATCATCAAGATGCTTTCCTATTTTGTCTTCCAAAATCCTTTTCTCGATGTCGGTGCGATTTATGTACACAAAATGTATCAGATGGGTATGTGATTCATCAGAATTACCTGTGTTCTCGAAACGGTGTAAAGACAGCCTTAGAAACGACAAACGAATCAGCAACAAGGCTGGCGAAACTAGAAATTTTTTGACTTTGGTGCTTTAATATTGAGTTTCTGCTTTTCAGATTCTGACCAATGAAAAAATGTAAAGATCCTTACGGTTAGAGATATTCCCAAAAATTCGGCAGCCCTCTTATACTAGTAGGCCGCTGCAGCTGCTGTCGATACCGTTCTTGCATCGTTCGAATAGTATTTCTGCTCGCAGTCGTACAGCTGCCGGATTAGCGGCAGGTACTCCTGAACGGTGTTGACGAAGTTGAAGGTAAATTCCCCATCACGCTTCTCCGCAAGCGTTGCAAAGACCTGCTTTAACTTTACCACTCCGACCTGGTTCTCCAGGTACGCCTTAACGCACTCCAAGCGGTACGCCACCGTATCCACGGACTTCAAATGCTTCAACACGTGCAGGGTGCGGTTCGCATCAGTAAGCGACTTAAATTTCAGGTTCAAAAAGTGGTCCGTTTCTCCTCCTGGCTCTTGTTCGGCTTGAAAATCGCAGGAAGAAGAGGAAGGTTCGACTGTATTTACAACAATCGGGGCTGTGTGTTCCTGTTTTCTCCCTCCTGCAGCGCCAGCAGCTCCGTCTGTTTCTCGTTTGGAACCCGCCGTAGCAGCTTGGATGTTTTTCATTCGATTCTTGATCTCATCACTGGACAACCCGCCGAACAAGCCCTTCGAGCTCCACAGCAAGGAGGACACGTCGCCCGGGCTCTTCACCAAGGCTAGCGGCTTTTTCTCCGCGAGCATTTCGTTCTCGAAAGAGTTGAGGAGGTTGACGGTCTGGGCGTAGAACCGCTCCGCGCCGGTGTGGTTGTTCAAGTTCACCTCCAATGCCGTGAAATACTCCGTGTTGTTGTTTTCTTGTGCGTCGAAAAAGTTGTGGACGACAGGTTGCTGCTTTTCGTTCATCAATTTCGTGGGAGATTTCATGTCCGCGGCATCGTGTTCCTCGATGAAGAGCGAGTTCGATTTCACGTTTGGATGGATCTGCGCAGAAACAAGTGGTTGTTTGATGTGACTGCCTTCGCCAAGCAGCTTGTCCTGCTTCTCTGCGTTTGACTTTTGGTGACTCGAAACTTTTCCTGGGCTACTTTCTGGTCGTACAAACTCTGCTTTTCCCTTGTGATCTGCAGCTACTCGCCTCTCACGTGTTGCTTCGGTAGAAACACCGCTAGCAAGCGCTTTCAGTTCGCTCTTCGCAAACGACTTGGTTGAGTTTGGAGAGTGGTGCTGGTACAGAAAAGAGCGGTAATTCTTTTTTGCCTTCAAACCAACCTGACCAGAGGCAGCGGCGTCGGAAGTAGCCAGGTTGTTCGCGTCTTTCCTACTGGTCTTCGACGTGCAACTCACTTGTACAGCTGGCGTCGGAGCAATTTTTTGGTTACTGTTGTTATCTCTCTCCACAATTTCAGTTCCTGCCGACGACCGCACCTCCGCGAAGATAGCGCTTGCGGTCTCGGACAATTTTTCAGAGCTGCGTTCTGCTTGTCCTTCTTTGCCCGTCTCCGTCTCACGACGCATCAGCAGCTTCATTTTGGCGCTTTTCACGTCGAAGTCGAGTACTCGTTCCGCTTCTTCGGTCGTTTTGCTCTTGCCGTCGCGAGCCCAGAGGTTTTTGTTTTCTTTATCGACCTCTTGAGACGTTTTCATGTCAGCCAAGACATTTACTCTAGCTTTGGTTTTAGAAATTTTTTCCGGCGACGCACCGTACTGCTTCGACAACTCGTCAACTTTGGCCAGTAACCGCGATACCCGCGCCGCGGACTCGTCCGCGCGGGTGGGCGGTCGATGAGCTGATTTTTCCGATGAGATTTTCATGCTCAGATGTCATTCTACATCACTCTGCACGTACTTAGGAATCTTCACAAACACCCGTCATTAAGAAAAAAACAGCTAGTACTTACCCTCTCCGCGTGAAGACGCCAATTCCTGCTTTTTTTCTACGCAGCCGTGAAGAGCGTTTCTTTCCGTTTCTCGCCCTCCTGCACCCGCAACATACTGGTCCCGCAAATCGAACACTGAATACTTTTTCGCCGGTTTCAAAGTTTCCGCATCGTCCTCGTAGAAATTCTTGTTTACGTCAGACTTACTTGATGTCTTATTTTCAACGTTTGATGCAGTTGGTCTTGCTTTCTCGCCGACTGCCTTCCTCGCATCTACTTGTTCTTTAAACGCATGCAGCTCCTGCTTCCGCTGCAAGTACTCGTTTCTGGCCTTGTCGAGGGGGGAAGTCGTTGTATGATCCTTGTCATTGTACACGTTCTGCGCGAAGGCGTCTTGGAAAACACGGTCACTCACATGGTTCCTGTTTAATACGTGGCTCTCCTTGCTGGCATGTAATTCTCTCTTGCGAGCATCCTTTTCCGCATCTACAGCTCTGCCCGGCTGCATCACAACCTCCAGTGGTGATCGTTTTGGGAGTTCTTTCCGCTTGTTGTTCTCAAACCCTTCGACTTCCCGCGCGGCCTTTTTGTCCTCCTCCCGCAAACGCAAGGCGATGGCGTCGATTCGCGAGGAAATCGCGACCCCCTGGTCGTCTTTTCTGCTTTGCGGCGGGGGAACTGACTTCGAGGTGGTCTTCGACGATGAAGAGGAGTCGACAACAACCCGCTCCCGTTGAGAATTAAGAGCTTTCTTGTCGGAATCCGGAGCACCATTTTCATCCCGTATTTGCAACCCTGGTGATCTTTGTTGTTGCGCTGTAGGTAGAATCTGCTGGTGCTTCTTCTTTTCCACGATCTTCTTGGAAGCGGGAGAAGCTGGGTACTGGGCCTGCTTTCGGTACATTGCCATCTTGGCGCGAACTTCATTTTCCTTCTCACTGCTCTTCTTCCTCATCTGAAGGTCTGCGTACCGACCAGGCTCGCGGCGGCGCGGCGGGTCTTGCACCTGCTCCAGAGCGACGTTGTAATCCCGAGCTAAGAGTAAATTTCTTCGACCGTGGTCGCGATTCAACATTTGGTTCCTTTGTTCCTTCTGATTTGGCTTCCTCTCGTCCGCTGCGTTGTTCTGCTCCTGCTTCGCGTCTGTACCGGGTAGATCTGTCTTCTCTGGAGGTCCTTTCCGGTGGTCGAATATTTCTTCACTAGTCTTTTTCACCGGTGTAGATTTGCTGGAACGCACGACGACCCTCTTCACCACACCCGCACGGTCATTCGGATAATGCTCAATCCGTTTGGACGACGCAGGCCGCTGCTGAGGACGGTGCAAAACCTTTCGCGGAGTGGACCTGCCAGCAGGGTAGTGGTTGCTCTTGACGTTATTGCTTGGCGGTTGTGGCTTGTGGTCGTGCTGTATTTTTCTTTGCTGTCCGGCGACCGTGGGCTTTTTCTCTACTCGCCCTTGCTCAACCGCATTCATCGCATTCGGAGCGGTCCTCGGATCACTCACGTTTTCCTTGTCCAGAACCACAAGCGACGCAGCAGGTGCGGGGGCAGCAGCAGCAGCTACTGCTGCTGCAACTCTGTCCAACTGCTCTCGCCGATGATCTTCAGCAATCTGCCCGTCCCCGTGCCGCTTCATCTGCTTTTTTGGGTTTAGTATTTCGTCCTGCTGTTCTGGAACCCTTTCTTCAGCGGGAACCACCACCCCCGCCTGAAGACCCTGTGCTTTCTTCATGCTGTTCTTTTCCGCATCAAGCGCCTGCGCCCGCTTCTTATCTTCCTCCAGCAATGCAAAAATCTGCTTCCGCAAAATCTGCTTATTCAGCAGGTCCCGCGCTTTCGGGCGTTTCCGCGGGTCTAGTTGCAGACACAGGTCCACTATCAAATGGAAAAATGTCTGGGTCTGGAAGAATGCAACTTGTGATGCTGCATTTGGATTCCAGAAGAATCTGTATTGCATGAGTACCAAAAGGAATGTAACATTTGCTACGCGGGGGAGAGGGCATTTGTCATGCGGAATAGGCACCAAGAAGCTCTCAAAAAATCTGTCATGCTAGAACATGCATCACAGACATCAGGGCTCATGCAAAACGTGCATGACAAGTGTCAGAATCTTCCAGACCCAGACATTTTTACAGTTGATATCCACCACTTGCTTCAGCTCATCCAGTTTCGCGACATCAAGTTGATGCGAAGATTCGTGTTGTACAGCCGGGATATTATTTCGTCCAGTTGCACCTGCAGATGAGGACGAAGATGAACTGTTTCCCGGTTTCAACTTTTCGTATTCGCCTTTGAGGATTTTCAGGACCAAGCCCTTCATGCTTTCGTCGTCAAACGCGTGTTTTAACGTGATCATCTCGTACAAACAGCATCCAATGGCCCATATGTCGGACTTGTAGTCGTAGGGCTGTGCCTGGCAGATCTCGGGGCTCATGTAGAACGGCGTGCCGATGGCGGTTTTCGCAACGTCAGACGTGTGGGAGAGAACCCGCGCGATGCCGAAGTCCCCGATTTTCACGTTTTCGAAATTCGGAAGAACTACTGGAGGGTTGTTTTCTGACATCAGTGAAGACATTGCGACTTTGGTCAAAAAGATGTTCTGCGTCTTCAGATCCCGGTGCAGAATTTTCTGGTCGTGGATGTACTTCACGGCAAGTGCGATTTGCGTGAACCAACGGAGAATCAAACTTGCGGGAAGAAACTGCTTCAACTTTTTCTGCTTCCGAATCCGAGTGTACAGGTCCCCGTTCGTCGCATAGTCCATGACCAGACACAGAAGCTTCTGCGGGGACGCGGGCCGGTGATCATTGTAGTTACCTCGCTCGTTGTCTGGGTTGGTTGTCGTTCCCGCTTTGTCTGCGGAAGTAGATGACCCCGTCAGGAAAGAATCACGATATCTGAGGAAACATCAATTGAAGAGGCTGCACATTTTCATATTATTTCACACGGTCAGTGTTGCATCACTCCTCCAAGAACAACATACACGTCCTCCTCGAGAATGCTGGATCATGATAGCACTTACGACAAAACCATTGTTCTCCTGGGCGTTCTACTTCATGCAGTACGCACAAAAAGATGTAAGCATCGAAAAATGAACACCAAACCTACCTGATGATGTACGGATGCCGCAGCCTTCCCAGCACCTGCACCTCGCGATACGTATCATTCTTCTCTTCCTCGGACATTTTGGACAAATCGATCACCTTCTGGATGAGCTGCTTCTCCGAGTGCCGGTCCCGCACTAGCCAGCATTTCCCGAAACTTCCCTCGCCCACCAACTTAACTTTCTCGTACCGCGACGAGCTGTTGGCGCTCCCGGCGGCAACTACCGGGGCCTGCTTGCTTTCAAGGCTCGGCATGGCAAATCGTGCCCGATGGGGGCAAGTGTGACTTCCGATAGTACAGGAACAGCAGCTTTAACAACGGCAGCTAGTCTCTGTGCAGCCCTGAATGTTTTCTTCTTTTTCTCACCACATTTGCTGCGGCGAACCAAGACCAGGCGGAGAAAATTCCTACTGCCGAATCATATTTGTTTGAGGTCTGCCATTACCGCAGCAAAAATCTTTGTCTGCGCATTGAAGCGACACCGGACGAAAGACCCACCACGCACATTCGCTATATCAACTACGTACACTACTTTGTTTCCCCTGAACTTTTTCTCTCTCGCCTCTTTGGCATAAGCGGTTCCTTTTGGATTCTCTCATCCATGCTTGCTCTCATTCGTGGAAAAAAAATCCTCCCCCATCCACTCGCGCCGAAAACACTGAGCTAAGACCTTTCATTCCATCAAAACTCCTCGGCTGAACTACCCCACCTAGCAAAAAACACAAACAGACACTGATGTTGCTCTACACGGGAAAAGCCGTGCCAAATGTCGCTTGTCGTTTTGTCCATTTTAGTCGTCCCAAAGTACTTTTATAAACTTTAACTTTTCTCAGTCCTGGGGTGCATGAGCAAACAGCAAGCTGTTGGTCGACTGAGAGGACCGGCGTGTATTCATAATATTATGGGGTTTCTGCTCGGTCTCAACATGATCCCGAGGTCGATACTATCAGAGGCGTCGCCAAAAAGTTCAAGTTGAACTCCTTTTTTTCACTGTCGTGTATTTCCTTTTCATTGGTGGCCATTATGTTCTCAAGAAAAATTGTCGCTTGCTTCTACTGGGAAGCCGTCAGAGCACCCCAGAATTTGATTGTCCCTTCACTGAACGGCCTCGAATTGAAATGGACAAAAATTCGCGTGAATATATTTGCCGTCCAAAACAAGAAAAGACCATTTTTGCCATTGAAAAAGTCTAAGACCCCTTGCTTGCCGCAAGTGAGGCAAGATATTTGTCAACTGTGTGCGAATGTAGCGCAACACTGCGCCGCAGCACATTCTTCCACAGACCAAAATCTTCCGTACGACCTGCACCTCCGAGAGATGACAAGTCTCGCTTCGCATTTGTACTTGTTTTTGCACCGATCAACTGCTGTTCTACTTGATCACAACTACACAGCAAAATTTGTTGAGCTTCGAAAGCCACACTCTACTTACCAAGAAATTTGCAACGCAAAATTCTGTCTGCAACTGGCGAAGCAAGCAAATTGATTTCTCCGCGATATTTTTTCCACGACCTGTGCAGCGCAACTTAATACTTACTTTTTACAACAGTTATCGCGTTCTTTCGGTCAGTTCGACCTGCGCCAACTATACTTTATTTTTGGTTTCTGAATGTGTCTCGCCACTCCGAGACGGTGAACATTATTTGGTTTCGGACCGCCTCGCTGACATTGGACAACTTCGCGTACTCTGACAGGGTTTTGCCGATCTTGGAGCTTTGCATCAAGGGCACAGTCATCGTTTTCCGTAACAGGTCGATCTTCGCGAGAGCGTCCTTCTCCTTCACAATCGTAGCATCCTGGTTATCGATAGCGTCCTGCAGCATTTTCTGGGTTTCCTCTAATGCAGTTTTGTTGTCCGTGGCCTGCAAGTTCGGATCATACTGCCGCGGGTCCACGAACCGAGAGCCGGCCGTAGAAGAGGATTTCACATTGCCAGTACTCGCCTGGCTAGAACCATTGGAGTGCTGGCTAGGGTTATTTTTCCGGGCAGGCACAGGAGCTCCGCGGGACGTAGAGTGGTTGCTCGGAGACTTCAGGTCTGTGTTTTTATTCGCAAAACTACATCAAAAAAACCGGTAAAGCTACCGACGGCCGCTCAACGATTCCATTCTGCATGACAGAAATGCAAATCCAATTGTATGCAGCAGTATCTTCCATGAAGATCTCATTGCGAACAACACGGTCGGAGGAGCACGTCCAACACTACAATACCAGAGTCCATCCGGGTCGGCGCCAAGCAGCCACCGGTTGCTGTGGTTAACTTCGTGCTCCACTGTGCGGAGAACTTTTTCGCAAAGTTTTCCCGCATCTTTTTCCCGGTGGCGATGCTTGGGGCACCGAGTTCGTCGAAGGTGATGGATTCCTTGCGAACGCCGAACTTCTGCTGCATCAGCCTTATCAATTCTTCCTTCTGCGCCAGCACCCGGAGCTTCACGGATAGCTTTTTTTCAAAACTCTTCGACCCCCCTGTGTACCACGCGTCCCACTCCAGTGTGTTGGTGGAGAACATCTAAAGTAGATTTTCGTGCAGTTACAACATGCAAAAAATCATCTGATGTGTAAAACTACACGATCTGATTTTCATCGTGATCAACATCATCTCCTTTTTAGACGCTGAGCGGCAATTCATTTTCATTCGTACAAAATCACATAGTACCCACGTTTTCCACTCCCTAACGGCCTCGAGAGTCAAATTCGAATCGCGCTCGTCGCTGCGGCTGGTCTGACTCTCTTCCGCATCTCTGTCCCCACCGTTCATTTTTTTCCGTCGCTTCTTCCCTCCGACATCGCTGCCTGCGCCCCCCGCCACGGTGGGATTCCGGATAACCTTACAGATAAAAAAATGAAACGTGACGCACGATCGTCAAGACTTTTCGATTGACATTATTACTGGCAACTGGAACTCCTGCACCGATGATGTCAACAGGCAAAGATTTTTCCCGCTGCACGGAATTTTGCTAGGTGATTCACTTCTACCTCTTCGGCGTAAGTACACTGAAATGTCGATGTGAAACCAAAGGTCTTATTCATTTGATACAAAGTCGAAAGCCTCCTGCGCCTCTGCGACGGGTCTGCGCACTCGTTTTGCGGGCAATAAATGGTCTAGTGCCATGGTTAAGGGGTTTATCCGCGCAAAACCCGTCTGAGTCAGAGTCAAGCCGGTGAAAGACCGGTACGGAACTTTTCAAAATATTTTGATGCATGAAAAAAAAACTCCGAGAACAATCAATCACGGATCATTTCTTCTCTCTTCACCGGTTCGACTCAGACTCGGGCAACATCTTTGTGGGTGGATAGCTAGCGGATTCGGCTTCGGTCCACCCGTAGCGTTGCTGCTTGCCGCTGCGCCGGCCGCCACCTTTTCCGCAGCGGCTTGCAGCCGTTTCTGTGCCGCAAGGCGCGCCGCGCCGGTTTGATTGTTGATAAAGCCGACTGTCTGCTGCGGGTTCATCTTCAGGCCTGGCAAAACTCGCCCGTTTACCGTTATTTCCTTGGAAGCATTCTTCAACAGGTCACTGGCGCTGACAAAGTATCCACTGCAAAAAAAAAATGTCCTCCACATGCTGAAAAATTCGAATGCCAGCTGCTTCAGAAAGCGTAAAAGTGACCTTTAAGAATCACCGCCCACAGTAGACTGACTCTGTATTGACTATGCAGATGAAACTTCCGGCAGCCCGATGAGGAGGACAACCGACATGCTATTTTTGCAGGGCATAGCACATCATTCTCATCAGCGCCCTCCCACTGCCACGTACAAAAGATCGAATTCCCGGGTTTGGTCGACCGCCAGGTAATCTCGCTGTTGCTGCTGGCTTTGAGGTCCGCGCGCCAACCCGGATGCATTTCCACAGTATCGCCAACTTCGGTGAGCACGTGCAGTTGGGGCACTGAGTTGGTGTGTGGTTTGACTCCTTCTCCCACAACAAAGAACACGCACAGTGCGTCAAAATGAAAACACGTGATCCAACGTGGACCATCAACATTTGGAGGTTGATATCCACCGATCATTTACTAGATCGAATAAAGACAATGACAATTTGTAAATGCCGTTCGAAGTTTTATTGCTTTCTTGCGTAAATCGAGAAAACAGTATCCGAAAGGTCGTGTTAGAAGTCTTTACGCCTTCAACAAAATTTTCTTCAAAAGTCACAAAACCCAGCAGTATAATACACGTAGCCAATTTCGCCGTGTTTCCGGTGACTGTGACCAACCCCAGCTTCTGGTTGCTGTGCAGCCACATTCCTTGCAGGTCCGCGATCGTGAGCTTTTCCAGCCCGGGGCCGCTGTTGGAAGACGAAGAGTTTTTTGACACATTGGCTGCCCGCGCTGCCATCAGCATGTTGTGCTGCGTGGCACGCCCCGGCTGCTGCAGTACTGCAGGTATCTTATTGGCCCCCAGGCGCGACGAGGAGGACGAGGATGACGCAGCGACCGCAGGTCGGGCCACGGATACAGCACCTCCTGGTCGTCCTGCCCCCGGGGGGAGCGTGGTAGTTGTACTGGAAGCTGCCATTCTCGCAAATGTGCTCCTGCTGTCGCTGGCGATTATAGGAGAAGAAAACGATCAAAAAGTATGGGAGCGTCGCGGACGAGCAGCTGGGCTTCGAAGTCGGTTGTGTAGGCTGGATTGTTTTGTAGTTCGGGGGCGTGTCGCTCGTGTTTTCTCTTTTCCTCGGGCACCAGCTGTGCACTTCTATTACTTGACTGTTCTTAACGTGTTTCGTTGAAAACCTGGTGAATTCGCAGATGTAGTCCGACGCGGTTTTGTATTTCCCTTCACCTTCTTGACTTCTCGCAGCAGTACACAACACAACGACAACACCGTCGAGCAGGTGCTGATTGTGAAATCAGTCTTTCGACTCAGGCAAGTGTCAAAAAAAAGTGTGCGCCGGGCAGAGTCGTGAGAGTCTCGACGGAGAAACGCTTCTACTTAGGACTGCTCTTTGCAGGAATTCGACTGTTCGTCTCGTCGTCGTCTAAGTGCTTTAGCTGAGGGTTCAGGACCAGGAGTATCCGTACGAAAAGGTGTTTAAAGATGGAAAGTTACGGAAACACTATTTGCACTCAGGTACTTTTAGGTGAGCGAAAATTCGGTATGTTCCTTAGGGCTGAGGCTGACAGACATAAGCGTTAGTTTTCTTGCAGCGGTAGAGCAAGACTAATTAGTGACGCGCGAAGAATTTTGTTCTCTTCGTGGCACAAGAGAGATAGTGCCTGAAAAGCGATGACATGCACATAGGCGCGACTACGAATTTTAAATGAGAGAGAGGAAACGTCGTTGTGTTGCAAAAATGAAAATTTGAATTTGTTGTACAGTACTGAGACTTCATGAATGACTAGAACTTGCACGGAAACTATCCGTAGAGGTAGAAGACTAATTCATTGCTACAATTAAACTTTGTTCGAGTACTTTCGAATTTGGATGAAAAAAACTGCAGGACTGCAACAAGGTATTGGTAATGAATCTCATGAATGCTTTGGCATCTATATGCGCCAAGCGTCTACGTCACACCGCCTCTTTGCAACAAGCTGCTCATCGAAAAAATCATTGAGGCGATCGTCGAGAATTGGCAGAGACAAAATAATCCTGCCAAACTAAATCTATGAATCTCATCCGCGCATGCCACAGATGGCGGGTAGCACAGGACTCGTGTGAACGCTACCCGCCCTTGGACAGCGACAGGTGCAAAAAAGTGGGCTGCAGCCCCTGTTGGTCAAGAAATGAAGCGTACTCTTACTTCTACAAGCTATTACTTAATGGCAGCAACTACAACCGTCTGGCGTGGCTATTGACATGCATGATCTCAGTCTCAGATGGAACTGCGTGGGCACACGATAGTGAAGTGTAATGATCGCAGTCGACATACTTACGTGTAGATCATGATGGGTTAGTCTTAGCCGCTGTATGAACGGTCAAACTGATTGAAGCGAAGTCGCTTCTCTTTTCTTGTTGCGCTTGCGATCATCTACGGAATACAAAACTTAAGCGACCTTTATCTTCAAGCTGATCAATTGTGTTTTTCCTGCACATAGTACTGTCTGCCAAGGTCGCAAGCGCGGCTTCGTGTCAGACATATCAAAGACAGTGCTCTCGTCTGACTTTCAATTCTATTTTTCTCAGTATCAGGCTGCGAGTGACAATAGCACACATGTCCTCATTTCATTCTGGCCTGAATACCATTTCTCGTGATTGGACGATTTCTGCTTGATCCCTTCCGGTGCAAGAAATCCAATATCCGTGTGTTCCTACAAGATAGTCTGCCTCGACCTGGATCCTCTGGGCTCCAGATAACGCAATCGCTTCGTGGGCGTTTCACGGGCTTGGGCAAGGCGCGCGCAACCGATATTTCTTCACAGACCCACACGAGATTCACCATGCGTCGCCACGTCCGCAGAGTCGAAGAGCAGCCGAGACCAAACAAGGAACAGCAACGAAGAGCGACACCAGACGATCACAAGCAAGACACATGTTTTTGAAGAAGGGCGACGATCGGAAACTTTTGAAAAACAGGAACAGAAGCAGTAGAACAATGCGCTTTATTCAGCGATGAATAAAGTAGAGGCTCTGCAGGCCCACGCTTGGAATGAAACAGGCCACCTGCGCTGGCAAGCGTATATTTCTCGTTTCCTTTGTTAATACCTGATTTTCTTTTTCTTCGAAGCTTCTTGTCTAGGTTGACAACTCGATAATTCCTACTTTCGTCCGTGATCACAGCGTGTTAAACAGGTGCAGCCTCTACAGGTGAAGGCCGTAGATGTTGCAGCACAGGAAAATACAATTTCTCAAAACCTTGTTCAGAACAAGGCTAGAGGCAAGAATTCTTTTTTTCTAAATGTTACGTGGGGGTGATACAACAGACACAACGTCGCAGGAGGTAGGTACAGCTTTAAAGATCTTTTGGAAATCTCACGTCGCAGCACAGAATAGGCTAGCGGTAAGAACATCAAGAAGGTACTTATTTGGCAAGTTTTGCTTCGTCGTTTTGCGAAATGCGAGTTTCCATGCATCTAGTGTAAAGGGGCGCCCACAGCAGATGTTGAGTGGAAGCTGAAGGATGGTACTTCTACAAGGAAGCCGAAAGGAATGAAACACCAGATAACCACGCAGTGGAGCGGAATTATCATGCCGTCTTCTACACTGCTTGTATACTGGTGTCACTCACGCCGAGCTCCTCAGATTCGAGTACCCTGGAGTAATCCGTGCTTGGTTGGTGTACTACAGCATGAACAACATTCGACGCCGCTCCAAGTCCGATCAGCATAAAGATAAAACTGCCCAAAAGCACGATGAGCACCAAAACGGAAAGCCCCGACATTCCAGCCATACCTGGTGGTTTTTTCTTCTTGATGTGAACAAGGCCGAGTGAGATGCAATAGAGGAGGCCCGCTGGGAAGCAGAAGTTCGCATCGTAGTCAAGAAGTCAAAAAAAAACATTGTATGTTCTATACGGTGTTGCGGCGTCAGCTCCACACCGCCGATCACAGTTCTCCATTCCGGATTTGCGTTTTTATTGAGGAAAAACGCCCACGCACCGCCGAGCTGTTTTTGATAGAAAGATGTTTTTCTCCGGTCATTTTTCTCATTGCAGAATTTTTGCTTTTCTTGTGTGCATTCGCGAACCACACAAAACATCAAGATACGCATATCTATGAAATTAATCTCAATACTGCCAAGATGCACAGCAGGCTTGTTGGGTTCATGAGCAGACCGAACCCTAGTATTCCCGCGTCCACAACGGCGTAGTTCCAACGGAAGTAGCTCAGATTTTTCGTCACTTGCATCACGTTCAGGCCCGTGGGCTTCGCCACCGCGCAAAATTCGCCCAGCCATGGTCGGATCACGATTCGGCTGTTCATCGCGCTCTGCAAAGCCGTGGAGCCCGAGGAGGAAGCCGTACTAGCGGAATCCATCACGCCCTGAGGGATGGCGGATTTTACCGACTCAAAGAACGTGTTCAGAGAGGGATGCAGCTGCGGTCTCCCAACCATCTCCTGCATCTCAATCTCGTTGTTCGCATTCACACCGCCGGACGAAGGGCCCGAGGCATACAGCTGGTTCGGAACGACGCTCATTTTTCCTTGCTTTATTTTCCAGCTTTTGGCAAGAATGCCAGTTCTTCTTCTTGTTCTTCCAGGGGGGTACGTCCGGCGTACTAAACCTGCTTGATCTACGAGGTGCTATAGCCAAAAGAAGAGAAACTATGAAGCAAATGCGACTACGGGAGCTGCTTCTAGGGTTCTTTCGGACTGCGTCAATAACAGCGTGGTAGCTGCAAACAAGACGTATTTGATAAAGATGCAGCTAAAAGTCAAACCATCGAGCTGAGCTCTACTTTCTCTGTGACTACCTTTCTCTCAGCGTCGTTGGCAAGAACGCCAATGCACTTCCTTAGCCTCAGTGTCACGAGTTGGAGTTCGATCACGCTATGCAGCGTCACCCGAGGAGCGGCACGACGAACACTCGAGCTACACAAGTTCCTGCTTACACGAAGTCGATAACCTTCGCGACACCGTCGTTCGTTGTTGTATTTGGTTTCCCCTATCAACTCAAATTCTACATGTTTTTCTCCTTTCTGTTAAAGAGAGACCGATCTTCATCTTGGATACATCATGTACATCATTTTTCTAGAAATCTCGTGTCGAAAAAGAAACTCAATTTATGCACAACAAACGAATCTCGATACTGTAATTGTTGAAGTTGAAGTGGAAGTTGAAGATAGTTCGATTCTACAAAAACATCTACAAGCTCTGGGTCGTGACCCTGCTCATGAACAGAACTAACATAGTTTTGCCATCAATTTCAATGAGTCTGTACCAGTACAAGCACTGGCCGAGTTCATCTTTGCCGGAGCCGATTCACCACATTTACAACATTCGCCGGCTTCACTTTACGCGGTCACTCCGCCCGTAGTCCGTCGTACTCTGATGGCGCAGCCCAAAATTTCGCGTTGCCTGCGACGCAAACTGCCGCGCGTCCCGGGCGGCCGACTCGTCAAACATCATGGTGTTGCGGCGCCGCATCAAAGCAAGTTCGAACTCTCGGTCCTGCACACGCTCCTCGTGGTTCCTCGTGCGCGCCATGATGTGGTGCATGGAGTTTTGCATTTTCAGCAAATCCTGCTGAGATGGCGGCTCCCGTTCCCTTCTCTCCGGTCCACTGTGTCTGCCAAGCTCCACCATATAACAGTGCACAACTCCCCCTCCCCCTCATTTGTATAGCATGAACGGCAATACAAGCATCAGCAAGAATGCCGGTTTTGCATGACAAATTTGCAGTGGAGTATGTATGGTGGTATTTGGGCTACCAGAACTTGTCATGCAAACAGTGTCAAGAGGCAAAGGGTGGATTGGGTATTTTGCATGACGAATCAGGGGGAGGGGGAGTTGTGCACTGTCATACTCCACCCCGTGCTGTTCGTGTTCGGATTTGAAGGCAGGCGCGCGTGGACTACGCAGCACTTGTTGTTGCTGTCTCGGAGTAGCAGCGCTCCGTGCGGACCTTGGCGTTGCTTGTGGTTGTAGTTCCGCAGCCGTTTTAGTATTTTGTTCGGATGAACCAGCAGCGTGGTTTCTATGATGCGGATGCCCACCGTCGTGCTGGTGCGCTCCGTGCGCAGAGGATGCTATGACTGCTTCGTCGTCGTGCCTGTTGGTGATGTCCAATGTTGGATACTGATCGGACGCGATGCTTCCGTAGATATCGTTCTCTGGTGCTCCAAAAACGGTAGGGTGAGACCTGGTCAAACGCGGAGCAGCGTGATGCCCTGCCGCGATTTGGTGCGCCCCAGCTGTCTGTTTATTCTCTTGGTCTTCATACAGTAACGCGCCGTAATTTTTCCCGCCCATGGCGACGTGCGGGGCGGAGTTTTCCGGCGTGTCCCCACTTGCACCTCGTGGAACCAGGTTTGGGCTGGAGACCGTCCCCGCGAGAAGGCGCTTCTTCGTCCTCTCTCGCCTCTTGTTCGCGTCCGCCTGGCATTGATCCCGCGCAAGGCCCAGCAAGTCCGCGGAGTCCTGCTCGGCAATTTGGTCTTGCTCCTTCAGCATCCTTAAAGCCGACATGAGCGGCAACGCAAGAAACGACGCGGCTGTCTCAAGGGCGCTCCTCGTTCGCTCCGCATACATGTTCAGCGAGGAAGCGCTTCTTCCATTCTCAAGCTCGGACGACTGTGGCACGGTCCGACTGGCGAGCGAATGCCCGCTGCTGCGGCTAAGCATGCTCGCACTCGTCACCACATTCCGCCCCGCCTGCATTCCCGCCTGGCGCTGGTCCTCCGGAGTAACCATTTTTCCGTGCAACTTCTCATCCGCCTTCGCGTTCTTCGCTAGAGACAGTAGTTGTGGCGGCTTGTAGCCGAAAAGGGACCGCCGCAAATAAAAGTAGAACAAGTAGAGCCGACTCCGTCTGGCGACCGCACCCCGGCCCGTGGAGGCAGCAGAGATGACTTTGGGTAAATCCTGTTTCCAGGTGCCGATGGTGATCAAATTGTTACCGTCGTCGTCCATGACGTCGAAGAGTAAGCGCGTAATCTGCAGGCACCGCAGAAGCTCCACTTCCCCGCGGATGCAATCGGTCACGTATTCCGCCACCTGATAGCGGGAAGGAGATCGTGTTCTCATTCTGACAAGCTCAATGCCACCGTCCTATACGAAAAACTAAACGAATTTCAAACCAAATACCTTATGACACAGCAGCAAGCTGCTATCGGCGTCCGTCTCGTCCTCGGGCGGCACGAAACCGAAATCTTGCCCCATGTACTTGTACAAGGCGACCAGCTCCAACTCTCCCAGGCAACTCGGGGCCGCCGGGTCCTCTTCGGCAATCTGCATCGCGTGGTAGAGAAAAAAGTGGTCCGCGTTATGCATCAGCAGAATGCACCAGCTGATCCAGATCACGCCCGGGAACATCGCTAAAAAGACCGCGACGATCAGGTAGTTTTCGACAGAGAGGTTCAGCGGATTGTCTTCCCCGCTGCTGTACACGGCGATCACCGTCCCGATAAAGTAACAGGCCGGCACGACCCACCGGGACACGCCGTCCAGGTCCTGGACCAATAACGGCCCCAACCGCTGGTACAGAATCTCGCCTATCATCACCGCCAGGACGCAATTCGTCATCACCAGCGTGATATACAGCAAGGCCGCGTCGAAGTGGGACAGTTCGAACATGGTATCCGGCGCCTCCTTATCCTGTGCAAAAGTATCGTACTCGTAGTAATCGCAGGCATGCATTACAAATCTTTTTCCTAAGGTCAATCAGCATTACAAGTTCCATTTCTCATGCGGAGAAAATTTGTAATGCAATTCATACTAGAAGAACTAGTACGATACTTTTGCAATGCATACTCCTCGGTCGCAAACGCCTTGAAGTTACCGAATGCGAGAAAGGCGAGGAACCCGGACATGAACCGCGGCATAATGTTCGACGGGTGCACGATAAACGTCGAGAACGCAAAAATCGTCAGCAGCGCCGCCGGAACCCAAATCCGGTAGCGCATCAGCCCCACCGCGCGGGCGACAGTAACCTTTAACGTCGCAACGGACGTGGCCGAAGCGTCCGAGGTGGTTGTGGTGTTGGACCGAGTTAGGAGAAAACTGGACTTTTTCGGTTCCCAAATCCGCACCCAGTGGTTCTCGGCGACAATTGCGGGGACGCCGGGGGAGAAGTATGGAATGTTGAAGTTATCCGGCCGCAGAGCAGTGAGCGCCGCTTGCAAATGGGCGGGGGAGAAAGCGAAGGAAGATGAAGCTGTACTAACAGCATTTCCACTACTTGTAAGTCCTTGTGCTGTCGCACTCAGCTCCAAAATGGCGCTCGTGAACTCGCCGTAGTAATCGCTGGAGAACACCGTCGCGGTTTGCGGCTCCGCGACAATGGTCATTTCCTGTCGGTCGAAGGGGTATTGGGTCCAATTTGGGTACACCGGGCAATCGTTCACCTGCACCGAGTAACTGAATTTCACCAGCGGGTAGAAAACTTCCAACTTTTTCCCATTGATCGGGATCTCCAGTACGGATCGGCAGTCCTGGATGGTCATGCGCGGGAGAAAAACCGTCTGCTGCGCCTCAGCGAGGTTCACCGTGTGTGTCTCGTAGACGCCGTTCGCCAACATGGTGCGCAGGTCGTGAAAGACGATCTCAATCTGCAGTCTCGCGGTAAAAATGGTTTCCTCGTACGAACGAAACTCCTTGTAGGACAGGTGCAGATACTGCATCACGTTTTCTGATGTTGCTCTAGGAAAAGAGACTGAGCCCTGGGCTCCTCCTGCGCTTCCCAGATTCATTGCCCCGGAGGAGCCGTAGGAGAATTCGTTTCTTTCTGACGTAGGCATCGAGTAAAAATACCGATTCTCTTGTTCACTCGACAATGAAGAAGCAGCCGAAGCGCCGGTGGAGGGAGCCCCGAGGAAGATGTCGCATCTCCTACCAAAGTAAAACGGCAAGCAATCGCAATACGCTACTTGCGATGATGTTGAAGATGTTGTACTACCTGCGGCTACGCTTCTGTCACGTGATACCAGCAGTTCGGGAACCAAACCGTAGGGGAACGAACTTGACCCAGATGAATGCTGCTGAGTAGAAGAGCCAGAGAGAGACATCTCTCGGCAAAACCCGTACACACAGGTGCCGTTGCGTGTATCCAGCTGCTGACAGGGCGAGGAGGCTGCGGTTGTTGGGAAGGTGAGCTGCTTCGTTCGCGTGATGGAAAGTGCGAAAGAAGTAGCGGTCGAACTGGCTGTTAGTATTTCCATGTAGTTCTGAAAATTCACTATCGGTTTCAACACCGCGGTACTTGGTGTAGACGAAGACGAAAAAGCAACGTTGGACACGTAAACCCGCATGGATGAAGCAGTGTTCCCACTCGTCGTTGAACTACTTGCCGACTGCATCATTTGCGCCGTACTTTGATACCGCAGGTTTTCCCGCCCGGACACTTTGCTGGAAAAAGCCTGCTGCGCAAAAGCGTCTGCCAAACTCGATGCCGCTGTCGTCGCATTCCCGATCGCCATCAGAGCGGCACTGGCCGCGTCGTAGACTAATGGAAGTGAATTTTCGCACAGCCCCGGCGGCGACAGCCGCTCTTCCGGCAATAACCACGTGGGCGCAGCGGCAGGTTTTGCGGTCGTGGTGCTTCCAGACAGGGTGGTTGACGAAAAGATAAAACTCGCTGGTAGCTTCAATGGACTACTAGTCGCACTTCTCTTTGCCCACGTGTTCTCCAAAAACTCAGTCGAAAATTGGGCGCTTTCTGCGCTGGTCAACAGCGTGTTTCGAATGTCGAAATTTACCAGCCCGTGAAACACACTGTCGACACTTTTCGACTCTTCACCGAGCGACTGGCTCATAGACCCGTAATTCGTTGAGGAGGCCGAAAACAAATCCTCGCCTGCATCTACCGTGACAAATACGAAGTCCTCGTGTCGCTTTCGCAAACGTTCGCCGACGGCTCCTACACCCGTTGCGTTCCCGACATGCGAAGCCGTGCTCCTTTGCAAGAATTGGAACTTCCTCGCTTTTTCTTGAAAAAAGCTTCGCAGCACAAGGGGCGCGCCGTTCAGAAGTAAAACGACGAGTTGCACTGCGGAGTTCTGTAGCTCGGTTAGGACGTAGTCAATTTCAGCGAGTAAGTTATCATAATCCTCCATGGAGTAAGAATCAGCAGCTCCTTTCGGCAATTCGAAGCGAAGAACAGAGCCGCTGCTGGTTGTCGCGGCAGCCCCTCCAGCGCTGCTCTCCACTCCCTCTACGAACCGGTCGCCGAGTATTTTCGCGGAACCAGACGCGCGAAGCGATACGACCGCAATCTTCGCTGGCGATATTGATGTATTTGGATTTGCATCCGCTGTGCCTCCATCACCTACAATGCCCGCAATCGGTACAACTGATTGAAAAAAACCGGCGATTTGCTGGACTAGAAACAACAGCGGAGTCGTCGCGTCACTCCGAACCGTATTCGAATCGTAGAAGAGAAACTCACTTGTGTAATTCTGTCTCTTCACCACTCCCGTCCGAGGCAACGCGTCTTCTAACCGCTCAACGCCAAACGGAACCAGCGCCACCGCATTCTTCTGCTGCGCCGCCAGCGCGCTTTCGAAATACACCTGCGCCGCCTTCAGCTCGTCGGCGCTGGACGGCCCGAGGAAGGTGAGAAATTGAGTCGTCGGAGAATTCACTCCAAAAGTCGTTTCCACGACATCGTTCAGAACTGTGTAACTTCGTCCTGGAACCACGGGTGCGCCGCTGCTGGTCTGACTACTTGTAAAGGAGTCCAAATCCACGCTGGAAATGGCAACGTCGTCAGTCACTGCGTTATTTGCCTCGGAGCTCGTGTAGTCGTCAAAAGCTAGCTGCGCCGTAGCTGCGAAAACCCGGCAACACCGCTGCGTTCGAAACGGACAGACGAAAACGAGCTGCGAGCTATTGGTAGGAGTCCCTTGCTGCGCTGACACGAGTTCTGCTGCTTGGAAACTACCGAAGAGAAAGGTGAGGAACAAGCAGCGGTACGGGAGCCAAGAGGAACGCATTTTCTTTACCATCAACAACAAAGTACTTTCCGAGGTCGCCATAATTTTTGCAGAAGTTGATGAAACAAATTTGCGATACCACATGATAGAAACTCTCACTCAAAAAACACAGCGGACACACAACTTGCAGTCTCGGCCTGGTGGCGTTCGTTCCTGAGTCTACTTTTACACATTAGATTTCCGGTTGAGCAGCAAAAAATTTTGTATGTGCAGCAGAAGTTGTATGTGCCAGCACTGACAGCGCACGATCAAACACGAGACCGTCACACCAGCAGCACCGATACAAAAGTATTTGCCGTATCGAGAAGCTGCGCACTATCTTTGCCCTTAGCGACCAAGACGACATTGCAAATCACGAAAGGACGACGACGCCGTCCTGTCACAGATTTACAATACGACGAGCCCAACGACCCATGACACAACACTTAACGACAACGTTGCCTCCCTTTATCAACGATGCCTTAGACCTTTCTTCCCCACATCGTCACGACGATCAAGTCCGACTCTCCTACCTGCTATACCGAAAAAGTTCATGTTGGTGCAGTTTTACTTTGTATCCTAGTTGCGACGCATCCAATTGGCAGCACTAGCGCCCGCTATTCAATCCAAAACTTGTTCCATCACAGCCATGACAATGTTGGTTGTCGACAACATTTTCCTTCGATTTTTTGGACTGCGAAAATTGGTACAGTACAAACGAAAGCTAGCCACATTGTAAGCCAATCGCTGGTACTGAAACTGACACAGAGTGCCTTTTCTTTGAAAATCTAAGTATCAGAACTGTTGTGAAAGTTGAGAACAGTAAATAGCTTTACGTCTCAAATACGGCAAGTACAAAACCATTTACGGTGGACGAGGAATGCAGATGCACAGCACTTCCGTCGTCGCATAGATATGAAACTACAATCTCCTAATACCATACGAGCGGAAGTGCCACTATATATATATAACAATGTAACGGCACGAAAAATTGACACACGTAGAATTCAGAGGGTGCCATTTGTAGTGTCGGTGCGCTCCAACCAATACTAGGCTCGTTGCGTTGAAGTTAGTTGAAATGCATTTACTCATACATTATTATATGTGTTACGGATGTAGTTGCGGCTGGACTTTTCAATCACACGTCCTCCTGTCCTCTTCGTCGATAATCCATTCTGTTGAGAACCCACACCGGATCCTCCACGTCACTTTCCTCGAACGGGATAGCCACATTTGCGTTTCGCTACTCAGGCATCACCGCGCTGGCACTGAGGAAAAGGCACGAAGACTCGAGAAGTTGCGACTCGTGAGGTCGCAAGCGCACGAAATTCTCTTTCGTTGCCAGCCGCTCTGCGATGAGCGGCGGGATGGCCCCGACCCCGACTGCAGCCGGTACGAGAGCTACCCGATAGGGGGAAGACTTGTCCTGTTCGAAGCGACTACAACACTCTGGTATACTCATGCGACGGCTACAGTAGATCCACTGAAATGCGTAGACCGGAGCCGTTGGATCCAAAGAAACCTCGTGACCGGACTCTAGGTTGCAACAACTGAACTCGCGTAATTGCAGAACGGCTGTACTTCAGTGGATTCTCTCGCGTCCTCTGAATTTGAAGAAAGCAGGAACAACAATTTTCACTGTACCACAAGAGAAAGACAATGTAGGACAAGCTTTTGCGGTACTGTAGGAGCACAAGAGAAAGACAAAGAAGAAGGATAGCAGCTCGTTTGTACATTTAATTTAGTCGCTCAAGTTCAAGTTTTAGCTAGTACGTGTACGGTATAGGAGAATATATACACTTACAGTGGTTTTAGGCGAATTTCAGAGCGCCATGGATGCTCAGGCGAATTTCAGGGCACCATAGGGGCTTTTCATAAATAACAGGTGCTTTACAGACGTGGTCGTCGCGGTGAAAGTGCCACCTTACATAATTGGATCCGAGGAAAACACTCTCAGGTGTACATGATTTGACAAGGTTTGTACATTCAAGACAACTACAGGGTAGGTACAGGTACATCAAGGAGTACAACGAGGACTGCAATTTTACATACTTAAGTACGTGCTGACTCCGAATACACATTGGTTCATCTTGACATAAACTCCAAAAATCAGGTCGGGTGGGGGTACTGCAACAATTCAATGAGTCGAGATTTCGAACTTTCCCAAGAGCTACAAGTATGAATCCACCTTGGTAAGTAAAGAATTCTTTTCTTGTGCGTCTCAGATACGTGGGATTTAGTCGTCCCGCCCTGTCTCATTCTCGTGCTTTCCGGAGGGCACAGATGAAACCGAGTCGGAACGCTTCAGAGCAGATTCGCCTCCGTCTGTCCCGCCGTCCTCGTTCTTTGTTCTGTCGCCGGGTGTGTATCGATCGCCCTGGTATATGTGCGGCAAAAAGTCGCCAGTTGGATAGGTATCCGTATCGGGTGACACGACGCTGTCTGGAACACTCTTCAGTATTTCCGCTACGGATCGCCCAACGCTTTCGTGGAGTCGTGTATTCTTCGCGAGCGGCCAATACATGCCTCTCATCTTTTCCGGGAGTCCGTCTATCTGGGTTAGTCGTTCTGCTTCGCTGTCCTCGAGGTTTGCAACTTGTCCAATTGCTTTCGTCATCGCCACGTAGATGTCATCGAGGAGGATTGCTCTTTGAGAGGTTGCTTTGCTGTACCGGGCTCGTACTTGCCCAAGGTAACTAAAAACGGCACGACGCAGCTCTGCTTCTGTCTCCACGACGTGCTTGGCCGACGTGTCTAGCCCTTCGTCCGCATGGGCGTCCAGTGCAAATATGTCTCGGTCTGCAAAGGTGCACAGAAGTACTGTACCGCTATCAGTAGTTTCAGTCATACATATATTTTGTTCTGATCTTTGAAAGAGGCTTCCGAACTTTTGCGGAATATCTTGAAAAATTTTACCAAATGCTAACACAGAAGTACCCCGCACCACCCGGCAATCTGCCCGGAAAGCGACCCATTAATTTTGGGTAGTGTTCGCGAGTATTCTGCGAAATGCTTTCAAACATTCTGCGGAATCCGTGCAAATACCTCGCACCATGCAGCAGGAAACGCCTCAAGAAGCAACCCGCTTCCGTGGCTCTTTGCAAACATCCGGGAGGGTGCTCCGAGATATTAACCAGGATAGATGCTCTCGAGTTAACAACTCCGAAAGAGTGGGTCTGGGTGACCGCGCCTACTTTGGAATTGATTGATGTAGCAATACGCTGCACCTCTGGCCAATTATCAAAAGCAGGATGAGGCTAAGCGCTGCCAGCTAACGGAGACAACACCGCTCCGGGCAACGACGTGCGGGTCTTTCGGTTTCCCGTTCGATCGTTGCTCGTGTCGTGTGTTGTACGGCCTGGCAATGTCGAAATTACACACAAAAGCAAGGCAACCCGCGTGCCGCGTGTCATATCCCCCCCAAAAGAAAAAAGGAAGCCGCGCGCAGCGTGCCCACAGTCTGCGTGCAGTGCGCGCCGGTGCGTCGAGGCCCCCCGGCCGACGGACACGGATGTGCGTGAGGCACTTTGTGGAGGTGCTGCGGCAACGCAGCGGCGCACTCCACGGCTGCGCAGACTCCACTCCGCGCGGACGTGCGTCAAGCATTCTGCTCAGGTGCTGCTGCGCAAGCAGAGGCCCACTTTGCGGAGGTGCTGTGCGCGCCGCACTGTACTCAGTTGCTGCTGCGAAAGCAGAGGTCGGTGCACTTTTGCAGATGTGCGGGCCGCACTCAGCTGGCTTCAGTGAACGCAGCCGTCGCATTCTGAAGAGGAGCTGCCGCTCATGCGGAGCTGCACTCCACAGAAACACGGATCGTGCTTCGAGGAGGCGCTGCCGCGAAAGCGGAGGTGCACTCCACCGAGGTACACGCTACGCTCGGTGAAGGTGCTACCGCTAACCGGAGGTGTACTCCAAAGACGTGGGCGCCGCCCCCGGAAGAGGGCGACGACACAAATAACGCCATCCAGTGGAGACGCGCGTCGTCTGGTGTAGAGGTGCTGCCGCGAGGTGGAAGCAAGTGCACTCCGTGCGCAACGACCGCGTTCTCCGCTAGCAGCGCCAAGTCCCAGGACTTGAGGTCGCTGCCCACACACAAAAGACAGAGCGCCGGCTTTCTCGGGTGCGAAGCCGACGTTCTACACACGGACCCTAGAGGTCTTCCACGCAGTCGCTGTTCGAACGCGCACAGCCCTTCAGCAGGTGCGCGTGCGTACGGCTGGACGCCGCGCAGCAAAAGACGCTGCGCCGGCCGCAGGCGCCGACAAGGCTCGCGCCCCCTAAGGACGCTCGCGATTTTTACGTACTCATCCGGGTGAGTATGAAAAATATCGCCAGCTACTGGCAGTTTCCATACTCGTCAACAAGTATGGTAACGGCCAGCCTGGTAAGGCCAGTGCGCCAAGATGGCCCTCACCGCGCGTGCGCGCAGGGCCACGTTGCTTGCCCGTCCTTTGTATCGGTGCAGCCTACAGGCGCACTCGACGTGTTGAGCAGGCCGAAACAAAGAGGTCGAAGATAGGTGCGTGAGGGACATACCGCGACCTTGATATGTTAGTCAGTTGAGGCCCATCTGTGTGTGTTTTCGTGCCAGTTCCTGCGCGCCCGCCCGCCCGCCCACTGGTCGTGAGTTATCGCTTGTTTTGGCAACATACTCACCCGCCCCACCTGTTTGTGTGCAGTAGATCCCTTACTCTCGTTGTGATTGCGGAGCACTAACTTCTATGCAAATCCCTGGCATCAAACTGCTCCGCAATCTTCCACAGGAATATTTGCGAATACGCGCCGAAAAAGGTAGCCCTTTCAGTCGATTGCCACACGCTGAGGGCTGTTTGCGCAGACGTGGCGCAAAGCCGAAAACTGCAAAGAACCCGCGCTAATGCTCCCCCGATGGACCTGCCTACTCGGCCGCTTACCGCATGCTGTGGAGTGAGCGTTTGCACATCTCCCACAGAATACGGCGACGCAAACCGCAGGCTCTTCGCGAATTATATTCCCGGAAGGGGCCCGCAGCTTGGGCCGATTGCAACAAGCTGTAGGCACTTGGCGAATATTGATACTCCGCGGAATCTTCCGAGATACTTACTCGGAATGCCCCAAGGCATTCCGCAAAACCTTTCCGAATATTTCCCGAAAGAGACCGCCTCGTGGGCCGATTTCCGCATGCTGCGGGATTGGAAATAGCAATAGTTTGCAAATGAAACGCAAACATTTTGTTAAGACATAGCTTTCGCTGCTCTGGTGTTCCACTCATCCAGACCTAGACATTTTTGCACTACATAATTGAGAAACGCAACCGTAACAAAGTCTTGACCTGTGTGTTAGGTTGAACAGCATGAGTGCTGCAAATTCATTACTGTTCTTCTCTGTCTTTCTTTTTTCTTTTGCTATTGGGCTTGAGAACACTCGCACACACTTGCACGCGTCTGCTGCGCTGGGCTCGTTGGTTGTCAACAGCTGCGCGACTCCCCCGCCTGCAAGTAAGCAAGCAAGTGGCGCCAGTCTCTTGCTGCGCTACATCCTGCAGGCTCAGCTCATTCAGGTCCATCAAGATTCTCACGCGATTCCATCGCATTCCAGGAGCACGGTCCGCTTCGTAGCTAGCTAGCTCATTCGGGATCTTGGTCGAGGGTGCAAACTTTATCTAGGATGGATCTTCTGGATAAAGTTTTGCTGCAGGATCTACCAAAGAAATGGGAGCAGGGTCGCTTCACGAGCTACAGAGCCTGGGTAGAAATTTTATCTAGGACGGCGGTCCTGGATAAAACTTTGACTCGGGGCCCAGCAAGTGAGCGCCCTGATCCTGGTACACCCACAGGCTGGGGGGGCCGTCGCGCCACCCGCCACAGAGCCTGGGCAAAGATTTTAGCTAGGGCGGCGGTCCTGGATAAACCTTTGACCCGGGACCCTGCAAGTGAGCGGACGGGCCTCGTCAGTCATCTCACCACGGAACGGGCCGCACTTGGGGCGATCGCGTTACGTGTGTGCGAGACCGATTTCCATGACCAACGCCACCAAATCGCGTTGGTTGTGGACAGCGCAGCTCGATCGGTTATAGAATGAGCCACCTCCCCATGCGTCACTTCTCCATCATGGGAAAACACTTCCCGATTGGTGGGGACGCACTGCTTCAGTAATGGTGTGGCAGCGGGGAAGTCAGCCCCCACTTCCCCACCATCTGGCGACAGCAGTACAGTGGCGCCCGCAGCTGCGCAGCACGATCCCCGCGGCAGCCACCTGCTCTCATGCATGCTGGCACGAAAGTGAATGTGAGGCGAAGCATGCGGCGCGCGGCATTGCAAAGGAGTGCACAAAGCGAAGCACCGAACACGGAAGCACGTGGTTGGCAGGACAAAGACGACGCGGGAAGAAATGAAGCGTCGCCGCCATCCGGCCCGCCCGCGCCGTCGCACCGGCGGCCCCCCTAGGCAAACGCATGGTGAGCGACTCTACGCATCACCAACCCAGCTGCAGGGAGGCGATGCAGATTCAGGGGCGGTCGGGAAGTGAGGCACTTCGGGAAGTGATACGTGGAGAAGTGAGAAAAGGGCCTGGGAAAGTGACACACTCCCTTAGCGAGTTGCGCCTGCGCATGCGCATGCGGTCCGTGTTTGTAAGTCATTAAAACACATTTTGCAATCGCATTGAAAGTGATTCGCAACTGGAACTTGAGTATGAGTGTTAGCATCAAAATATATAGACGTGACTACCTATCTCGGTCAGCGACAATAATGGTTCTGATGCTTTATTCGTTTGTTTTGCACTTAGGTTCAGAACAGCGCCCAAGTCGTCCTCCACCCAGTCGTCCCAGTCGTTTTCGAGTAGCGCAGCGGCGGCTTGTTCCTCTGAATCAACAGCTTGGTCGTGTTCGTCCTCCTTGGGACCGGGGTTCTGTGGTGGTGTTTCATTATGTTCTTTTCCTGCACTTTTTTCCTCTTCTTCCGCGGCGACATGTTGATGATGTTCATGTTGTTGATGCCCTCCGTTGCCAGCCATAGGTCCTTCTTCCTTCGCCATCGTCTTCTCTTCCTTCGCCAGGTTTTGTTCTCTTCCTTCGCCATGGTCTTCTCCTTTTTCTCCAGCAGTTGGCTGGTCAGCGCCAGTTCCAGCAGCTTCTTTTTCTTCCTCACGTGCCTTTTTTTCTGCAGCTTCTTTTTGTTGCCTTTTTCTTTTTTTTTCCCTTGCGCGTGCGCGCATCTTCTTCGCGAACTTCTTCCCGTCGTCCGATTCCAAAAATTCTGCTTTCCGGTGGTCCATTTGTATCACTGTCCAAATCGCGTATCGCATGGCGTATTCCACCCGCCCGCGTGCATATGCCATCTGCCTGCTTTCTCCGTTTTCTGGCCTGGTTGACGCTGTTTTCACCCTGGTCCACGGCCGCAGAAAAAAATCATGGAGCGGCAAATCAGGGTTCCGCCAAGGTGCGTCAGCGAATTTCATCTCATTCATTCCTCTTTTGAAGCCCGCGAAAAATCCTTGACTTTTTTTGCCATTCATCTCAAGCGCTGAGTAATCCCCGTCCCCGACTGCCACTGGTGGAACCGGAGAAACTGGGAGCAGGCTGAGACTCGCTTCCGCAGCTTCGTTTTCTTCGATCTCCACGCGTTTCGCCGCTCCCGTCGTAGGAGTTGGAGCTTTCACTTCCTGTCCTTCTTCTACCAAAGTCGCGTCGTCGGCTTCTGCAACTACTTTCTTCTTGCTTTTTCTTTTCGTGTTTTTCTCTTTCACAGCTTCATGACCGGCGAGGGCGTCTTTGACAGTGGCCTTTCTTTCTTGTTGCGAAGGCGAAAACGTAGAGGGAAGCTTGTCTATTTGACGTGGATGCAAAGGCGAAGTTTCGGCGCCGGACGACCCTGCGTGATCCGGACCGACATCCGTCGAAAATTTTTGCTCTTGCATCACACAAAAGATTGCTAGCAACTTCAGCACACTTATCGTGATGTATCTTTATGAAAAATACGGCAACGAGATCTGTTCGAAAATTTGTTAATTTCGCGGAACTGCACACGGCATGCAGGCACATCAGCGTCTTGAACGCTACACAAGAAAGAGCAGTAGTCGTCATGGTCACTACAGTCATATGCAGCAATCTACATGAGAAAAGTACGAGGAAGTACTAGCAATTTTCTGCATGATAATACTGCCCGCGCGCGCACCAGCTTTGTTCTTTTGGGATGATGAAATTGCTCGGTTTTCATGGCTTCCAGCACTGGTGTCGGGAAGAGAAGATTGTGCTTGAGCAGGAACAACCACGCCGTCGAGGAGTTGGCTGAATTTTCCACTTCTGTCCTTCACTTTGTGACCCTTGGCATCAGCAACGAGAACTTCTTCGCTTGTTCTTGCACTGGTGGAAGCCGTTTGTTGTTTTCCAGAAGATTGCTGGGAGTGTTCACCTTCATTCAACGCCGAAAAAGTGCTTCTCGCCCGCGTCTCAGGGGCCGGACCTGCATCAGCCAGTGTAGGGGCGGTGTCCAAGTTCTTGCTACTTCCAGCAGCGTCGGTAGATGCAGACATCGTGTTCACTTTTTGTACTTCCTCTGCTTCGTGCATCGATGCTCGAGACGCGAATGCTGGATCTCGCCTTTTATCAGGCTTTTCTGCATTTTTTTGCAGCTGCTTCCCCGCACCGATAGCGACAGGTCGTTCGTCCACCTCCTCGACGTCACTTGCATCCAAGCGGCTTCCTGTAGAGGATGTCGATGTAGTAGACGTTGCATCTGGTCGTTCGTTTAGGCTGGAAGCTGCCGCACCATCGATTCGTTTTTTACCTGTTGCATAAGGTTATAAATGCAGTTGAAAGGAACAACGCCAAGCGCATGATAAATGTGCGAGTGGAACTTTTGACTGGACGCGGAAGTTGCAAAAGCAGGACAAAAAGCAAAAACAAAATAAGGGAGTACCCCTCGTTTCCTGGTCCGCCTGATTACGGTGTGCTTGGTCAATACGCGATGAAGTGATTTCGCTTTCAGTCGTGTCCGCAACATCGTTCGCAATAGCGTCCAGTGCGGATGAAGGAGGAGATGAAAGCCTCAGGGACGGAAGGTCCAGCGCGTTGTTATTTTTCTCCTTCGAGAGGACTGCCGTTGACAATCTCCTCGCAGAGTTGGTGGCGTCCAAGGCGTCCGACGTATCCCTCGTGTTCCCGAGTGCCGCTGGCCTGCTGCTCGGAACCGTGTTTGCATCTGGTGCTGCGCCCTCCTGCTCGCCGCCCTCCTTCCCTCTTACAGGACTTTCTTGCTGCGCTTTCTTGGACGCATCGACGGAGATCATCTCACCCGTGGTGGAAGCGCTCGTCGTACTGCCGACTTCGAGAAACGAAAAAGCTGGCTGAAGCACTCCTGCCACATCCACGTCAGCAGTTTTTTCTTGTAGTACGCCAGTGGTGTTTCTAGTTGTTTGGCGCTGGTGCGTTCTTTGCGTCGACGAAGATGCAACGTCGCTAGTCATTTGTTCTTGTTCTCCTCCTCCAAAAAAAACAGACAGCGGAAACCACGACGTGGGATCAAGCCATCCCGACCACGAGCTTGAGGGTTTACCAGCGCCCGCGGGGTGCGCTGCAGAAGCGCCACTCATCGTAGAAGCGTTACCGTCTTCCGCAGCAACTTGTTCGCCCCTTGCCGCGGCTGCCCGCTCAACCGCAAGGCGCTTTTCCGAGCGGAGCATGTGCCGCCGCGCATGAACGAGCGTCGGAAAGGACGTAAAGTCGAGCATGGCCAGGAACAAGAACGCAATGCAGACCATCATGTAGTTCCTCCTGGTCGTCATGTTGCAAGGGTTGTTTTGTAGTGGTCGTGTCAGTCGAATGTTCGCTGTGCTTCGTCGCACCATGGAATATCCTCTTCCTGCTGGTCCACAACCGGATTTATCAGGCGGTTTGTGTTCTGTGGTGGACAAGCTAGAGATCCCCCTCATCTTAATTGTTACTTGGTTCGATCGGCAGATCTGATCAAATAACTTCTTGGAAAAGGACTAAGTACGTGTCTCAGCATTCAAGACAGTTCGTTGGCGAGTTAAGTATTTCGGGATGACGACTAGACAAAATGTCTCTCTCGATTCTGCCTCTGCCGGAAAGAAAAACGAAACCCGTCAGTATACGACTTTCTCTCTACAACGAGGTGCTGCGCTGACTCGCCACACCGCTCAACCCGTACCCGTACAATAACCACAGACCCCTCGTCTACCCAATTTCTCATCACCTGCCAAAAACTGGTGCGACTTTCGAAACCTGCTGTACTCATGACGCCCCAAATCGGTGGCTTCCTCTCGCTCCTTTTCACTCCTCGTGGTCCTCGTCCAACTTTTCCGGTGAGCTTACGATGCTTCATAGAGCCGGCCCTGTACACTTTCACTCCCTCGTCTCTTGCTCTTGGTGCCGTCTGCAAAGAAAAAAATAAATAGCTGCTGTATCTATGGCACGAACATGATGACACTCGTTCAACTTAGCGATCCTGCTCGATTTATGTACGCGCCACCTCCTCGCGTTGGTTGTTACATATACACTCATCGCGAGAGCGGCGTCTCCTTTCCGATCTGATGGCACACAACATCAAATGCGCTGATTGCTATTGTTTGAAAATTGCGCGATTGGATTGGCACTGCGCTGAACCCCTCTCTCCACGAACCAGTCACTTCTTCCCCCTCCTCGCTCCTCCTCTACCCGGTGCAAATGTGTCTTGTATTTCAGCTCGCATGCCAACGGTTTTGTCTTCCCCTATCGACAATGCCTTAGACCTTCTCTTTTTCCCAAAAGCTTTTATCACGATGAGGCAAGATTTGGCTTTCGTACGAACTAGTGGATTTACTAGCAGTGACGATGCATCTATTCAACAGCACTAACAAGCTGGTGTTCCACCCAACACTTGCATCACAGCCGCAGTGTCGAGTGTCGACAACTTTTCCCTTTTTTTCTTTAGACTGCGAAACTTGGTACAGTACAAACAAATACAAAGGTCAAATTGATCTACGTCACCAGCATGATCCCGTCAGGAAAGAGCGCCTTTTCTTCGAAAGTACAAATATCAGAACTGCTTTGACGGCCTGTGACAGTCGGAGATTAATACAGTTTCGTTTTTACATACAACACGCAAATACAAGGTCATCTGCGGAGGAGGAGGTACTAGTATCATTTCCGCCGGTACAAGCAACATGATCTAGACGAGGTGGTTGCGGGTAAAATAGTTTGATATAGTAATGCTAATTCCTTTTCATTTGGTACATTTTTCAAAACCACAGAAACTGAAACTTTTTAATCGTGATACAAAGAGTGAATGCGTTTGTACATGCGCATATCACGTCTATTTAGAAAGCGCCAAGACAAATTTCCATTTCATCAAATGTGTTACTGTCACCAATTTCCGCCGTCGAATCTGCTATTCGCAGCGGTGAAGAACCGATTCTGACCAGTACAGTACCGCTCTACCCTGCTCTTCACGTCCTTCCGCTTTCGTAACTGCCGTGCTTTGGCGTATAAGCCACACGTGGAGAGAGAGTGGACCCTGCTTGCCGTCGAAAACCGGGTCTAGGCTTGGTTCTCGATTTTGGTCGGCACCTTGTGCAATTAATCTCGCAGCCTCTAACTTTGGTTCGTTATTCTCATTTCAAGCAGAGAGGCACGGACTTGCATCTGGAGTACAGTACCTTTTTAGCGCTGCTGATATCGTCACTGCCGAACAACGATTCCAGGCACAGCGTCCTCGAGCTCCAGCGGCAGGTCCTTAATTATCTGCAAGATGAACAGTGCAAAAGTCGCTATCGCGATGGTTCTTCATTCGTCTGCAAACCTGTGAAGTGAAAACGATATTTCTCATGCGGTATGCGAGATCATAGCCGAACAGCAGACGCTGAGAGAGCTGTATCCACTAAATATATTAGTGTTGCATTCTATCTTCGGAAGATGAAAGCAAAATGCTTACCGAAACTTCGGCATTCAAACAAGATGTGCTTCGACTTCGTAGAGACGCTCTGCCGTCGAAATCTGGTAGAAGGGGCCGTGGTGTCATGCCTTCCTTCGTTACCGGAGAGACAATTTCTATCTAATACCATCAATCAGGGGAATCGCGAGGGGTGAAGGGAAGGGTAGAAGCCGCACAGGAAGAAACTCAGGGTGACGAAATCCATCCTGCTTTTTACGAAACAAAGTGAGTCCCGTTATCCAACGTCATCCTGCTAAGCGTCACAACTGTGGGGGTGATTAAGAGTGAGGGTGTGTGGTGCTTGGTATGGTTCTGCGACTGCTTGTTCATTCTGCAGGCGCAAACCTGTGATGTGAAGCAGGTGATGCAAATTCAATTTACCTGCAGCTGCAGTGTCCTCGCAACGCACCTGTACAAAACAATACAGCACAAACTGGTAGGCATGCATCTGGTAGATTTTCTTGGCCTTTTCCAGCAGCACCAAACAAAAGTGAAAATTAGAATTTTTACTGTTGTACCAATATCATTCTTTTCGTCTGAACGAAGTCAGAAATCCAGCTCGTCCTCGGATTCGTCATCCAAATCCGGCGGCCCGAAACCCCAGTTCTTTTTCTTTATGAAACGCAAAAATCCAAGTTATCACGTGACGCTCGTTTCGTGATGCGATGAAAGCGAAAGAATAACGATCCTCATCTAGCTAGCCAGATTTTACGCATGATGGAATACAAGAACAGCGCTTCCACTTTTACATGCGTGTGGAACTCCAACTCCAACGTATCTTTGCGCATTGCTACTCGCGAACGTCAGTGAGGCAAAGAAAAGTAGTTTTTTTTTCGGGATATTCCAGATATTGAATTGGGTCGATGTCTCCTGGCTATCCTAAGGAAATATAAGTCGACTCTCATCAAGCAGTCACACAGATACCCTTGGAATCTGACTCGATCTTTGGTCGCTCCACGGTGCAGCCTTGTTTTCAAGCTTAGATGTTCAAAAGAGCGCGATCAGATTCTGGTAGTGGCTGCATAGAAGAGGCACAATAATTCAGGTGCAGCACATGAAAGATGCAAAGGACGACACAGATTCTTATGACTGCGCTCATTAAAGATTCGACCATAAATTTCGCTAGAATAGTGCACGAAGGTTCCGTACTCCAGCACTTTCCCAGCACCCGCCGAGAGACTCCGGGTCTATCATCATCATCATCATCAACGCGTTAGCCGGGACTTTTGTTCAGAAGTTCTCGTCAAAAGTAACTGATCGTTCGGATCGGGGCTGTGCGTACACCATTATCAATTTTTCTTCTCCTTTTCGTGGGGGGTGGCTAATCTATCTGACGCTGTGCGTTCCGTCAGACTCTCTCACGAACCACACTCCACCCACGCTTACTTCCTCCTTGCCCGAGTTTTCGCAGAAGAAAGTGTCCGAAATTTCGAAAACGACATCAGGGTTGTCTTGAAGATGCCATCTCCGTTGTCCGTGCGCCGATGGTGTCCACTTTTTTCCGTGCAAAGCATTCACCATCTCCTGCCGCGCATCTTCTTGTTCCTTCTTTTGCTGTTCCAGCCTCTTGCGACGTTCCTCCTGTGCCTTTTGCGTCTTTATCGACTTCTTCCCGCGCTCCGGCCCCTTCCTGGTTTTTGCCTGTTCCCGCCGCGCTGTAGCGTAAGGTCTGCGCTTGGTCAGCAGCTCCCTTACCACTGGCCCGGTCGGCCGCTGCAGTGCGAGGTCATCGAGGCTAATCCCATAAAAATCCAGGTCGGCTGCTACCAGCTTGCCCCAGTGCGTCTTTTGATCGATTTCTTCCTTGATACGGTCTAGAGACCCTTCGCCCGAAGAGTCGCGCGCCGCATGAGCGACCCAGGCGATGCGCTTCTCCCTAATTTCGGTTTCGATCGTTTGCACACCGAGGGCCCGGCACATGTCTTCGGTGCTTGGAGCATTTTCCCAATTCCACAGCCCAAGAATATAGCGAAGGGTGTGGCGCTGGAATTCACGCAAGGTCTTGGCATCGTGTTCATGAACCGACCAAACTTCCGCGTTGTACAGTGCGATGCTGATGCACAAAGCCCGGTCTATCAAATGTAAAAATGTCTGGGTCTGGAAGATTCTGAGACTTGTCATGCACGTTTTGCATTGGCCATGATGTCTGTGATGCATGCCCTAGCATCACAGATTTTTTGAGGGCTTCGCGATGCCTATTCCGCATGACAAATGCCCTCTCCGCATAGCAAAAATTGCATTCCCTTTGCTGCTCATGGAATACAGATTTTTCTGGAATCCAAATTCAGCATCACAAGTTGCATTCTTCCGGACCCAGACATTTTTGCACTTGATAGGGTCAACCAGGTTGCAACTCCGTTTCCAGCGGCCGCTTCGACAGCCCGACGGCGCTCCAGCTCCGCCAGCATGTTCACGATTTGGAGCTGCAGCTGCTCTTGACCCTCCTCGTCGAGCTGCAGCACTTGTTCATCCAGCTGATTGGGATCTCCGTCTACTTCATCACCCGGATCATTCGCATTGTGGTCCCAGTGTATGGAAGGCAGTAGAAGTTGCTTTCTCTTTTTCACAAACTAACTGCCGGCTACCGATTTGTATTTGCCTGTAAGAAAGTCATGCCATGAGAAAACTCGCGTTGAAAAGTGGAGAGAAAGCAACCATTCCAGCACTTCATACGATCGCTTCCCAGCATGTTGCTCTCGATGTCGGCCACGTCCTCGCCCTTCAACCGTTCCAGCTCCTTGCGCCGGCGCTGCCACCAGCCGTACAAGAAGTAGGACACGAGTAAGCTCGCAGTAACTGCCACAAACAGAAACAAGGCCATCAAGGAAAAGTCGCTCGGGTGGTGGTCGAAGCGGAGCATGACCAGGAACGAGGTGTAGAAGTTTTGGAGTTGTTTCCAGGCGTATTCACCCACGGCGGCGAGGAAATCGTAGGCGTCGGTGAGACAGGCGGCGAAGGTATCGGAATGATGCTGCGAGCCATGCGGAATTCGATGCGCTGCTGCAGGTTCAGGTACCCCATGTGGCATGTCTTCGAGCAAACCGGCCGCCGCGTTCGTTAGTGAAAATGTGTTGGAAGAAGCCGGAGTTGCATGCAGCGACTCCGCGGTAGCACTCCCAGGACTTGTCGAGGAGTACAACAACTGCGACGAAGAGCCGTTGTCGGTAACAGCTGTGGTTGTACTGCCTTGTCCCGACATGTTTGATGTCGTGGCCGAGGAGCTCGCCGTTGGCTTGGGCTTGTTGACGGAGGCCGACAATGATACCGCGCTTGCCCCTCTTCGCGATGAACTGGATCCAGATGTATGTTCGCCATCTTCACCTGGGTTTTTCTTCACCTCATCTTCTACCTTTGTGCCCGACGTCTTCGCCCGAGTCGCTTCCTCCTCGTCGTCGATGTGGACGCTCGACGTTTTCATCTTTCCTGCCTTTTCTTTCGCGAAAGTGGACACGCTGGTGCGACTTCCATCTTTACCGTCTGGATTCTTCCTAATCGACGAAACGGAGGGGGAAGTGGAGGGCTCTTCTTGCTGCAGAGACGACGGTGAGGAGGAGCTGGCAAGTGCGCTTTTTGGAAAAGTACTGCCGCCACTCCGATCCTGATTTTCTCCTTTGGATTTCAGCCTTTCCTGATCGTGGACGTTCTGCACGAGCTCTATCGCACTGGACAAGCCGTCTACCGCAGCCGTCACATGGTTGTTGGCCTTGTCAGGATGGACGGTGGCAATGTTGGAAGAAGTACTACTCTCGAGAAAAGTATGATCATCTGTAGAGGTCGCAACGAAGCTGCTGGATTCTTCAGCTTCACCTTTTTTTACCGCTGTTGTGTCTTTTTGTTCATATTTGAACTCCGCCGCCTTCGGAAAATACCCCTTTCTCTGGATATCGTCCAGCAGTTCAAGGCTCGCCACACTGTGGTCGATGTGCATTGCTGCGACGCCAGCCAGCGCATACACAGCGGCATCACTAGCGTCGGGACGCAGGCCCTTCAGGATCGCAACAAGTCGCACTGCGAACTTCTTCGTGATCGTGCCGTTACCCCCTTTTTCTTTTCGCGCCTTCTGCTTCGTGACCCACTTATCCCTTGCGGCATCCAGACTGTCGGACAAATCTTTTCGCGTCAGTTTCAATGTCGAATTCTCCTTTATTAGAGACATCACATTCTTTACTGCTGCCGTTTGGTCTGCACTCTTTAAAGCATTCCACATTCCGGTGAGTGCATCGTAGATCGCTTCTCCCACAGGTTTACAGGGGAATTTAGTCGTGTCTGCACTTTCGGTGCTGACCTTGTCCTTCATCTTGGCGTTGGTGTTCTGTGCGCCGTTTGCAGCATAGCTAAACTCGTCCTTGTTTCCGAAAAATGCAGCAATCGCCCCGTCTAACATTGGCTGAGTCAACGCCTTCGAGTCGGTGTTGGTAAAGTACTGCGTCGCGACAGTCGTGAGTTCCGAAATTACGCTATCCTGGGTAGAAACGTCCCCACCCCAGAATTGTCATGTTAAAGGAATTGCAGCACACTTTGCGACCCCCCCCCCCTCTGCCCCCGGCCACAGATGGCTTGACACGAAGGGGGGCTACGTCAGGCGGACACCAAAGTACCCAAAAGTTGTCATGCAGATTTGCAATTACAGAAAGATTTGCATTTGTAACGCGCATCCCCATGAGGGGCATTTCCAATCGTGCTTCGGCATTTGTAATGCTTAAACCGACCGAAACCACAGAGAAACGCGCCTTGCAGGTTCCCCTTCCGCATATGGTCGGGCGTCCAAAGCACGGAGTCAGACGGACCACAAGTGCCATCGTCATCATCCTCGAGCACATTTCCACACCTCTCGCTAAGTTGTCTTTTTTTCAGGTCCTCACTCGCAAGCACGCGTTTATAGCTCGCCAGGATTCCGCATTTGCAATGCTGTACACAAGATAAGCGAATGGGTCGGTGATGCGGCTTTCCTGGCTAAACTGCACTAGAATACAGAGTGGGCGTCTCTGACGTCTCAAATCGATTCGAAATGACGATGATCGAAATACGAATCGTTGAGATGTCTCTGACAGTAGAGGAACTTGTCATGCGTAACTCCCAAAACTTCTGGATTTGTGTTGGTAAGTACCAATCCGCACGGCTGCGCCGTGGGGAAAACCATGCCTCGACCCTTCAGATTTTTTCAGCCGTGTATGAAAAATATGCAGAGCCAGTTGTTTTTTCGCTGTGGTGATTTCCTCCGGCCCTTGTTCACGATGAGAAAACAGTGAAAAAACAAACAGGCTCACACATGTTCTTCGTTCTTTATTTGTTGACTGCAGTCGTTTTCGTTCTCTATTTGCTCACGCATGTTTTTCCTTCGTTTTTCTGTGATTTGCCACTTGAGTTTTCCGATGGAGAGCAGTCATGTCAGACTACGCACGACAGCAAATTTTTTAGCTGCGGCGCTTTCGCAATCGAATGCGATAGCGTGCCACCTCCTCAAACACTGTTACTTGGTCCGAACCCGGCGGTCGGGTTCGCAATGCGCTGACTGGCCGCGCATCGCGCTCTTCAATTGCAGCGCGTACAGCTCAAAAAAGGTCAAAACTAGCGCAGGCGCTACTGTAGGCATTTTGCCTCTACTGTCTGTAGGCGCCTACAGTAGATATAGCGCACACAGGACAGCGGAAAAAAGCGAAGAGCTTCTGTAGGCTCAACAGTAGACTTTTTCGCTTTGCTGTAGGTGCCTATAGTAGAAGGGTCTACTGGAGCTTTTTCCAAGTTCTTCAGCAGGCTCTACTGAAGGTTTTCGCGTCGTGCGCGTAAAATTTTTCGAGGCATTCTCCAGTAGACTCGCCTGCAGAAGGTTCAAAACCTTCAGAAGCCTTGTCCAATAGTTTTCCACTTTGGCACTTTTGAAACCAAAAAAAAATGCTACTTTTGGCAAAAATATCCATAGCTGTAGGTATACACCTTCTGAAGGTTTAAAACCTTCAGAAGAAATTTTTTGGGGCCACTTCTACTGTAGAGTTTATGCAAGGTCTACGGTAGACTGAACCCTACTGAAGGTTTCAAAAATTAATTCTTTTCTTGCAAAAAGGATTGAATTCTGCTTCAAAAATTCGATATTTTTTTACGTCTGTTTTTTTGACCTTCAGAAGGTTTCTGCTGCCTTCTGTAGGTCTTCTGTAGAGTTTCCTTCTGGAGAATCTCTGATTTTTTTCCCCTATACCTAGTACTTCAATATGTTTCCAACTTGACTCTGGGGTGGGGACGCTTTTGCTCAGGATATTTATGGTCTGGTACTGATCTCCCTTCCGGCAAGATGTCCTGTAAATACTCACCGACGTTCTCTAAAATGAGTGGTCCAGACACACCCTGGGCATGTTCTACCTTCTCTTTCAGCTCCGGATCTTCGCCCTGGTACTTTTCCTTGAGATACTTCCATAGCTCTAGTAGCTCCTCGTCCGTGAAGCGTCGTGTCTCGTTCTCTTTCACCTCAGCAGCTGCCCGATTCACCTCAGCAGCTGCACCGTGATGAGCTAGTGCGGTCTCGAAATCTTTCGCTAGCTTTTCGAGAGATTCATGAGATAGCTCACCTTTCGCGCTTTGCCCAGGCATGGTCTTTGCGTTTCTTGCAAGTTCTCAAAGCCCTCGACGAGAAAAACTGAAAGATCGAGATAGATGCACTGGATGATATCTATCAATCATTTCCCCACAACAGGCGGCCGAATTGTTTTCTGTGCTCTTTCCAAGTTTCTAGCTTCAGGAATTTCGACTTTGTAGTTTATTGATCTCAAAAATCGTACGGAGGAACTGCTGCGATCATTGCAGCCCCTCTTCACTATTTTCGACACTTTGTATATCCTCACTCATTCATTCACAATCTAATGTAAGTCTTAGATTGTCCCGCGGCCAACAAGGCTCTTTTTTATCCCTCTAATAGGAATGATTTGCCCTTAGAAAGACAATTTAGTGCAAGCTTCTTAGACGAAAACTAATTGTCCGGCACGCTTGAGATGCTGCCCTCGTTCTGTCATTGATTTCCTGGAGGTTGATTGTCTGCGCTGGATTGCATTGAGAGCCAGGCATCTCGAGCGACGCAACACCACCCGTTTTAGCAGTGAAGGGACAACGACGACGATTGGACTCGGAGTCAAGACAGCTGACGCTCAATGATCTCTATGGAATCAACTCGCTTTGGTACGGTGAGCTTACGATGCCTCATAGAGCCGGTTCCTTTACACTCGAACCCCATCCGAATCGTCTTTCAGTGCCGTCTGCTTGACGTACGAGCGAAGAAAGAAAGAAATAAGTGCGTGACAAGAACACAGCGGCATTCGATTTCAATCAACTCAGCTCTCCTGATTGACTTAAGTATGTACGCACCAACTCGCGCTGGTACAGCTTAGATTACAATAGATTGATACCTCATCGCAAGAGCGTCGTCTTCTTTCCGATCTGATGGTGGAAACAAACCGCAGCAGTGTCTATTTGCAATTACGTGATTGGATTCAGCGTGAATTCAATAGGATTGGCGCTGCGCCGAACCCTTCTCTTTCCATAAACCAGTCACTTCTTTCTTTTCCTCCCTCCTTCTGCAGTAGCTGCAAATGTGTCATGTATTTCTGCCCGCATGCCGACGATGGTTCCCGGATTGTGCCCCACATATATCGTCGACGCGCTGTCGTTGGTCCCGACTTCTTTCAGCATGTCAAAGTAATTGACAATCAGCAACAGCTCCATCACGTCGCTGGCGGACACCCTGTGATAGAAATTGCACAAAGTACTTGTTTCTTGTCTTTACGGATTTTTCATGCAAAGGCCGCATCGTCACAATCTACAAACGCAGCAACCGGCTACAACATTATCAATACTTCAGCCTGGACTCCGCCTTGTTCCCGATTTCTATGAGATCCGGGTGTGTCAACGCTTCTGGTGGGAATAAAGAGTCCGTGTTTTCCACCCCCACATCGGTCGGCATACGCAGCTCATTCGCGTCATGCAGCAGTGCGTGCGCCGCCACGTCGTCTCGCGCCTCGGTCCGAATTTCCATCGTCGCCCTGATATGAATAACGGAAATTCTTGGTGAACTTGAGTAGCTATTCAAAAAACTGTAGTGGCACCATGCGGACCAAAAACGACGCGCTTCCTACTTCCTCAAAACAGACTTTCTTATACCTTCTGGAAAACCTAGGTCTTGACCCGGAGTTGTTACTTGCCACCGCTGGGTCTACCAAAACTAATTCCCCTGAAGCACTGCCCTCCGCCGTCGGCGACCCCTCGCTCTCCGCGATCGCCGAGTCCACGTCTCTTATCGCCGCATGTTCCCGCTCGAACGTTTTCACCCTTTGCGCGTGCACCAAATCTAGTTTTCTTTTCAGCTCGCTTTCGTCCGTTTCTAACAGTTTATGCATGGACATCTCCATGCCGCGCAGCAAAGCCACCCGCTGCCGCCCCATGCCGACGCCCAACAACCGCTTGCGCTCCGACTCGCCCTCGGCCCGTTTCACCACCAGCATTTTCTCCGCTTCTGCTTGGTCGGTCGTCGCTTGTCGCAGCCGGCGTAAGGTTTCGATTTGGTTCATCGCTTGGAAGACCTTCGCGGCGGGCATGATTTCCTGCACTAGAACTGCGACCAGCTGGTAGCCGTAGCTCGTCATCACCTGCGTTAGGCGCGCGCGGACGGCGGCAATCAGCACGTCTCGGTCGTTGAACACCTCGTCGAGCATCCGCGTGCAAATCACGGATCTCACTTCGTCTTTCACGTAACTCCCGATCTGCTGCCTGACGTTGGTGAACTTGTAGAACGCGTCGGCCGCTCGTAACCGGTCGACCAGGTACTGCACCTCGAGCCTGATGTGCACAAACACATTGTCCTTCGTCTTCGCCTCGCAGTCCAGCGTCAGGCCCATCTGCCGCGTGGACAGCGTCCCGGCCAGTTGGCACATGCAGGGCACGGGGAAGCAGGCCAGGCCGGGCGGCTGCAGCCGGTTGAACTTATTGAAGTACTCGACCACCCCGATCTCATCCGCGGAAATGGTCACGCAGCAGGTGCACGAACACAGACTGGAGCCCATCTTAGATACTAGGGTGACACAAAAACAAAGGCAACGAGCTTTATTCTAGAACGCCATTCTCACAGACGACAATCCACTCTACTATCGTGACGCAATTTACCTCGCTTTTGTGGAACGGTTGCAACTGACTTCTCCAACCCTCTCTGCTTCTTATGTAACGCCGCGAGGCACGCACGCATGCAGCTCTAGTCACTCTACAAGAACGACATCATAAACAAAAACCCGTGCACAAAAGCAAAACTACTCGGACACAGTTGAAAACATTCGCTGCAGCAAAGTTGTGGGGATTTTTCCAGCCGGGGACGCGATAGTTCGTTTCTTTGTATCCGTTCGATTATTAGGCCGAAGCCGGGAATAGAACGCGTACGCGCTATTGTCCTGAAAAAGAAGTTGAAGTGTCGTCGGAAAATAGTATAAAATTCGGAGTCTGCTTCACTACAGTTCCCTGTCAGCAAAGTGTCGCCAGTATGTCACGCAAGACTGCTTTTCTTGCTTCGACCACGTCGAGCTCAAATTGCGCGATCGCGCCGGAGCCGGAATTCGCAGTGATGTTCTTTTCCTCCGCCATCTGCAGGCGAATTTCCTGTCCGAGTACCGCTTTTAACGCACGAAGTGCCAAATCGGACCCCGAGGCGTTCACGTCCAGGCTGTTTTCTTCTGACTCTTGCCTAAACCCAGTGGCCAAACTCATCGCTTTCTGCTGTCTTTTCACCTCCAAAATCTTCTCCAGACCCTGTTGCAAGATTTGCGCCACTTGAAGAACGGACTGAAAATTCGTCAGGGTGACCTGCTGCGGCTGTTGCTGCTGTTGTTGTGGACCTGTAAATACGGAAAAACCACTCCTACAAACAGTGATTGGATTCAGTGTTCTCCCCTGCTCCAGGTTGTGTTCCAGCGAATTCTCCTGACTGTTCAACTGGAGCACTCTGCACTGCAGTTCATACTCCTTCGCCACTGCCTGCAGTAAGGTGAAGAGAATGTGCGCTAAGTTCGACACAAACGGCGACCGCTGTTTTTTCCCGTTCACTAGCTGTTCTGACTTGTAGGTCTGGATTTTCTTCCCGAGTAAAATGTTCATGACGGAAGACAAGTTGGTTTCGGTAAACAGCAATTCCAACACCGCTTTGGTCACCATGACGATCACGTCCGGGAATTGGAGTTGAAGATTTAACTTTTCCAACAGCTCCGGAATCGGCAGAATCTCCTCCGCATTGCCACCGGAGGTGAGAAACATATTTTCGATCGCGGACTGTTGCTGCTGATTGGTCAGGCCGGCTTTCAGCGGAGTGTTTGATGTCGCTAGCGTCGCGGGCGAGGACGCCGTCGTGCTGGTCGCTGACGTTGCACCGCCGAAGGTCGGCGTCCCGTACCGGTTGAGCAGGTCGGAATTCTGCACCAGAGTGCTGTTTCCACCAGCGTTTGGCGGGGAGGAAAGCAACGGGCGCTGTACAACAGCAGAACTGCCGCCTGCAGCGTTCGTAATCGCCTGCAAAAGCTGCTTCTCATGCAACAGGCAGTGCAGACTCCCGGTGCTCCAGAGTTGGACAAGGAAAATCCGCAGCAGCGCGCCGAACCGGTTCTGCCCCTCGGGGTCCGGGATTTTTAGCAGGAAAAGAATTCCCTGCAACAGCGTCGTCGTCGTGTTTGACCCGCCGCGGAAGAGGAAATCTACCCAACTGAAGGGCCTGGCTTCAACCCGGGTGGAGTAGTCCACGAAAACGGAACTGTGGCCGCCGCCGAAGCCGCAAACCACCAACCGTGTCCACGCGGACGCGACGGTGCGAGTGAGAGAAAGAAGAGATGTGACCACCACCGGCTCGAACGAGGGAAACGCTTGCAGCATGGAGTTTGCTGGGTTACATGTTGAGTTTTTCCCCGTGGGGTCCTGCTGGTGTTGTATCAGATGCCAATATCGTTCAAAAACCGCAACGGTTTGCCTCACCAACGTCGGAATCAGCTCGGATTGGCAGATCAAACGGCAGAGTTCATTCTGCAACAACTTCTGCTTCCCGTTTTCCGTGTGCGCGAACATGGAGAGGAAAACGTGCTTGTAGAACAACTCCACGTGGTGGGGGCTGGATTTGGGAAAAGTCTCGTTGATCAAGCTGCAGAGCTCCTGGATAAAACTCAGCACATTCTGCTCGTTCAAATGCTGGGTCTGTCCGGTGCCAGACGTGCTGGACCAGAAGCCGTCCGCAGCCTCGGCGCAGGCGCCGAGCGTGCGGATCGCGGAAAATCGGATGTTGAACAGCCAAATGCCCGCTTCCCGGTCGTAATCATCGCGTCTGCAGTTCGGATTCTGGTCGTAGCACTGGCGACTCGCACTGCTGCTGGCCGAGGAGCTCGCTTGGTCTGCCCCGCTTTCGCCAACGTTCGTCCCCTGCTCAACCGTTGTGCTACTGGTGGTTGGCTCGGTGCTGCCGTGCGTCTTTTCGCTCCCCATGATCATCAGCCACTCCGTCTGCTCCACAAAGGCCTGGTTGGTGAGCAGCCAATCCGAGGGGTAGGCGTGGAAGAAGGACTTTAAAAGCTGAAACAGATTCGGCAAAATCTGCCTCACCAACTCCCCCGCGGGGTTGCGCTGTACCACGAACGCGTTCGGCTTTTGCGCCTCATCACCGTCGGCGGTGGTGCTTTGCTGCTGCTGTTGCACCGGCTGGCCTTGGCCGTTATCCGCCGCCGTGTCCGCCTTCAAAATGTAGGGACTGATGTTCGCGCTCGTGTGCTTCAGGATCATCAGATACGACTGCAACGCTTGCGAAACCAGCTTCGCGTCCTGGAAATACAACGACTTGTGCGTGTGCTTCTCCGGAATGGACGCACCGCTGCTGCTGGCACTCCCGCCCTTCTGCGAAACCGCCGCCGCCTCGCGCTGCGGGAGAAGGGCGTTTCTCAGCAGGTTTTCTTCGTTGCAGCAGATCCGCGCAATTTTCCCGCTCGTCCAATCCTGAACGGTGCCAGAGCTGGCGAGCGTCACGATCTCCCTCTGCTTCCGGAAATCAGAGCTTGCCGCTGCAACGAGTGCCTGGGTCAATAGCTGCTGGTTGTTCTTCGTTAAGGAAGAGTGCACCTTCTGCGCTTTCGTCATCAACGTGTCCAAATGCACCAAAACCGCGTTCTGCCCGTTTTTACAGATCGTCGTCAAACAGGTCAGCGCCTTGCGCTGGAGCTCCATCTGTACTAGAGACGCCTGCTCCGCGGCGGAGATAGGACCGGTCGTCGTTGTGTTTGCCGCAATGCCCATAGAATTCTGTGCAGTGGACGTCGCGATCTGGGCTTCTATTCTTTGGAACAAATAGTCCATGACGGGCACCACCACCTGGGGCCGCACCGGGTAAATCGTACTGACCTGCCCGACAAATTCCAAACGCACCGTTTCTAGCTTCAACCATGGTGGCTGGTTCTGCTCGCCGCCCTCGTAGGCCGGCTGCTGGTGTAATCTGCTTTGCTGCTGCTCTACCAGCATCGTGTTTTCGTATGCGACGAGCTCGTTGATCAGCGACAAAACGTTGTCCACGCAGTTCCCCGGGTCCGCGACCAGGTTCGGGTAGGTGGGCGGCGCCGCTCGTTGCTGCCGGCCCTCTTCGAGGTGTTTCTTGGACGCTTTCATCTCCTTCGTCATCTTCGCGATCAGGTACGGTGTCAGCCGGGTCAGGAAGCCAAGAGACGCTTCCAAGGCGGGGATCTGTGGTGATGTGGGATTTGCATAATACGTGTTAGATTTGTGCATAGAAATAAGCTGCAAGTGTAGCATAGATACTGAACTCCACATCCAGAACACGACGTAACATAGAAGTCAAGTCAATCCAGAAGATAAACCTCCCTATCACAAATATTCTATACCTTCACTGCCGTTTCCACGACTTGATCCGCACCTTCGTTAGTCAAAATTAGCCTGACCAGCTCCCGCACTTTCCCCACCAAAGGTACGAAAAACTTTTCGCCGCCGACCTCGGACAAGGTTTGGAGAAACAGGTAAACGCAGTTTTTCAACATTCCGAATTCCGAATTCGCGCTGTAGTCCAACAATTCCTGCTCAATCTGCTTGGACTGCTGCAACACCTGCAGCCACTGCAGTGCCTGGATTTCGCTCCCCGTCGCGGATTGCAGACATTTCGCGATCAACGGGTGCAGTTTTTGACTAGAATTTTGAGTCTGACCGACACTGTTCACGTTTTGCTGGTCCATGACTGGCGGCTTCCACATCCGCAGTAAACACACCTCCACGATCTCGTCCAGCTTCAGGAACGACGTCATGTTTTCCGACAAATCCTTCCACGGCTTCGCCAGTGTTTTCAGCGCCAGAAACGCTTCTGACGCGATGAAGTAGCTCGGGTAGCGCGCAGAGTGAAGCAGCAAGGCGCGCCAGAGAATGGAAATCGGGTTGGATTTTGGTTGTGTGGATGGGTTATTGGCGTTTCCCTGCTCGTGCAAGAACTCTTTGTTCAAGGATTCGGCGTTGGTCAAAACGAAATCTTTCACAATCGTCACGATCTGCCGGTGCTGCGCGAGCATGTCTTCCTGCTGCACGAAATTCGAGCTGTTCTGTTGCGCGTGGACCTGCTGCGTCATCGAAGAGCAAAGTTTGTTCAGATTCTCGCACAGCCGGCGGACGTCGTCCTTCTGGATCACCGTCGGCTGCTGTTGCTGTTGTCCCGCATTGTTGCTACTGTTTCCGCCTCCGCCTCCCTTCGTCTTGGCGTACAGAGGAGTGACCGACCACTCCGCGAAAGTCAAAATCACCTCCTCGCGCTCCTTGTCGTCGTCGCTCTTCTCTAGAATGCTGATCAGCGCGTCGTCGAACTTCTGGGAAAGAAGGTACGCCAAGCCCAAAATTGGCGTGAATGCCTTGATGAAAAGAATCTTCTCCTGATTTGAGATGTTCGGGAACGCCTGCATCCACTGGAACATCATTTTTCCTCGCTCCTTCAAGCTATTCTGCAGCTCCTTCTTCCGCTTCACCGGCAAATCCTTAACCGGCATAACGCCGTCGCCCACAGATTCCGCGAGTAACCGGAGGACAAGCACTGCTGTGTTAGGGTCTTTGTTTACCTGGGGCGAAGCTGAATTCGCTGCATTTACTGTAGCTCCAGTCCCGCAGTTCAAGAGCGAGTAGCTGCTGTTCCCACTAGCGTCAAAGAGTTCCGGCCACTCCTGGCGCTTGGCGATTTCCACCAGACAGGACGCGTACTTGGTCAACACAAACTTCATCGGCTGAATCTTCTCCGGAGAGACCTGGGTGAGCAGGAACTGCTTCACGAGAACGCGTTCATTTTCCGTCCATTTGCTCAAGTAGAAGGCCTTGATCGCCTTCTGTAACAGCTGGAACGCAAAGTGCTGGACCGCCGGCTTGTATTGGCTGGTTTGGGTGTCCGTCAGCGTCATCTGCAACAGTTGAAACGCGATGTCGTGGGTCTGCTCCGACGACTCCAAACCGATCAGAAACTGCTGGGCCTCGCGCCTTTCGTTCGGGGGCGTGCGCGGCTCGTGGGTGCGCGCCAGGGCGGATAAAATCCGGTCCAGCAGCCCCGGAGCCAAAAGCTGCTGCTGCTGTCCGGGGGCGGCCATGGTGTCGCGGAACGGGATACTCAGAGGCGTCAGGAGTGCGAACTCTGCTTCTCCTTTTCAACGTATAAGTCCGTGCGCTACAGCATTGTTCTCATGCGGTCGCTGTCCGGTCGAAGCGGTGGACCCGAACTATTTAAAAATCATGATTTTGTTCCTATTCAAGTACCTAACAGAATGTAGTCTTCACGTTGGGTGATTTTGTTTTTGAAGTTATGAATACGCTTGGATAATCAGTGTGTGAGTTGAGGGGTCACGTAAAAGATTGAAAAACATAAACTGGTCGCCAATACAACTGAAAATAACGATGGGTATGTTCATAGTGCCTGAAATGAATAAAAAAGAAGCGAAGTGATGAAAAAAACTTTTGCAAAGCATCAGATTGCCATGCTGATCCAGTGCGGGTTCTGTTGAGGAGCTTTCCACTTGCAAAAACAGGTTTCGATCGATCTAGACTTTCACGTTGATCCTCAGTAGTTGTGGTAGATGAAGAGCAATATGCAATTTGCATTGTTCAAGGCTGGCTCCTTTGTCATCTCCGTTTTTTGTTTTCTTGATCCAGCTCATCACTTGAATCCCGATCCTGTGAACCGGCTGTATCCCCAACGATCTTCTCTGCGACTGAACAAGGGAGGAACCACACACGCATTGAACAAAGTAAAGGCCGTCCGACCCCAAATCTCGATGGGAAAATAATGTTCGTCCCACTCATGCGATGATGGAAATAGTGTCGTCTTTGATGTAATTTCTTTGAAATCGATGCTCTCACTTGTCGCCGTTCAACCTTGCTGTTTCTATGTCATAATCGAAGAGAAAAATCCCTCTCGTGTGATACTGTGATACGTCCTACTTTCTGTGATCAGCACACCGAGGTCACCAAAAAAGCAGCGACCTCAACTCTGCACAAAGTAAAATACTCTTTCTCTACTGCAGAACTACCAATCTCCGCCGTACCCAGCCGTCCCGCCATGCCTGCTGCCCGTGATCAACACATCTGACTTCGTCGACTCGCGCTGCGCGGTCTCCAACTTCGGACAGGCCGCCACGCGGTGCCCGAGCCCGCCGCAGTACACGCAGCCCTTGACACCACCGATCTCGGCCACCTCGTGCCCCGGGGGAGGCACGATTTTTTCCAGCACCGGGTGAATCTTCTGCTTGGACTCCTCCAGCACCGCTTTCAAATCGAGCAAAATCCCGTCCGTGCACTGGATCTTGTTGATGAACGTCGTGGCCACCCCCGCCTGCCCCCTTCGACCCGTCCGTCCTATTCTGTGGATGTAATTCTCGATCTCCTTGGGCATGTCGTAATTGACGACGTGCTGAATGGCGAGCGGGAAATCCAACCCCTTGGACGCGACGTCCGTGCCGATCAGCACCGATTTCTTCCCGGTTTTGAAGTCGTTGATGCTCTCCAGCCGCTCCTGCTGGTCCATGCCACCGTGAATCGCGACCGCGTCGACCCCCTTCAACAACAGGTACTCGTGGACATCGTCCACGTCCGCCTTGTTGTCGCAGAACACCAATACCGGCGGGGGGGTTTTCGACAGGGAGTCCAATACCGCCTTGTGCTTGTCCTCCTGCTTCACATAGGCGATCTCCTGCAGAATGTCCAAGTTCGCGCTCCCCGCGCGCCCGACGTTCACCACCACCGGGTTCGTCAGCATACCTGCGGCGAAGTTCTGGATCTTGCGGGGCATGGTCGCGGAGAACAGCAGCGTCTGCCGCTGCCCGGAAAAGTGGTCTAAAGTTATCCTGACCTCCTCCTCAAAGGTCGCGTCCACCATTCGGTCCGCCTCGTCCATCGCCATCAGCTGGCACTGCTTGAGGTGCATCTTCCCCATCTGCAACAGCCCGTTCAGCCGGCCCGGCGTCGCGATCACAATGTGCACGCCGCGCTTCACCGTGTTGATCTGCGGGCCCATCGGCGCGCCGCCGATCAGCAGCGCGAACTTGATCTGCCGCCGGTTGCGCCGCCACAGCTCGGACGTGGTGTCGTTGTGTAGGTGGTACAACAGAAATTTCAGGTTCTCCTCCGTCTGCACCGCCAGCTCCCGACTGGGCGCGAGCATCAACCCAAACGGGCCTTCCCCCTCGGACATGGGCTTCTTCAACTCGCACTCCATCGCCTTCATAATGAGTGGTAGCAAGAAGCACATCGTTTTCCCACTACCCGTGAACGCGATCCCAATTAAATCCCGCCCTGCTAGAGCTGCGGGGATGCCCTGCATCTGAATTTGAGTCGGCTTTTTGATCCCCTTCGCGACTAGCGCGTCCACCAAGCCCTTCGGAAACCGCATGTACTCGAACTTCTTCAGCGGCGGGGGTAGGTCCGCGCCCGCCGCTTCGAACATAAACATCTCGCGCAGCTTTTCGTTTTCCGCCTCGGACTGCAGGCGGTGTTTCGCGAGCGGCCTCCACTGCCCGATGGCTGGCATGGGTTCCTTGTATTTGATCCCCTTCGCGTTTTCCTGCCGGGACACGAGCGGTGTTTGGTACTGCAGTTGCTCCATGATCTTCGCTTCCGACTCCTCGATCTCCCTCCGCAGCTGCTTATCCTTATCCTCGCTGTTCGCCTCTTCTTTCGCGCGAATCTCCGCGGACTGGGCCAGCAGCGAGCTTTGTCCGGTGGACCGCTCGGCGAGAATTTTTTTCAGTTTTTCCTCCAGCTGCTCCTTCTCCTTCTCCTCGTCGTCTTCGATCAGTTCCGCTTTTCTCCGAAGTCTATTCAACTCTTGATTTCTCTGTTTCTTCCGCTCCTTCAAAGGGACGTAGGTGGGTTCATTTTTCTCATCCTCGTCTTGTTCATCTTCGCCATCAAGAAGATCCTCCTCGTCCTGTTCTCGTTGCCGGCGCTCCTCCTCCTCACGGAGACGTCTTCGTTTCCGGTACTCCTCGATGACCTTCTGCGCATCCTCCTGCTCGGTGTTTCCTGCTTCCGAATTAGTTGCACTTTCACCGGGTCGCTTGGATGAGGGTCTAGTTGTACTACTTCCCTGCTTCGGCGGCAACGACGGCGGAAGCATCGACATTTGATTGAAACTTGAAACGATGAAATCAGATTTGGGTTTTGACTCGTGGTACAGAGTATTTCTTCATGTTCTTCAAGATGGTGAAAATTAGTGGGGAAAAAAAGGATACTTAAAAAGCTAGAGAGGAAATTGTAGGACGGGTTATTGCTTTTCTTCCCTTGGTCTCTGCGAAAATAAGGATAAAGGATCAGAATGTAAAAGTAAATTACATGTATCCTTTCGCATGAAAAACGTACACAGTTTCTGCAAGAAAGACAATTTTTTTTGCGACATTTTCGAATCAAACTTCATGCTGTGCTCTTCGACAGCAATTAGAGGGCTGAGATCTGTTTCTCACAGGGCTTTCTTAGTTTACGAATCGATTTGAGATCGCGTCACCCATGCCCTGCTCTTTCTAAGGTGCCTTTCGTTTCAGCAGATCAACACGCTATTTTTGAACACTGAAAAGGAAAACCAGCTATCTCTTTTACTCCGCGAACAAAAAAAGGATGTTGCGACGACCAGCAAAAGGACACTGCTCCGTCGGTTTTGAGTACTTCTATGTACAAATGCTAGTCGTGAGTCGCGGTCGCTTCTACTGTCGTGATCGTGAAGGTATTACGAGTGAAGAAATTTTGTCGAAATCAAGTTCCTTATCCACCAAAGAGTCGACTTTTTTCATCTGCATCCGTGACCAGCAGGCTCTGCATCCATTCCGCGCTCCCAGGCGGAATTGCAATCGTCCGACCCAAGCGACTGTTGTCGGCAGTCTCGTCTATTGCCACCAGAACGCCCTCCAGCACGTCCGAATAGTACGGGCAAGTGGGTTGTGCTGCTTTCGAAGTTGTCGCACCGCCGTTGCCTGCCTTCTTATGCGCTAAATCGCTGTTCTGTTCCTTATCGAGTAACTGTCGCCAGAGGGGTAAGATCCAGTGCCACAGAAGCGCGCTGCCCGGCTGGCGGTACAGCTTCTCGGCAAAGCGGACAGTCGCTTTTTGTCGCTTTTGGGCTGGAGTCAGTGGTGCTGCCTTGCCCCTAGTACTCCCAACCGGTTTAAGAGCGAACAAAGCGGGCGACGACGCAGGATCTCTCCTGGTCACGGCAAAGGTTTGTAGGCTCACGCAAAATGCTTTGAACTCCTGAAACAGTCTCGTCTCTGCTGGGTCAGCTGGCTTTCTGCGAACGTTTCCGTGCTGATGTCCAGCAGCTGCAGATGCATTTTTTTCAGCAGCTGTTGGAAACGTACTCGTTGCTGTATTTTTTGCGGAAGATACTTCTAACAACACCATCTTGCGGATAATTCTCTCCAATGCCGCATTCGCTCGTCGCTTGTCTTGCTGGGTCACGGCGTTCAGTAACGTGGCAAACTCTTCGGAAGAAGAACTTCCCAGTGATTCTCCGGCTGTGCTGTTCCCACGACCTCGGAAGAAATTCAGCTCTGTCTCGCTACTGCAACTTGCCGTTACAAACGTGCCCGCTGCGGCGTTCCAAGAAAGATGCTGTTTTCCCACTAAAAGAAACGGTGTGCAGGCTGGAAGCCGCGAAAAGCCAAGGCGAACTGTTGCGTGGCCGCCTGGGGAACTACCGGTTGTTGTACTCTGCGCGACTACATCCTCGACAACCCCGGCTTTGCTCAGCAAACTTCTTACATTCGTTTGAAAATGCAGCGTGATCGGTTCTGGAGGCGGCGCAGCTTGGTTTCTACTTCTGGCTTGATTTTTTCCCGTTTTCAGCGTCTCCTTCGGATCCACCGCTTCCTCCGGCATTTGCAGCCCGTTGTAGTTCCAGCAATACACAAACCCGCCGGTCGTCAGGATCATGAACCGTTTCTCGCACGCGGACACCTGGACCTGTTCCTGTCCGAACGGCACACCAGCGCTTTCGCTGTTCTGCAGACGATTTCCGTAGAACTCGGGCAGCACGGTCTTCAGCGCGATCGGTAACCCGGTCTGGGTGTGGAACACTTGGAAATAAATGAAGCCGTCACTCTCCTCCACACTGTAAACGTTAAACTTCGCAGCACGGTACACAAACACGGTAAGTATCTTCGAGGCGAAGATTTTTAGCACGCGGATGTCCTTTTCCACCGGTTCCAGCCACACCGGGTCGTGCTGGTGCAGGCCAACCAGCCTGTGGTTCTCGTAGCAGATCGTCCAGTCCGGATCCCCTTCGGCCGTCACGGCCAAAGCAGCGGAGGTCGGTGGGGTCGTTTGGGGGCTGGGTGCGAATGTAGTCGATGAACTGGCATTGATTTCGTGGCTCGTGGGACCTACTCCGCTGCCGTTGCGGCACCGGTTCCGTGTCCGCAGAACTTTCTCGACTAACGCCTGCCCGTAGTCTCGTTCCCCGTCGTCGGTTGATGAAGCTGCTGGCGCGGCAGCAGGAGGGGAAGCAATTGCTTCGCAGACTGCTTCGAGCTGGGCCCGGACCTCAGCGTACGACTGCTTTTCTGGATACAGCAATGCATGTAGGTACTCGTCCGGAATAGGCAAAAGCTCGGATGCGCTACTATCGGATTTTGCAGCCGACCCCTTTCCCCGGGCCGTACGGTGAATGTGGTGGAGCAGCAACTCCCGAAGCGCCACTTCGTGAGCCACATACGGATCTTGCACTGTCGTGGAAGCTCCGGATAGGTGGTAGTTTTCTGCCTCAGTGTCCGATGGCGCGCCCCCGGGGCCAGTTTGTCCCTCTGCGAAAATCTTCTTCTCGTTTTTTTTGAGCCAACCAGCACTAGCAGTATCTTCTTGTTGTACAGCGCCATAGTTTTTTTCCGTACCACCTTTAGTGCGTCCACTGTTCAACACTTTTTCAAAAACCGCACGGAGTTTCTGCTTCCTGCGCTCAACAAGCTCTGTGTCCGTCGATGCTGAGTCCGGTTTTTCTGCATCGTACTTGCTGGCGCGGTTCTTCGCGAGCGCAACGTCTCCTGCAAGATGCTCCGTTTTCGCATTCGCTTTTTCCTCCCGCTGCCGGCGATACCGTTCCGCTTGCAGCTCGTGCACAATCTCGCTCCGGATGTGCGACACCTCGGCCTCTGTGAGGTGGTCGACGGCGATATGAAAAGGAAAAATCCCCCCCTCCCCATATCAAAAAGGAAACCTGTGATGCTGGATTTGCGCACACAAATGAGATTTGTATTGCAGGAAGGCATTGCGGTCAGATCCCCAGGCTAGGTAGGGGCGTATGGGTCTACTTGTTCAGCATTGCAAACGGCTGACCTTTAGGCCCAGCAGCATGACAAATCGCTCCCATAATGGGGCGGAAGCTTCTGCCCTTGTCTTCTTGCTAGACAAATGTGATTTGTGACCTCAAATCAGCAGCGCAAATTTTCGGAAAGATACCTTTTCGATATGGGGAGGGGGGATTTTTCCTCTCAATAGGCGAAACTTTTCGCAGCGTCCGACAGAAGATCTTTTAGCTCGCTCAACTCTCGCCCTTCTCTCCGCGTGGGCTGTCGCAGCTCTGACACCGCTGCACCAGACGCGAAGGACGCGTCTTGGTTGGACGAAAGCGAGGGGAAAGATCGAGACTTACCCGACACTCCGGCCTCGTGACGCTCCGCAGCCAGCAGAATCTGCTGCAGTTTCTTTTCCTTTTCCTCCCGAGATGCGATGGAAACGAAAACGCTGCGGTCTTCGTCTGCTTTGAAAGGGGTGCTCCCTGCCCGTTCCAACTCTGCTTTGTCGATGAATTCAGGCAGCCGGAGCAGCCCCGTCGCTGCGTCATAGGTTTCGTGATACAGGTCCAGCTTCTCCTCCTCCCGCCGACGGGCGAATGCCAGGCCCTTCTGTTCAAGCGACGCAGTTCCGGCCAGAGAGGCTCCCAACTGCGGCGCTGCGGCGTCTTTGCCGAGCTTCGTGCCGTCGGAAAACAGCACATCGTGCACGCTGGGCGCTTCGCCACGTCTCACCGCCTCACGCTTCGCTTCGTTCTGAAAGATTTCACATGATTCACTTGCTGACAATGAGCATTTCTTTGCATGCTATTTCGGTGGCTCCCAAGTTGTTCAAAAGAATTCAATGCGCCTACTGAAGATGTTATGAAGTTATTGTATGATGACTCGCTTCCGGACTAATGCTACGGCTAGTACAACAAGAAATATAAGTGTGCAAGCCTTGTAAGTACCTGCTTCACTCGTTCGTCGACATCAGGGAAAATAGGTTTTCCGAATTCGTGAGCCTTGCTGCCTCCCCCTCCGCCAAGCACCACGCCCGGACCATCAGAATCGTCAGAATCCTCTTCGATCACATCTGCCACTACCCGCCGTTTCGCAACTCGGTTTGTGGCCATCGTGTTTGCTTGCGACGTGTGAAATTATATGAGGGACACGATTACGTCTGTATTGATGAAATGAGATGAAACACCTTTACTTCGGCCGCCATAGTAAGCAAGTAACTCTACGTACTGCTAGGTAGTGGCAATCGCCACGAGCGCCACTAAAAAAAAATTGTTCGTCCAAGAATAGCTTACATTCGTATCGTAGACATATTACACAGTAGCCTGGAGGTCGTACATGTGTTGCTAGCTGGAGATCACGGAAGTCGTGCGATCCAATGCAACGACAAAGTCGTTACTTTGCTGAAGTGACAAAGGAAGAGCCAATAGCGTTATGCACACGACACAGATCGTTGAACTTGCGATCGGAAAGCGAAGATGGAAGAAATATTTCAAAAAGATCACTCCGGACCGAATTCTTACCACTCACTGCGCGATCAATTTGCCGCAGCGGAGACCTGTCGTGTCAAAGACCCTTTTTTTTCCGGCCACACTGCTGAGCGTCTCATTCTCCAACATGTACATACTTTTATTCAAAAACCACTGCTGCGATAATTTTTGCGTCGCGTCGAGTAAAATCATTGACCTGGATCAAAGCCAGGCTCAGTTCCTGCGATAAGCAACATAAACGCTGCAGCTATCTTTGCATCCAACGGCAAAATTGGATACTGCTCCTTCATGGTGATGTGATACGAAAGCGATAGATTCTCAGAATAGGTATTTTTTGACTGTTCTAGGTGACATTAAACATTTTTAAACTTTTCAACGTTGCGCTGCGTTTTTTCTCCGTGCGCTTGCTCCCAACGAGATTACTTCTACATCCGCGTACAAACTGTTGCCGAAGCCGCATGCACTTCTCGTGCTTTCGCGTTGTTCCTTCGACATTCATTCGACTGGCGCCCGGCTCGTGATAGATCACGGGCATACGAAATTGAATGTCATCCCAGCCGCGTGCGAAGAAAGAGCACCACAGGCGCATCGGCATCACGAAGAGCACAAATGCGAGAGTAAAAGTGCCGTGCGTCCGTACACTCCACCGTAACCGTAGCCGTACGCAGTTCCGACCATGCAGCACCGCACGTCTCTTTCCCTGCTAGAAGTAGAAGTAAGTAAATACACGCCGGAATTTTTGTAGAAGAGTCCTCATCTCGTCCGTCAAAAATTTCTTACTCCTCCGGCTTCATGGCCGGGAAGAGGATGACTTCCTTGATGTTGTTTTTGCCGCTCATGAACATGGTCATGCGGTCGATGCCCATGCCCCAGCCCCCGGTGGGCGGCAGCCCGTACTCCAGCGCGGTGCAGAAGCCCTCGTCGTATCCCTGCGCTTCCTCGTCGCCCGCCGCCTTGGCGTCCATCTGCCCGGAGAAGCACTCCCGCTGCTTGATGGGGTTGTTCAACTCGGTGTAGGCGTTGCACAGCTCCTTGGTCATGATAAACAGCTCAAATCGTTCGGTCAAGCCCGGCTTCGACCGGTGGTACTTGGCCAGCGGCGACATGATCTGTGGGTGCTCCGTGATGAACCCCGGCCGCGTCGTGATGGTGTCTTCAATGTAGTGCCTGGAGTTGTTATTTTTCCGTTTTGAAGATCACGTCGGTGTGCTGGGTTCGAAAGACAGAGTAAATGCGAAGAAAGTCTTAAAAATATTACGTGTCCAATGTCAAGAAAATCTGACTATCTCATTTGCACAAAAACATAGATCAACAGCTGTACTCGCAGCTTCATAAACGCAGAATTATTCCAAAACGATCCAAAAACCACATCTCTATACCCGCACAGCCCGTCCAAGAGCCTGGCGATTGTTCTTGGCGGCTCCACGACGGTCTCGCCCAGTTCCTTTTCCAGCTTCGCCACGGTCGCCTCCAGCACCTTCTGGCACTCCGGGCCGAAGCACCGGGGGATTTGTATCCCGGAGTTCTTTTCGATGGTTTCCACCATGCTGTACCGCGGCCACGGCGGAGAGAAGTCCAGCTCCACCGGCGTGTCGCTGTTCATCGGGGTCCAGTTCACCTTGTAGGACCCGTGGAGGGACTTGACCATGCCAGAAACCAGTTCTTCCGTCATGTTCATCAGGTCGTCGTAATCTGCGTACGCCATGTAAAACTCGCAGGCGGTGAACTCCGGATTGTGGGTGAGGTCAATGCCCTCGTTGCGGAAATTCCGCCCGATCTCGTACACGCGATCGAGCCCGCCAACGACCAGTTCCTGGGAGGAGTGCGTGGGGGGAGAGAGGTAGATTTAATCCTTGGAATTAAGTAACAATTGAAGAAGAGATGCAGTCGCAGTGGCATCACCATGCATGAAGCGGAGCCTACGTAGATACATTCTACTTCCAAAAGACGACGAAAAAAAAAGGATCCCAAAAAACCGTACGGATAAGTACCTTCAACTTCAGTTCTGGTGCGACTCGCATGAACATATCCAAGTTCAAGTCGTTGTGGTGGGTTTTGAAGGGCTTTGCGGTGGCGCCGCCGACAATTTGCGTCATCATCGGTGTTTCCACTTCCAAAAAATCGCGGGAGTCGAGGTACCGCCGGATGTAAGAGATGATCTTCGCGCGCGTTTGGAAGGTTTGCCGTGTGGAGTCGTTCAGGATTAAGTCCAGATAACGCTGACGATACCTGGTGCGATTTGTGTAATTTTATGTAGGATCAGCTACGTTTACGGTGGCACGGAGACGAACAGTGACTCCCCTTCCAGCCGGAAAAAAGTGTTAAGCGCGCCTTTGAACTTGATGTTCTTTCTTTTTGCATAAAACAAATAGCGTTTCTGTAGCAAAGAAAAAACCTTGTGGCCTGATCCTTCAGTCCGTAGTGACTGCGGGGAAGCATGTGGAGACACGGAGACAGGCATTTGACCGCGAATGGGAAAACGGACAACTCGCCGGTCTTCGACTTTCCAACGAAACCTCTTGCACCCATGATATCACCGTGCTTGATTTTCTTGTGTTCCTCGTCGAAGTCTCCCTCCTGTTTTGAAAAGAGTTATGCGTTTTGAAAAAAATGAAAACGAAAAAATCATGCGGCTTTGCAGAAATTGTCACCAAGCACTTCTTGTCTCAATTGCTTTTTCGTGCGATGCAAACTGCACTTCAAGCAGACATCAATGTTTGAATCCTCTAGTACCTGGTGGTTGTTGACTTGCGCCATGACCTGGATTTTGGACCCGTCCGCGTGGAGCTCGTAAAAGTGCAAACTTTTTCCGGATGACCGCTTGGACATTACTCTTCCGGCGATGGTAACGATCTTTTCCGTTATCTGCTCGCTGGCCTGCAGCGACTCGTACGTCGCTCGCAGCGACGGAATGGAAGTATCCACGTTCCACTTGTGCGGGTACGGGTCCTGCATGTTCATAATCGCCTTGATCCGGTTTTCCCGGTACTTGGTTGGGTCCTGCTCCTCCTCCTCGGCATCCTCCTTTTTCTTCTTCTCTACCGGAGCCTGGGCGGCCTTCAGTGCGGCCTTTTCTGCAGCCTGGGGGACGATGAGACGTGGTTGGTTTTGTGTCGTGCATGTAAAAGTATTTTTGCGAGTAGTATAGTATCAGCAGTGTTACAAAAAGTTCAGACGAGGAACGAAACTCGATCATTGCATGACAGAAAGCGATAAAGCTCTTCCTTACCTCCTTTTCCTTTTTCTTCTGTGTCTCCAGCTTTTTCCAGGCGTTCTTCGAGATCTCGTTACCGGCGTCATCCCGGTAGATCTGCTTCTCCTTTCCCGCGTCGTCCGTCATTTTCTGCTGCTGAAATGGAAAAGAAGCAAGTACTTGTTGTGGGAAAAACGATCGACTTTTCTTGGAAGAAGTAAAACTAGAAAAACACTTGAAACGGCAAAACTCTAGTACTTTGCGAACTTCAGATAATGCTGACGATATTAGCACTGGCGGAGTTTCGGAAATAGTACTCTTGCGTCCTTCGAAAGAAGCCAACTGCGAGTAGCACCTACGCGCTTGGCGCACGAATCGTATTTTTACTTTCTGCTCATTACAAAGGCGCCCAAGAAGTCTTGTGCTGATCATAAACCTCTATCCTATATTTTTCGATTTGAATGCATTTCTTGGAAATTTTTATGCATCCGAAGAACCACAAACGAGCCTTTTCATAAGTTGGCGGGAATTTCTTTTGCGCGATCTGTTGGATCTGTTTTTGACAACGAACGTCGAGTAAAGAATATCAGATCTTTTGCCGCACTGCACTGGAAAAAAGATCTTTTCGGCAGGAAAAGACAGACCTCAATGAGCAGTCGGTTAGGAGATAAAGATCCTGTATGCTTTGATCTTTTCGTCGGAATGACAAGGAAGACACCTGTCGCACAACTCTAGAAAAGTTTACTTCGTTACTCCTTCTGTTGGAAATACGCACGAGCGCTCGAACAGACTCTAGTTGCACCCGAGCAACCACATTCTCCTCCCACTACCCCTCAGCGCGACCTATTTGCAATTTCATAAAGACCACGTCCTCGCCTGAAAGAGATGACCCACCGTTCACAGCAGTGTGTTTTGTTTTGCTTTGCGAAGGAACTGCAACAGCATTGTCCAGTAGTGCGCTTTTTGCGAACTCGTACGCGCCGAAGAAGATAAAGCCTCCCGCCCCGACCCACAAAACCCGCGGGACCACGCCGCAAAAGAGAGCACTGAATCCTTCCTCCGCTACGATCTTCCGCAGCATGCCCCGCATCGTCATGTCGCGAATTTGTCTCGTCTTCGCCGTCATCAGCCTTGTTTTCGCAACGTCCATAGGGCACGTGAAAAAGGCCGCGATCGCGCCTCCGAAACTGCCGCACGCTGCGCCGATGTATCAAAGTGAAAAAAGCCCCCACCCCAAAGCAAAATGGAAATTTGTGATGCTGATTTGCGGTCACAAATCGCGTTGTAATGCTAGAATGGAAGAGATGCGGACTGTAGTGCTGGCTGCCGCAGAAACGCCTTGCGGCTTTGGCATGACAGAAATTTCCTGGAAACGGGAAACAGCATAACAAACTGCCTCCAAACGAGGGAACAACTACGTCTCTTGGCCTTCTAGCAATACAAATCGATTTGTGTACTCAAATACAGCAACACAGATTTCGTTTTCGATATGGGGAGGGGGGATTTTTCCTCACAATACGATGAGCGGGTTGAGTTCCGCGACGGACCTATCCTATGTAAAAACGTACCCACCCCAGAGTTGTCATGCAATTCTGCATGCCAAAAAAGTTTCTCATGTAGAGCCCTATGAGAAGCATTTTCTATTTATGTTTTGGAATTTGTTATGCTAGAATCAGTATTGTAGGCTAGATCTGTAATGCTTCTGAGCTAGCGAAACAGGATTACACTACGAGGACAAACTTGTCATGCCAAACGACCAAAGCTGTGTGATTTGTCTAGCAGATTTGCCAACGTGACTCTGGTGTGGGTACGTTTTTACTCAGGATAGGACCCGCACTTCCACACATTCACAGCGAGATGGAGTTTCAGCCCTTCGTAAATCGGAAACTGGATGAATGCAAACGGAACCTCCCGTGCGATGGTGGAGGATAAGCCCGCGTAGAACCCGCGCACTGAGCCCCGCCCGTTCCCGTCGAAAATCATCTGCGCGGTTTGCGATAGGGATTTCTCGGCGGTCACCTGCATCTTCTGCTTGATGTTTTCAGTCGGCACTCGAATCAAACAAGCAGCAATTTCCCCGGACGCCGCCGCCGTGGAATGCGCAAGCCACGAGTATTTGCTGCTGAAGTGCATGGTGGAACTTTGCTCGATAGAAATTGGAGGTGTTTTCTTTCCGCTAGAGGAAGCAGTTGCTCCATCATGCTGTTGTCGCTCGTCGTGTGAACAGCCTTCGGCAACACCACTTTCCTGTCGCATTCGCTCATCAAACGCGTCCGCTCCCCCGTTATATCGGTGTTTGTACTTCTCATTCAAGTCATTTCGCCACTGCAAATGCCGCGGTGCGGTCACTGCAGTACTATTATTCCCAGTCGATAATTGCCTCGCGCTCGGCTTCACGGTCCAGTACTCGATTGCGGAGAGTAGTTTCGGTTTTAGGAATTCGTACGTGGCGAAAAACAGGGCGGCATTGGGCCACGATCCGATCGCCGTGATGGACAAGCCTCGGTAGATGCCGCTGAAGCCACCGCTTTTCCAGAAACCGTCTTTCGCCTGGAGACGTGTCTTCAGCGTGTCCATGGGGAACAGGGCAACGTCCACCGTCGTGCCGGCAAAGCCCCCGGCCAGAAGTGCAGTTTGTGTATCGACCGTCATGGCTGAGTTCTCACGCACAAGTCCGCGTTCGCGTCATCTCTATACTGCGACAAGTACGCAAAGCGCGGATGTTGACGACTTTTCTTGTGTGCGGAACTTCTTGTTTGACGAGACTTCATGAAGCAATGCACACTCACGACCAACAAGAGACAAAACAAGATGCGGATGTAACGCAGAAAAAAGCGACATATCCGAAGCAGATGCGCCCAGACTTTTTGGGCGCCACGGCAACACGGCGGACCGAGCTAAATGCTTGAACACCATCGCATTGAAAAAAAATGTGCTTCCACAGGTGGCATACCGCCAGGCGTGCAGCTTGCGCTTCGTGACCAAACGCAAAGAAATCACTGACAGATTGAGCATTTGAAAAGCTGGCTCAGAAGAGCGCAAGTTGTGCTTCTGCGCTGTACATCCAATGTGTCTCGATGTGTACATAGCATACTCGGCGTCGGAGGTAGGAGGTTATACTTGGGGGGTAAGTACATTTCAAGATTTCGTAGAAGAGTCTCAAACTTGTTGTGCGAATGTTGACAAAAAATTCTCCCGTACAGACTTGAAACTATTTCCTCCACGGAAGGATGTCGGCAGAAAAGCTCCAAATCCTATTTCCAAAATCACCGCAACGCTCCATGAGAGAGATTTTTAATTGTCTAGAAGCGGCATACATGATGTCTTGTCGCCTCCATCAAAATCCACATATGTCGCTTTCGGAGAGCTGCACTTTCGCTGTTTTAAGAGTGAAACGGGTGAAATCTCAGCTACATAAAGTACTTACTACCAAATCCTGCTCTTCTTTTTTGCATCACAGCATCACTATCCCAAAACCTCCTGCTCTAGCCTCCACGTGGCTTTTCGTTCGGAAACAGAAATGCTTCCTCATGATATTACCCAAAATCCATCATTTTGCATTTACTGTCGTACGGAAGACTTCTTTCCGTTCCCCCAATGTTGCTTTTATTTGCTTGCTTTTTTTCGAGATCAGATAGTAAAACTAACAGTGCGCAGTAGTTGAGCGATGTGCTATGAAAAGTAATCAAGTTGTTCTGAGCTAAATTGGTGTTGTCCTAGATAGTATACAAGGACCAGAGTTAGGACCAGTCCAAAATCATACTTCAGTGCCGCGGCTCCGATTGCACGCACAGCTGCCCAGAGTCGTCCCTACCTGCAACCAAGGCCGCGGCTTCGCTCCGAAGATGCGCTTCAAAACTTTGAAGCATCTTCGTTCTTTCGGGGGCGCTCGTGGCTTCTTTGTTTACCCCTAGAACGAACGTCTTAGCTGCCAATACATACGTATACAGAAGCGATAGTCAGATAAAATCAGAATAATGTCAGGTTTAATTCCTAGTCGACACAAACTTCTCCGATAAAAAAACTGTGATCTGTGGTCTGAAGCAAGCATACTACTATTCAAGGCACGCTCGACTACTCACGCGCGACGTGTTGTAGTCGAGACTCGTTTTTTCGCCGCGATATCTTGCTCCGCGAGACAAACAGAAACAGCACGCAAGGAAAACCTTGATCATCTCGGAAGAAGAATCACATTTGATTTATCCCTGGTGCTACTCCTGCAGTCCGTAGAATAAGTAACTTCTTCTGTGCACGATCAGTTTCCCTTCGCCGAAAGTTTCTTTTTTTCCTTTCGCTTCTCACCACAAACCTAGATGAGATCCGCGATGTCCATCGGCATCTCGTCAATCTGGGTGTGGTAGTGGTTTTCGATGTCCTTCATGTGACGAGCGTCCTGGTTGGTGACAAAGTTGATGGCGACACCCTTACGACCGAAACGACCGGATCGACCGATACGGTGCAAGTAGTTCTCGATGTTGGCCGGCAAATCGTAGTTGATCACCAGAGAGACCTGCTGCACATCGATACCTGGTATGACGTAAATGATTGTATTTCTATTTCGATCGGATATTGCAACGTTCGAGAATAACAGCAGAGCATTCTCATTATTTGCTCTTTTGAAAAATAAAAAAGAGCAACGCACAGCTAATACAACCGAAAAGTTCTTTATTACCTCGTGCCAACAAATCCGTGGAGATGAGGACGCGACTGGAGCCGGATCGGAACTCACGCATAATGCGGTCACGGTCCTTCTGGTCCAATTCGGCGTGCATGATGCTGATGGTGAAATCGCGCTGCGCCATCTTGTCAGCCAGCCAGTCGACCTTCCGACGCGTGTTGCAGTAGATAATCGCCTGCGTGATCGTCAACGTCTCGTAGAGGTCGCACAGCGTGTCTGTTTTTGTGAATTAGAGGGAACGTTTTTTGATTTCGAAAAAAACTCTAAAAATCCTCTTACATCTGCTGTATTTTGGTATGCTGTGTCTGAGGTAGGATTTTTATCTGAGCGCAATACTAACTTTTAGAGAGTGAGCGGAGTTGTCCTTGTCAGCCAACGAGTGTACAATATTTAGAACGATCGGCATTTTGAAGTGGACATGTGCCCCCAGCAAAGATCCGTCCGCCCGTTCGCAACTTTCATCACACAGAGAAAGAGTCAACACAGTTAATGGTGCAGGATCACACAAAAGGAGGAAAAGTGCGCAATAACATTCCGCTCCGAGGTGCAGTTCTAAATCAAGCACTTTTCATCCATTACCGTTCCAAACATCAGCCAACGAGTGTACAATCTTTAGAACGATCGGCATTTCATGCGCACGAGCGCACAATCCGTCCGCCCGTTCGCTAATTTGCATCACGGAGAATAAGCTACAGGAGTTGCGCAAGCGACAATTATAGACCCTGCCTACAACGCGCGCTTAAATCTGTTGGATCTACAAATTCAGCCAACGAGTGTACACATTCGAACAATCGGCATCTCATGTGAAAATCTCCACACGATCCGTCCGCCCGTTCGCTAAGTTTGCATCATTTAGAATCTCAGCGCAGCGAGAAACCAGCACTAGAAACAACTCTATCTCTCCCTGCAGACACACATCCTGCGCCACACCAGAAATCATTCACAGTGTGTGAATAGACACATCCAGCGCCAAGCCCGTGTGATATAGTTTCAAAAAAAACATCAATAAAAATACCGAGCTTCCAGTCCTCCTTCTCGATGGCGATGTAGAACTGACGGATACCCTCCAAGGTCAATTCGTCCTTCTTGACCAGAATTCGCACCGGGTTGCGCATAAACTTCGATGTCAGGTCCAAAATATCCGGAGCCATGGTGGCGGAAAAGAGAGCGACTTGCACCTGGTATTTGAATTTGAGTGCAATTACGATACAACTGCGACTTTTTCCGTATCCAAACCCGAGCGCGGCTAGCATCTAAAAAATGACCGAACGGTAAAACAATCGCATCACAAATCAACAATATGATACGTTCGGCGGGAGGAACTTGAAGATGTCATAGATCTGCTCCTTGAACCCACGAGACAACATCTCATCGGCTTCATCCAAGACGAACAACTGGATGTCGTCGACCTTCAAATGGCGTTTCTGAATCATGTCCATGACACGACCCGGGGTCCCGACAATCAGCTGCTGGCCGTCGCGCAAACGCTCCAAGTCGTCGCGGATCACGGTACCTCCGATGCAGGCGTGGGAACGAACCTTCAAGTAGTCTCCCAAAGCAAGGGCGACCTGTGAGTGGGAGAAGGGTGGGTGGTTTTTTGGAACATGTCAATGTCAAGATGTGCAAAAAGACCGCAAGTTCGCGTTTCAAATTTAGATTTCGTAGGCAGGCATGGGGAACTATTCATATCCGGCGCACTCCTTCCTGCGCAAGAGTCAAGACTCTTAACACCTCCGAGACGCCGGCTCAAAGTCGGCGGACGTCCCTAGAAAGCATTCTAAATCGAACCACGCGTGCCTGAAGTGCACTTTATGTACCTTTTGGATCTGCATGGCCAACTCACGCGTCGGCGCGAGGATGAGCACCTGGGTGGTGCGTTCTGCATAGTCGATCTTCTGCAGCGATCCAATCACGAACGTGGCGGTCTTACCGGTACCTGAATTGTTTTCAGAGATTATAGATTGATGCTGCACTGTCAGATGGTTTCATGCAAAAAAAAGTTCCTCATGCAACCCTGTCATAGAAAAACCGCGAAGAAGATTATTTGAGAAACTATGCGATACCGGACTGGGCCTGCCCGATGGTGTCACGTCCGATCAGGAGCGGTTTGATACCGCGCTGCTGAATGGCGGAAGGCTTCTCGAAACCGTAAGAGTAGATACCTGTAATTGAAGTTTTGCATTGCAATCGAACATAGTCATCAAATTCAATAATAATCTGGGTCTGCGTACCATTTCTCACTATGGAAGCACTTCTGTTGAAAAAATTTATATACCGCGCAACAAGTTTTCGTGCAAGGGCAGGTCGTCGAAGGATTCAATGACTTCGTCGACATGCTCAGCGTCATCCTGTTTGTGCTCTCCCATCTTGTTCTAAATGAGAAAGAATGCAATGCAAAGGTAGCTTTAAAGAGTCAGTCTCCGTTGATTTAGAGACTAGCTGAAACTGAGTGTTAGGAAAAATTTGGTTCAAATGGTAGAAATGAATCAGAGAGGTACTTGGAATTATTCCCTCCTTAGTTCGGGTTTAGTCCGCAATTCCGAAGTTAGAGAGCTTCAGTTTGCAAGGTCGCAGATCTTCAGAATGTAGAGAAATTTCGAAAGAGTTGAGGCCCTTTTCTAGAGCGCCTATACTATCTTTTAAAGAACTTGTGGATCGTCACCCTTGCAGAAATTCTAAAGATTTCGGGCACAGGCTAGAAACAGCTTTGTAGTGTAATGGTATTCGCTTCGCGAATTGAGCTCAAGTTTTCTTTAACTGGGTGGAATGATTGACGCTTTTCTTTTCATGGCAAGGTCTCAAACAGATTTCGGATCAATTTTCGAAAATTTAGATTCCAAAGTGCGGATCGCTCTTTCCTGAGTGTGGATCTTTAAATCCGAAGGGACGTAGCGATTTTGGATCCTGCGATTTCAGATTTCCACAACAACACTGGAAAGTCACTTTCTTCAGTACAGATTTGAGTTCGTTTCTCTGCTCCCTGGGCGTTGCTCATGTGATAAGTAGAGTTCCTCTGTTCATTCTATGTTTTTCTCTGTGGCTCAAAACGCCAAAATATGAAACCTTGCTAGCCCTGTACACGGACTTGCACTCGAAACTGAAAGATGACGCGGCGGTTTGTCGAATCTAAATCTAAATCCTATCTTGATCAGCTTACACGAGTCTAAATCGCCAACGGCGAAAATCTCCCGCGGCGATCCGAAACGGGCGCAAATTTGTAATTTTGGTAGCGCAGGAGGGGTAGAAGGCCGTCCTTTGCTGCGTTTGCCATCCTTGATTCACTCGACCGCCCGGCGATAGTCGTACCCGCAAAATCTAAATTCTCAAAAGGCACTAGACTTCCTGACGCTACGTGCTTCGAAAAACCTTACTGCCAGACGAGATCTTCTGCCTCTTCCACTACTCTGCCGGAGCTACCACGTTCGCCCCAATCAATCCTAGATCCCAGCAGCGTCGCGGAAGGCTTTCCCTTCGCTTTGCTCGAAGAGCTTTTGCTTTGCTCGGTTTTGCCTGTGCTTTGCCTGCCACTGTCCTCAACATGATCATCTTCCGACAAAACTACTGCAGCGTCAGAAGAAAACACGCGCAACGCCTCACCTTCCATTTTGTTCACGATGGCAACAATGTTCGTTCCATTCGTTCCGAAGTAGTACGACTCCATGATTCCGTGGCTGGGCGTGTTGACGGGCACCGGCGTCCCCGGAAAGCGAAAGAAGCCCAGCTCGTCGTTAAACACCTTCGCCGGCATCTTCACCGTACCCCTCCCGCCGTTTGTCTTGCTGTTTTCAATCAAGATTTTCTGCACAAAGTAGTCGCCGAGCTCGCGCATGGCCTTCAAGGCCGGGAACGAGTGGATGGGCTTCTGCAACGGGAAGTCGCTATCGTCAAAATCTTCGCGGTATTCGAAGGTGTTTTTCTCCGGGTGGAACTGGGCCGCAATCATGGGGTACTGCCGCGCTTCTGCCAACGCGATGAACCCTATATTCTTGCGGTCGTGCCCGAGGGCGATCACCTTCCAGAAGTTGTTTACCCGGGTTTCATTCGCCGCAACGCCGAAGTGGTGCATGTTGATGGTCACGTTGAGCGTGGAATTGGTGAGGGTTTGCCGCGTTTCGTTCGATAGAAAATTCCAGATGCCACTGCCGTCCCCGGCTTGAATCTGGTCTTGCTGTTCAGCCAAAGTGCTGCGTACCTTCGCGGCTAATGTGGATTTTATCTGTCGATCCCTCGCTAGTCGTCCCACCAGCTCCAACGGCAAATAAAGCCGCTCGGCGTCCACGGTGATGAGGGGCAGCTTCGCTGCATACCCGCTATTTATGCTCCCGGTCCCGACCAGGCTGCTGTACGTGAGTAGCTGTTCGAAGCCCAAGCAAGTGCCCCAAATCGGAAGCCGCATTTGGATCGCGAACTGGAAGATTTTAAAGGAGACTTTCCCGAACTCGTCTTTGCTGGGATCGATGCCCGCACCGCCGCCCGCAAACACCAGACCGTTGAGCTGCTCCAAGGTCGGTTTTAGCTTCACATCCCAGTTCCAGTTGAACAGGATCGGCACCGTCCGCGCCCCGCTGGCCTCGATCCACTTGACGTAACTCGCAGCAATGTACGAATTTTGCAACGTCGCATTGTGTTTGGGGTTCGGCTGGAAAGCGCTCGGCTGGGACAAGATGCCTACGATGGGGACGAAGCTAGCTCCGGCTTCGACGAGCTTATGGCGCAGAAAAAAAGGTGTTTCAACCCGCACAGAAAACATCTGCATCATCGTGCGCGCGCTGCCACTTGATAACAGAGAAAAGCGAGCTTGGATGCAAAGACTACGCTGCATACAATGCTTTTGTGAGCTTCCATCGGTAGCTCAGACGCGTGGCTAGAGATGCATCTGCGCTGGTACACTTTTCTGCAGGATAGACGAGGAGGAAAACGTACACCACCCGCCGCATCAGACAAGGCCACGACGACATTTTTCGTTTTGAAAGCTACGAAGTGGGAAGCTATGCTGAAATGCTTTTGGTCAATCAAATCGGAAAGTGGTATAGTAGAAAAAGAGGAATAAGTTCCGCTTTTTATTTGGGAAGCTGCAAAGGGAAATCCAGTGCAAGTCATCTCGCCAATCTGTGGAAACTCAATCTTGCAGAGGAGAATGCAGGCTTTACTTTGGTGCACGATTGTGAAACTTTTTCTCAAAACAACATTTGGATTTCATGACAGTGACGGCATGTTTACCTGAAAAAAAATCGTGGGCACACACGCACTTATCGCTCCTCAGCTCAGTGCGTTGCAATCGCATCTGCATCTTCAGAATGATGAGCAAAAACATCACGTCGATGATGAGCAAAAACCGATCCCGCTCACGTCGATGAAAATGCTGCAGCTGCAAGACAACCATACTCTCATACACGGGGAGGGACTTTCTCTGGTGTCAGCGAACAGCAAATCAATGTACTAAAAAAGCCTCGAGGTACCAGTTTCGTAGGCTCGGCCTGCAGTGCGGAAAGTGATCGAGAGCAAACACGGAATGCGTGTGGTACTAGAGCCACTATGTTACAAAATACGTCCGAAATAATTCCTGTCTAATTATGGTACTAAATCGATATGATACTTGTATTGAGACGTCATGTGTAGATGTTTGGTTCGAGTTCTTGTCTCAGTTGTCTTACTAGTTCAGCAAGCGCTGCTAATTTCCTGTCCGCTTCACGGGGATTCCTATTCGCGTGATTCTCATCAGGCGGCTTGGCAAGAGCAGCGCGCTGCTCCGCTATCGCCTCCGAACTCTTACTTCTACCCTTATCTTTCTCCACCTTGAGATCCTGATGATGCAACAAATGCTCACGCACTTGTCTTCGTAACTCCGAAATCTCGGCTTCTATTGCAGTCAGCGCCGGCGACGAAAAGTTTTCTTCGGCGGAGTTCGTATCGCCATGCTTCGCTATTCGTTCCAACGCCTGAAGTCTCCTCTCGACGTCGTTTATACTCGCGACCAGAGCTGGTGGGACGACCGGCAAAGTATTACCTAATGGCTGCTGATCAGCCGTCGAAAGAGGCCTCACGACTGGCGGATCGGCGGCAGCAGTAGCAGCAGTTTTCGTGTCTACTGCGTCGGACTCGCGATTTGATGTCGCTTCTTTGACCACTTCCGGTCCAGGATCACGCTTTATTTCGACTGGTGGTCGAGCTGGCAAATTGGCAGGCGCCACTTGCGTATTCCGGTCGTGGGGAAGTTTATTATCCTCGGGCCGATGCACCATTTGTGCTGGAAGCGGACCTTCTTCCGGTCTAGGGGACTGCAGATTGGATCTCTGCTGTTCCTGTGCGGCATGGGCTGCAAGCGGCGGGCTGGAGTGCTGCTCGGCAGTGCGGTTCACGACCTCCAGAAAGCTCGTTGATTCTTCCTCTGCACTGGTCGATTTTGCGCCCTTTGGTTCTGCGTTTTTCTTGTTCTGCTGCGGCTTTAACTTCGTCTTCACCACTTCGAGCTTTTTGAGGCTACAACCCTCACACGAGGCTTCCTCTTCGTCATCGTTTTCCGTCTCTCCGCCTTTCGTTTTTTTCTTCTTGCTGCAATTCTTACAGCCGCCGCCCTCGTCGTCGTCCGCATCGTCATCGGCGTCTTGCTTTCTCTTGCCTGCGTTTGCGTTGCCATCAGTCTTCACCGCCGGCTGTTCTTCGAGTTGCTATCACCACCAAAAAACGCACTCCCCCATGATAACCCAGACCAAGTTGCATTTTCCTTTTTCAGTGCATGCAAAAATTTCCCGGGAGTCACCATCATTTTCATATTTGGTTTGAAATAGCCCAATATACGGCGCATGATGAAACCACCTGAGCAAGGCACTTATCGCACGATCCTACTAGCGCATGCATACGCGGCGGGCCTCGCGCTGGAAGTGCAGCAAAAGGAAAGCTACTCTCCGAGCAATAATTCGCCCTGCCTGTCATCTGTTCCTCCAAAAGTTCCTGCGGAAAGAAACCGAAACTAACTAATGAGCACTGAGAAGAATAAAGAAACTACTTGCTCGCAGTCGCAGGTCTTTCTGACGGGTTGCGCATTTTTAAATTGGATATCCTCACCTGCTGCTCGTGCTTCGCGGTTTCGTTCTCGACGAAGGAAGAGGAAGAGCGTCGTGTTGCAGGTTCTTCTTCCTTCTTCTCCGAGGAATTGCAAGCACAGTCACAGTTTTGTTTATCGCCTTCCGTTTTTTTCTTTTTGTCGTCCTCCCCCTGTTTCTTTTTCGTTGTCCCACTGTCTCTGTCATCCGGCTCTGCACAATTCTCGCAGCCCTTGTTGTCCTCTTTTGGGTCTCCTGTTTCGTCATCGTCATCCTGCTTCGGCGTCTACTATCAGAACCAAAAACGACCCGCCGCGCAGGTGACCTCAAAGCAACTTTCAAAATTTGACGAATGTTGAAAAATTTATCTACCAGGAGTCAGAACAAGTTCGGTTGTCGATTTCAATTATTGCATCAGAATTAACTCCTGCATCAGGTAGAGACAGGACGCCCACCTGAAGGCGGCGAATAAATATGACCCGCCCGCATATCCTCATAGAGGCGCAGCACGTTCCAGTTCCTCATATGCCCAATATCCGAAAGTGTTACATGAAAAAACGCAACAGTAGACTTTAGGGGAAAGGTGCTATGGGTCTCTGTGGTGGATTGAGCATTTTAGATTTTCATATCTTCGGCTTCGGCTGCTGCTCGTGCTTCGCCTTTTCGTTTTCTACAAAGGATGAAGAGCGTCTGCTTTCAGATTCTTCTTCCGCCTCGGAATTGCAAGGGCAGTCACAGTTTTTCTTTTCGTCTTTCGTTTTTTTCTTTTTGTCGTCCTCGACTATTTTTTTCTTCGTCCCGCTGTCCCTGTCGTCCGGCTCAGCGCAAGTCTTGCAACCGGCCTTCTCGTTCTCGCTCGACTCTGTTTTGTCGTCGTCCTGCGCGGGTTTCTGCTATCACAAAAAAAAGGCCCATCGCTCACACCACATAACAGTTAGATCAAGCGCATGCCATAATCTTCAAACCTAAAAAATTCGCCGTTCTCGTTTCCGCAGTTGCTCAGCAACGAGACGATCACGACATTGCCATCAAAAAATGCAACCTTGTCGTAGTACTATCTTCCAACGCAACAACAAGTGACGCTTTTACAAAAAAGGCGAATTAGCACGGCCTTGAATCACTTCTGTTTGCGGGAGCACTTCTTCGTTTTCTTTGTGATAGCTGGTTCGGCGCGCCGCTTTGGTTTGGTTTATTGTTATTCTCCGCGCCCAGAAAAGAACTTGTGCTTTCCTCGCTCGTCTCCTGCTTACGCTTTTTCTTGGGCTGCCCCGCTGCCTGGCTTTTGGCGCCCTTTTTCTTGGGTTCGTTCTCGTCGTCCTTCTCTTCTTCAGTGCAGCTACAAGACCGCTTTTCACCGAGCGGCTTCCCCTTGTCATCCCAGTCGTCCTCGTCGTTGCAAGGACAAGCTTCTTTCTTTTTCTTTCCCTTGTTTTCTTCCTCATCCTCCTTCGCGGGTTTCATGCGACGATCCTTTTCGCCTGCGTATGGCACGGAAAAACTACACCAAACCCTGTTTCGTCTAAAACAATCTCTGAGCGTATTGCGCAAGCGCGCACGGCGCTAGAGAGAGGCACTCATTTCGGATTGGAGTGTATGTGTATGTAGTACCAGATAGATGCCAATATACTTATTTCCTCGTTGATACATAATGAGCCCGTTGTCAGTTCTACCTTTTGGCTCAAGCATCATCATTTTCTCTTCGCCTGCGAATGCCGTCGCAGATCACGAAAACATACATACTGCAGTAGTGCCGGCATGCGGCAAAACAATTCGAGGTACTATGTTCGTAAAAACCTCAAGAGACGCTACGAAAACGAAAAACGGCATGCTGAAAGTTTTCCTTCCCTAGGACTTTCTTTTTCCTCCCCACGTCGAGCTTTTTCCGCTGCCGGTCGCGCGCCACTCCCTCGTCCACAAATGAGTAGGGATTGTCTTCGTCGACTCGCGCATCCTGTTCCGGCGATGGTGTTGAAGCAGGACCACGACCCGCAGTAGCTACAATGCTATTTCCGACGGGTATGCGTATTCTATTCATCAGATGCCGCACTTTCTCAATGCTGACTACCGGTACCGCCGGCGAGGCGTCCGAAGGGCTCGGTTGAGTGGTGAGGCCGCCGCGCGTCTCCGTGGGTTCGGGTCGCATTCCGGCGGAGGCGCTGCTGGCATCCGCTGGTCGCGTGGCGGTCGGACTTGCAGTTGCTGCTGCAGGTTCGGTCTGGAGAAGGGACGCCTCCTTGGCTGGTGGGTGCGATACTGCGTTTCTCACCTCGGAGGTCGCTATCCTGGCATCGGCCGCGTCGTTTGCATGCGGTGGGACCGGTGACTCGGTTCGCGCCTCCGCTTCGCTCGCTTCCTTCTGTTCGCTTTGGCTAAGAACCTGCTCCTGCGAGGGCGACTGCTCCGAGACCGGCCGGGCAACTACCGGCTCGCCCCCTTCTAGCTTCCCAGCGTCGCTCCTAACTACCGGCGGGGGCTTTTCTGGAACCGGAGAACCTACGGCATACGTGCCTTTGTTTTTCGCTGCCTGGCTTATATCGCTTACATCAGGTGATGGCTTTTCGTCTAAACCAGGTCGCGCGTCGGTGGCTTCGGTGCCTGCACTTCTAGCGGCGGTGGTCGTGCCTGCCGAAGCCGATGGAGGGGGTTTCTCTGGCGCAGGTGCCTCGACCGCGTTTTTCAAATCTTTGTCTTTCGCGACGGTGCTATCCGTTTGCAAATTCGGAGGACGCCCTCGGACAGATGCGTCTTCTGTCGCACCATCGTTGGCTTTATTATTTGCTCCACTAGAAGTAGCATCAGACAGTGGATCCGTCCGCTTATCAACATCTTCCGCCGCTTTATTATGTCCACCATTCGCCGCTGCCTCTGCCGCGTCTGACCCTCCTGAATCCTGCATATCGTCCGTTCGTCCGGACGCAGCTTCTTCTGCGCTCTCCGCGACGAGGGCGTTACTGTCAGGGTCGATCACTGGTGGCGGCTCGGGCTTTTTTAAGCCGTTGCCCACTAAGGTTGATTTCAATATTTTCTCGGTAGCCGGGTGCGAGGAACGGCTTTCTGGTGGCTGCTTGTCACCTCTGCTTTCGTAACCATCCGAAACACGACCAGGTTTCTTTATTCCGGCGTCTTGTTCGCTGGCAGCGGTTGGCGGCGGAACAGACGGGCGCTGCGTCTCCGACGTGCCCGTTTGTTCACTAGTTTGCTTTGCATTATCGTGTTCTGCAAGTAATCTATCCTCGCTTGGTAGCGTCCCAGCACGCTGCTTTACGGCATCGTCGGTCTTGTGCTCGTCTCGACCAAGCGCCGTCTTTGCAGCCGCCTGGTCAACATCTCCCCGTGGTCCCGCGACTGGAATCTTACTGTCGCCCGCAACTGGTATTTTACTACCCCCAGCGAGTGGAAGTTTTTGTTGCTCCGGCGGATCTTCATGCAAAGTTGGCGACTCGTCCGCAGCCGCAGGTTGCGGCGCAGTTTCTGCCGGGTCGCCGTTCTTGTGCGTAGTCGCCACCGCAGAACCGGCGTCAGAAAGGGGCTTGTCTGTTGCGGCAGTACTAGTACCGCCACCAACTGCACTTGTGGTATCGGTTCCTGTTGTAGAGCCGCTAGTTTTTGTAGCAGACGCGGGTACGCTATCACCTGCGGTTGCAGAAGTACTATCCGGAGCCGGTTGTGTCTTATCCGAAAGAGCCGCGGTTGTCGGTGCAGTCTGTTCCGCGACCGTGCTAGCGTCCTTGTTGACCGCAACGGACGACACTCCTTCTGCGGGCGTCGCGTAGTCCGGCTTTTTGTTTGCATACAGATGCAGCTCGTGCCTCTTGGCCATAAACTTGGTGTGGGAAGTGTCACGCTGAAAACGTTTCTCTTTGCGGAACCAAAAGCAGTGTGCTGGCAACAGTTGTTGTCGCTGCATACAAAACGGCTCATGCCAGTTCGCTACAAGTCACAAACTAAAAACAGCGCCCAGTTGAAAATACTTCTAGTCCGCCCACACCCGGCACGACACCGCGACTAACTCTTGCGGCGCAAAGAGAAAACGTTTTCTTTTGTGGATACGAATTGAAAACCTTGGTGGTTTCGTATTTGAGTCCCATTCCGTACACGAACGTGGCCGTCACCAGCGCAATGCCCACCAGGCCGAGAATGTGCACCCAGGAGGCGTTCTTCGGCACCGCCGGTTCCGGGTCCTCTTCGTCGGGCGTTGTCATCCTGCTGTCGGACCGGGCGCCGCTGCTGCGGTTATTAGAAAGTACTAACTCAGAGTTTCTTTCAACTCTCCTTCGCTGCCACAAGTAGTTCAAATATTTCCACTGCGCAGACTTCACTGGACCGCAAGTTGCTCCCAAAAGAAAATTAAAACCCTCGGTGGCTTTCGCGCATGCAAAATCACGTTTGAGCAGGAAAGAAGGTCTGAAAAAGGCGCAGTCATGATCATTTTGGGGAGTGGGAGTGGTTAATTTGTTCGGAAGCATTATCTTATTGTACATAAAGGGGGCTTAGTTTTAATTTCGAAAAAATATTCTGAAACACACAGCCGGCGCAGGGATCCTGCGCACGCTGGTCGACGAGTCATGCTGAGAAGAAACGTATCAATCTCAATGGGGAATTGCTACTTTCTTGGGGGAATTTCTGTGCGTGTCAAAATTGAAGAGAGGATTTGAAACGAACAACATCAGACGGAAGATTTACGCGCGACTACAAACCGGAATACGATACCATCTACTTACGGAGCGCACGATAACCGAAACTAGGACGAAGCTACTGGCTGCCAAATCACGAAAGTGTAGAGCACTTTTGCACGACAAAGAGTGACAGAACGGGCGATACAAAGTTGCACGCTTGCGAATGTTAACGTCATCGCATCAACCGAAACTCACGATGATAGATTATTGTACGAGAGGCACAACCGAAAGTGCTCAGAATATCTGTAGACAGCTTCGTCGTGGCGCCGCGAAGCAGGTACGACGACGCGCACCGACAGTTGCAACCAATTCTACATTTAAAGAATGCCAGAAACAGGTGCCACACGAAGACACTAGTGCATAACAACCGACCTGGAGAAGATTCGCATTTCAAGAAACATAGCGAACGAACAACCGGAACTTTGACGGACGCCCGGACGATATTGGTACGCCGTGCAATCTCGTCTCACAAAGAAAAAGAATCGCAGCGCGCAGGACGGCCTTGCACGCGCCAGCAATCAATACATGCTTTCACCTGGGCAATCGTCGAAAACTACCTTACTGGTAGTATGACAACCTAAAGAAAATTTCTTTTTACAGCATAGTGTACTTACTACAAAGATCACAAGCTACAGAAAAGCTTACCCGTTCTTTTTTTCCGCGCGCCGAGGCGGGAATTTTGCGGGCGAGTTTGCCTCTATCCGGCCCGGGAAAAAGAGGCTCCCGGGTACCCAGAAGCATTATTGTACTTAAACCTGCGACGAATCCTCCGTGCCTTTTGTAAGTAGTAAACATACATACATACACGCTCCACGCGGCTCTGCGAGAGGTTTGTGGTGCTCTAAATTTGATCCTGTCTCCCGGAAAGTGATCCACCCAACGTAGTACGGGCGAGCAAGGGCGTGAAGGAACCCTCTGCGTTCGTGATGTGGACGAACGTCGCAAGAGGTGAACAAGGATCCTGGAGGGGCCTGGGCCGCCCTTTGCTGGGGGGGGCGACTTAGAGCGCACCGGCGAGCTCTATATCCATGCTCCTGATGGCCGCATCAATGCGTCTTCGCTACGAGCGTCGTGTTGATTGATTTTGCCACGATCTTTCAATGTCGGCGGCGGGCTACGAGCCTTGTGCCGCGTTCATCGTGCATCCTGCATTCTAGCGGATGCTACTGCTCCATCTCTCCGCAGACAGAGAGAGGAGGGGGGGAATCTACTACGAGCAGGCCCCCCGATGCCAGGGCAGCCTCTACGGCAGCAACCCGGAGGGCAGACGCGGACGCACGGGAAAGGCGCAGGGCCCAGCCCTGCAAGGGCATTGCATGCGTCCACGCGCGTAAGTAAGAGCAATGTGGGGCGCAGCCCAATCCTCCGGAAGCGGGCCCATGGCTTTCTGGTGCTTGCTAGGTGGCAGGGAGGCGCATGGCAGTCGCGGGCCTTCGTGTCTTGCACATCTTTGCGCGCTCGCTGCGTGGCCCTGTATTGGCGTCTCGTTGTCGTATGCTCCGGGGCTGCACACGCAACCGATCGGATGCGACGGGCATGCCACAGGGGAGGCTACAGGGGCGTGGGCAATGTTTTTAGACGCTGAAGGCGGCGCGCGATGGTCTAGCTGCGAGCTAGACCTGCTGCGACGAGCGTTCCACGGACCGAACTAGGCGAGATGCTCCACAGGCCTCGCGTAGCTGAGGCGGATACATTGTCTCACTCTGAGCGCGTTGCCAGTCGGTCCTGGCATCTGCTGGGTCCTAAAGACAGACCAAGCACTTTTGTGCTCCGAGCACATGGGCTCCCTTCCCTACAAGGGCGGGATGTAAGTAGTAAACGAATAAGCGTGCGTGACTCCTACAAAGGTAAACGAAACCGAAGATCCAAGAAGCTATTCCCGAGTGAGAATCTACAAGCGTTTTCGGGGGTCTACAAATCCGAAAAGCCCGAAGCACCAGCCCCGGCGATACCGCGGCAGCATCGCCGAAAATCGGCGACGCTCAGAGGTGCTCTGCATGTTCGGTCCGGCCCCGACATTGACAATCCGGGCTCCTTTTGTTATGCACTGCTGCGCCCCACTTCTGGAAACGCCACGGTAGCGCTGCGCCTTCCAGAATAGCGCTTCGTGTGAGAGCTTCGGCCGCGCCCAAACCCAGCGAACCGCCTCAGCAAGCCGGCCCTTCGGGAATTCTGTCGCGGGGCCAATCGTGTGCGAGCGGTGGACGAGTTCGGGGCGACCGGCGGGGAAGGGCACAGCTTTTCGCTAAGCAGTGCCCTCGCCCCGGAAGCTCAGGCCCGCCCGCGGCACTTTCGGAAGGTATGCACCAGGCAGTCGAGGCGGATTCGACGGGCATCCGCCGGCGGAAGCCATAAACTCCAAGCACTGCCCCACACGCAGCGCCGCAAGAGACGCTCCCCGGCCTCCTCGCCCGACGGGAAGAGGGTCCGAAGCCCCACCAAGGCGGCGCCTCCACCCCCCCTCCTCTTGGAGGGCGGTCGACCCACGCTGCTTCGGAATCCAGTGCCTATAGGGCGATCGTCTTTGCTTCCTGGACTTTCGGAATTTTCGCAGATGGAAACAGGTGCTGTTAAAGTGGGTCCCATAGGGTTTAACTCTTAAAAAAGTACAATGGTCGTCTAGGCAACCCATTGTAAAAGAGTACTTTTTCCAAAAGTGCCAAACTTTAATGAACCCTATCACCCTACTATATTTTTCATCGGAAGGCACAAGATAAGAAATTTTGTCAATCTACTGTGATGGAGTAATAAAAATCATCCCAAAACAGTACGAGTATCACTTTGTTCATTTTTACACCCTTTCCTTATAGTGGGACTCCATTGTAGGGGAGACACACCAAAACACTCCAAAAAGATAATTTTTTTTTCTGTCCGTGTGGATAAATTTCCCGCTATTCATAGAAGAATCATAGAAGAATCATAGAGATAATCCACAAAGACTACCATATTAGTGTAAGTGACCATGTGTTTTTTCATATATTACACATATGTAAACACATTTCCACACTTGTAAAAAATTCGAAAAAAAATTAAAAAAAAATACGGTGGCATATTTTACATGTAATTACGCCCAATAAGGTGCATGCGATAAATGTATAGACACTGGACAGCACTGACTGTGAAAATGCCTTATATTATGAAGGAAATTCTAGAAAAATACGGCGCCCCAAAATTTTTGAAAAAATGACTTTCCGAGACTCTTGGAAATGTGCAAGATTTCCCCACACTTTTGACGCATGATTAAGCATAGCACATGACTTGTGATGCATTATCGTCATGCTCTCAGTGTTTTACACACTGGAATTCATATTATTCAACCCTTCAAAAATTTTCCAACTTTTCAAAAATTTGACGAACTGAAAAAATAATGCCTTAAAGGAGTCCAATCAGCTCAAAAAGGTAAAAGTAAGGCCATTATGCTGCTCATATGCCAAATTATGGCGAACCTCTCAAATTTTACGCCGTTTCCCACGATTTTCCAGAATTTCAAAAAATGCGAAAAATAGGTAGCACCACTCTTCTAGGTGGGGGCGCTTCAATATGGCCCAAGCTGGGCAAGAGTGTTCCTCCCCGTGCGTCCTTCATGTTATTGCTCATCCGTTTGATCAACAAAAGCCCACGAAACGCGACGGAATGCCATCTATGGGGATGCAATGGGTCGCGGAGAGGGGGGCGGGGGGGGGTCGCTTCGTCGCGCGCGCTGTACTTCTTGCATATACCTACCAAACGCGGCGGAATACTATGTACAGAAGAGGATGCAGTGGGTCGGGGAGTCCGAACGGGGATCGCTTCGCCGCGCGCTGTGCTCCTTGCATAGGCCCACCCCGCGCGGCGGAATACCATCGGGGGGAAGTAGTGGGTCGGGTGTCCGGGTGGGGATTGCGTCGCCGCGTGCTGTGCTCCTTGCATTGTAATCCATTCCCGTCATCTACAGTTCGGTACACCTAGTGCGGCAGCACCATCCGGAATGTCAGAAAACCCGACTAGCGTGGCCTACTCGACCTCGCGGCCTCCCCCAGGCCAGGCTTCGCAATCTTCGGGGGCGGGAGGCGTTTCGCATCAGCAGTGGCATCACAAAGCCGACGGGGCGGCTCCATGCAAAGTTTCTGCATGTCCCAAAAGTGCGTGCCTGGTTCCGCGGGTTTTGGAAGGTATGTCTTTGGTGCGATTTCCATTGTTCAGCATCGGTGGACTTTCGCGGGCACCCTATTTATTACTAGCTAAGATTTGGAATCTTCGGCCTTTGGGAAGGAGAGGTTGTCGCGCTTCCGGAGAGGCATTGCCCTTTCATGCTATTTCGCTGCGGATTCTAGCGTATGGTAAACGCGACGCCCGACGCGGGCGGAGCCACCGGGTTCTTGGACTTTGCGACAGTTGTGCCATGTGTCCCCACGACGTGGCTGCTCTCGCCAGCAAGAAAGAAGACCGCGCAGCCCGAGGAGAATAGGGCGTCGCGCCTCTATTGTTGCCCGGACCCCCACGGTCCGCCACTGCCCCGGGCGGTTATTGCGTACAAGCAGAAAACCCCGCGCTGCCGCTTTGCGTCTTTCTAGTCGCGCGCCCACCCCTGCGCACGCGGTCATATGAGATCATTTGCTTACTGAGCGCACGACGTGATGCAAAATCGAGCGAGGTGGAGAGGAGGGGACAGCACGAGGAGCCACAACCCTGAGGCAAGCTGCCGCCGCACAGCGCCTCCACCATTGCGTCACGTGCTTAAGCATTGCATTCTCCTCCCTCCAGTCGTTCTTTCCCGCCGCAGCGGCGCGTGCTATCAAAAATGGAGCAGCGAGGCGGCTCCAGCGGCTCGACCAAGATGTCGGAGCAGTCTCGCGACCGGGCGAAAACGTTCTCGGGACTGCACCTTCAGATACCGAACACCGCGGGGCATGCGGACGAGGCGATAAACGAGGAGCTCCGGCGGGAAAACTCCATCACGATGACGCCGGGCGGCCTGAAGTCCGCAACGCTGTGGCCCTGGGCCCAGCGGAACCACGCGCGGCGGTCCTCCGTGATGCGGGTGCCACCCTCCGAGCAGCCAAGCGCACACGTCGCGGGCAGCGGGGGCGGGGAGGCCGGAATGATTCCGCCCGGCCCCGACGCGTACTGCTCGACCGAGCAGATCCGGATGACCGCAGCGTCGCAGTCGCCGACGCCGCATCTCGACGACCGCTCCGGGGGGTCCGGGGGCAGCCCCGCGCCCAGCGTCAGCACGACCCGGTTGAACGGCAACGTTCCCGGGCCTGCGAGCACCACCGCGACGAGGGTCGGGAAGCCGAATTTTTTTCAGCAGGGGGTGCAGAAGAAAACGAGCCTGAGTAAGCTGGAGCGCGGGTGGGATCCACGCCGAGCCCTCTTCACGCCGTTCACGCGCGACGAGCACGCGGAGCACTACAAGTGGCAAGACCGTCTGATCCCCCGCGATTCTCCGTTCTGCCAGAGTAAGGGAAATCTCGACGTCGAGCGCCAGATACCAGGGTATAATGAACGCGGGAGTATTGAATGATGTTGCGAAAAAGTCAAGCAGAGCTAAGCGTCAGTCATGCAAAAGTAGTGGGGTGCTGGCGCGAAAGCGCGTGTTGTGCAGCTTTGAGAGTAAAACCATATGCAAGGAGAACAGGCTCGCACTTCCGCGCATCGGACAAGACAAGAACTTTTGATTTTTTTCAGCAGGTCTTGTGCTACGTATACTCCACCAAAAAAATCGGTTGACTAAAAACAACTCCAGGTACCTTGGATCGTCGCTCCGTTCGCTGTACTACCAAAATCTGTTCCACTCCATCCTGGACTTCCGCATGCGCACGCACGTGCTGATCGTGAGCTCGACGTACACGCTGTTCTGGGTGGTCGTCGCGTTCTTGCTGATTCTCGTCGAGGAAGACTGCAACATGCGGCTCGGCGGGAGCTTCATCAAGGCCTACATTATCGCGGTGGAAACCTGCATGACGATCTATTACAGTGAAAAGTGCCCCCCACCCCCAAAGTTGCAAAAATTTGTGATGCGAAGTTTCCAAATGAAAACTTTTTGTCATGCATGAAAGGAGTATGAATCTTTCTGATGCAGAGTCTAGTCGTGTTTCGCATCGCTTGCATGACAAGCACCGCTCTTGCTGGGATCTTTTGCAATACAAATTTTTGCTATTCACGAGCGGAAATCTGTGATGCTGATACATACATTCGTTTGGAAAGGTTTGCAATACAAATGCTTTCAAGTTCGGGGGTGGGGGCATTTTTCACTGTCATACGATCGGGTACGGCATGCACGACGAAACGTTCAACGGCTGCTGGTATGGATTGCAAAAGTGTCTGGGTCTAGAAACTTGTGATGCTGGTTAGCGTATCATGAGCAAGCGATAAGTGCTGGCTCAGCATGACAAGTTTCTGAGCTTTTAGGTGTTGCCTATTCTGCATGACAAACTGCGTTTTTGCATGACAGAAAAATGGGGCTCTTGGGTAACGTGCATGACAGATTTAAGAGTCATGCCAGACAAGCATGACAAACGTGCACTCTTCCAGACCCAGACATTTTTTCATTTGATAGCTGGCAGATGGCGGTCATCCTCTCCGCGGCCAGTTTGATCTCCATGATCCTGGACGGCATCTATCGTGAGTAAAAATGAGAGTCTGGTTGTCCTCGCGCAACTTCTGGCAAATCAGAGCCTTATTTTGCTGTTTGATTTGCATGAAAAACAGATCGAGTATAATGAAGAGTTCAACAAATGACCGAGTCGCATGTCTTTCGTGTCGCAGTACAAGACGTGGATTTTCCTCACAATAATGTCCTGATCGGACTAATTTTCATGACGCTAACGAATCCGCAGAGGCGCGCGGCCACTGTCGTGTTCACTGACAAAGCCATCATAAAGCTCATAGACGGAGAGCCACACTTCGTTTTCCAGGTAAGGGGTGTTGCGATGCAAAGTGATTTTCAATGCTGAAGTGTGGAAGATTGTCGTGATCGAACTATTTCACAATGTGTCGACCGCGATGAAAAAACCCAAGAAATTCTACTGTACAGGTAGCAGAAATACGGAAGCAGTCCCTCCTCGAGGCACACATTTTATCAAAGTGAAAGGCCGTCGCTGTCAATGTTGGCTGTGTCATTCTGCATGATTCGCCCGCACGGCAAAACTCGATACGCATAATTCCAACTCCTGCCATATGGCAGCACGCGGTAGTACCGCTATCACATTTGTTATTCGTTCCCCCGCCTGCCATTGACAAAAGTTTTCCGCACAATTCGTTCGCTGCTACTGTTTCAAGCACTGCGACGTGATCAACCCGCTGACCGGGCAGAAATCCAAATCCCGGGTGCTGCAGCAGTTTCCCATGCGACTGCAGTCTCCGGACGACGAGTTAGGGGGCATGCTGTTTCTGAGCACGCCCTTGCTGGTCGTGCACCGGATCGATGAGTGGAGTCCGCTGTACCGCCTGTACGAACGAGCCACCCACTGCGGCGTTCCGGACGGCACGGAGGCGGAGCACGTCCGCATGGATTCCTCCAGCTTTGACCAACCGGAGCGCGGCGGCGGCGCGCTGAGTCGGACCAACAGCGGCCTGCAGCAGGTCCTGTCGCCCAGTCAGAGCAGCCTCATAACCGGGAAGCGCGGGCGGTCGCAGGTGCTGGCGGTGCAGCACTCCGGGGTGTTTGACGACGTCGATAACTTACCGACGGGAGCGACAGCGAACAAGAGTAGCACGACACCGCTGTACGGAGCGCCGCAAAACAAGAATCTGCTTGGTGGTGTTCTTGACATTGATAGCGCAGGTGCAAGAATAAACGCAGTTGGAACCACGATGAACAGCAGCAGTTCTTCTGCAAGAAGCCCTACGGGAGGAGCGGTTGCCGCAGCGGGAGGCGGGAGCAGCAGTTCCGCGTTGGATCAAACTACAGTGCCTAACGACCTCCCGGACAACACCAGTACGAAGACCAAGTCGGGCAGTACGGTCATCAAATCCGCCGCGGGCCTAAAATCCCCTTCCCCCACGGCGCGGAACGCCTCGAAAAGCCGGCTGGACGCGGAGTTTCAGGTGCGGTTTCAGGACTCCCGTGGGTTTACCTACTACCCGGAGCCCGGCGCGAGTGTTTATTCCGAGCACTTGAATAACGAGCGCGACTTTTTCGGCAGCCCGACGGAGCGCGAGCCCACGACGATTTTCTGCGCCGGAGACAATCACGCACAGTACCGGCGCATGATCGGCGTGCCCAACCACCGGTCCATTCACGGCATGACCGCGTCCGGCGACAGCAAACATCCCAAGCAGTTCACGCGCAACGCCGACCGGCAGAGCAGCGGCGTCTTCGGGGAGCCGCAAGACCCGGAAAACAGCGGCGGGCAGTCGGCAGTCGATAGAACCGCGAGTCAGCAGGAGGGGCGGGTTTCAACAGCGCAGGCTGATGCGGCTGGCGTTCCGGGCGAACAAGCAGGCAACTACAACATTGGGAAAGATTCGACAGCAGTGGAGACGAGAATATCAAAACATCAAAGCCAGGACGACACCCCGCCGCCCGCAGTTCTGAACAATGCGTCGGGCGTATTTCCTGAAACGTCGAGGCCTAGTCGGGTCGACGCCGGTAGAGCCAGCGCGTCGTCCCTGTCACTTGGACCAGCAGAACAAAATGGAGCACAATTACCCCACGCCCTCGGTGCCAGCTCCCCCAGCCCCGGATCGTCGGCCAGCAACGCAGACCCGTCGTCGACCCGGGACAGCAAAGCGCGTAACCGATTGTCCTCCACGTCAACAGCGATTGCAGGTTTGACACTGACCGACCCGATCAAGACATCTCCGCGCGTGTCCGGCAGCGGTACGGGGTTCGGCGCAGCCAGCTACTTGACCAGCCTGCTGGCGGGCGGCGGAGTGACGTCCAAGGAAATGATGACGGCACAGGAGGAGGAGGGTCCCACCTACGTCGGAAAAAAGTCCTCGATTGCCGCAGCAGTGGGAAGGACGAAAGACTTGTCTGCGGTCTCGCAAAGTAAGAACGGCGGTGCACCACCAGCTGGGGACTTACTGCAAGTGAACGATCCCAGCAGGACATCAGCGACAGGAAAAATAGTAAGCGAGCATTTGGAGAAACCAGAAGAAGAGAGCGCTGACCTATTCAATGTTATCTGTGACGTCGTCGCTACGCAGGCTGGCAGTTCCGAGGCCGGCGCACCACAGAACGGAAACTCTAATACCAGAGAGCAGAGGTTGTACAACTTCGCTCACGAACAGGTTTCCACCCAACTGTGCGCCCGGCGCGACTACGTGGCGCCGCCTCTGCGGATGGTCGACGCGGAGCGGGGCATGTTCACGCTCTACGCCTGCCCGTACTGCGGTGAAAGTTACGTCACCAAGTGGCTCTATCGGAAGCATCTCGTGCACAATCGCGGACACGGTAGCAGATTTGATGTGAAGCGGGGTTGGATAGCTAGAAGTCGCAGACAGTTCGTTGCTTGCCCCTTCGCATGACAAGTTTCCAAATTGTAGCATATACGAAATGTAGTTCTTTTTGGATGACCGCTAGTTACGCGACAAAAACAAACAGGCGACCACCCCGCGGAGCTACCGAAGTGGACGAAACAGATGGAGAACGAGAAAAAGTTCGGCTACAACCTTTACCAGGAAAATTCCAAACGGCTCGAGCACTGGGACGCGCGCAAGCGCAGCCAGCCGGTCAACCTTCTCAGCCAGGACTACTTCGAGGTTTTGATTTTGGTGGAGGGTATCGAGCCCTTCACTTCCACCACGGTGCAGGCACGGCATTCCTACGCGTTTGGACAGGACATCGTCATCAACGGGGACTTCATGCCGTGCACCTTTTTGAAACAGGACGGCACCGCCATCGTGGACTTCGGGAAATTTCACCAGGTCGTGCAGTCCAGCGAGGACCACTTTTTCGCGGCGAAGGAAGAAGTGAACATTCCGCTGGAGTAGCGGGGGGGAAGGAGGTGCCACTGATGCACTTGCATTTCGGTTTTTATGTAGCTGAAGTTCGGGCACTAGATCGTCCGCAAAAGATCTTTTTTTGAAGCGCGACGACGAGAAAATTTTTCGCCTGTGATGTTTCTTTCGCGAAATGACGATGCTTGTATGTACTTTGCGCGACATCAAAGATTTGCGATCGGCAAGCTTGTGCAGGAACGATAAAATATTAGCAGAGTCGACGCCTCTCGAGCTCTTTTCTACGGACAAAATGTTGAAAGACCCGCAAACTTCGTATACTCTGAGACCCATTCAATTTGACGGCTTCCTACGACCCATGTTTTTAGCTGAGTTTTACTTTTCTTGTCAGAATGTCTATTTTGGATGAAGAAATAAAACATTTAGAAGTAACCGGTAAAATCACTCGCTTTTCCCATCGTGCATGGTTTCTTGCTGTTTGGTGGAAGGAGAACGGCCTGTAGTTGTTTGAATTTTTGTTGAAAGTTAGGGATGTCTTGAAATGCGGTCGGAGTTCTGTCAGTCCCGTGTACAACTTTTCCGAAGTAAGAACCAGTGAAGCAGTCGTGCAGTCTAGTAGGCTTGCATATTTTTTGAATGAAATTTTTTATGAGTAGAGTTACTCAAGAGCCTGTGGCGGGGACGCATTGGCCTCTTCGGTACTAGGACCGAGGTGGTTGATGTTTCTGCCTGGGCAAAGGAGTTGTCGCACTAGTCATCCGAAGCACGCGCTTCGTTCGCGATTTCCCGTGCAGGTGCAAAGAAACTGCAAAGAATAGGATGCATGAAAAATACTACAGAAAAATATTTTAATGAACCCAGTCTTTTGGTACCGGATGCGGAGGAGAAGCAGCTCGCAGTCCAACATTTCCACTACCTCGGAGGAAGACGTGTACTGGAAGGGTCGGCTTCTTGTGCACGCTTTGCCAGTGTTCATGTGTTCGATATGCTCACCAGCACACCCGCGCGTTTTTGATCATGGTCCAACCAGCTATCCACCCGCCTCGCTTTTTTGCAGACAGGCGAACGATGACAATATCGCCTCGTGGGTCGTACATTAGATAGAAGTAGAACTACAAAGAGCTGGCTCGCTATACGAGCGTGCCACCGCGCCGCGAGCAACTGAAGGTTAGAATAAGAGGGCCCGAGAAAAAGAATCTCACTTCGGAACAACATGTCGCATCTCCGTTCGTTTGCTTCCTTCTTCAACCTGCTCGGCGCGAGCCAATGGAAGTCTGCAGCTGCTATGCCTGTGATTTGCAACGGACCGGGATCCACCGGGTACCGGGATCTGAAGAAAAGCAGTTCCGACGCGGAGCAAGAGTACTTCCACCGCGCGCCCCTGCTTGCGAGCAATGCGTTCGAGCAGGAGGCGCGGTCCTTCGTCAACCAGGAATTCGTTCGACGAGGAGTGCGTTCGTCCACAGCCGGTGAGGAACAAATTCCCGAATTCTGCACGCCGACCTTTGGAGGGCAGGAACTAGGCAGCGAAGCGGATGGCTTCATGGGTACGAATCCCGACGAGGAGTTGGACCCCGAGGAAAACCACCCACCGATGGTGCTGGCCGGCGAGGCGAATTCGCACAGGGCCCGCGCTGCCCACCCGCTGCTGGGCTGCGCGCGCCGCAACCAGCGTGCGCTGAAGTTTCTCGGCGTCGCAACAGCGGTTGCCGGCGCAATTTCCGGACTTCTTGGCCCAAATATGATCGGCACGACGGGCGGCACGAATAGTCAGTTTGCAGCAAGAACTGCGGGACAGGAACCGTGTGACCTCAAGTCTTCCTCAGCCGGACGTAGTAAAGCCTTCTTGCAGCCGGCGGATCACAACGCCGCCTCTGCCGCACCTTCCGTTGTTGACAAAGACGGCAATTTGATTGCTTTCTCGCAGGACTTGCCGTCGCCCAAAGGATTTGACTCCTCGGGCGACCACACCTACGAGAACCTGATAAGGTCCGGGAAGGCGCAGGTCTTGGAGCTGGTGGAAAAGAAACCAAAAATCACGTACCGCACGGCGGAAGAGACGGAGGCATTGGCGAAGAGGGAAGCTGCGAAGAAGGCCGCAAAGGACAAGGACGACACCGTCCCGCCGTTCGTGAATCTGAATCTGGTCACCGTGGAGCGCAAGCCGGCGGGCGCAGCAACTACGCGACAGGCGGTTTCGGACGTGAAAAAAGACATTGCGCAAGCGTTCGCAGCAGCAGAACCAGCAAAGAGCGCAGCTGAGGACAGTACTGAAGCTAATGCCAGTTCATCTTCGTCTGTCGCTAAGCAAGAGAAAGCTTTCCTCAACGCGGAGGCACATACCCTCGCCAGCGCGCTCACGGATGGCGTCGAGAATCTTTTCAAGGACTCCTCGTCCTCGGGAAAGTTGAAAGTAGAGATGGAAGACGGCCAGACGTTCAAGTACGAAACTGGGAATATGAAAGGCAAAAGTACACAAGAAGATTCTTCGTCCGATGAAACAACCTCATCACAACCAGTCGCTTCACCAACAACCTCGGCGCCGCAAAAAAACCACCTGCGGCCGGACGAGGTTCTGATCGAGGGAAAGAAGTACCTCACCGTGCATTTGCCAGCGCTGGACGAGGCAGAAACGGAAACCGGTCATGCGGAGGAAGATTTGACACCAGATGAAGGCAGGCCAAAAGCAGAGATCGGCTCTCTCGCCCCCTTGCGCGACATCACGGACGCGGACAGGTTCATTCAGATGTCAAACCTGCCTCCGACGTTCATTGCCGGCCCAGAACCGACGGTAGGACATCAAGAGGTCCCAAACCCAACCGAAGCAGTGCGTCGTTCCGACTTCTTGAATCCCACCCAGAGATTCGTGCTGGATCTACAACGCAAGAAGCGGCTGCTCGCGCACGTGGTCACGCCCGGAAACGCGATGCAACAACGGTACGCCACGCCCGAGCAGGTGAAGCAGGCCATGACCAAGGCGGACCCGCTGAGCTACATCGAGTTCGATTCGCAGGACGTTATGGTGCTGCCCGACACGCCGGACAACGGTTTTGTTTCCATGTCGGCGTCATTGGTGCTCCCGAAATCCGACCCGCTCGACGACGGTATGCCGTTCTACTCCGCGCCGTTCGTTTGTCCTTTGGGAGAAAGTACTACACCGTTCGCGGCCGCGGATAACCGCTTCACTGACAGTTTCCCCGTAGGTGGAGGACCGCAAGCAGCGGGTATGAGTACCACGCCGGAGGAGATCAACATTCAAACCTTGATTTACGGGAAAACCCAACCCGAGCTGCCATTGTCGACCGCGCAAGCGAACACCGAAGCCGCAATTGTCGAAAAACAACACCCCTACTACATGCAGTACTTCGACGCGGACCAGTGCGACGTGCTCGTCACATCGAACGGCGATTTCGGTAGCACGGTATGCATTGCAAGTGTAAACTTCGCACTAGCTTGAATCGCATATAGAAATGTTTCAAGAAGAAAGTTGGAATTTGTCGTGCAGATATTGGTGGTAAAGGGAAACCAGATTTGGCATGTATGAGTGCGATTTCAGTAAATACAAGCGCGATACTTACATTTTGCAGTGGATACATGGGAATCGCCAGCAACGCGCTGCGCTACTCGAAGAACGCGGCGGACCGGGCGCATTGGCTGGAAGAGTTGTTGGCGAAGAGAATTATCAATCCCCTGGATAGCCGCTTCGCCGTTACGATGACCGAGGCGGGCAGGAACGCGCTTTTCAACGCGAAAGACAGTTTGACGCCAGACGAGCGGAGCCGCGCGATCAGCTACTTCCGAAACCTGCGCGGCCCGCCGACGCAGCAGCAGATGCTGGACCTCCTGGAGCCGATCCCCGGCGAGTTGACCGAGGTGATCGCGAACTGCCCGTTGAAAGCGCTGGTAGGCGTCGCGGACCCGCTCCAGGTGATGCCGAAAGTGAACCAGGACCGCGTGGTCAAGGCCAAGATGAACAATCTGGCCTTGAACATGGATGATTTCTTCTCGCTGAACGTGCCCTGCACGATCCAGAAGCCGTCCATGACCGAGGGTATCGTGACGCAAAATTTACCGGCGCTGCGCGAGGTCGATGGGGAGAATGAAGGGAGTGCAGCAGGGGCGAGTGGGACAGGAGCATTTGCGGCCGTGTAAGAATAAAGAAATGCGGAGGACCTTCATGCTTTGTAGCGGTTTTATTTCGCTGTTGTTTTAGGAATGAAGTTGAAATCTGTCGTTTCTGTTGTGAAAATACAAAGAAAGAAGTTTACTGCGAAATACAAAACTTTAAGAATACTGATTTACTTCAAGAAAAATTCCAAATCTGTTTTTTGCTTGCAGAAATGTAAAAAACTTAATTGCCTATGTGAAACAATGAATGGAGTGTCTCCACAAGGTGGATAGATTTTGCTTCAGATGATCCTTTTCACTCCCGCCCGTGGAGTAGTGCAAGATGAATATAGCTGTAAATCTGCCAAAATTCAACACCGGTAATATGACTAGCCTGAATGAATTTATGTAAGAAGACACAGGAGAGCAACGCTCGACTGGCTACGGCGGGTTTTCCTTTTCGCGTTTGCAGCAGCGCGCGCTGTTCGGTTGGTGCAACTTATTTTTCGTACCAGGACGGTAGTACTCCGGATATCACCGTCGGAACAGCATTTGAAATTGTCCAAAACAGTTTCGGATTGAAGTCGGTTGAAGAATGATCGATTGTGGCCAGCGGCATTCCAATGCGATCTTTTTGCAGCTTTCGGTGGTGCAAGATCTCAGGCAGGCAGGACTCAGATCCTGATGCGCAATTCTCAGAACTGATTGCCCCCCTACACCTCATGCATAGGAATTCGCTTGCCCATTTGTTTCGGACTGCCGCTTCGTTTTCAGCCTTTACAATTAATGATCGCGTGCCCCGAGTAGATAGTAGAAAGCTTCGGAGTAATTCTCTTCGTATTTTTCTGCTCCACACAAATACAAATCACCATGTCGACCCCCATCTCGACTACGAGTACCTCGGATCCCACCCTGACTCTCGAGTCTTTCCCTTCGCATTTTACCACATTTCTACTCACCTACACAACCCCCTTCGATCTCATTCTTGCAACTATTTTTCTGTGTTTTTCGCTGTACAAATTTGGCGCGCACCGGCAGAACTTTCTCGCCACAGCCACCCTGATCGCCGCGTACCTGGGTCGGAAAGCGATCTTACCCGCAACGAACCTGGACGGATGGGATCCCGGAAATGATACCGTCGGGCCGGGCATCTACGGGGGGAAGGTGCTGTATGACGAGAAGAACAACATTGTTTACGGGAAGCAGTACCAAAACCACAACCCCTTCGTCGACGGACCGGTTTACGAGGGCAAAGGGGCGGGCTATTCCTTTATGAACTCCCTGTTGCGTGCGTTTGATGTGGATGGCTTGGAAACCGCACTGGAGAGAGACCCAGGCCTGTCTTTGGAAATCTCCACCGGCGGCGCGACGCCGCTACACTTCGCCGGCATGATCCGGATACCAAACAATAACGCCGCGAAAAACGCAACGGGCAAAGGACCGCGGGGTTCTGACGGCAGCAGGAGCGTCGGTGAGACAATTCCCAGCAGCGAGAACGCGTTTTATGAAGAGAAGATGCGGAAAATGGTGAAAAGCTTGCTGCAAGCGTGCCTTCTTCACATTACAGAAGAACAGAACAAACAAAAATCTGCTAGTAAGGCAAGAGGAGGCGGAACATCTTCCACTACTGTATCCTTATCTCCAGTGGACGCCTGCATCAACAAAAACATCGACCTATGGGGCTACACGCCGCTGCACCGCGCGGCTGGGAACGAGGCAGTGGCAGTTTTGCAGGAGCTAGTTGCCTATGAATGGCAAAAATGTCCGGGTCTGGGAGGTTTGGAAACTTGGCATGCTATCATGTCGATGGCGTCCTGCCTTCAATACACACCAGCACATGCGCACAACAAGTGTTTGTGCTGCCATGCGGTGCAGGGAATTTTCATTTTGCATGAGAGATTGCTGCTTTGCATTACAAAAAAGCTGAGAGGCCTTTGCGCAACATGCGTGACAGAATGGACGCATTTGCCTGCCGAGCATTACAAGTTTTCACTTTTCCAGACCAAGACATGTGTGCATGGCATATCGCTGTCGAAAGTGTTGATTTGAACGTCATGTCGACTGGCGTCTACAACCTGTACGGCGGTCCAGAAACACCTTTGGAGACTGCAAGAAGAGAAAGCGCGGTAGTCGCAACGAGATTTTTGGAAGAGATTATGGAGAAAACGGAAGGGGAAAGTTCGAAAGCGACTCCTACAGACGCGAATAGATGAAGAGGCTTTGTTGTGCTGGGAAAATCTCGAAGTGCATATAAGTGATTTCGTCTCTGGCTTCCTCCGTTTACCACGAGGGGAGGCACATTTAAAGTAGGTTGGAAGAAAACTGTGTTTGTGTCCTGGCCATATGAACAAGAAGCATCGTGTACTGCAGAACGATGTTAGAATAACCAAGTCGTCCGTATACTGCAGAAAAAATTCAGACGAAGCAAATCGTGCGCACTTTCCGTTAGCATAATCGTGTTTAATTTTTCGTGAAGCACTCGCATCCATCTCTTGTGTAGTCACACCGGCAAATTCCCGTGCATCCTTGTCTCGTTCTCGTTGCTTTTGCACGTGCGTGCGTCGCAGTCGTGTACGACCAACGTGGTCCTCATTTTTTCCAAATCAGCAACCCGCTCCTTCCCTTATGTTGAACTGCTGTCATCGATTTGCTGATAGAGGCCTAGATTGAAGCAGCGTCGTGCACGTAATATGTTCTAGACCGTAATTATCCTGTTTACCATTTACAGTTTTTTCAACCGAAAACCCAATAAAATGCTCGGGAGCAGCACAAGGAATCACGGCTCGAACTCCCCGTCCACACCGGCGACCCGCCGCATTCCGATCCAGCTAAAAAGCGTGACCGATAGCGGTATCGTGCCCCGGAACAAGAAATGGAAGAAGCAGCAAGCGTGGAAAACACACGAGATTTTTGCCGCTTTCGTCGGGTGCCTACTGCTCTGGTGGGGCTTCCTCTACGGCTTGATGCAGCTCTTTGGGGAGCATCGAGGTGGGAGCCCTAGTAATCCTGCGTTCAAAAGCGACGACAGCCCAGGAGAGGTGGAGGCCGGAGACAGGAAAATGGGCGGCGCTTCTAGTGAGCCGATTACCGCTTTCACCCAGTCGACAACAAGCGCTTGAACCAGTGCGGGAAATCAATCTCCAAAAGGGCGCGGAAGCCCATAGTTACTCGCGAGTACTTCTCAAGAGATCGATAAACCAATAGCATGTACAATGAGCATGAAATAAACATGCGTTCTGACCTGAGCGTTTTCATAATACCGTAGCCCCTGTTTCGAAAATCAAAAACCGTGGGAAATGTCACCGCTGCGTTTGTGCTGTTGGGTCCTGCTTTTCATATCGTTTTGTTGTTCTTCTCTTGGGTCCGGCGTAGGGGTGCTGCATCGTTCCTTGTGCCCGACAATTGCTGTTTCGCGTCGTTAGTGGATCTCTATGTGTTTCGGTTCCCAGAAAATCGGTGGCAAACGTTTGCGCTCGGTCTGTTCGTTCCCAGTGTTGCACTTGTTGTTTTCGGCTCTTCCAATTATATCGCTTTAGCTCGTATCTCTCTGCTTCGGCTCGTACTTAAGAGGCGTGGTAAGCGCATCTCACTTTTTGGGCTAATTATTTCATGTCGAAAAAACGGGATCGCGGGGTGGCTAGCTGGGTTCGTGCAGAAATCTTCGGTTTGTAATTTTCACATTTGGAATTAATGATCCTCACCTTCTTTATTTGGCATCCCACGACAAGAATTTCAACTTTAGGAAGTTTTCAGTGCTTGGGTTTTTGTTCAACATTGTTGTGGCACGCAGAAGGGCTACTTTTTGGTGAAATGCATTGAAGAAACCTCGGGGAAAGTTAGTCGCACATAGAGCTGCTCGAAAAACATCTTCTAGCCATACGGAAAATTATCCCATATCCACTATGACGATGATAGGGCAGCCTGCGGTCGACGCGAATCGCGATTTTCCGAACCTTGTGGAGGAGTACCAGGGTCTTTCGCAATTCGACAATGACGACGCGGAATCTTGCCGAACCATATCCCCGACGGAAGAGCACAACAACCAGCTGCAGCCCGTGCTGGAGGAGGACGAGGAGCAGGAGGACGACGTCCAGACCGAAGTTCCGGCCTCGGAAGTCGGGGCGGATCACTACTACCGGACTTCCAATGGCCAGCAGCAGCTGCACAACAACGGGGCGTCGAGCTCTTCTGCTTGCAATTCCGGGGCGGAGAACAACCACCCGTTGACTGCGTATTTCAGTCACAGCTCGTCGAACCAGCAGAGCAAAAACAGCATCGGCCAGATCGCGGAGGAGGACGACGAGAAGACGGTCGTGCTGCACGACCAATTGTCGCCCGATCGGTTGAGCCCGGTGATGGAAAAACACTTCGAGGCACAGCTGTTGAACAAGGAAAAGACCGTGCGGGTGAGCGGAACAACAGGTGGGGTTGTTTCGAGTTCTAGTTCGCAACACCCTAGGTTTACAGCGGCGCCCCCGGGCGGCAATACTTCGGCAGGCACAGCGGGGAATGTTGGGGTCTATCTCCCCCCGGTGGTGCAAGTGGCCACATCGGCGTCGTCTTCGAATAATATTAACTTCGCGAGTTCTACTTCGGGCGCATTACCAGCCGGTGGCAGGCTTGTGACCGGAGATCAGGTTTGTTTGGTTTTTTTATTGCATGAAACCCTTGGCAGCTTGATTGTTGCGATGATATGGTTCTTGTCGTTTTGGAGTTCTGTTCTTGGTGTTTTATGGAAGCGTTTTCTTGTCATCAAAAATGGACTTAGGTTCCGAACCCGATTCGCATCACTGCTCCGGGAACGGTCGCCACCACTACACGAAAGAGTGCGTATGCCGCTCCAGTGAACTTTTCCACGTACTGTGCTGTGATGCTTTTCTTGAAGGCGTGTCAGGAGTTAGTTTGACTACTTAATCTTGCTTTGTTCGTGATTCGAGGTTTGATCAAAATGGTTCTCAGAAATAAGCACGAGCACATCCTGCATTTAAAGATACGGCGCGATGTCCCCGCAGAACGTGAGCCGGATGCTGACGCCGCGGAACCCACAAATCAACTTCGCCGGGACAAGGACGCCGCAGCCGTGGCAAATGGTACATCGCCAGCAGTCCTGGTCGCCAAAGCAAGTTCACCGCCAAAGTTCCACGAACGTCCAGTTCACCACCGGCGGGATACAGGCCAGGGCGACCACTGTCGGTAGGGAGGTTTTTCTTGACTTTTTTCCTAAAGCGACTGCGTTTCTGTTTCTTGATATCGTTCGGATGAAATACGACTACATGTTGAGGCGGAAGAGGACCAGCCATAAAACTAGAAACACTACTGGTTCTTGACTTCAATCATGGACAAAAATCAAAAGTTCCCGCGGCCGCTCGGGACCACCTCCACCGCCGTCTGCAAGTGGATGTGGCAGGTACCATCACGCCGGCGCCGATGCTGCCGAGTTACGACATCCTCCGCGGGGACACCAACCAGGCGATCCGCACCACGACAAACCACCAGAGGTCGTTGAGCCCAGCGAAATTTTTGGAACCAAGCACTGGGTCAGCAAATTGCCAACGGTCCAGTTCCGCAAGTTCCTCCTCCTCTGCGTCCAACCGCATTCGGATCCAGCCGCCGCCGAGTATGACCGCCGTGCAGAAGCCGACGATCCTGGTTGCGCCGCCGGCGGGAGAGCACGGGCTTGGAGGTGGAGCAGCAGCGGCGTCAACAGCTTCATCCGGGCCCGCGGTGATAAAGACACTAGTAGAGCAGCAAGGGGGGACCGCGAAGAACTGTGAGGAGAAAACGAAAGCAGATCTTGGTCAAGAAGTTGAATTATCGGGAGACGGCGTTGCAGCAGAAAGTAACTCCTCTGCAGTAAAAGTCGCACCAGCAACATCTGGCGGTATCATCCCGAATGCGATCGGTCTAGCGACGACGCAGCCCGTGCCGAAGTTCACGGTCAAGCTTGGGCCGGACGGAAATAAGACGGTAGTTCAGGAAGGTGGTGCTACGGGGGTAGCAGAGCAACAAGCCAGCACTTCCAACAAAGCCCAACGCGCGTCGTCCGTGATTCGCGATCGGTCTGTGATTCGGGGCGCAGATGCTACGAATTCGCGGAGTGCAACAGTCGCACCGAATTCGACGCTGATCGCTCCACGGGGCGTGCAGATGGCGTCCGGGGGCATGCCGTTGTTTGGCGCAGGCTTGACAACAGCCAGCGGGGAGTCGATATACAACAGAACGAAAACCTTTTTTCCCGCCTCGCGAATCAACACCAGCGCAGCGGCAGCAAGTAGTAGCCACCAGGGATTTCAGGCAAAGAAGCAGATGGAGACTGCTGCGAGTCTTAACACAGGTTCCGTCCTTGCGGGAACGAGCAACGCAACCCAGCCGCAAAGCGCTGGTATCGCTATCACGCCCGTGCAGGAGGAGAACCCGGCAAGCAGGGGTGTAAACGTCAACGCAAATGTGAGCACGGCGGCGGTGGCGAACCGGGTGCACCGTGTGGGGCAGGCCGTCCCGTTTTTTAAACGGGTGTGGACCCAGCCAACTCCGTGGGGTTTGTCTGCCAAAGTCGGGCTTCCGCTTATGACGGCGCGCGGCGGAGCGCCGTCGTCGGGCAAAAACACACCGGGGGATGCCGCTACGGGGACACCGTTGGAGAATTAAGCTTGAGGGTGCCTGTGGTTTGCGCGACACAGTGTAGCCATTCCAGCTATTTCGGAATGTGCTGGCACAGATTTCTCGTGGAGTTTCCCGGGCAGAATTTCATCTTCCCTTTGGTAGCGCTGAAAAGAACGTTTTTGAGAATAGTCAGCTGATATTTTCCTGTTGCAAAATTCAAGTTTCAATTTGAACATGTTGGAAATTTGGACACTTTTGTAATGCCTTCCTGCTATTGATCATCGTGTACTAACTGGTATTTTAAATGTAGAATTTTGATAGGGACGCGGCGGAGGTGCAGCATAAGGCTTGGAGTTTGAAGTTCATGACTTTGAGAGCTTCAACATCTCTACCCTGTATCAGAATTGGAGAACATCTACGAAGAATTTGTCGAACTGGACCAGAAATCTTGTCATATTGAAATGAAATTGAAGACTCGTGATGAAACATCTGCCCACCTGTAATGCCTTCCGGCGCAAGAATCCAAGCGATCATGAAATTGATTCGTGTGTTCCTCCAGCTAGGTGTGTTTGCCTGGCGAAGAACACAGCTCAGATATAAAAGCCGAGGGGAGTGGATTTGTATGCGGCTGCTTCTGCGTCATATTTCGGAGGCCGGCAGACTCATCAACAACAATAGCGGGCGGGCGCGAGAGAAGGCGGCCGCCCCTGCGCCGGCGTGCTCGGCGCAAGCCCCGGCGGGGCACTGCCGCGCGCGATCCTGTTGCGCCGCGGGTGGGTTTTGGGCGGTCCGCGACGGGCGAAGTTTTTGCGCCAGGCGGCGCCCGCGCGCCGAATGAGTTCGATCAAGGGGGCGAAGTGCCCGCGGGGCTCCCTGTTCTGCTGCTGTTGTCATCTCGCCCGCCTTTGGAAGCGGCGCCGAACTCGGCAGCGCCTCCGCGCCGTGCGAGGCACGGGGCAAGCGGCCCGGGGCCTCGCGGGCGCGCTAACAATGACCGCCGAACAGCCTGGCGGCGGGGCGTTCCGGCTCATGTGCCGAGAAGATGTCGGCGCCACCAAAGCGGCGGGCCGCCCCCTATCGGCAGGCGCCCCGTCCTGTAGACTGGTAAGCGGCGCGACTTTGGGCGGGCCCAGCAGGCTCGCGGGGAAGGCGTAGCCTCGAAACTGATGGCCGTAGCGTCTCAATTTGTCATGCGCACAGCGTGACAGATTGAATACTTGGGCAAAATTTGCCCGGCCGGATTAATCGCCCCGGCCAAGCGGGCGACGCGAAGGCGCCGACGGAGAGAGCGCGCTTTGTCGGCCATGGCTCGCAGGTCCGGGAAAGTGTCGCGCGGAACCTCGGCGCCGCCGCGGCAGCAGTCGACTGGCGTTTGGCGCAGAGCAAACGCCGGGCGGGGCAGGCCAAGGAAGCCCACAGCCGGCGCCGCGGCCATGCTGGAGAAGCCCCGCGCGCATGCCGCAAAAAGTCTGCGCCCGCCCGGCACGTGCCGGGTCGGGTGATGCCCCGGCCCCCCGGGCGCGCCGGTCCGTGCTGCGCCTTCGCCGCGGGGGCCCCCCGTCTCGGCCTGTGTCCCCGGGCCGTGCGCTGCGGGGCCTGCGCCTGCACGGGGCCCCGGCCGCCCTGTGCAGAGCCCCCGAAAGGTACCGCTCTGCCCTAGCGCGCAGCCGTCCGGGCGTGCCCGCCCGACCGCAAAAGGGGCCGGCCGCCCGCGCAGCCCCGCTGTCCGCCGGCCCGTCTTGGCATTCCAATGCGGGGCGCAGCATTGTCCTCGACCACGTGCTGCTGCGCTTGGTAGAAACAGATTGGCGCGTGCCAATCTTTTGCGCGGGGCCTCGAATTTCAAGGCGCCGCCGCTCCAGATGCTCACGGACTTAGGTTTTTCGCAAACATTGAGTCGTAGAAAGCTTGGTAGCGAGTTGGAGGTGTCTTGCTCAACTAGAAGCGAGCGCACGTGTTGAATTTCCAGGCGGCCTCGCCGCACTGCCGGACCACGCACGGCGGTTGCAGCCTGAAAGCCGGCGGGCTACCTCCCAGGCGTGTATCGTTGCGCCGGGGATGTTCTTTTTCATGGCAGGTAGGAGCGTTGGGTGGAGCGCAAGCGACGGGGCCAATGTCCGAGCGCAACCAACTTACGAGAGAGTGCGAGAGGTCGGGTGTGGTGGATCTGAAAAGTGAGGCGCGGAGATTTGATGTGCACGCGCAGTTTATAGTCTCTACACCCAGACAGAAGGTCGGCTCGTTTCGAAGTTCCTGTACACAATTTTGGAGATAGAAAGCCAGTTTATCATGTACCAGAGCCGTCTTCTGCTTCTTCGGGACCAAACGCCACCACAGTTCGACAAACGTCTTCTGCAAGGACAAGAGCAGCGCTGCGACCGGGAATCTACCACATCAAAAAAGCCCGACGCGCAACAGCATCGGGAAGTAGAACCGAGTGGACGGGTGTGCGGCAGGGGCAGAAGCCCAAGAAGGAGGCTGGAAAGTCGATCTTTGTAGACAGGCGCTTTTTTCTTGAGAAAGAGCGCGATCATCATGTACAAAATTTGGTTTAGCACGTAAGAAAACCTCCTTTCTGCAGCCTTGACGATGGATATATCGGTGCAGCACCGGAAAGCTTGTCGCAGAAGAAAGTGGCGGTATGAGGAAGCAGAGCAAAGTGCCATGTTTGACAGGAATTATGAGTCTGGGAACTCCACTTCTTCAACATCGCCAAAACCTGTTTCACGCCGTGATGATGATGATGATGGCGATGACGGAGAGCACCGATCTACCATTTGCGACATGAAGATGTGGAAGTATTGGCGAAGGAAGCGAAGAAGATCTACTAGGTCAGAAACAGAGGAGCCTTGTGAAGGGTCTCAAACTTATTTGGAAAGCTGTCCTTTTGGGAGGCAGCGGCCAAAACATGCAGTGTGCAATCACAGCAGTTCTTACCAGCACGACAAGCCACGGCCTTACGACCGCGGACGAGTTGTGGAAGAAGCAATAAGTTTCATTCGAAGAACCTCCGCCAGCCTGCTTCATCAGAAAAAGTCCTGCCACATGAACAGGCGCCGGCGAAAGAACTTCTGGTGGGACAAATATCGAAAAAGATCCAGGACAAAAATAGGACCTGAGGCCGACGCGGCAGCCGCAGCATTTGCTTCCAGTTGTAGAAGATGTACAACTCCGCTGATGTACTTCCTTCGCAAAAATTTCTTCTTTTTCATCCTCACAGCCACGTTCTTTTTCGCCCTTTTGCCGACGCTTGTCCAGCACCTTCTCGTCCTGGCCCAGGAAGTCCGTCCCCCGTCGCTTCTCTTCAGCAGTCGTGGGCAGATCCGGCTGCAACTCCACGAACCCACGACCAGTCCGGTACTGCAGAGCCCTGGAGGTTCTTTTAGTACAACCTCCTCCGCGTGCCAGCTGCTCCGGGATGACGGGTTGGGCTCTCCGATCTCCATCCTCGCGTACAACGGGACGTGTAACGACGAGGTCGGGCTATTTGGGTTGGAGATCGACCGCAACTACCGGTTTCAGACCGTGCTGACAAACGAGGAACACGAGAACAGGAACGCCTCCTCTTCCATCGTGATTTCCTACGCCTCAGCCGGTACGCCGATTTTCCCCAACGCCTTCAAACCGAGAATAACGAAGGACGGCAAGTCCGACGTGGTACTTAGCTGGATCGCGCCGAACGACATGGGCAGCCCGGTGCTGGGGTTTGTCGTCGCCTACACGACCGGAACGCACAACGACGAATCAAAGTGGACAAAAATTTACGACAATCCGGAAAACCCAAACCAATTCACCTTCCGTGTCACAGACCTCGACTCCATGGCCCTGCACCGCTTTCGCGTACACGCGCGGAACCGAGTCGGGCTGGGGTTGCCGTCCTCGGAAAACTCAATACAGCTGTCGCGGTTGCAGGTGAAAAAAATTATAGCGGCTTTGTGATGTTGTCGTATAGAAGCCTGGAGGTAAAAGTTTTCTTTGTTTGGAAAGAAGCAAGCTGTATCGTATTTCTTCTTTTCTTAAACTCTCCCTTCCAGGTCGCTCCCCTCTCTCGCGCACTCCAATTTCCGCGCACCGTTCCCGTGACCAATTCCGGTTTCCGTACCGTGCTTCAGGGTGTGGACCCCAGAACGAACTACGACGACAAGCAGGGTGGGCGGCTGTTTCTGATGCAAATCCGAAACCTGTGTGAGCTCGACCCTAGCGACAAAGAGTCGTGTCGGGATGTCACGGCAGAGCATGTCTTTTTCGAAGATAACCCAAATTCGAGGCCGCAAAAACCCGTTTGCTGCTTTCTCGGCGAGGACCTGAACGACGGCACGTACTCCATCGAGGGCAAGATACCGAAGAAGGGAAGGTTCACGGTGGGCATTCAATCTCTGGAAGTCGGCGGGCTGTGGGGGCAGTATTGGAATAATCAGTGGCTGCAGGGGCTTCCCTTTGCAGCACGGCAAGAGGTGGTCGATTTCGACTGGAAGGACGGGATTGTGGGGAGGTACGTAGGACTATGGTTTTTATTTCCTACGGTTTTATGTTGAATCGCTTGCAATTTTAATTTCTGTTCTTCTGTCCCGAAGCATGTACATCCAGCACAATGTGCGCACGATTTCAGTAGCGAAATTCAAATAAAACAGTGCCGCTTCCGTCGATTTCGTCGCCGCCAAGTGGTCCGGTTACCTTGTTCCGCAGTACACGCAGCGGTACACGTTTTCCCTGCAAGCGGACGACGGAGTGAAGCTGTACGTGAACAACGAGCTGATAGTCGACAAATGGTACGAAACCAGCGGCGATTTTTCCGGCGCCGTGGATCTGAAGGGGAACACCTTCGTGCCCATAGAACTGGTCTACCGCGAGGTTCTGGGGAACGCAACCTGCAAACTGTTTTACCAATCCTTTTCCGTCGCGAAGCAGATAGTGCCCGGGGACCGGCTGTACCGCGGCACGTGGATTACGGGGTTCCCGACCTTCATCCAGGTGCAGTCCGAGTTGCTGGAACGGGGATACGAAAACAAAACGGACTACAGCTTATCGCAACTTCTGTCCCAGTCCGCCATCGATACCTCGCCGTCAAAATCCACCGTTTTCGGCCCGGTGATCGAGACCAAGACCGCCTTAGCCGGAGAAACGAACGAGTTCTTCATCCAGGCTAGAGATCAGTTAGGGTTCAACCGCTCGACGGTCCTCGACCACTGGGAAGTGTTGCTCACCCACAGTGAGGACAGCAACATCAACATTTTTCCCACTGTCACGCCGTACCCCAGCGCGGACCGCGAGACCGGCATGTATCGTGTGACGTTCACGCTGGAAACGATGGGCACGTACAAAATGTCTTTGAAGATCCACGGGGAATTCGTACAGCACTTTCCGATGAACATCGAGGGGCTGGCCGGGCGCCCGGACGTGGAGTCGACGCAGGCGTTCGGGAACGCAACTTCGTACTTCTACGCTGGGGTGGCTGCGGATTTCGAGGTTTTCGTGAAGGATAAGTTCGGGAACGCGGTCACCGACGCGAACTTGCAGATCGAGGTGGCGATCCACTGGGAGGGCTACATCGCGGGGTCGGCGTACTTCGACGGCAAGGCGGTCAGCGACACCGATTTGCTCAACGCGGAATTCGGCCGGCACTTCTTCGGCTCGCCGCGGTACGACCGGCCGGGGGTGTACGTCGTGACCTACACGGCTTTGCGCGCGGGGAACAACAAAATGTACGTGAAAGTGCGGGGGCAGAACGTCCGCGGCTCGCCCTTCGCGGTCATCGGGTATGCGCAGCGGGACATGACGACGATGAAGGAGCAGCCGTTCGGGCCGCGGTGCAAAGTGACTTCGGGGGAGCCGCCGACGGAGTGGCGGGCCGGGTCGTACCATGCCATGATGGTACAGTTGCGGGACGCTTTCGGGAACCCGCTCTCCACACCGCTCTCCCAACGGCCCAACATCCGGATTTTCACCATTCCGACGAGTTCTCGCGAAGACAATTTCGAGTGCAAGCCCTACCTCGGGTGCGACGCGGACTACCACACCTTTCCGACGACCTGGAACATCATCGGGCAGTTCTGCACGCAGGTGCGCGGGGTCTACGAGTGCACCATGCGGCCGGAGTACGCTTCTCTCGGGAATGACCGGTACATCGACATCCAGGTGTTGAATAACTCGATCTCGAAAGTCGAGGCGCCCCCGCCGCTGAATAACACGGAAGTGACCATGCTCCCCGTGCCGATCCAGATTTCTCCCGGGCCCGTGTCCGCGATCCGGTCCGAGGTTTTGGGCTTGCCGCGGAACTTCGTGGCCGGCGTCGGGATTATCGCTTTACTGCAGTGGCGAGACGAGTTCGGCAACAACTTGGTGTCCAGTCCGACGATTTTGGATTTCCAGTTGAAGATGTCGGGTGAATCCCTACCCTACACGGACAACTTCAATGGTACCTACACGATCGTCGCGAGATCGACGTCGGCGGGGGTGAACAACGAGTTGGAGGCGAAGGTGGTCGGTGAACACTTGAAGGATTCCCCAATCTCCGGATTGAACGTGCGTCCGGGCCCGGCGTCCGCTTCCGGGTCCTCGTGCGAGATCCCGAAATTCTTCCCGGTGGGTGTGGCGACCAGGGTGGGGTGCTCGACGAATGACGAGTTCAACAACCCGATCTCGGAGTTGGATTTGCTCATCTACGCCGAAGCGGTCTCGCAAACCGTCGGCGGGCAAACCGTGCGCGCGACCGGGGCCTACGACCGGATCACGAAAAGATACCAGATGCCGCTGACGATCACGGAAATCGGAAACTTCTCGATGGCGGTCAGGTTGGAGGCCCGCGGGGGTCTCATGGCGCAGTACTACCGCGCGCCGCAGTTTCAGTCGATGATCTCGAAGCGGACGGATTTGAATCACGTCGGGGAGATGGTCACGGAGTACACGCAAATCGACCCCTTCGTCTCCTTCGTGTGGCCCGCATCGCCGATCGCCGAGGGTACGCCGGATTTTTTCTCGATCCGCTGGTCCGGGATGATTTTGCCTAAATTTTCCGGCGCGCACTACTTCCGGATCGAGTCTGACTACCGCTGTGCGATTCTGTTGAACGGCAAAGCTATTGTGGACAAATGGAACGTCGACGTCCCGGTGGCGGAAACGGCGACGGTGCCGGCGGGGGAGCTGCTCGCGGGCGTCCACGTCCCGTTTGAGATTTGGTACGAGCACCGGACCGGCACCGCGTACATCCGGGTGTTCTGGCGCACCGCGGCGTACGCGGAGGAGGTGATCCCCGCGGTGAATCTGATCTACCCGCTGAACATTCTCTCCGCCAACATCATCGCGCCCTCCACCCCGGCGGACGCGTCCACCCGCTCGCTGATGTGCCGGACGATCCACCTGAAGTCCGAGGTGATTGACAATCAGATCGTGTACAGCTGCGAGGAGATTGTGGACGAAGCCATGGTGTCCGTGGCCAACGTGTTCTACCTGCACACCCTCGATTCCTACGGCAACCCACGGTACACGGCCTCGTCGGTGCAAATCGCCGGCACGGTGAAGACCACCCCACCAACCGCCATCACGTTCAACCACGTCGCGGACACGGGCTACTACACGGTTGAGTTCACACCCACCCGCGCCGGCACCTTCGACATCGAGATCAAAGTGGGCAACGGCTTCCTCGCCGCGCCGATCCAGCAGGCCGTGCGGGTTCTGATCCGGCCGGGGCAGCCCAGCCCGATCCACTCCCTGGTCGAGGGCGCGGGTCTGGCCTACGCGATGGCGGGGGTGTGGAGCGAGTTCAACGTGACGCTCCGCGACGAGAACGAGAACCCGACCGGCGTGTCCGCCGGGCAGGACGTGGGATCAAACTTACCCGACGTGGCCTGTTTGGACATTGGCGGCTACGGCAAGTTCCGCTGCCGGTACAACATCCAGATCGCGGGGAAATACGAGATGAAAGTTCTCGTCAACGGGATCAACGTGCTCGCCCTGCAGCCGGGGGTCTACAACTTGTTTGTCAGCTCCCGGGTGATCGACCCCTCGTCCGGCATCCTCTACCCCTTCAAGCACACGCAGATGTACACGGAGATCAAGCGCGCGACGGAGAATGTCGTGGTGTTCAACGCGGCGGATGAGTACGGAAATCCGGTGACCTCCAGCGAAACCACGGAGCTCGAAATTGTGTGCGAAGCGTGGGGCCCTAGAACGTTGAAATCGCAGCTGAACGAGGACGTGCTGTACCTGAAAGTCGCGCAGATCCCCGACTTCGCCGGAATGTACCGCCTCATCATGCAGGTGAACGCGGACCGCCCGCTGGGGCAGTACACGTTGGACTGTTTCATCGTGAAGCGGGGCGGCGTGAACAGTGCGTACTACAACGACATTTGGCTGGAGGGCAACTACAGTTCCACCATTGTGGACACACACTTCGACTTCCAGTGGATCGGCGGCCGGGTCACGGCGAACAGCAGCGACATGGTCGGGGCGCAGTTCAACGCGTACCTGAAAGCGCCCTCGCAGGGGGTGTACAACTTCTACCTGACGGTGGACGACGTGTGCAAGATTTGGCTGGACGGGGTGATCACGATGGACACCTACTACCCGGGGGTGCACTACATCCCGGGGATCTTCTTGACGCAGCAGAAACTGTATTCGGTCCACGCCATGTACCGTGACTACAAGGACTTCGCGCGGCTCAAGCTCGAGTGGGAGTGCGCGGAGTGCGGGATCACGCGCGAGGTGGTGGGGCAGACGAACTTCTACCACAGCAGATTGCGGTTGGGGAACTTCCCGCGCTACTTCCAGGTGTTCGACTGCCCGGGCAAGCCGGACGCGTTCTACCGCGACGTGCCGCAGTTGAGTGGGGAGGTCAGGTTGAAGTGGCTGCCGCCGCTGGAGAACGGCGACAAGCCGGTGACGGGGTTCCGCTTGTACCGGAACACGGGGAACGGCGACGCGGCGAAGGTGTTGCTTTACGAAACCGCGGATCATTTGTCCACGGGGTACACCGACTCCGGCGTGGACGCGACGAAAATCTACAAGTACGCGCTGGTGTCGCGAAACCTCGGGTGTGATTCCGACCCGTACGAGATTGAGGTCCAGCCGACGACCGCCCCGGGGATTCCGAACCCGCCGGAATTTTTCAACACAAGCAGCAAATTCGGGCAGATCACTTTGAAATTGACCCCGCCCTTGGACAACGGGGGCGCGCAAGCCTGGCACTACGAACTGCAGCACAACAACGGGCACGACGGGCCCGCGAACGGCTACCGGACCATCTTTGGCAACGTGGACGCCGACTCGTTTACGCAGCAGGAATTGTCGACGATTTACATTCTGAAGAACCTGGTCCGCGGCCGGATTTACAAGATGCGGGTCCGCTACGCGACCATCGTCAGCTGGTCCCCGTGGTCCGCGGAGATTTCGATTCTGTGCTGCGAGTTGATAAAGCCCGAAGTGCGCGTGACAGGACTAAGAAGATCTAAGGTGTTGCCCAACACGGCAACCCAGCTGTCGATCGAGTGGGACGTGATTGAGGAAAGCCTGTCGGCACCGATCGGGTCGTCCAACATCATCGGGTACAAGGTGTGGATGCTGACTTCCACAAAGACCATCTTCGGCCCGGTAGCCTCCCCCACCATCGGCTACAACGAAGTGGAATCGGAGTTCGACACCCCCTCCGTCGATGTCAACTACTTTACCGCCAGCAACCTCGTCGCGGTCTTCACCGCCCCACTGGTCGAGTCCTACGCGTTTCAGGTGGCCGCCTGCAACGTCGCGGGGTGCGGTCCGCGGTCGGAGCGAATCGCGCTGCAGGCGGTGGACGTGTTGGAGAGGCCGAGCTTCAACGTGAACACGAACAAAACCGTGCTGATCGAGCACCAATCCGAAGACTCCATCGTTTTCAACTTCCGCCCGCCCGACCAGTGGCCGGCCGGCACGGACATGACCCAGGCGGCGATCCCGACGCCGACGGCGTCCCTGCTGGCCAAGGGGTACCGGATCTTCTGCGACGACGGGCTGGGGGGGCCGATCACCAACGTCGTCCACTACAATGCGCCCCCGACCATGACGCGGATCGTCTTTACCGGGTACTACAAGATTTTGAACAGCAACGACTACGAAGTTTTACCGCTGGAAGTGGAGAAAGTCACGTTCTCCGAGTTCATCCCGATCGTCCGCGGGCGGAAATATCGCTTCCACGTGGCGGCGATCAACGCGGCAGGGGAGTCGTTGACCACCGAAATTCCACTACAAGTCACCGCGGCGACCAAACCCCACCGCATGGAGCCACCGTTCGCCGTGCCGGAGCTGACGGATTTCGACAAGATCGTGCTGTCGTGGTTTGTCCCCGACGACGGCGGCGATCCGATAACGGAGTTTGAGATCGAGAAGAAAATCGTGTCCGTCTCCAGGCCGTACGAGAAAACCGATTCGGTCACCGACGACAGCGAGGGGTTCAGCCTGCTCGCAAAAGTGCCCAACACGGTGGACTATTTGCTGTCCAACGCGAATTTGACTTTCACGGACAGCGCTGTGAACGCGTCGGAGCAGTACGAGTACCGGATTAAAGCCATAAATGACATCAAAACCGGCACCGAGACGCTCTTCTCCTACCCGGCACAGCTGGTCGCGGCGCCGGTGCCCTCCACGCCGTTGCTGTGCGGGGTCCGGAAGGAAACGGACGAATTTTGCCACTTCGCGGTCTCGGCCTCCACGAGAAATTCCATCAGCCTGAAGTTTTCCCCGCCGACCAGCGCTGCGGAGGTGACGAAGTTCACGATCTTCGCGAACAACGAGAAAGTGTTCGAGTCCGACGCGGGGCACCGGAACTTCACGTTCACCAACTGCGAATTCGCGCAGATTTACGAATTCGAGCTGGTGGTCACCAGCTTCGCCGGCGCGTCTGCGCGGAGCAGAAAGCTGAAGAAAACCTGCACGGCGCCGCCCGGAAAGCCGGCGAACGCTCGGCTGTACTCGGCGTCGAAAGAGATCGTCACACTGGAGTGGGACGCGCCGGAGAACGACGGGGGCGGGCCCATCACGGGCTACACCGTGGAGCGGTCCATGCCGTTTCGGGGGGAAACGGACCTGCAGAAATCCGATCTGTACGACAACGCCCTCATCCCCGAAGAAAACAAGTCGCGGGGCACGAAGACGAACTACGAGCAGATTTCCTGCATGGTGGAGAGAAGGGAGCGAAACGTGCTCGACCGGTCGATCGGCTTCGAAGCGGACGAGCGCAAGTACAAGTCGTACTTACCCAGCAACTACTTCACCTGCGCGGACGATAAAATCGCAAAGGACTGCCCGGACAACACCTGTTGGTATCGGGTGCGGGCCAGCAACGGCGTCGACGAGTCCAACACGGGGGAGCCGTCGAACTACGTGGTCCTAGTCGCGGCGGACCCGCCGCACCCGCCGCCGCTGCGAACGATTCGACGAATCGACAACGTGCGGTCGCCGACCGAGATTGAGATTGCGTGGGACCCGATCGTCGGCTCCGTGATGAACGGCGGGGATACGGTCATTGGGTACAACGTGTACTGCAACGACGGCAGTAGCGAGTCCGCGGTTCCCTATCTCGACGCGGAGTTACCGGACTCCACGATCCGGTCGTACAAATTCCAAAACCGGATCCCGGGCCGGATGTACTCCATCCAGATCGCGGCGCGGAACCGCGCGGGCGTCGGGAAGCGGTCGGAAGTCGCGAAGTTCTTCGCGGGCGTGCCCCCGGCGAAGATGGAAAGGCCGCTCGTCGTGCACACGACGCGGCAGTCGGTGATGCTGCAGTGGGCGAAGCCGATCTCGCCCGGGGATTCGCCGATTCTCGGATACACGATCTTTTACAGTGATGGATTGAACACGACGACGAAGCTGAAAGAACGGATCGACTTGTGCAACCCGGCGGTTTTGTCCTACAACGTGACGGGTTTAACCCCCGGCCTGGAGTACAAATTTGCAGTCACCGCGCACGGCCGCTGTCCGTCAACCGAATTCCAGTTGCCCGAGCTCCCGCTCGAGAGAGACCCAGCTAAACCCGAATGCCCTTTGCACATCGGGACCCAGTTCTGCTCGTTGCCCGGCGCGGAACTCTCCGATGAGCTGAAGGTGTTTTCCGCGAGCCCACCCCCCGGGATCACGCAGCTGGAGATTGAGGCTGGGAGCTACAGGACGCACGGATTTTTCGACAAGCAGTACAACAGGTTCTACACCAGGTTGGAAAAGGATTTTGGCGAAACCGACGAGTTCCGAGTTATCAACCGCCGACAGGAAATGTCTGTCACGATCCGGTGGAAGATGCCGGAGGTGGTGGAGGAGGACATCGCGGTGCGGTGGTTCAAGATCTACCGGGACGAAGGGGTAGGCAGGCCCGAGCACTTCCGGCTAGTGGATGTAATTCCGAACGCCGCCGGGAACCTTCTGAATCTGAACGAGACGACGTGCTCGCAGACGAACCAGTGTGAGTACTGGGACCCGGTCGAGAAGAAGTTTGGCGACACCTTTTTCGGCGCGGGGTACAGAAAGTCCGCGGACGGCAATGACATGCAGTTCATCACGAGCGAGATGAAGTACTTCGGGCAGATGCAGTACACCGTGGCGAACCTGACCAAGGGCCGCGCGTACATTTTCCTCGTCGAGGCGTGCAACGCCGTCGGCTGCTCCAACAGCACGCGGCTCGGCCCGATCGTCGCGGCCTTGCCGCCGAATCAGCCGCCCGAGCCGATTCTGCGCTCCGCCGCCGCCTTCCCGGTCCCCTTCGTCGACCTGTTCTTCCAGGCGCCGAGCGAGAACGGCGGGTCGCCGCTGCTGTACCTGGAGGTCTACAAGGACGACGGCCTCGGCGGGGATTTTCACCTGTGGTGGAGCTCGCGGCTGGACGACGAGAATGTCTATTTCGGCTCCAACATGTCCGCGCTGGACAACGGCGGCGCGGCCACGGCGGGGCACAAAGTCGACGTGGATGTGGTGCCGAACCGAGTGTACCGGTACAAGACCAAAGCGTTCAACTTGATGGGCGAGTCGCCCAGCTCGACCGTTGCAAACTTCCTGGTCGCGTCCCCGCCCAACAAACCGCCCGTGCCGCGGTTGGTCGCGCGCACCCGGGACTCCCTGCTCGTGCGCTGGAACTGGACCAGAAACGTTCTGAACGAGTATGAACTGATCGAGACAGAGGAGTTCTACCCGGGTTCGATCGGGTACAGTTTGCTGCCGGACGAGGAGAAGCCGGTGTACGATAGTTTCTCCTACTCGAAAGAGAAAATCAAAGACTACACTGCGAACGAACTCGCCCTGGACATTCTCGGCTGCACGTTGTACCGCGACGACGGGCTGGGTGGGCCGTTGCTACCGGTCTACAACGGCCCGGGGACGGAGTTCCGGTCTCTGTACCTAACAACCTTTCGGAACTACAAATTTCAAGTGTCCTGCACCAACCGTGCCGGGGAGTCGGAACTCTCCGACCCGGCGGTGTTTGCGCCGATCGGGTTTTCTTCTATCATCGCGCAACCGACACTAGTGGCGGTTTCTTGCGGAGATGGCGCGAATGCGCCCGAGACGAGCGGGAAGATTTCTTTCCAATGGAAGTACCCGGAGGACGATGGGGGCTGTAAGTTATCTCGTTTCCAAGTCCTGCAAGACTGGAAGATTTTATCGGAGGTCGACGCTTCAGTTTTTGAGTTAGAAGTGAGTAACTTGAAGTGCAACTCCCGCCCGGCGTTCTCCGTTCGCGCGAAAAACTGTTTGGGGAACTACGCCGGAACGTCAGTCCCACTGCAGGTCCCGATCGCGTCGAGGCCCGCGATCGTGCAAAATTTGCGGGCGAAGATGGTGGAGATAGAGAAAGATCCGGACAGCAGCAAGGAAGGCACTTACAAAGTGGGGTTCGGCGATACGTACGCTTTTCGGATTGACTACGAGTGGGACCCGGTTCCTGACGCCGATCCGTTCAGCACGCGGATCACGGGGTATGAACTTTGGCAGGACGACGGGTTGAAAGGGCCGTTTCAAAAGATCTACCACGGGTACAAGCGCCCGGAGCAGGTGAAGTTCACGACGGACATGCTAATTCCCTCGCGGATCTACCGTGCCTACGTGGTCGCGCTGTCGATCGCGCAGGCGGAGGGGCTTGTGAGCCACCCGGAGGCGATACCGCTCTCGTCTATCCCGTCGAACGTCGTCGAAACGATCGTGTCCCGGACGCCGTCGGCTCCGTTGTTTTTGCAGGTACGGCCGGCGATGGTCGCGGGCGGAGTGATATCGAGCACGGCGGTGCAGCTGACCTGGCGGAAGCCGTTGAACAATAATGGGCAGCGTGTGTTGAACTACGAGGTGCAGTACGCGAACGAAGTGGACAACTTTCTGCAGTGGACGACGATAACGCCCCCGATGCGCGACAACGACCAAACTTCGGTCCAGATCAATAATTTGGTCAAGGGAAAAATCTACCAGTTTCGCGTCGCCGCGCAGAACGCGAAGGGCCTCTCCGCGTACTCCGAAATCGCGACCACAATCGTCGGCACGCCCCCGCTGGCTGCGCCAGGGAACTTGCGAACGGTTTTCGTGCCCGAGTCGCAGCATTTTTCTCCGAATTCCAACACGAACACGTTGATTTGGGAGTGGGACGCGATCGGGCACCCGAAGACCTGGGGCACACCGCGGGGGCCGTTTGATTACTACTCGGGCGTGATGGTGACCGCAGCAGACGAAAGCAGCTACAAGAGGACAACGAACTCACTCATTACGGCGAATACCAGCGCGGAACTTGCTACGAAGGAACTCGTCTACGGCGGCGCCGCTTTGGAAGGGTACGTTTTGTACATGGATTCTGGGCGGAACGACCCCGATTCCTTCCGCCCGATCTACAACGGCTACGGCGCGCCGGGCGTGACCTACTTCATCGCGACCAACGTCACGAAGGGGCTGACCTACCGCGCAAAAGTTGCGGCGATAAACGCGATCGGCGAGGGGCCGCTTTCCGAGGTTGCCATCTCCATCGCCGCCACGCCGCCGTCGAAGCCGGAGAAAGTTCGCGTCGCGTTCTCCAACACGACACAGATCACGCTCGGCTGGTCGACGCCGCATGATAACGGGGGGTCGCGGCTGATCAGCTACAAAATCGAGCGCGACAGCGGGTTCGGCTGGGAGACGCTGCGGATCATTAACGCCAGCGCGGGGAACAGTTTTGTCGACTACGCGGTCGTGCCGAGTAACAAGACAAGACTGGTGTCTAGTGGCAGTGAGCACCACGACCACCAGTTCAACCCCTACGAGTACCGAATTTCGGCGAAAGCGATCGCGAACGACTTTTTCGGCGAGACCTCAGATGTCATCACCGCGTACGCAGCGAGGTTGCCGAACAAAGTGACCCATCTTGCCTTCCCCAACTACACAAGATACTCCGTCGACGATAGCACCGGGCCGAACCAGAATACCAGAACCTCGATCGCGGTCGAGTGGCGCGCGGCGGTAGACGACGACTTGGATGTCACGCACTACAAAGTCGAGATCGACGACGGGCTGGGCGGCGACTTCTACTTGGCGCAGCTGACCAGAAAGCTGTACGCCACGGTTTCAGGGTTGCAATCCGCCCGCGAGTACCGGGTGCGGGTGTGTCCGGAGAACCTGGTCGGGGTCGGCACCTGCAGCATGGAAATCGTGCAGCGGGCGGCTGAACTACCGGGGAAGATGGAGCCGGCGGTGGTGGATTCCGTGCTTCCGTACGACGCGACGAACCCGCAGCTGATTGTCCGATACCTCCCCCCGCCGGAGGACGGCGGGGCGGACATTGAGGGCTACCGAGTGTACTTCACGAACGCGGTGTCCGGCGAGAACCAGCTGGCCTGCCCGAAGTACGACGGCCGGACCGCCAGCACGCTACTGTTCGCGCTCGTCACCTGCACCGCCGGAGTGGAGTACGAAATCCAGGTGAAGGCCCGGAACTCCGTCGGCTACGGGCCGCTGTCGGATGTCACGACCAGAACTTGCGGGACCGAGCCGTCGGCACCGTACAACGTGCGGCTAAAAAGGGTAACGCCGTCCATCCCTATCGACATGATCGACACGCGGCAGCCAAATTCGCTGACGCTGATCTGGGACCCGCCGCGGCTGATTGGCGGCTCGCCGGTGGTCAAGTACACCGTGTACCGCGATCAGGGATTGGGGTACGAGGATCAGGAATTTTTTCAAAGAGTCTGCGAGGTGATCTACACGGAGTGCGAGGTGATCGGGTTGATCAACGGCCGGACCTACAAGTTGTACGTTGTCGCGGAAAACGCGGTTGGGGTTTCGCCCGTGTCTTCCATCTACGTCGCGGAGATGAAGTCGACCCCGCTCGCCGCTTTCTCCGCGCCGGTGCTGAAAACCTCCAGCGAGACGCAAATCACGCTGAAGTGGACGGAGCCGGTGTCGGACGGCGGCAGCCCGCTGACAAGCTACCGGCTGTACCGAAACGACGAGTTGGTCAACCCGTTGAGCAATTCCATCACCGTGCAGCCGACGTTCACGGACTACTCGATCAGCCAGCACGAGCTGACGGTGAGTTTCTCCGTCGCGAAAGTCGGAAGAGCGTGGATCAATGTGCTGCTCCCGGAGGACGTGGCGAAGCAGCGGATCGCGACGATCAAGAATGGAACGGACGCTTTGGGCTTGTCGACGTGCAAGAGGACCACGGGGGGGACCATGGTCGTCGCAGTGGGGTCCAACACGATCACGTTGACCAACTGCAACTTCCCGGTCGACCACACAACCCTCCCTCCCGGAAAAGTGTTCACGCTGCTCATCTACGTGGAGGGGAGCAAGGGGCTAGACGACGACGGGGTGATCTCGTCGCCGATGAACTTCACGGTTCCCGCGCCGACGGCGAGTTTCATCCAGAGCCCGATTTTGTCGGATATCTCGAAGCACGCCGTGGTGGTGGAGTTCGAGGTGAGCTGCAGTGCAGGGTTGTACTGGCTGAACATTGTGGTGAACACAAACCGCCCCTTGCTCACAGTCGAAACGCTAAAGCAGGGGAAGTTCGCGGAGGGCGGGGTGGCGTGCAGCATTCAAGGGCGGGAGATTTTCGGAAACATTCTGCACAAGGTTTCTCTTTCCGACTGCCAACTCCGGGGCGAAACAACGTATTTCATCATTGTGTACGTCGAAGACCGGGGGACGACGCACGAGAAGGGGACGCTGCACGCGCCCGTGCCCATGGTGGTGCCGCCGAGTAACGACTTCCGGATCCAGCCGTACATCTTGGGGAACACGGTGTCCCGGCAGCCGGAGGGGTCGACAGTGACGGTAGAATTCGGCGCGAAGCAGGCCCCGGCGACGGTGTTCATCACTCTGTACAGCTTCGAGTACACCACTGCGGTGACGAAGGCGAAGGTGCGATCGGGGCACGCAGCCCTGTGCTCCAGCCGGGTACCGATCCCGTCGGTGACGTATCTGAACACCGCGACTCTGGTGAATTGCGACCTGGAGGTTTCGAGACTGTACAAGGTGTACGTGTACATCGAAGATGATTTGATGCAGGTCCCGGCGGACGGAAAACTCCATTTGCCGGCGTTGGAGCTGGTCACGAACAGTCGCTACTTGTCGAATTTTTTCACAGTCTACCCGTATTTCAACCAATTAACGTTGACAGCCGACGTCTCCCCTACCGTCGTACGGTTCAACTATGCGGCAAACAACACCGGAAGAATCTACGCCGGCTTGCTGTTAGAAGATTCGGCAACAGACCAAAAGTGCGGCTCGTACGACTTGGAACCGGTTGGGTTTAAGCAAGACGTCCCGCCCTTCCTCTGTGGCGCGTACGGGAAGGAGGTGAGAGTCGCCACGGGGCAGTTTGTGATCGATCAGGCGGTGGAGAACATTCCGATCAGCACCGTGGAACTGGAAAATTGCAACCTCGTGGGTGGAAAGTCGTACAATCTGTATGTCTACGTGGAAGACTACAACCCGGTGACGAACTACTTCGCCGGAGCGATGTCGGACGCCGTAGAGATCAACATTCCCGTGTCCAATTCCTTCGGCCAAGCCGACATTGTCGACGACACAACCGCGATTTCTGCGGGTGGAGTCACTACCGACGGCCTGACGTTCGCGGTGACAATCAGCAACAAAGGGTTCGGCTGGGCGGAGATTTTCGAGTCCGCGAACATCCAGACGATCGACATCGCGGAGATGAAGTCCGGTCGGTTCGCCGTCGGGAGCTCGAGCTGCAGGGTCAGCGGGACGGCGTACAACAGTTCGTTCGAACTCACCGAAAATGGGACGAGCGTGCTGAAAACAACTGACCCCGAAAACGGTGTTTACAACTGGACGCTGTCCGGGTGTTCGCTAACTCGGAAGCAGCCCTACAGCTACTACCTCTACGTGGAGGACGAACGGCAAAAGTCGGACGGAACTTTGCTCGGCCCGTTTGCGCTCCCGTTGCGGGATTACTCCAACTACTTTCGGGCCGATATCGAATACTACGGAAAGCCGCACCTCCGGGGGACGCCAACGAGGGACCGGTTTGCGCTCGGCTTCACGCCGGAGTTCAACGGGAAAATTTGGTGTTTAGTCGTGGATGATGCTTCAACTATCCCGAGCTACCTGGCTTTCGTGAACCAAACACAAGCGAAAACCAGCGCGGAAGTCGCCAAGGGGGTGAAGGTCACGAGCTTCACCTCAGACGCGGGTTTGATCCTTGCCCGCGTCGACAATGTTGAAGTAAAAGCCGGGGTTTTGCAGGAAGTAGAACTACTCGGGAGTTTCGAATTAAGCAAGAACTACACGGCTTTCTTCTACCTCGAAGACGAAAACGGGCTCAACGACGGCTCTCTCCACCGCTTACCCGCAATCACCATCCCGGCGAAGATCGATTCGATTAATTTTTTCCACACCTTTCCCTACTTGTGCAACACTCCGACTACGGACGGCATCGAGTTCAAGTTTGCGGCGAACCAAACCGGGTATCTGTGGGCCACGCTTTTCGGCTCGGAGCATTTACACCACGGCATCACGGATGCGAAGTCGGTCAAGTACCGGAGCGGAAATGTGCAACCGATGTTGGAATGCTTTCTGAGCGCAGTGCCGATAACGGCTAGCACCGGAGATACAACAGCGTCCATGACAACATTGAACTTTACCAGCTGCTCACTTTACGCAGGGAAGGAGTACAACGTTTTGGTCTACATCGAATCGGAGGAGCTGGAGCTCGATGCAAACGGAACAGCAGTCGCGAACTCCTTCCTGCAGCTCGATTCGGACGGCACGCCCGGGAACGGGACCCTCGCACCCATGTTCAACTTCAAGGTGCCGATTTCGAACAACTTAACAGCCTACCAACTCTCCACGATTCCCACGTACACGAAGCTAACTGGGTCGGAGTTCGACGTTTCTGTGACTGCGGAGAAGACTGGGAGGGTTTGGGTCGCGGTTTTCCCGATTTCTGTCTTCATCGCGTACTTCCCGATGGGCATGGGCACTCTGAGCTCCGATGGGGTCGTCGACACGAGTAGCGGAATGCACAGCAGTAGTTCAGTATCCTCCTACAGACGGCAGCTGCAGTACAGCTACGGCAGTTCTTCTTCTTCCAGTTCGGCGTCCTACTCCGCTGCGTCCTCCTCCGTCACGCCGAGCTACAGCTCGCCGACGACGTCTAGTTCGTCAATAGCAGCTTCGAGTACCTCTAGCGCGAGCTCATCCAGTGGTTACTCCTCTTCCGGCGGCACGGCAGTGATCAATTACATCAGCTCTGGTTACGACGCGGCGGCCGCGGCCGCGACGACCACCACGACGACCATTCCGCCGGTTTATGACCAGTCGCTGTTCCGGCTGCCGGTGGAAATGATCAAAAACCCAGCCGGGATAACCAATGCGGCACAGCGAGCGCTTTGCTCGACGGCAAATTACACGATGAGCGGGCACAGCATCGTTGAAAGTGAGGCGTTGACTTTGAAGTTGGAAAATTGCACCATCGGCGCCGGCGTCGCCTACGGTGTGCAATTTTACGTGGAAGACGAAAACAGCAATAACGACGGGCAGCAGTACTATCTGAAGGCGATCACACCCGTTAGCAACAGCTTCACGATCAACCCCTACCCGACGACCGATATTTCCGCGAATGGGCTGGATTTGCGGATCGGGGTCACGCTGCTCGGGACGAATGGCGGGAAGATCTGGATGTTTATCGTGAACGAACAAACGCATTTGGCCGGTCTGGCGAACACCGTCACGGGCGCAAAAGCGTTGACCGGCGCGCAGGGCAGCAGCAATTGTCAAAGACAAGCGGAACTGATTTCCGACACGTTGATCCAGCTGGTCGGCTGCAGCTTGAGGAAGGGGGAGACGCACTACGTCTATGCGTACGTGGAAGACAGTAATGATAACTCCGATGGGACTCTCGCGCCCCCTCTCGCAATCTACGTCCCGGCGTCGAATGTCTTCACCGTCCCCTGCTACTTGAAGTCCACGCCGGTCGAGGACGGTGTGAAGTTCACGTTCACCGCCAGCGAGGCGACGGGGAAGCTATATGCGGCAGCGATTTCCAAGATCGACTACGAGTTGCGCTTGGCGAACACGTCGATGTTGAATACCACGAGCTCGTTGGCGGAAACCGTCGTGGATTTGGCAAGCTACGGGGACAGCAATTGGTACAACTTCGCCGGCTGCTGGGTCAACTTCGTCACGATCAGCGGCTCAGGGACGACCTCGACCACCGGGCAAGTGACCACGTGCAACTTCCAGCCGTTCACCGACTACAAACTCCTGGTCTACATCGAGGCGGACCATGCGTCGCCGGCGGTCGCGGTCACCGACGGCAGTCTCGCGATCCTGGACGTGAACATCGGCCCGAAAACGAGATCGAACTGGTTCACCGCGAACCCGTTGGTCGACACGCAATTCGCCGGCTACAGCTACGACAAAGTGTACTTCTCCATCGGCACGTTCGCGGAAGCGGGTTACATTTACGCGATTGTGATCAGTGAGGACGCGATCACTTCCGTCACGACGGTGAACGAGGTCAAGTCGGGGAAGTTTTCCCACGGTGGGCGGGAGTGCAAGCTGAACCGCGCGCAGCACTTTTCCTACACGCAGAACCAGCCGAACGTGCAGCCGGACTACTTCACGCACATCCTGCGGGAGTGCGAACTGGTGATGGAGAGGTCGTACTACTTGGTGGTGTACATCGAGGACTTGACCGAGAACAACGACGGGACGATCGCGTCCGTGCGGTTCACGGTCCCGGTCACGACGTTGCCGTACGAGGCCGACCCGCTGGTCCTGAAGGGCACGGACCGGCAGTTCCAGAACGTCGTGCCCGGCGCCCGGCACTACTACCACGTCCGAGGCGTGAACGCCGCGGGGGTGGGAATGGCGTCGGGGAAATCCGATTCCTTCTACAACGCGGCGCCACCCTCGACCCCGCTCCCGCCCGTCGCGACCCATGTCACCCGGACGAGCGTGAATCTGAAGTGGGAGCCGCCGTACAGCGGGGGGTTGCCGGTGGTCTACTATGTGCTCTACATGGCGGAACAGACGGTGATCGAGCACGTCAACCCGGGCCCGGGCGCGCCGAATTCCGATACTTATCACAATTTCCACTTTGAAAGCCCCTACTTCTACTACCACGCCGACGGGGCGCGGTTCACGCAGGTCTACCACGGTACCGACCCGGAGTACAGCCGGTCCAATTTGCGGCAGAACGCGCAGTACCGGTTCCAGGTCCGCGCGGCGAATGCGGTCGGGGTGAGCAACGTGTCGGACATTGTGAACATCACCCTCTGTTCGAAACCCACGCCCCCACGGAACGTCCGGATCGTCTATAGGACGAACACCTTGATCAAAGTCTGGTGGGACGAGCCGCTGTCCACGGACGGGTGTCCGATCGTCACCTACCGGGTGAAAATCGACGACGTGCTGCAGCCGGAGTCGATGGCCCGGACGTTTTGGATCGACCCGGCGGTGTTGAACCAGGGCTACTTCTTCCAGGCCAATGTGCGGACGGAGGGCGGGCCGAGTTTGTGGACGGACCCGCTGCTGATCATTGCGGGCGAGGCGCCGGGGCAACTGCCGAAAAAGCCGGTGATCGTTTCCTCGGATAAAGACCACGTGAGCTTGCGCTGGGAAGCGATTTCTTCGATTTCGTTATCCGGGTTGCCGCTTCTGTTTTATCGGATTTACGCGCGGGAGAACAACACCAACACGTATCTTTACAACGACACGAGCAACCCAACGGATTTGCAGTTCACGCTGTTCGCGAACTACAGCCAGGGAATCGCCGGCAGCGGTGTGAACGGGACTGACATCCCCGGGACGCTGAAGACCGGCACGGAGTACTGTATCGCGGTGGCGGCGATGAACAACATTTCGGCCATGAACCCTCTGAACGACCAGCTGCCGAACTTTTCCCCCGAGCAGTGCGTGTGGACGGCGGTGGTTCCGGATCCGCCGATTGCCATGGTGTTCAACCGGTTAACCTTGCAGCGGATCATCGTGACCTGGCCCGACCCGGCGGACAACGGCGGCGCGCCGATCGACTACTACGAGATTTCCATGAAGGGGCCAACCGACTCGGCTTTCTCCGTGGTCGCGCTGAACGACTACGAGGATAAATCTTACTGGTTGCAAAACTGCGTGGTGGGCGCCATCTACAGCTTCATCATCCGCAGCCACTCCCCGGTCGGGTACGGCGCCTCTTCCAACCAGTTCGACGTGCAGTGCGCCACTCTAACCGCGAAGCCGGACGCCCCGAAGCGGGTGTCCAGCAGCACGGAGTCGATCGGAATCAAGTGGGCCGCGCCGAACAACAACGGGGGGACGATCAACAGCTACCGGCTCTTCAAGGCCTTGAGCAAGAACGGCGTGAACACCACGGCCTTTGAGCTGATGCAAGACCGCAACGAGTTGTCGGCGATCATCACGCCGGTGATCCCCGGACAAGAGTACCAGTTCAAGGTTTCGGTGTACAATTCGGTGGGTTACAGCGAGGAGTCCGAGGTGCTCACCATCACCGCCGCCGGGATTCCAACGAAAGTCCGGAACGTCACTTTTGACAACATGGGGTACGAGTCCAGCACGAACTTCAAGTGGCTGGCGCCCGCGTCGGACGGGGGATCGCCGATTTTCCGGTACGAAGTGTACTACGGACTGGTCGGGATCCGGGAGCCGGTGAATAGACTGCTTTGGACGGGCACGACGACCGAGACGGGGTTGCTGCCGTTTTCCTCCGGGGTGTGTTACCAGTTCCAGATTTTCTCCGTCAATGCCGTGTCCCAGGCCTTCAACGTGCGGCCCGAGGCCAGCGACACGCTGCAGTGGTGCAGCGCGATCAAGCCGTCGCAAATCACGTTCACCCTGATCAAGTCCGATGTGGGAGAATTGACGTTCCGCTGGAACCCCCCTGTCAGCTCCGGCGGCGGCTACATCTTCGCCTACAACATCTACCTCTACGCGCAGGAGGGCGGGAAAGTGTCCGACTTGGACGCGCTGCGTGTAGCCACGCTGGCGTATGAGGCAAAGGTGACCGGGTTGGCGACGAATTTTCCGTACTTCGCGGAGATCCGCGCGCAGACGACCGCGGGGGAGTCGCCGGCAAACCCGCTGGCGGTGGTGGTCTGCGACCCGCCGGCGACCATTGCGAGTTTCAAAGTGGTAAGCAGAAACGCCACCAACACGCTGTTCCAGTGGACCATGCCCACGCAGTTCACCTACTGTCCGATTCTGGGCTACAGTTTGTTCACGGGTTTGTCGACGACCTCGTTCACGAAAATCGGGCAGATCGAGGGGAAGGAGACGACCAACTTCACGTACGGGCACGCGGTCCCCGGCGTCGGGCGGTACTACAAGGTGGTTGCGGACAATTTTCAAACTAGAAATTTTTTCCAAACCGGAACCACCAGCTCGGAGATCCTCTTCGCCTACACGGCGGGCGCCCCCGCGCCACCGATGAACTTGCAGCTGACCTCCAAGGACTTGACGACCGCCAGTCTGGCCTGGACGGCGCCACTCGACACCGGCGGCAGCCCGATCACGGGGTACTACATCCAGAGGAACGACGGCACGGAGAACGGGACGGTGTACGTCTCCGCTTTGTCCGCGAACGAAACTTTGCCCACGACCCTGACCCACACGGTAACTTCTTTATTGACCGGCTTCACATACAAGCTGCGAGTCGCGGCCGCCTCGGCCGTGACGACCACCAACCAGCGGGAGGACGCGTACCCGCGGTTCTCCGACCCCATCTCCGTCGTGATCGGGCGCGCCCCGAGCCAGATGGACGCGCCGGTGGAGATCCCGGACACCCGGACCGCGACCGGTTTAGGGGTGCGCTGGACGAAGCCGACGGACGTGGGCGGGCAGGTGCTGACCAAGTACCGGCTGTTCCGCGACGACGGGATCAGCGGAAATCCGACCATTCTCGTCGCGGAGACCGACGTTTTCACGCTGGAATTCACCGTGACGGGCCTAACGCCCGGCGCGCGGTTTTCCTTCGGGGTGACGGCGGAGAACGCGGCGGGAGTGTCCGTCATGTCGCCGCTGTTGACCACCTTTGCGGGCCAAGGACCGGAGATGCTGGTCGCCCCCAGCCGGGACACGTCGATCCGCACCTCGGGGGTGCAGATCAATCTGAAGTGGGTGGCGGCGGATATCCGGAAGTCGAACAAGCCGGTGCTGTACTCTAAAACGCTGAATTAGCGGCAAAGCCGGTAATCCCTGTGAATTCCAAAAGCCCATGACTCTCGTGCATCAACGCCCGCCGCCCGTGCTTCAAAATCTTGGAGCAGAACTACTTTGCAAATTTGGCACCCGTGCCTTGCTTCGCTTTGTCCAAATGCAGCAAACCTGTTACGCTGCTCGTCGCCGCGGGCCTGGCTTACCTAACTTGCCTGCCCCAGGTGACAAGTCTGAAACGCAGCCACCTCAGCGCACAGTCTTCGTAGAGCAGGCGGCCGCGCCCAGGCGTCCGCTGGTGCGCCCCTCGGCGCCGACGTTTTGTCACAGAGTGAGGCCCCAGACACTCCGTTAACAAGACCTCGGGGTACCCAGAGGTTCTGTTTATCGCGAGCTGTTTTTGCATTTTTGGGTCTGCAGCCAAAAATCCAAAAACAGCTCGCGATAAACACGACCTCTGGGTACTCATAGGTCTGGTTAACGGAGTGGCGCAGGGTCCATTCCTGGACACAACGTCGGCCTGGGTGACGGGGATACTGAATCTACTTAGCACGACCTTTGGCCATGCAAAGGTCATGTTAAGCGGTTTTTTTTTCCCGGCATACTCAGGGAGTCCGCGACTCAGGGGGTACTCATTTGCCTTTGCGCTCCTGTGTCCCTATTCACGGGTCAGCAGAACTTCGAGCCTGTTTGCAATATTAGCGTCCGCCCTGAATCCCGATTCAGGATTCTAGGGATCGCTTATCGCTGAGAAATCGCGTTAAATGTTGGGCGGGAGATAGTGGAAAGTTGGATTCTCACAGAGTGGCCGGGTTTGCCGCTTATTCCCGTACTCAGAGTACTACAAGCTGCTCCGCGACGACGGGAACTTCGGCGACTTCGTCGAGGTGGGCACGACGACCTTCTTGAACGAAACCATTGGCTCGCTCCGCAACTCGCTCTACTACCGGTTCGTCGTTCAGGCCTACAACGAGGTCGGGTGGGGCCCTTTTTCGCCCGTGTTCCGGTCGCAGGTCTGCGGGCAGCCGCAGCACCCGGATTCCTTCTACTTCGCGGAGTACTACGACAACGGTGTTTTGCTGCGGTTCACCAAACCGACCGACGGGGGCTGCGACACGCCGACGCTGACGAAGTACGAGATCTACCAGAACCACCTGACCTCGGGGAACAACGTGTACGAAAAGATTTACGAGGGCGAGCCGACGGACCTGTTTGCGAACGCCACGAACTTGAACGCGAATGAGCAGTACCAATTTCAAATCCGCGTGTCGAATTTTGACCAGTCCAGCGACGTCTGGCCGGACAATCTAGTCCTGCTCGTCGGGGCGGTGCCGCGGAAACCGAACAACCTCTTCTTTCTCTCCGCCCCCACCGCGACCTCCTTGCAAATCGGCTGGGTGGCGCCCGTGTCGAAGATCCCGATTTTGCAGTACAGGATCTACTTCGACAACGCGGTGGACGGAGCGATTGACACGGTCGTGGAAACCGTCGATGGGTCCGTCTTGAACATCACCAAAGCGGGGTTAACGGCAGGCGCGAAGTACCGGTTCCAAATCCAGGCGAGGAACCAGAACGGCTGGGGAGAACGGTCCGGCGTTACGGAGTTCTACGCGTCGCTGTCCCCGCGCGCCCCGAACTCGGTCAGCTACTACAACAGCACGATCGGACAAGTGTACGTGCAGTGGGAGCAGCCGGTTTTGTACAGCACAAACGACGCGCCGTTTTCCAGCTACAACATCTTTTGGGGCAATTTGGACACGGACGGAACAACGGTTTTGCTGGCGGAACAGTCGTACTCCACCAACGCGGCGACGAGGTACACGACGCCACCGATTTCGCAAATGTCGTCCCTTTTGAACAGCAACTTCACTTCGGGAACGTTGTTGCACTTCCGGGTCCAAGCGTGCACAATCAACACGTGCGGGCCCTTCACCGACACGCTGACTCTGGTGGCCGCCGGTCTGCCGAAGCAGCCGGATGCGCCTTCCGTGGTGAGTTTTGCCGGGAAAACGGTGAGCGAGATCGGCGTGCCGCTGTCCTGGGCGCCGTACAGCACGCTGAGCGAGTCGGGTGCGGAAGCGTACTTGTTCGCGATCTACTCCAGTACGAACGTGTTGAACCAGGACGACGAGAGCAGTTACACGCTGCACGGATACACGGAATCAAACTCTGCGAACTACAACTTCACCTGTGTCCAGGACGAGCACTACTTCGTCAAGGTAGCCGCAATCAACGGCGCGGGCGGGAACTACTCGGCGGAAACCAGTTCGGCGTTGTACAAGCAGAATCTCGGCCCGTTCTCCCACCCGCTACTGATCGTCTGCACGGACCGGCCGGAGACGCCCGCCGCACCGTCCATGTTGACAACGCAAACCAGCATCTCCGTCGTGTTGTTCGAGCCGAACGTGACACAGTTGAAAAACGCAACACATGTTGGTTGGGAATTGGAAATTGAGGATCTCGACGATGGTTTAACGAAAAAGTGCGTATTCACCTACTCGGACGTGGTGCACGAGAAGTTCACACTGCCCACGACGAACACAACCACCACGACGATCACCTTGTTTCAGCACAGTTTGGAGAATCTGTACGCGCCAAATTTGAGTCCGATCTACGTTTTAGACAGTTCCTTCGTCGTGTCGAACCAAAACCCAACAGTTTTGCAAGGCTTGTCCGCAACGCAGACCGGGGGACAAACCTCCGAAGAGAGCACGACCGCAGCGAGTTACACGTTCCAGACCGATGTCGCTGCGTCCGCGGGGAGCTACGAAAGCTACAGTGCGTACGGCTACTTGCGCCGGCTCGCGACCTACGCCGAGTTCCCGGGCACCAATCCGGAAACGGTGTTTGACGTGTGGAAGAGGGAGAACGAGAAGGAGAAGAGACGAATGCAGTCGAAGTTCCTGCGAAAGCGGAAGCTGTTGAGCAAGTTGGAGGTAAGAGAATTGATGGCACCGTACGAGGATGATGTTCTGGCGGAAAGCGAAATTTCCGGCCCGACAGAGGTGGTCTTCACGTGGTCCACAGCAGCAGCCGGATCAAGGAGGCAGCTAGTGGCCGCAGGTGATTCAACAGCATCGAATGATGTAGTAGACCTTTACGACGAGGACTCCGTCCAGCAGCTATCCTACACCCGTCGCTTTCTCCAGTCCGTCTACATTCACACGAGCGAGTTCGTGGTGGTCTCCGGCCACCGTTACACGGCGAAGATCCGGCTGTGCAGCAACATGGGCTGCAGCGACCAATCCGCCGCGTCCGAGCCGACGTACGCTGCGGACTCGCCGAGCGCGACGGATTCTCTGGCGATCCTGAGCACGACAAACGAGCAGATCGCGATCCAGTGGGACTTCAACAACGGAACCACGAACGGCGCGCCGCTAACCGGGTTTTGCATCTACATTTCCCAAATCCCGCTGTACGACCCGGAACTGGACGCAAACGGCACGGCGCTGTTCCCCGACCCCAACGCGCCGTGCTTGACCTGCGGCAATTCGGAAAAGATCGTTTTGAACGACCCATTATTTCGAAACTACACGTTTAACTGCGCCCCCAACATTGCCTCCCCGACGTTCAACGGATCGCAGAATGTGTTCTTCTTCCAGGTGGCCGCGAGCAACCAGAACGGGATCGGCCCCAGAGGGGAGGTTTTGCCGGTGCGGTGTTCGTCCGCGCCGGACCAGCCGGCGGCGCCGTTTTACATGCAGAGTGTGTCAAATTCGAGTCAAGTGATCGGATTCACATTGCCGAACTTGTACAACGCGCGTCACGTGTCGAGTCAGATGTACCGGCGGCAAACCACGGGCTCCGGCGCGACGGCAACTTACAGCCTGACCAGCAGCACGACGGATTTGCTCGCGCGGACTTTCACTAGTTCGGGTTTGGTTTCCGGCGAGCAGTACGAGTACTACGTGACGATTGCGTCCGGCACGGGGACCAGTGTTCCCTCGGCCACAACCACCATTGCGGCGGGAGAGCTGCCCGGAAACGGCACGATCACCTTCGTCAACGCGACAAACAGCTCCATCACGGTGCAAATCACCGTCCCGACGGACTACGCGACCGGGACGGGCGGGGCGAAGTTGAGTGGTTATCGGGTGTTTGAGTCCGCGGATGGCGTGTTCTACGATTACACCTCTCCGAACAGCACGGTGACACTCACGGGGACGGAAACCAGTCAGCAACTGGCGAATTTGTTCTACGTCCGAGAAGATTGTGTTACCGGGAGTCTCTACTGGTTTTCGATACAGATTGTCAATCAGGTCGGCGAGGGGCTGGTCAACGAAGGGGTCAAGTTCCGCTGCTCCGCACCCCCCGCGACGCCAGCCGCGCCAACGTTGGTGACGGCCGCGAAGGACAGTTTGGCGGTCCGGGTGGAGCGCATCGACCCGGATTTTCTCAACCTCGCGAAGTTTTCCAAGTACATCTTCAGCATTGACGACGGAGCCGGCGGGGCTTTTGAGAGCTTCGAAGTGCCGGACGACGAAACGGCGAGAACGTTCACCTTCACGAACTTGACGACCGGGTTGCTCTACAAAACGACCGTGCAGGTGTTTTCGGATGCGCCGGGCGCGTCCGAAGTGTCCGCCGCGTCGACCTTTTACGCGGCGACGCAACCCTCGGCGCCCCTGTCGGTGTCGCAAACGAGTTCGACTTCCACTTCCATGGTGGTGTCCTGGAACGCGCCCGCGGACAATGGCGGATTGCCGATCCAGGCGTACAACGTGTACACCGCGTTCCAAGTGTACAACTACGCCGACAACACGACCAGCTACTACCCGTACCAGGGCGTGAGTCCCGCGATTTACGGGACCACGCCCACCGCAACGGTGGCGGCGACGACCTTCACGCTGGCCGACTGCGGCATCAGCAGCTACGGCGGGTACGTGTGGTTCAAGGTTGCGGCGTACTCGGTGAACGGGGAGGGGGAATTCTCCGAGGGGCGGCGGTTTTTCTGCGCCCCGAAACCGGAGGCGCCGAGCCCGGTGACCTGGGAATCGTCGACGGCGACGTCGATCACGGTGAATTACAAGATGGACGCCGAGACCTACAACGTCACCGCGACCGGGTTCGCGTTGTACTACAACGACGGACTAGGCGGAACCTCGTACACGCGCGTCGCGATCGAGTTCGACACGAACCCGAACCAGTTCACGATCACCGGGTTGACCGCGGGGCGGCGGTACAAGGTGAAACTCGCAGTGGTCTCCTTCGTGGGGGAAGGAACGCAGTCGGCCGAAACGGAAATCTACGCGGGACAAGCCCCGAGCGCGTTGACGGCGCCGACGCGGGTCTCTTCCAGCTTCCAACATGTCGAGTTCCAGTGGAGCAGTCCGGGGTCGACCGTGAACGGGCTCACGACCACCGCGGTGCGCGTGTTCGCGAGCTCGGACCCCGGGCACTTCAACGCGTCCTCCGTGGTCGACTTGCCGCACGGCACCACGAGCTACCAGTTGAACTGCGAGGACGTCCCCGGCCCGCTCTGGGACTACAACGCCACGGATTTTTTTCAATTTTCCAACGAACCAAACGCGTCCGACTACTTCCCGTACGGCAGCGACTACAACGCGAGCCTGGCCACCGCGATCAACCAATCCGACGTCGAGCAGCCACTGACCAGTACCTACCTCTACACGGTCGAGTCCTCCGAGGGGCAGACGAAAACCTTCGTCAGCAAGAACTTGACCGGAACTTTGGTTTTCATCAAGCTCCAGGTCGTGACGCTGAACGTGTTCTACGGCGAGTTCTCCGACCCGGTGTCCTTCTACTGCGCGCCGCCGCCGCTGAAACCGATAGCCTACGAGGAAGTGGCGTCCACCACCAGTGCGCAAGTCGCGCTCGGCTGGAGCGTGCAGAACACCTACGGGGCGCGGATCCTGCAGCACAAAGTGTACAACGGCGCCACCAACGCCCTGATCACGACGATCACCGCCACCACCGGGCTCGCGCCGGAGTTCGTACTGTCCACGGGCATCGTGGCGGCCCAGACCTACCAGTTCCAGGTGGCGACGGTCACCGAGGTGGCGGAGGGGGACAAGTCGGACGTGCTGTCCATCATTGCGTGCAGCAGTCCGACGGTGAACACGACGTTGCCGGCGATTGTGTCCGGGAACAAGGTTTTCAACAGCACCACAGACACCTACACGGCCGGCGTGGACGCGTACAACATCACCTTCAACTGGCCGGCCGTGTACGATACCGGGGGTTGCCCGGTCACCGACTACAAGTTGTATTTGGAGCAGGAGACGGCGACGAGCGAGACGGTGCCCTACAACGACACGGACTTCTTCAACATCACGAACACCACCTTCAACGACACCACGAACGAGACGGAGACGACGATCACGGAACTGTCCACGACGAACCAGCTGACCACGGTGTTCGCGGGCGAGACGGAGGTGTACATCGACGTGACCGACGAGGGCACTCTGTCCGTTTCGGACCGGCAGTTCCAGTTTGCGTCGACCCGGATCGAGGCGTCCAAGACCTACACGTTCAGGATAGGGACGATCACGACCAAGACCACGCCCAACGTGACCATCGGCCCCACGTCCGACGTGAAGGCCGCGGGGCTGCCGAACCAGATCGCCATCGCGCCGGTCCGGGACGCGGCGCAAAGTTCCAGCACGTCCGTGTTCCTGACGTGGACCGCGCCGGACAACCAGGGAGGCTATCTGTTCGGGTTCACGATGTACCGCGACGGGGCGGTCGATACCAGCTGCGGCATGGACAACGACCCGACGCCCCCGCTGGAGTGCCTGATCAGCGGGCTGTCGACCGGGGCGTCGCACAGCTTTTCCGTGCAGACGCGGAACGAGATGGGCAGCTCGCCGATCTCGCCCGCGGCAAGTTTGGTGGTCGGCACCAACCCGGTGGCGCACAACGTGACCACAAGCGATTCGCACTACAACCCGCCGAAGTTCACGGTGACCTGGAACGGGATCGAGAACGGCGCCACGATCTACAACTTCATCATGGTCTTCAAGGACGTGTTGACGGGCACGGAGGAAACGAAGGACCTGGGCGGCACGGCGCTGGTGCCCTTCAACCCGACGACCACCGGCGGGGACCAGTGGACCAAAAGCTTCGAGGCCGCCGACTTCAGCACGATCACGTTCGCGGCGCAGCGGGAGTACCAGATCAAGGTCAAGGCCATCAACGCGTTCGGGCAGAGCGCCTTCACGGCGTACTCCGCCTCCGTGTGGACGCTAACCGAGCCGAGCACGCCCGCGAACTTCCAGAACGTGACGGACAGCAGCAACACGACGAACAAGTTGCAGTTCACGGCGGCGTCGAACACGCAGGAACGGGGCGGGGACGGCAGCAACAACGTGCAGTACATTTTCGAGGGCGACACCACGGACGGAACCTCCGGCACGGTGCTGCACACCATGCAGTGCGCGGGCGGGAACTGCCAATTTCAGCACGAAAACCTGCAGACCTACGCCTTCTGGTACTACCGCATGCGGTCAAAGAACCAGGGCTACTACTCCGCCTACACCGCGATTCTGACCGTGCAGGTTACGTAGTGATGGGAAAAAGTGGTGCGCCGACGTCGGGAAGGTGCGGTAAAGGAGGCGAAGGAGGAATACGCATACGCCGGCGCATCACAATAAGCAACGGGCGGGAGAACTACAAAGGGACTAGCACCAAGTCAAATTTGTCGTGATACTACAAAAAGAAGCAGTGACCTTGTCGATCGACGACGGGTTGCAAGCGGTCTTGTATGCTCGTACAATACTTTGAAAGTGATAATTTAGTAGCGTTTTTTTGGAATTCGGATGCGAAAATATCAAATTGCCTTAAACTATCAATCAACTATACAAGAAAAATGATACAGCGCGCTGACGCTGTCGCGCAAGTTCTACCTTCTATTTTCAAGCGATACTCTTACTCCAAAAATCAGAAAGATTAGTATGTGGTCGGAAAAATCGTCCTCCTCCTCCTCAGAAAGATTAGTATGGTCGTTCGGAAAAGCAAGACGCCACATAAACGCAATTTTTGTGCTGTTGACATCTTGCACTATGCGTGTCCGAAAGTGCGTCAATCGATCCTGATGAATACTTAAAAAGATTTTGCAACGCATTTTGTTTCCTTATTCGTTTCAGATGTTTACCAGTTTGCTATCGCTTGCACGCCTTGCGCTAAGTCGCCTAGCGGAAGTACTCAGATTTTGTAGGAATTTGCTTTCACAGTTCCGGGTCGTGAGATGGAGGCCGGGGCTATCATTTCAGGTATTTATTGGACAGCGTGGAGTGTTACACTTTTGCTTGAAAAAGTAATCGTTTACGTTTCAAAAGTCAAAGACGCAGTATAGACACCAAGCTTCTTGAAAACGGAAGCCAGTCCGGCAAGAGCCTGTGGCAAAGCCGGCTCGTGTTCTGTCCGTCGATTGTTGAATGAGAGCAGGCATCTTGTCGGGCACCAGGCATTTTTGTCGTACATGGCTTTGCGATGCCTATCTTCGAGAGCTTCGGAGAGCCGGTTTCCCAGGGAGTGTTTTGCCCTTAGGTTGTTCGCATTTGGGCCCATTTCGTATGAGAGCAGCTCCCGCTCGTTAGAGATAGAGTCGCATTGCGTCGTGCTCTGTACTCGTCTTTGACCCGTCTCTCATCTACTCGCAATAAATGCACATAACCCGCGATGTTGTTGTCTTGTTCTTGAGGTAATGAAGGACGTTGAAGACCTCGTCGCTGCCTGCTTCGGAGTAGATTGGTGGAAAATTAGATTGTAGAAACAAAATCAGAAATGAATTCGTTGGTCGATGATGGCGTGACGTGAAGATAGCGGATTTCATCATGCGCGAAGTAGGTCGCCACCGGCGCCGGGGGATTGGTCCGACCGCACTGCTCCTGCTTCTCCGGAATGATGGAGGGGGACACTATCAATTTGTCTCCGGGAGCGCGACAAATCAGGTAGACATAGGTTCGTCGGGCCTGCTCGCGGGCGGCCAGGAGCAAGAAGCGGAAGAATGGACAAAAAAGCAAGGTATGGATAGTTCTTTCAAACGGTTTTGCTGCCAAACAAAATATGAAGAACCCAATTCCTCGTTTTCGGCATGGACGCCAGAATCTTCTTCGAGACATGGACTTTATTTCAAACAATTCAGTATCAATCTATCGACTGTACCAAATCAGACACCCTTACCGAGCTTCTAGACCGGGAAGGAGGGGAGGAGGCACTGGCGAACTTGGAAAAAACCCTGGACGACATTTTGAAGCAGGATACTGGTGCTTCCGGCAACGCGGCAGACGGAACCAGCAGCAACGTCCAGGAAACTGCACCCGTTTTGCCTGCTTCAGGAGATGAAACGACAGCGCCGGCATCTGCAAAAATCGGAGAGCAGCAGACTGCCAGCACCGCAGACAACCGGATCGTGCCGGATGACACAAAAAACCCTGGCGCAGCTCCGGCTGGGGGAGGTGTGCAGCAAGTGTCCAGAAGTCAAGTCGTAGGTCAACAGCCTGTAGTACTAGATGGCGCAGGAGCTTCGACATCAAGAAGCACAAAGAACGATAAGCCCACGACGAACGAACCGCCTTTGATCATCTCCGGCCCGGGGGGCGTGCTGGGGGGCGGCCTAGGGCAGGCGCAGCAAAGCGGGGACGCAGGAGCAGGTCCGGTGGTGGTACAGGAAGGGATTAATAGTTCAAACGGAAAGAAGTCGTTGGCCACTAACATGGGTGGCAGCGGCAGCTACCCCAGCAGTGCTGCAGCTGCATCTTCGAGCAGTACTACTGCAGCTGCTTCGGGTGCTGGACCACAGCAACAGGCTGTCCCAGTAGACGCACAGGAGCTACAACTTGCGTCTAGCGCGGCCAATACTGCAAAGATCTTCGCAGGTGGAGCACAACCTTTGCAGCAGCAACTCCTGGAGAATCAACAGCCACAGTATGTCACCATGGAACAGCTTCAACAGGCCTTGCTTCTTCAGCAGCAACAGCAACAACAGCAGACAACTGAAAAATTTTACGAACAAGGCGACGAAGAGCAGTTGTGTCCGGACGCGAAAGACCAGCAAGGAAGCACCTGCGGCTCTGGCTACACGTACGCAGATGCTGACGTGGAAAACACGGCTTGCGACGTTAACGACGGCTGTGACTTCACGGCAACCTGCTGTGTGTTGCAGGAGTCACCACAGGTACCGATATGAATATCTTGCTACAGAAGATGCTGCTTTTGATAGTAAGTTGTATGTTGTGCCTCTAGAAGTAACGACGAATTGTGGTGATCAAATGCCCGCAGAGATCTGCTCACCCACGTATTGCGGAAGTGAAAAACTACACACTCACCAGGTTGCCGGGGCCTTCACGATTCAAATCGACCCAGTCGGGAAATTACGACACGAAAACTGTTTTAATCCTCGTTTATTTTCGTAGGTAGCTCTAAGTTGCTGCATATGCAGTCAATCATCAAGTACACATGTTTGCAGAGTGCATGAAGACCAGCTTCATATCAGAGAAGCGACATAGCTCACTTACCCGTAGAGCTACTTGTGGGATTGCAGGTACCGTGAGTTACTTGTGGGATTGCAGGACTAGGTTTTCGTGTCGATACAGATTCACTAAGTTTCATTCTGCGAACAACTTCACGTCATACGTCAAGAAGTAATTGGAGTCCAAGCGGGGTTCAAAGGGGATCGATTGTGTGCAGCTGCGAGGGTATGATAATAATTGGCATGAGCACGACGAGGACTTTTGCTGGGTAATATGAAGCGCCGCGGTGACAAGCTTTCGCAAAAGTCTTTCGTTGTCCATATGTTGCGCCATTCACAAATTGTAATTGCCCCCCGCTTGTTCGACTCCAAATTTTCCTAGCGATAGGAATGTCGCGACGACGATGGCCCTGACCTTGGGAATCAACGTTGGGAACATTACAATCGACAATGTGGTACGTGAATTCACGACTCTTCTACAGTTTTCACGAGGATTACGTGTATAGTACTTTAGACACTTACTCGCACACCATAGATAAGATGCGAGCAAACTGCTATTCCTGATGTTGACGACGCAGTAGTCTGTTATCTACTTTATCTCATGCAGTATACTCAACAAGGTGGATCGGAGTGGCGGGGGCAACGGGACAAAGTATGACATCGCAAAAAAGCTCTTCTGCATTTGCGTGCAGTTGTCTGCGGAAATAAAATGAGTAATGCTGAAAAACAAGAAGATGGGCTCACGTAGGCCAGCATGATTTTGGAGCTGCTCTGCCCACGTAGCTGCATCATGTGATCCTGCTAGGGCGGCCTCCTGTTAAAACGAAACTGCAACGCGCCTGCAATATTTTGAGCTTTTCGCTTGCATAAAGCCAGAGGTCAGAACAGCGGCAGAGGAGGTGGGAACGGCGGGGGTGGGAACGGCGGAGGTGGTTCTCAGAACGCGGGTGGAAACGGGGACGGTGGAAGAAACGGAAACGGTGGCAGTAACACGGCTGCCTTGCACGAACGTGGTCGCGGACGGCACAGGCGTGGGCATCGGCACAAAAGGCACCGAAGGCAACATGGGGGTCAAGGAAGAGTCACGATGTCGATGGAAGAGGTACAATCTAATATTAGAGGATCTTCATCAAGTTGCAATTGCAAACTCAAGTGGTTCTTTTACTCCGAGGACGGCAGTGCCAGATCATACTTCCTGTTGAAAAAGAATTCTGGGACGATAAAACGAGATGCGTTCAGCTACAGGAATGAACAAAAGCTTTATGTAGATTGCAATAACATTACGTACAGGTCCAGGTCCTCGACCGGAGCAATGCGAACGCCACTGGAGCTCCCGCCTCTGCTGCACCGGGAACAAACGAAAAAATTCAGCTTCAAAAACAAAGCCCCGCGACTCCCGTCGCAGCGAATGGTCTCGACGCCAGCGAAAGTGAAGAACCCCCAAAAAAGCTAGTGCGACGCCACGACACCCTACCTAAAACCAGTCCGCAGAGCATGCTGGAGATGCGGCAGAGGACGCGAAGAGAAGAAGAAGGTGTTGAGGTGATCGAGGAGTCAGGGCGGGAGGATTTCTCGGAGCGGGATGGGAGCGGTTCGCAGTCCAGTGCTTCGGATTCCGACGAGGAGATTGAAAGTGACCGATACGAACACGATCCAGAAGACCGCCGAAGCACCAGAAGAAGTTTTGTCCCCCGGCATCACCACTCTGCTGCGCCGCACATGCGAACAACTACGAGGAAAAAGGGTAACACCTGGCTGACGAGTTTTGTGGAACAGGTGAAACAGCAGTACCACAGTCTCGTCGGCGTGGAAGAGCAGGACCACGGGAGGTGGAGAACATCAAGGCGGCATGATACGCATTCTGATCTTATGGAGAGGACGAGCAACTATCGGAACACGAGGCGGATGAAAAGCGAAGGAAGGTCCGGGCGTCACAAGAGGAGAGGCGCAGCGTCCAGGGGACAAAAGCGGCACAGGATGAAGGGAGGACGCCAGCAACATCACCGCCAGCAACATCACCACCGCAGCTCGCATCTCGAGCCAGATTTCGAGGAAGTTTACGAAAATTCTGAGTTTCCCGAGGATGATGTGTCGTACACAACCTTGCTCGAGGAAGACGACGACGAGTCCGAGTTTTTCGAAGCGGCGGAACGGGGAAATGCGGGCGAGTTGTCAATTGCGTACAAGATAAAGGTCTCGACGCCCGCGGAAGCCTACGAGGTGGCGGAGCAGTTGGAAGACGAAGAAACGTACAACGATTTTGTGGCGAAATTGGTCCAGGCGACGCCGGATGTGAGCAATATCACGCTGGTCAGCTTCGAGCAGCCACTGGTCACGGGGACGGACGAGGTACGTCAACAGGTTTTCTGCAAATGATATCATGCGTTTTTTTGCTGATGCAAAGATAGAAATCATTACGAGCAGCGCTTGTGCTCGACGCATTTAGTAAGTGAGACTGGGCAAGAAATATTTAGAACTCCGTGCTGCGCAAACAATTCAAACATTGCCTTTCGAACGCGAACCGAAACAACTTTCACAGGCGTCTGGGAGCGGCGGCAGCAGCGGCGGTTCCAACCTGGCCATCATTATCTGCTCGATCGCCGTCGGTGGTATGTTCATGCTGCTCCTTCTCGTCATGTGCTGGGCAGAGCCGAGCGATCCCCACCCGTCGCCGGGCCTCGGGTACAACGGCAACGAGCAGTGGCGCGCAAGGTCGCCGCACGATGACTGGGACAGGAACGGATACGGCCAGCAGCAGGGCGGTGGCAAGTACGGTGGCAAGGGCGGGTGGTACGGGGAGGGGGAGGCGATGTCGAAACCGAAGGGCGCGGCCTCCCCCGGCAGTGTCGTGGGCGGCGCTGCCAAAAATAATCCCTTTAGCAACAGCGGCACGACGGACGGCGCGCAAGGACAAAAGCAGCAGAGTGCCAGCGCCAACAGCAACGCAAAAAGCACGGTGGTGCGTGGGGTACCGGAGCCGCAGCATGCGGCTTACGACCACGAGGACGACTCCGACATTTAGCTCGAGGTGAACCTGCCGCCCTCTTGCGTTTGATGAAGCAACTATGTAGTTCTGTGCAAATGCAAATCAGAGATTCAGCGAAACTTTCTTGTATGATACACAACGACCTCAGTAAGGATAAGCCAGATTATAATTTGCAGTCGACAGTAATAATTTCTGATCCAAGATTATTTGAGTAATGTAGTGTGCCTCCCGAAGCAGCCGCACGTGTATTAAGGCACGAGAACAACAGCTTTCACCTTGAAAAATGAACAAACTGTAGACCGTAGAAAAAGGCGACTAAACTTTCAATTGATGACTTTTGACGAGACACTACTTGTACCAAATAAAATGACTCCAGGAAACAAAGCGAAATTCGCAGCTTTCCAAACGTTTCACAAACTAGCCTGGGCTCGGAAAATTAAAAATCGGAATCAATGACCGGATAGAAGAGCGCGCGTCCAGCAGGTGGGAAAGTGCATACATAACTAGTTGTGTGTTGCGATTTCGATTGCCAGGTTCAGCGTAGAGTGTGAACTTACGCTGGCGGAATGTGCTGCGCCACGACCGGGGCGCACGTCTAAGAACACATACCTGGGCGTGGATGGGTTACTTACTAGAAGAGCTGTAGGTAAGGTAGGGTACTATCCACTGCAGCACTTTTCGTCGGTCTTTCTCTTTAGGTCGTCAGTTGCGTAAACAGCTACAGAGAGAGGCGTCATTTGTGAGTGTTCATATGTCATTTCCCTCTCCAGTCCGTCAAGGAAACATAGAATAGTGCAAAGCCGTGCGTTAAATGTATGAAAAATCGCACGATAAGTCTAGTGCCATCATCAAAATAAAGAAAGCTTCGTCATGGAGAATAAACCTCGGAGTCCGGCTGCCGAGCGGAGGGAGATGCTGCAGATGCTCAAGGCAGAAAAGGAGCGGCTGATTGCCGAGCGAAGTTTGTCGGCCTCGCCGGCAAAACAGCAGGAAGCAAGTGAAGAAATTGCTAAAGACGAGGCACTAGAGCCGCCGACATTGCCGAAGCCGGGAGAAGACGGTAATCACGAGACAACTGAGATGGACAACGCCCAGATGGAAGTCGTGGAGGATCATGCGGTAGAAGTGAGTAGCGACGAAGAAAACCCGATCGGAAAGAAGGACTGGTATACCGTCCTGTGTCGCAAGGAGAGCGAAGTGGAAAAGCTAGAGGCACAGCTGCAGAGGCTGACGGTACTGAACTTTGAGCAGTTCTTAGGTATCGCAAAAAATTGTGGTAAAACACAAACAGGCACGATACTGCTCCCGCTAGGTAGTTTTCTTGTCTCCGCTTAAGCGAGATGTTGTCGTGCCGGCTCCGACATACGAGAGCAGGAAGACTGCGAATACAAATGCAACTCCAATAAAAAATCTGCTAAAAAGTACTACTATGCATTTTCCACCCACTGCAGGCCCGTTTGACCGAGAAGCGAGAGCAGCTGCGCTCGCACAGGAAGGAGCAGGCGTACTGTGGGCGCGAAATTGAGAAGGCGAAGCAAGAGTCACAGCAGTTAACGGAGAAACTGCAGAAGCAGCGGCTGGAGAAGCAGCAGTTGCTGAACAAAAAAGATCTGCTCAAGCAACGGAAGCAGCTCCTGCTGAAAACCATCCAGAACAGCCGGGAAAACGTCGGCGAGGCGAAGCTGCTACAGCAAATTTTGTCGCACCAGGTGGACCAGTTGCAAGTGGAAAAGAACACGAGCCGGCAGCAAGTCAAAAAACTGCACGAGGAACTCACTAGCCTGGACCAGCTCGCCGGGGAGCTGCATTCCTTGCTCAGCAAGGAAAACAAACAGCGAAAGGTACAGCACCTTTATTTACTTATCATGCCGTTCATCAATGCGTTCGAGATGAACATCTTCTATTTAGGTCGTTATGTAATATGAGAGGCTGAAACTTTGCATGTCGTCGGACACAATGATGCAAACTTTCTGCTTCACGTCATGGAAATTTCTATACCTCAGGCCCTGAAGACGATGATTTCGGAGAAAATAGTGGAACACGACGCGGAGATGGAAGAAATGACGCGACGAATAGAAAAGCGTGAGGGCGTCGCAGAGGAACGCAGAAAGCTCGTAGAAGCGCAGGCGGAGTTGCACAAGTGGCAAGAGGACCAGCAAAGAATGTACTCTTTGCATGAAGAAATATGGTTTGATGTGGATTTTCAATGTCGCACGAGTCGATTATAATTTTTTTTCCATTTGGCTATATGTTGTGTCTCGCGAAAGATCGCCTGGCCCTCCTCTGACATGAGTACAGAAAAGAGCATATTTACAAATCGAAACTCGTCCTGAGGTACGTCGAATCGCTGCACCTGGAGACCATCGTGCAAAATCGCGAGGTCGAGACCCAGGAGCTGCGCCGCCAGCTGAAGGCTTTGTGGGCCGAGCACCAGGAGCTGTTCGTGAAGACGGAGGAGAAGAAGAAGAAGCTTTACGCGCTCGAGGCGAAAAGCCGCGAGGAGGAGAACAAAAAGCAGTACTTTGGCGGCCTGGGAGGGGATCCTGCAGATCGTCGTGGAAATGCTGTTTCCAGTGGCGCGACAAAATTTTCACCTAGGACGAGAGGTACTACAGGACAACTTTCTTCTTCGCAAAAGATGGAAATCGAGCAGGACGACGATCGCGACACGTCGGACCACCTGAACGGCACCACCGCAACACGCTTGATCGAACAGATCACCGCGGAGGGAGGGACCAGTCTGACTCATTCCGCGGTGAAGTCCAAGGAGCACCGGTGGATTGACGCCATGAATCAGTCCGTGCGCTCGGTGCGGAGCAGCAAGGCGCTGGAGTTAGGGCCCCCCGTTTCTGTGCGAGCAGGACAACACATCAACTCGAGCCAAATCGGGAACGACATCTCACCCATCAACATCTCGCCTTTCGCAGGCGGAGGCGGCTCGGGCTCGCGGCGGGGGCAGGATCAAAATTCAAGCTTGCTGGGAGGCAGCAGAAATAATAAAGCAGGTTGAATGTTGGCAAATTTGAATAGTGAGATTTTGGTTTTCCGCTCAGCGCACGAATCTTCAAGCTTTACCTACACTGAATACTTTGACACGGAAACTCTACGCAAGAAAAACAACGAATGCAGCGAGTACAAGCGTGATTATCTGGAAGCGAGGCGTGTTCGCCGTGATCACTGTGCGCTGTGAAGATAGATACATTTGAGCGCTGCGACTCTGTTTGAAATTTCCACCTCAAAGTACGCGACGTTCGTAGAGAACCAGGCTACAGCACATTATGTGGGCCGAGTGATGCTTAAGAATGGAATTGCTCCGGCACCCACGGCGCTCGCTCTCCTGTTTGTGGTCGCTCGAGTAGCTGGCCCTTTGGGCTTGTTCGTGCCTACTTCCCAAGGAATTCTGGGGACGAGCACCAACGGGCGGCAACAATGCGCGGGAGCAGCAATGTGGTTGCGCGGTTTCCACTTCGCAGCTGCAGCGTGGAGCGGTGGGCAACTCGGTAGCTATGAGATCTTCGGGGTTCCCGGCGCCGCGGCTGTGTCCGTGAAGACGATCGCAGCGAACAGGAAGAATGCCAAGAATGGAAAGGCTTTTCGCGTCGGGGTTCTTACCAACGTGAATTTTGTCTGCAGCTGAAAAATTCTAAAATTTTGTTTTTGGGTGTAGCCGCAAAGCAGTCCGGGCTGTCGCAGTCCCGGTGGCCTCGAAGATTGTAGTGGGATGGAGCAGGAACACCTCCAGCGGAAGGCACCTCGTCCGCGGTAGCTGGCCATTGTCCGCTTCTCGCATTTCTACCTTCCTTCTCGGGGAAGCCCGGATCTCCACCCCTCGGCCATTCCAGCTGCTCTGACCTCTCAACACTGAGGATTCGGGCTGGCCACGGTAAGTCGAATGCACTGTAAAAAATCTAATAAATACAATGCAAATCCATACACTAGATGAAGGTCCGTAGCTAGTTTAACAGAATAGCTATGCTTTGAGTCCGAATTTTCTAGATAGGCGGGGATAATCGGCGTTGCGGACGGCCTCGACCACTTGCTGCTCTTCCTGCCCGACCTGCGACGCCCAATGCGCATGTTGCACCACCTGGTGCATCATTTCATCGTCCCGTAGATGCTGGAAAACACCGGTCCGGTGCGTGCTGTTCAAAGAGGCCTCGACGCTCCGGCTTATGTGATCAACATGCGACTCAAAACGCTATATAGTTAAACTAGCTACGGACCTTCATACTTCCATTCGAAAAAATGCATGACAGAATGATAAGACTAATGCAAATAATGAACAAAGTGCCTAGCTTTCAATATGCGTTTGCGAAAAGAGGGTGAATTGATCGTGATCGGTTGAAATTATATAGAAAAATCGAAGGAGAATCCGCAGCCTCCGGAAACTTACCATCATGGAGCCCCTAGCCGTCGTCGCCAGCAAGGACCTCTCGCAGTCAAACTCGGCTTCTGTGACGATGAAGTGCCCTGCTTCAGCAGGGAAAGCCGCAATACCGCAACGCTTCGAACAGCAGCGTCGCCTCCAGCAGCAGATATAAAGGCGGCCGCGCGCCGCCGCAAAAATGAATTTTTGAATTTTTCAGCTGCAGACAAAATTCCTCTTGGTAGTTCTTCCCGGCGCCGCGGCTGTGTCCGTGAAGACGGTCGCAGCGAACAGGAAGAATGCCAAGAATGGAAAGTCTCTGCTATGGTGGCGTCAGCGACGCTTTTTTCAAAACTTTGGGCGGATGTCGGGAGGCGCCCTCACTTCCCGAAATGATCTCAGACAATGCGCGCGGGCTAACACGGCGGGCCTGTTCATGGGCGTCTAGCTTGGCTCCCCCCTCATTGGGCCTGCGCAATCAAGTGCACGGCCCGCTTCTGCAGTTTCATTGCCCGAATGCGCACGGGCGGAAGGGCGGCGCATTTGCAAAAAATACGCATACAAAAATTCTCAGCATACTTGAAAAAAGCGTCGTTGACCGGGCCATATCCCGGCGCCGCGGCTGTGTCCGTGAAGACGATCGCAGCGAACAGGAAGAATGCCAAGAATGGAAAGTCTCCGCGCGTCGGCGACCACGGCGCGAGCAGTCATCGGCAGCACCACCGGGCGGCATCAAGTGGCGAGCGGCACTACCGCAGCGTCGGTCCCCCGAGTGCATCTCCCCCGCCACCTCCTGCTAACTACATAGGTGGCGCCGCACCCGCACGTCCGCAGGAAAATGCATTGCTGCAGCAAGAGCAAGAGGACGAGGTCGAGGGCGATTCCGAATTGGTGGGCCTAGGTGCTCCTGTGATTGCCAGGGGATCCAGGGCGCCGCGGAGATCCCCTACGTCTATTTCCACGCTGGCAAGTAGCAGTACCGACACGGAGGATGCATCGCAAGACAATAGTGAAACGCTAGATAATCATGCCGGGCCGCTGGAAGATGGTGAGATGGTTGCTTTGGCACGAGTATCCCAGTCCGCCGCTGCCGCCGCGAGTTCGTCGCAGTACGTTTGCGTGTTCGACACGGGGGCGCAGAACGACACTTGGTGTGAGCAGCAGCCACCAGACGGCGATATTCTGTGGACCAACGGAACGAATTTTGCGTATCTGGACGTGAACGGCACCGCGCTGCCGCAAAGCTGCAAGTGCATCCAGCGCGTGGGCTACGACCTCGCCGCATACTTGTGGACGAAGTACGAATACCTGAAACCGGAGCAGGATGACGCGTGGTGCAACGAGCAGCAGATACAGGGAAGCCCAAACTTTTTGTACCAGCCCGCCACGGAGTCGACTCTGCCGTCGCTGCTGAGCGGAATCGACGACGAACACGGGGCCGCCTGCCTGCTGCGGCTTCCGAAGGCCCTGCCAACCGCGTCGTACGTCTGTGTCTCCTACGCCGCGGGGCAAGACGACGCCTGGTGCGAGCAGGAAAGCCAAGTGAACGGAACCAACTTTCTCTATACGCAGGGCGAAAATCAGCCCTTCTTTCGCCTTCCGAAGGGTCAGCGGTACACGAACTGCCGCTGCCTGCAGCAGCTCCCCTACAACATTGACGCCTTCACCTGGAAACCGCACGACTACACGCAGGGGGAAGACAGCGAGTGGTGTAAAACGCAGCAGCAAAACGGAAACGGCTACATTTTCACCGACGGGAAGGGGCACGAGGCGTTTCCCTCCAAGCGGAACGCCGTGAGTCCGGCCAACCCCGTTCTTTGCCTGCGCCGCGAAGAGCACATGTTTTGGCTCGGGAGCGGCACCGGGCGGTGCCTGGCGAAGGACGGGATTGCGGAAGACGACGCGAAGGAGGTGCGGACCGACGACAGCACTGCCACCAAGCGCGACTACGCGGTGTTCGGGTTGGACAAACAGTTGCAGCAATGCCTCAAGGACGCGACCTGTTGTTACGTGAGTTGGTTCGCCACCGACGGGTTGGAAAACGCGAACTTCTACCGCCGCAGCGCGGAGGGCCCGGACTTCCAGGACTGCGAAATCCAGCCCTTCAGCGGCGGCGGCCTCACGGTCGCGCTCGGAATGTCCGGCGCAGAAGAGCCCGCCCGCCTCGCGGAAACCTTTGAAAAGTCGACCTGCAGGGTTCCCATGGGCTCGATCTCCCCCACTTCCGTTCCGCTTCCGATCACGGCCCCCAGGGGCGTTTCTTGGCGGTATTACGCCACGCACTGCTACATGGAAACGAGTTTCTACCGCATAAGTGACCCGATTCAAGAGCGGGCGAGCAAGCTGATTTTCAACACGGCCGCGGACGCGGACGGAGTCGCTCCGCTGGGGACTTTTTTCGAGAAGTGCGCCACGCTGTGCGAGACCAGCTACGCGATGGAGTTGACCCACCTGAAGCAGCGAGACTTCCAGTGCCAGTGCTGGCGCGGGGAGGAAGCCTTTCTGAACCGCGATCGGGAGCTGGTGCTCGACACCGCCACCAAGACGAATCAGGGAACTGGACTGGATTCGAAAGTGCACGGCTGCGATCCGGACCAGAGTCAAGATGCAGACATGCCCTGGACGTACTTGCTCATTAACACGGAGCTGACCGGGAGTTTATCAAATGTAAAAGTGTCTGGGTCTGGAAGAATGCAACTCGTGACGCTGCATTTGGATTCCAGAAAAATCTGTATTGCATGAGTACCAACAGGAATGCAATTTTTGCTACGCCGAGAGGGCATTTGTCATGCGGAATAGGCACCAAGAAGCTCTCAAAAAATCTGTGATGCTAGGGCACGCATCACAAACATCAGGCCTCATGCACAACGTGCATGACAGGCGTCAGAATCTTCCAGACCCAGACATTTTTACAGTTGATAGAGTTGCCACACGAACCACGACACCCGCTACACGGGCGGTCGCCCGTCCAACGGCACCACGGCGGACGGCGCGGCTCGCGGCATTCGCACGCTCGTCGGCTGTCAGCAGTGGTGCGCGGAAAATGCGGACTGTGAAGGATTCAACTTTATCAAGTCCGATCCGAACCGCGACAACTGTTTTCCGCTCGCCGATCTGCAAGCAGGTACAACGACGCTGGAACACAGATCGGAGGGATTGTCGGACACAATGGAGGTGCTGGGCAAGTGTCGCGAGGAGGCAAATGGAGGCAGGGAAGCCTCGCGGAGGATCGACCAGAAGATCATGGTTGATACAGACGAAGTGGGTCTGATGGAGAAGGAACCCCGGAGAAGACGAGATGGAGCACCACCGGAAGGAGCGGCCATTCGTTCGAATAAGGTCATGATGAAAGACGAAGAAGACACCACAGCTCGAAGAAGTGAGGAGCATAGTGATGATGAAGCACCACCACCAGGTTCCTTTTCGTCGTTGCTCGCAACCGGGCGGATCTTCGAGGTTTACAGTGCTCGTCTTTCAGGTGAGTCTGCACTTGTTCCTCATGATGAAGCAGCTCCACGCACAACTGCGACCAAGGAACATACCATCGCTGACGCAGCGATGACGCCGCTCCCATCCAGCGCGCAGTCACAAAGCGAGGAAATCGAGGAAGATGTAGTTGACGATAAGAACACCGAAGTTGTTGAACAAGAGAGTGACGCAGCTGAACAACCCGACTCGAAACTACTGTATCGCGGGGCAGGGAAAGGAGCCGTTGTGCGTAAAAAGGTCGCTGAGGACCAGCGCATCAAGGTAGGGCGCGGTGTCGTAGAAATGCTACCGCCGTTCGGCGTTTTGGTTAGCAGCGAGCAAGATCCGCCAAACAGTCGGGAGGCGCTAACGGACCAAGACGTCGTCGGGACCCTGTTTCAAACCCGGAACGACACCGATCGCTGTATCCAGTGTAAAAATGTCTGGGTCTGGAGGAGTCATGCTGTTTCTGCATGACACAGAAGGTCTGGCATGGAAGCTCTAGCATCACAGGTTTCGAGAAGCTGCCGCAATGCCGAATCCGCATGACAAATCCCTGACTTTGGTGACAGAAAGTGGGAACTTTTGCTGCCTATGCATGAGAGAATTTTCTGTGTTCTGAAATGCGCATCACAAGTTTGGACTCTTCCAGACCCAGACATTTTTACATTTGATACGCTGTCCCTTTGTGCAACTTGATTTGGGGGCCGCTCTCGCCGACGTGGCGGCCGTGCGTCTGGGCATTCCGCTCGCACTCGCCTACCTGCGCAGGCTATACTTCGTGACGAACGCCGACTTCACGATGGAAAGCAAGGCCGACGGCTCCCCGGAGGTGACCATGCCGGCGCGGAACGCGGGCCTGCAGGTGTTTGTCACGAATACCTCGCGCGCGACGACCCCCCTCTGTGCGACCAAACAACTCAAAGCGCACGTTGCAGGACTCAACATCACCGAGGGGACCTGCGAGCCGGTGGATGGACAGCCGCTTGTGGGCTGCCCGGTGGTTCCCGCCAAGGATCTGTGTAGCACGGTTGCCTATGACCACGCTCATTTTGACTCGGGCATGGAGCCCATCGGCGTGGCGCCGGAAACAAATGGCGCTCTGCGCCACGACACACGCATTGGCCGTATGCAGATCGACTGTTCGAAGACCGAGCCCGGGAGGTACGTTGTGCTGCACCTTCCAGGGTCCGCAAGTGGCACGGAACTCCGTAGTCTGGGCCTCACGGAGCTCACCGCCTACGGGACTTTCATTATCACGACGACGACCTCGACGACCACCACGACGACAACCACGACAACAACGATAACCACCACTACACACGCGGGCGCGGGCGGTTTTATTGCGCGAAAAAGGCATGATCATTCGGAATGATGCTGGGCATTGAACCGCGGACCAAGAAAAGAGGTTGAAGGCACACTCCTTGTCACGCGATAAATTATCTACCGTTCGAAGACAAAGAGCAGCAACGTGAGACACGGTTGAGCATGATGAAAAAGTTCCAGCGTGATAACAAACAAATCTGATAAATGCGGCATTAGCTGTGCCAGTGCCACAAAAAGTAAGAATAAGGACTTGAGAAGTTGCAAAGTATGCTTTCGTTTTTAGACATTCAGATACTTATTAGAGCGCAAGCTCGTCGCTCGTCTAACTGAGTCGTTCCCGCGGCCTTTCGCTCTAAAGAGTGAGGCAGGGAGTTTTTGGGTTTTTTTCACATATGCAGAAGGCTTCCACGTTTCGCAATTTTTTTTCAGACGAGTCAAGCTCGAGATTAGGGACGCTGGGTGTTGCGTCGGGTAGCTATGTTCCATAAAATGAAAACGCCGCCTACACTTATTCAATGTCGAATTCATTTGGGACAGTAAAAGAAGAACCCAATGTAAATGGAATGTCGAATTTAAATCATGCTCACGTATGAAACAGAAACGGAATGAGTCTGTTTTTCTCATTTATCTCGATTCTCCAACAACAGTGCTATAGCCCAAAGAGAATCCTAAGGCTTCGGATGAAAACCTGCCGCCAACTGTGATGGTGAGAAAAGAATTGTAGTGTCGGAGGCTCCTTGTCCTTGATTTTGATCCAGAGTTGTGAGGGAGGCAGTTTAGGATGATGATACGCAGCATCGCGTGTGAGATTGTGACGGAGTCTGAGAACCGATGAGGCAGAGCGTGAGCATCTTTCTTAAAAGTCTGTCGTGTCGGTTGTTCTCGTCTTCGATGTCAACGTTGGTCTCGATTTTCGTTCATGAGGCCAAAGAGTAGAACAATTTCAATGGATCTTCACTTGTGTCATCAGGTCCTCATTTTCATCTTATACTCACAACGATCTTTTACTTTTTTCCAGATAACACAAGAAAAGTTTAGCAGTCGCCTCTCCCGATCGATGCGAGGACTCTAAGCACACTGTTGATGACAACATACATACATCTCCTGTTATAATAGTTGTAACCGGCAACTGGGGTCGTGTCAAGCGGCACGCGTAGGTACCACGCGGAAAGAAAACCGCTTTTGCTCCCAAAGTTGGAAGGATGGGAAACGCGTTGCTCCGGCGCGTCGAGGCCACGCTGGATCGCAACCGGCTCGAAGACAATCCAACGGCGCCCGCGTTTCGAAAAATATTCCGTTCCTGGAATAGTACTGATCTGTGGACCGGGCTGAGAAGGTAGATTGGTTACGGTTGTTTTTGTTCTCGTGCTTCCTTTGGATAAGAAAGGAAACATCGAGAATCCAATGAACAGAATTGATTCGGATGCTTGTTTTGAAGAAGCATAAAAGACAAACAGATGTGACGATTGATTTGTTATCAAATTTAGGTACTGGAATGAGTATCCGAAACGGCCAGAATGGCTTTCCTATGGCGATATGCAGCACGTTCTGTGTCTCGATGAAGCAGAGGCGATGTTTCTTTGGGATGCATGCGCAAATCAAGGAATGGAGATGATCCGTATTTTTTGCTTCGTCGACAGCATTGCTGGTTTTTTGCCACCGTCTTTTCCTAAGAAAGAAGTTTGTTTGTGCTGACGCATCTTCGGCCAGTACGTACTACATGAGATCAGATTTCTTGTACGTTGACATAAATAAACAAGATTGAAGGAAAGAAAAAATCACCTTCCTATCCTGTTTTCTTCAGATCGCAACGACATGTTTGGGTCCATCGCCCTTTATTGCGGGTCCAATTGCATGGAAAAAGGCCGGTTTTTCCTCGCGCTCTTCGACACCAACGGGCGGGGCCTGATCAGCATCAACCAGCTCCATCTGTTGGTGTTCTCCGCCCTGGAACTGCTGGGGAAGCTTGCCGGTTGTACAAACAAGCAGAAGGACGTGAACCGAGAACTGCAAAACCATTTGGATTACCTCATGGAGCCCTTGTCCACAGTGTACGGGTTCGAAGCGCTGTCCAAAACTTTGTGCGACACGAGGGACACGCTTGCCGAGGACGGCGATTTCATGAACGACCTGATTCTCGGACTCATCGAGGTGCAGGAACTGGCGAAATTCGCGGAGGACCTCGTGGACTCGAGTTTTATCGGGAAGCACCACTCCGCCATCGAAAACCCGAAGCGGAAATCACCCTCGTTGGTCATGACCAACGCGCCCTCCCGAGACTTCGACAAGGAGGCGCTGGCGAAGACAACAAAACTCGCGGAAACGGTTACGAGCGGGAAGACGGCGACGAGCTCCGGCAGTCACGGGGTCGAAAAGACCAGGCACGGCGTATTCTGAGTAAAATCGTCCTCACCCCATAGTCAAGATGGGGATTTTGCAACACAAAGAAACCTGGAAGTTTTGTCACTCATGCATCACAAGTTCCAGTCCGTAGTGTAGTGCAAGCAGGTCAGCAAGGGCAAACGCATCAGAAATCCATCTGCTTATCCTGGTTACAGCATTACAAATGCCAAAACACGACTAGAAATTCCTCTCATGGAGATGCCCATTACAAATGTTCCTGTCATTGCAAATCTGCATGACAACTCTGACTGGGGTGGGGACGTTTTTACAAATGACACGGGGGCGGGTACGCGAGCGGCAGTGAGAGCGGCATGGACCCCACGACCTCGGTGAAAAGCGGGCCAATAGTGGTGCTGGCCGAGGAATGGATTTCGCTGACAGTAGGATACCCGGACGCGAAAGGTCTGTTTGGGCGGAAATCTCTGCTAAGATTTTTGATACCAAAAGACAGAATTTCATGTTGTCATGTACGACTATGATCATCAAATTGAAGATGTGAGTCACAATCTGTTCCTGTTCATAGGAAAAAGCAGAATTGCTAATAAAACACCGCAGGCAGCTTGTTCAACCCAGCGCTGTCGAAGCGATTAAAACGCGAAATCAGCACGGGGCTAGGATGTAGCGACCATCGGGTGATCATACAGTACGTTGGGCAAGGGGTCGCACACATCGCGCTCGGTGGAAAAAGGTATTTAAGTATGTATCTTTGACGATTGTTCTTTTCTTTCAGTTTGCGACTGCGCCAGACCCGAAGAGTCACGTGATAGTGCAGGGCTGGCTGCCTTTTGCCATGCATCAAACTAAATTTATACGCTCAGACTTGCCGGCGCGGGTCAAGATCCCCGTACTGCCGCACAGCTAGCGTATGTCTTCCTTGCCGCGATGCAGACCAGTGCTTCTACCTTGCGGAAGGGACTCCTGAAGGAAGCTTACGTCTACGAGGGAGTGAAAATTGCAGAGGCGCAGTGTGCCGATATCGATAGCGACCCAGCGTTGAAGGTACGACAGGGATCTTGCTTGTTCTATCGTTGGGGCGATTTTTCCGTCTGGGGCTTCAGCTCTGGTGTTTGCTGCTAAAAAGTCTTGGCTGTCACAGGTGCGCCCTGTGCCACCTGTCAAGGAGTATTTGCTTATGTTTGGAAATCACAAAAATAATCAGGCGATGCTCCAGCCCCGGGAGGCGGAGCCACAGACTCCCACCAGCCACGCGCACGCAGTCGCCGACGTCGGGACACCATCAGACTCGGGGCGATACATCGATCTGCCACTGCAGATTCAAATTTAGATCGAAACTTTATATCTACGTATTCCTACTGCACGCCGGTTGTAACAAGTAGCTGCGTTTCATTCACTGGACGCTATGCTACTACACCGCGCGCGAAGAAAGGATCCAGTATTTTGCTTGTACAATTGAATTCGGACTTCCCTCCGTGGTCTGGTCCCTTACAACGGATTCTACTGAACTGTTACTATGCCCTACGCTCATCTTCCATCAATGAAGATGCAAAGCTGTACGATAGGATGGAATTAAATGGACGCGCAATTGGTCTTTACAGATGGAACAGCTCGCTTTATGTAGTACCCTACTGTATTTCTTTTGTGCCCAAAAAAAGTTCTTGACCTTGAATCTGATTCCGAATAAGTACGGTAAAGGCCCCCAAAAATCACCTTACCAAAATGAAAAAATTAGGGTGTTGTCAGTCGTCGATGGCGTTCGCAGAAACAAACACTACAAATCGAAACGACCCAAAGAAAAAGCCTACCCTCCTGTACGCTATCCTGTTCGAAAGAAAAAAATCAAATTTTGCTGGAAAGATAAAACCAAGAAGACAGCATAGTGCTCTTTGCTCAAACTCTGTTCAACGTTGGCTTTCGTTGGTTGCAGCAACTGGCGAGGGCTATAAAATTAAAACTCACAAAGTACAAGTAGAGGCAGACCAACAAGATCCGCAACTTTTTTTCACGGTAAATGGACATGGAGGAAGCACTACCGAAGATCCTTTTAGCCAAAACACAACATGATCTAGGTTTCCAGAAATTACGTGGGTGTATGATGACCCAACGAACTCGAAAAATTGCGATTTTTCAATTTGCGCTCACTTCCAGGGACGTTGTTTTATTAGAGGCGAGAAAATATTACTTCGAATCTTGAAGGGAAACAACTTCATTTAGGGATTTGGCGAGCTTTGCTCTTCCACCTTGCATGCGGAACCTACGTCTGGTCTAGGATTTAAATCGCGTAGTGTCAAACACGAATTTCCAGCGCAATAGCAGTGCACAAGAACTCAAGGAACTACAAGCTGTACGAGTCGCACAGCTCCTACATCTCATCACGCAGACTGTTTTTGTATGAAATAGTGATTATAGATAGCGACCTCTTCTACTTCTTGATACTTCCCCACATTGCCTAACCCAGCGGAAAGTCTATGACTAATTCTCCGGCTTCTGGTCGCGATCGGAAGCTGTGTCCCACGATCTGCCCCAGCAGAGGTTCCGCAAGCAGTTGCTCCCCAGCGAAAAAAGCAACTACATCCCCGCCAATTCGCGCTTCGCCCAAGCCGCAGAAAGACCACAACGACAGCACCATGGCCGCAGTTGACAGCACGGAAGAGGACCTGCGGGAGAAGCAGGAGTCGGCCCTGCGCGAGAACATCCGCACCAAGGGCACGAACGCCTACTACTACGCGCACAACCGAAAGTTCGAGGTGCCGGCCGATGCGATCATCCGGTCCGGGCCGGGTATCATAACGGGGGGTGCACCAGTGCCGCTCGACAAACCCGACTTTGACTGCTCGCTTACTACCGTGGACGGCGGGAGTACTAGACTGCCCAAGGTCCCCCCAGGCAGTGTGAAGGTGGACAAGTACCTCTTGGTGGACGAGAACGAGAAGATCCAGGTCATCGTCGACTTCAACGAGATCCTGAAGAGCGAGGCCGCGAGACAAAATTTGTCGCTGGACAGCGTGGAGTTCGAAATGAGCAACGAGAGTTCCTTCACCCTCGTCTGCTTCACCTCGGACAAGCTGGACGAAACGGGAAAGCAGACCGCGTACGCACTGACCTGCGACAATTTGAAGCACGACGTGGTGGCGGAAAAGTGCAAACACCGGGTAAACAAGGACAAGAAAAAGGTCACGGTCAACCTGGTCAAACAAATCGCACAAAAGTGGGGACAGTTGAGCAGCACCGGAAAGTAGTAGTGTGTGGAGAGCAGGGAAGATGATGGTGTCGTGGAGGGTTTATTGGTACATAGTTTGTATACTTGTTTCCGGCGCTACGGGAGCAAAATGTGGAATCCTGAAATGTACTTACGCACACCCTCCGATCTTCTCCGAGAAGTGTGTCGTCGCGCTCGTCGCGCGGCGCATATGTCAGAAGATCGAGATTCTATTACGAGTACGTCTGTGCTAGTAGTAGTTCCACAGGAACATCTCATTTTGAAATGCAGATGATGTACGTTCTGGCTTTATGGCTCACAAAAACCTTGGCTACTTCGCAAATGCAACTTCTCAACATTTTCCGGCAGAACGAAATGCATGCGCGCTTTTCACCCAAAATTTATGATTGAAATTCTTCTCGACAATTTCAATTTGACCAGAATACATGTGTGGCTTGGAGTTCTGCGTCAGCATTTTTTTGGTGAAGCAGGGCAGGAGCAGAAAAACTTTTAATGTCTGTTCGACACGTCGTGTTTCTATGTGTTTCTCGTCGCGCTTGGTGGTTTCTCGTTGAGGCACTCCTATGTCTTATACAGCAATCGGTCGTTTAGCTGTTCCTTTATTTTTGACAAATCGGTCCCCTCGACGAAATTCTCGTACCTTGAGTTTCGGTGCAACTAGCACCAGCAACGAAACCGCCCATTGTTTTGATAGACAAAGAAAATATAAGTTTTGATAGACAAAACTGCTCTGGAAATTCGTCTGTAATAAACGCGGTACTGTTTGATAATTCAAGCACTTTTCCTTCTGAACATCAAAAAGAACACAAGCTGTGAAAGATCGCTGCTCTACATTTATGAGTGGAGCCGTAGCTCCGGAATGGCACAGCTGTATACTTATTTTTAGCGTCATTCCTGTATTGGATCGCACTTTGTTTAAGAGTTCTTGGCCACAACTTCCGTTATAGTTTTGAGTGCCCCCCGGCACGGTCTCATGACAATTTCCATAATGAGTAACTCGTTGTCACCAGAGAAGAATAAAGCAGACGCCAGTCATGATCTCTCTCGTCTGCCGAAATGGAAGATCGACATGCACACGCACATTTTGCCGAAGAAGTGGCCGAGCCATTTCCCTGGTGTGGACCTGGAGCTGCAAATTTTCGCGGAAAACGAGGAAAACCAGTTCGAACCACAGTGCAACTTTGTGCCCTTTGAACGGCCAACCGGATTCGTGGCACAGATGCAGTGGCGGAAGGGATCGGGCCGGGCGAAGGAGCTCTCTGCTGACGGGGGCACAAAGCCCGTGCTCTTCCGGAAATGCCGCGCAAACCTGTTTGACTGTGAAGAAGTGCTCAAGGACTGCGACGCCTACGGGATTATGCTCTGCGAATAAAGCGTTGTGATGTTCGTGTTTTGTCAACCGTCTAAGAGCTCCTCGCGCAAAAAAAGAAAACAGAGTAGACATCTTGTTTTCCTCGTCCTGACAGTATCTCTCTTAACTAGAATTCCAGATGAAGTTCCAATTTTGTTTTCCAGCCGAGGCAAAAGCAACCGCAAATGCACTTGGGCACTCGCTCTGCGCATGCGGCACAGTAAAAATATCGAAATCGACGACGTTTTCTCCCTGCATAGACCCGGACCTGCAGGTTTTGTCCACCGTTCCCGTGATGTTCAATTACCAACTAGCGCCGACCATCGGCGCGGAGTGGTCGAAATTTCTGAACCAGGACATGGGACGGGTTTGCAAGACCTGTTCCCAGCCAGGCCGCCTTGCGGGTTTGGGCACACTGCCACTGCAGCACCCGGAGCTGGCCGCGAAGGAGGCCGAGCGCGCGGTGCTGGAGGACGGCCTGAAGGGCTTTCAGATCGGCTCGCACGTGAACATGCCCAACGGGGAGAAAAACATGTACCTTTACGATAAGCGGTTAGACTGCGTGTGGCAGACCTTGGAGAGGCTTGGGGCGCCGCTTCTCGTACACCCCTGGGATATGGAATACATCGACAGCAAATACTGGCTGCCGTGTATCATGCGGAAAAAATATTATGGGTGTGTTTACTGATGTACTACTTTCTATGCCAGAGCTCCAAGATGTGATCGCGAGCTGTTGACAGTATGGAATCAATAAGACTTAGTAGGTGCTGCGGCAACAAAGCAGCGTTTCATCCGCGACAAGACGTAAGTTATTTTGATTTATTCATCAATTGCATGATTCCCGAAGACTCGTCCTCATATCACCGAACTGTGCCATTTCGGGCCGCAAACAGCTCGTAGTACTCTGGTGTGGAGAGTACACTGGTGACTCACGCAGACAGAAATTTTCCCTTTCATAGCTTGGTTAGTAGGAATGCCAGCGGAGATGTCGCTTAGCATGTGCCACATCATGCTCTCCGGCGTGATGGACAGGTAAGAGTGGTAAAACCGGAAGTTTTTTTTTGGAATACGTGTTGCTTTAGGTACTATAGTCGCATGTCGTTTGAAGCAATGGAGCAAATGCAAAGCAAGGCGGCTCAGGTTGGGTGTGCTTTTATTTGAAGTTGCTTTCCACCTGCCATCTCAGATTTCGGAACCTGAAGTGGATGTTTTCGCACGGCGGTGGTGCGGTTCCGGGTACGCTTGGCCGCATCGAGTGGGGGTACCGGTGTCGCTATCCTGAGTAAAAACGTACCCACACCAGAGTCAAGATGGGGATTTTGCAACACAAACCTAGGAGTTTTGGGAGTCACGCATGACAAGTTTCAGTCCGTAAGGTTGGTAGTGCAAGTTAGCAAGGAAAGCCGCATCACAAATCGACCTTCTGATCCTGTTCACAGCATCGCAAATTCCAAAACACGATTGGAAATGGCTCTCATGGGGATGCGCATCACAAATGTCTTTGTCATTGCAAATCTGCATTACAACTCTGGGGTGGGTACGTTTTTACTCAGGATAGTCGCCCCGACCTGGTGGGCCTGGATTCCGCGAAGACGAATCCCCGGGAGGCGTTCAAGAGACTCTACCTGGATAGCATTACGCACGACGAAAATATGCTCCAGCACGTGATCCGCAACTTGACCACCGCAGACAAGGTGGCGCTGGGATCGGACTACCCGTTCCCCTTGGGCGAAGTGCCATCGGTCGCACCGGGCACGGTCGATGCGCTGTCCGGGGCTATTTTGGATACGTACCCGGGCGAGATGGTGGAGACCACACCGTTTTTGTCGGATAGTATCCCCCGTGAAAGGTCCTGTATCGCACTCGTATCCGCATGATCTTCATCAAAAGAACTGTAGAAGCATGAGGTGAAATTGCATAAAATGGCGCGGCTTCCAATGCAGTACCAAATGTAGCGTCCTTCCCATGTGCACGCGTGCGATGCTTATTTATGCATAGTCGGCGAGAGGGAGCAGATCCTGTACAAAACCGGACTCGAGTTCCTCAACATGCGAGAGCAGGAGTTGGTAAAACACGACAGAACCAAAGGCTTTCGTTGCACCGATCGCTTTACTTACATGTGAATGCTAGCCACAGTACTTATTTTTTTCGTCGCTGCCTATCGCCATTTGCATTTTTGCCTGGCTTGCAGCCGCTGCGTTCCTGGGGAACTGATTACACGGCGAGTGTGTTCCGGTCGTGTAGGGTTGTTGCGTTACGGTCTGCGGCAGCGCATACAACCGGATGAAATTCCGATTCGGTCACGGTTGTATAATCGGTATGTGTTTTTGTTATGCTTCATCGAGCAGGTTTCTCTCTCTTAATTCGGTCGTTTCTGTCTGTGAGAGAAGATATCGGTCTTGCAAATTGCAAACTGGGGTTTTGTTTTCGGTGCGCGCCACTTGATGGGCTTTCCCTTTCGGTTTTTTCATTCTCTGTGACCTTCGGGCAAGGCAAGGTTGCCACGTACTGTCAATGTGGCGTTTGGCCATGATTCAATGTAGTACGTATTTGCCAAGAATTTATTCGCCGATAAATTAGACTCCATGTTTCAGCGCTTTCATTTAATCTTCATCGAGTTCGAGGCACTGGCACGAAGCGTGATCGCATCTTTCCATCTTCAGGAACCAGGAATACCCGGTCTGTCTTTTCCACTCAAGGTCTTGACAAGACGCACCTATTTTTCTCATTCGATTCGTTTCAAGTTCTACTTGATTGCGCCTCTCGTGCAAAGACAAAGAGTCTCCTCCAGTACAAGAATCATTTACGAAAATGTCGTTGCTTCAAGTGAAGAGTATGTTTTCCAAGCTGGGTCTTGTGGCCGTCGCGCCCCTGCTGCTCGTTGTTGCTGAAGAAGGTCGCGCGCGGGGGGTAGACCTGTACGACAACGATGCCAGCCTCGTCGCGAGCACAGCGCATGAAGAAGCGTTCAAGCAGGTTGAAGACCACATCAAGGCAGCTACCGGCGTTGTTGTCGCGGACGAGAGCCACGGCGCAGCCCCCGGCGCAGGCGTGTCTGCGCCCCCGGCCGCCCCACAGGCGGAGACCGATCTTTTCCGCCGGTTCACGGGGGTCAGCCACTTCTCGCAGCCCGTGCGCACGGTGACGAGCTACGACTACCCCGCGGCCGGGACGCGCGGCGGCTACTACGGCACGGGCGTGGCGGGGGCCAGAGGTGCGGCCTATAACAACGACGACTCGTCCTCCGGGTTCGGCGTTCTGGCCCACATGGTGCTCGGTTTTTTTCTGTTCATTTTCGCTTTCCCCCTGCTGTACGGCAACGAGAAGCGGCAAGCGGTCCTGTACGCGCTGTTCCAGCGGGCACTGGAGCTTTTGTGTCCCGACTACACGGCGGAATCTCCGGCCGGCACACAGCAGCAAAAAAATACGAAGGACGCCGGGCTGTTGGTGCACATGAAGGGCGACACCGTGACCAACGAGGAGCTGACGGACCCGGAGTTCAAGGTGAGGGTGAAAAACTGCGCCAAACTGCAGAAAACTGTGGAAATGCTGCAGTGGGAGTACACCGAGGTCGACAACAAATCCGCCTCTTCTTCGACTTCTACTACAACGCAGCAACTTCCGCCGGGCGAGAACATGAACCGGCCGGTCGAGGTGCGGCGCGAGCTGAAGTGGATGGGGTTTCTGAACGCCGACGACCCGAAGGACCCCCAGTACCGCTTGACCCCGGCCCAGAAGACCGCCGCGAAGTACTTCTTGAACGACGCCGGGGCGGACGCCAGCATCCAGGGGCGGCCTAAGGACGTGTTTGAAGTGGACCATGTGTTCTTCCGCCAGGGCCTCAAGGGCAAAAATTTTGAGGTGCCGGACGGGCTGCGGTCGCAGATGTGCAACCAGAAGCCGCTGGATCCGAAGACGGACCTGACGGCGTCGGTGCCGAGCCTCGGCGCCGGGTCCGACCGCAAGCGGTCCGTGCGGGTGCAAAATTTGCAGTTTGCGTACGACGAGGGGGAGAAGCAGTGGCTCTGCGGGTCGGGAGCGGCCATGGGGGACATCCGGGTGCGGTACACCAAGACCGAGTGCGGCTCCTGCTCCCTCGTGGCCGTAGTGGATGCGAGCTGCACCTCGTTTCTGCCTCTGCTCCCCGGGTTCCAGGTGGACGAGGTTGCGGTGCCGAAGAAAGTGGACCTGGCCAAGCCGCCCTACGAGGGCGTCAAGAACGCGAACGCGCTCGCGGAGCCACTGCTCAACGTCAGCCAGCGGTCCCGCCAAGGGAATGCCGGCAACGCGGCGGCCACCCCCTCCGGAGGTGCCGGGATTCAGCAGGGCGTCACTACCAACGTTGGCGGCAGTCCGGGCTGCTTCAAACTGATCGGAACCGCCTGCTCCGGTATCGACCGGAAAAACGTGTTCGTTTTAGAGGAAAACCACTATACTGTACGTATGCGAATAAAACTACCAGAAACTATGCACAAAAGAATGAATGTTTCGAACCCACTGCAAAGATGCATTTGTTGGTCGCGTTGTCACAGCTGTGCAGCCGACGTCCTGCTACTGGGGGCAGTATGCACCACAAGCTAGAACGCAACATCCACTTCGTTTCCGCGTACATTCACTAAAACGTAGATGGACGAGCCTAGTATGATATAGCGAAAGTTTTTCCGTTCGATACGTGGCATTTCCGCAACGGTCGAGACAGCGGGCGCCAGTCTGTTTGAGCTCGCCGAGCCCGCGAAATCGGCCTCGGAGATGATGGAGTTCGCGCAGAACCGGCAGAATGCGATTCACACGGCGCTGCATATGCTGGGGAAATTTTGAATCAGGTCAAGCCTCAGCCTTTTTTCTTGCACTTGCGCGAGGAGACAGAGCATGATGCAGAGACATGAATTGGTAAACTCATCGTAGCCGATGTGGAAGAGGAAAACCTATTGTAGTGCTTAGTGTGTAGCGTTCCTAGAAAAGCTTGCTTCTGTTCTTGCATGTTGGCAGCCCTGCCCAGGGTGCTAGCCTGCAAAATTACAGGGCGAATTGACGATTTCTGCGCAAATGTACAAAGAGACCTTTCCTGATTAAGAATTTTGCATGCACACAGCAAGTCGTGGGTTTCCTGATGCTCTTCTTCGGGTTGCGGTTCATGCTGGAGGTGTTTCCGGCGCTGCTAGGCGTGCTGCCCTTCGTCGGCGGGTTTTTGCACCTGGTCGGAGGTTTCGTCGTTTCGGTCGTTTCCTTCCTGGTTGCCGGTATCCTGTGGGCGATCATTGTTGCTGGGGCCTGGTTTGCGGTACGGCCAAAGTACGCCATGGCGCTAGTTGGCGCGGCGGTTGCGGTGGTCGTGCTGGCAAACGTCTTCGGAAAGATGAACAGTGGGTGAGGGCATTGTTTGGCCAATTTACGTAGCAGGTCAAACGAACAGAAAAAGACTCGTCGGAGGATTATCTACTTTTTCTCTTTGGGACTCAGGGAGGCAAAATTTTGTCGTGTTTCATGGTACAGTCGTACATCGAATGCGATAACGCTTGTCCGCACGAGGCCTCTACGTGTGTGCAAGAGGCCATATTCTTGTTTGATATCATTAGCATTTCATGAGTTTCAAAAAATTTCAAATTCGTGTGTCAGCCATAGCCTTTTTTTTTGAGAAGCAGCAGGCATGCAGATGGACATGGACTATATGCCGTCTCGATCGAGGGAAAGAAGAGAAGTACGTCTGGCCGCGTGTGTCGCCTCTTGTGCCGCGTCTATGTCGGCTACGATGTTTTTGTTTTTCCTTAGTCGCGCGCCGCAGAAAATGAAAAAGTAAACCTGCATAGATACCTGCACGTTATCGCAACGAAATTTGCTGGTACCTGAAACCTGAGTTCAGGTATCGTGTCAACGTGACAAACTTGGCACCTGATTTTTCTATGTTTCACTCTCTAGGTCTAGTCGAACAAAAGCATGTAGACATAGAAATTAAGGATGGACGAAGACAAAGTTGTTCGACGCATTTCGTCTGCCGATAAGTTTGTCCTGTCAGGGTGGATGCAGGGTTTCGGTATAGCCCTTTAGCGCTGGTCTCAGTTTTTTCTCGGTGAAGTCTGGTGTTGTGGCAATTATGCCTATCGGTACAAGATTTTTGTGCATCGAACCCAGAGCAAAAACATCGGTATCTATTTCTCGTTTGCGTTCTTCTTGCCCCCAGAGTGGGTTTCATATTTGCATGGAAAAGAAAATACGATGGACATATAGAAAAAAGGGAGCAATGAAGAACGACGTCGTTTTAGTAGACTCTGTTGCGACAACATAAGATGCTAGATTGATACACCGATGCGATAACAGGTCCTCCCCCCGCGGTCGTCGTTACCCCACAATTTCCTAGAAGAATGCGCTTCTGGCAGTCATCGACAAGAATAATAAGACTCAGTAAAGTAGTTCTTCTTCCTCACTTTCTTGCTGGGGCTGGCTACTCTACTTAACCTCTAGGTGGTAGGCTGGACTACACAAAGAAAGACCGGAAAATTCAAAAAGGCGCGTCGCGCTGTTTCAGCCGACCGCGATTAGATATTCATTTAGCGCGACCTTGATGTGTTGGACTTGGAACCACTGAACTGTGAAAAATCTACAACCATGCAGGTGCCTTTTTCCGCATTTGGCTTGTTTCTGTTCCTCCTCCCTTTGCTATGAGATTGCACAACTTCCCCCCTCTTTTGATGGCGGCAATGAACAGCAACACCTCCTGCAATGGCAGAAATATGATAGTCGTATTACAACTCAACGCACGGACCCTTTGGTTCGGTTTGGTGGTAAACATATACATACGCAACCTGTCATGCAAAAATCACTCTCAGTTGATGTTGAGTTAGCGTTTGGTATTTTCATTTGGGGACGAGGGGAGTTGTGCACTCTCATAATACCACGACCAGTTCGCCCACGCCTTCCCGTCGAACAAGCGCCAGGTCCCGAACGGCGACCAGTTTCTCCATCTGGGCCACACGAGTTCCAACCCGAGCTTTTCGGACCTGAAGCACAATGCGTTCGGCGCCGCCTTCAATTCGGCCGCGATGCAGTGGACCGCGGCGCTCTGCCAGGCGGATTCGGACGGTGACGGGTTCACCAACGGCGAGGAACTCGGGGACCCCAACTGCACGTGGCAGCAGGGTCAGCCCATGCCGGACTGCGGCGGTATTGAAAGGAAAAACTCCCCCTCCCCATATTGAAAAGGCGTGTTTCCGAAAATCTGTGTTGCTGATTTGAGGTCACAAATCGCATTTGTCTTGCAAGAAGACAAGTGCAGAAGCTTCCGCCCCATAATGGAAGCGATTCGTCATGCTGTTGGGCCTAAAGGGGAGCCTTTTGCCATGCCGAACAACTAGGGCCATACGCCCCACCCCATCCCGGGGATCTGGCCGCAGTGCCTTCCTGCAACACAAAGCTGATTTGTGTACGCAAATCCAGCATCAGAAACTTCGTTTCGATATGGGGAGGGGGGATTTTTCCTTTTGATAGGCGGATGCCCGAGCCACCCCGGCGACGCGGAGGACAACTACGTGTGCGGGTCCGGCTATCAAATGTAAAAGTGTCTGGGTTTGGAAGATTGCAACTTGTCATGCTGTTTTTGGACTCTAAAAAAATTTGTATTGCATGACCAGCAAGAGGGGTATCATCTGTGCTACACGGACAGGGCATTTCTCATGCGGAAGGTGCATCAGGAGGCCCTCTAAAAGTCCGCGATGGTAAGTCATGCATTACAGGCATCACTGGCCATAAGAAATATGCATGACAAATCTTGCATTCTTCCAGACCCAGACATTTTTGCATTTGATACCGGCGTGAAGTACTGCGGTTTGCTGGAAAAGGCGGAAGATCGGTACCGCGCGCACGGCGCGCTGATGCTCACGGCGTGGGTGGTACTGGCGCCGCTGCTGATCGCCATGGTCTTTGTGCGCAGAAAAATTCAACTGATGGACCACGGGCAAGAAGACGCGACCAATACAGCCGCTTTTGAGATGAAAGGGGGTGGCAATGCCGACCACAGCAAACTGCTCGGCCGTTTGATGCTCATCCACAAGATCGGGCAGCCGTTGACGCTGATCATCACCACAGTGGCGATCACTCTGCCCTTTCTGGAGGATCACAGTTCGCACGGGCACCGCCGCCGGCTGTCCGGGGGTCATTCCAGCATGTCCATGCACGGCATCCTCGGATTTCTGGTGCTGTCGCTGGCCTGGTCACAGCTCTTCTTGTGGCTGGGGAAGAAGTGGTATTTGCAGCAGAACGTCGTAAGCAGCAGCGAGGTGCTGGAAAGCAATAGTACAAAGAATGGCGCTCCTGTTGTAGTCAACGGGTTGACCAACAACAAAATCACATGCGAGCAGTCGCAAGAAATCGCCCTCAAACCGGTGGTGCAGAAAGATTTCGTGGAAGAAGCTAGTGGAGGAAACAGGGCGGCAGCGGCCAAACAAGCAGCAGAAAGTAGCAAGTCCTTTTCGGAGAAGTGGCTCTGGGTGCACCGGATCTCGGGCCTTCTCTGCTTGCTCCTCGGGATGTGGAACTGTGTTTCCGGGGCGTTTAAGTTTGAGGATATGTTTGACGACACCATTTTTCAGCCCGTCGTCTACGCCTGCATCGTCGTCTCGCTCGTTCTTCTTCTTGCGGCCAGAACGCTCGGTCATAAACTTGTCACGGTTCTGTAAATGTTGATTCATACATACATAGGATGGGGATAGAAGGACAAGTTTCTTTTTGAACACGTTCACAAGAAAGCATCGAGATTACTGGAAAATATGGTGTCATGATATCGGGTAAACGCAAGATTATAATTGCATGGACTAATTCAACCATAATCTCCCGAAACGCAACGCCGCTTAAAGATCATCTTCTTTTGGTTGCTCTAGAAAATTAGAATACGTGTCTGCATGTTCATGTTTAAGTTTATCCGCTGCTGCTTCTGAAGAGTAAGTCCAAACATGGTGCACTACTGTCGAACGGATTTATTGTGTGTAGGTTCAATCCGTGCGTCAATCAATTCGTAAAGCCTACTCTGACGTGTGAAGTGTCGTGTCATGAGCTTGCATCGGATAGATTTCTGTACCTGTATCGCACTCGTGATGTAGTCATTGAAGCTTTTCATAATCGCTCTACTGCTGAATCGCGAAGAACACAAGTGGATGTCGAGATTGTTTTTTGCCACTGTTCGTCTTTTGCTTCTACCTATCCGGAGAATCACCGAGGTAGAGAGGTGGAGAAGAACAATTTCGTTGAAATAATTCTGCGGCCTGAGATCCATGTTGTTTTCGGGCAGAATGAATGTGACATGCAAGGACGAGGAAACTTTTTTTGGTTGTTGCAAGTAGTATGAATCTTGTTGTGAGAAACCGGATGACACGAGAGGAGTTAGTCCAGACACTATCTCTTGAGCTTCGCTAGAAGTTACTTTTGATGCCAAGATGAAACAGGTCCCTGTTGCTGCTCTTGGTAATGATTTGAGACCACTTCTGGATACTGAACGACCCGAAATTTTTTTCGCTACCCCATCCTTTACTTTAGATATACATAGGTTCGGGCGTTTGCTCGATAGAGGAGGCATCTTGCACGAGCTGTGTTGTCTTGTGCTTTTGTACTGCAGTAATTTGCAATTTTCGTGATAACGCGAAGGCGCGAAAATGAACGCGGCGGCACGATGACTACCACCTCCGCCACGGATATGGACGCGGAAGAAAGTCGGTACCGCGCCCATGGCGCGCTGATGCTTACCGCGTGGGGCGCGCTGGCGCCGCTGCTGATCTGCATGGTGTTTTTGCGGCGGAAGATCCTCCTGGAAACGGGCGGGACGACGCCGGGCGAGGGACCAGAAAAAGAGAAGCAGAAAGAATTCGTGAACAAGTTGATGCTGATGCACAAGCTCGGGCAACCCGTCACCCTCATTCTCGTCACCGTGGCCATCACGTTGCCCTTCATGGAGAGCCACGCGGCGCACGGACACCTGTTGCGCCGACTCGCTGGCGGCGGCGGCCATTCCTCCATGTCGCTGCACGGCGTGATCGGCTTCCTCGTGCTGTCCCTCGCCTGGGTCCAGCTGTTTCTCTGGCTCGGCAAGAAGTTTTACCTCAAGCAGCCAATTTTCGCTAACGGTGGGGAGCAGCTGGAGAACTTTGCGGGGGTGGTGAACGGAAATTCGAAAGTCGCTTCGAGTTTGGGAGAACAAATACCAGGAGGCGAAAGTACAACGGCGAAGGAAGATCTGGAGAAGAATTTGCCATCAGGAACAGCCACCGGTGCGGCGGTAAGCGCAGCGACCAGCGCCGCGGAAAAGCAGTTTTCGGAAAATTGGCTCTGGGTGCACCGCGTCAGCGGGTTGCTCTGCCTGCTGCTAGCCTGGTGGAACTTGTGGAGCGGGTCGCACAAAATCAAGGACATGTTCGACGTTGAGATCTTATTCCACAGAACAGCACTTCAGTACTACACCCATACCAGAAAAACATATGAATTCGTGTCGCGGCTTGTACTGTGATTTCTGCTGTTCGGCATGACTGGTACTTTTCTAATCGCTTCGCAGCACCAGCATTCTTACAGAGGTTAATAGGGGATGCTGCGTCACAGGAATGTGCTTCTGTTGTGGTCTCCTTGTTGCAGAACTTCTCCTGGCGCCGCCACAACACAAATCGACAAACCGGCTGAAAAAGGGTCCTGGTATGGGCGTGCTTTTCTGTAGAATACATCTTTACCCCGTTGGTCATCGCCTTCATCGCCGTTTCCGTCATCATGCTGGTCTTGTCACGGACAGTCTTGCACAAACTCGTCGTGTGAGGAGGAGTATAGTCGTGAAGAACCAAATGTACGAGCGCAAAAAAATTGAGACGGATTTTTTTACGCCTGAAGGAAAAAAATTGTATCTTCGTATTTTCAACCTGCTTCTTAATCTAGTAGTATACAAGTCGTAAGGGGTGCGTCGAGTTGGTTGCTGGGTCCGCAGGGTCGCTCTCGAATGCGGTGCACATAATGAGCAACTTCAATAGGTGGACGAGTTAATTCTGTTTCGAAGATTGATTAACGCAGGTACAGTGTAGTGAAACCAATAACAGCGTCATGATTAGCATTAGTCTCGCCTTTCTTTATTTGATTTTCCTGGACATATCAAGCCAACGCCGAACGCGTGGGCCGGCAAGTATCTGCGGAATTTGAATATGGATCTGCTATAGGGCCTCGATTACGCAAACGCGAATCGTTGCAATTGTGTGAAGTTGTAGTGCTCTTATAGTAGTCCGAAAAATTTTTTGTCGCGGGATTCCTCTAGCAAAATTCGTATCAATGCTAGTAACAGTAGTAGCAGAGAGGTGTAGAGCCCATACGTATTTTTTTTAGGTTTCGAATATTGGAACTAGTGGAACTGATAGACTTTCACTAACCTTGTCACGTCAACGACTGGAATATACTTCTCCAGCGAGTGGCTCTTCCTTTTTACATGTGAGGGAATGCTTGGTTCTTGTAAGAGTAAGAATCCGATGTTCAATCATTATTGTGCAGATCCGCAATGCCACCGGAGCAGGCAGATGCGGATGATCTGGCTGAATAGTCAGAGCGCAGTCTATAAAACAAAAAATTAGTTCTATAGACTCTTATAACTCCGTAGTTGAGTAAACCTACCTACCTACCTACGATCCTAGTCCTACTCATCTGTGTGGTTTCGCCTACTCCAACGCAGCTGTCGGGATCAATTTTAAGATAATACCAAAAGTGGGCGGCTGCGGTGCCGGGACAAAATGCAGCGGAACGGCATAAGCTGCGGCCAATCAACTGCATGTTCATGCAGAGCAGAGGCGGAGTGGGAGAGGGAGTCTGAGTCACTCAGGAACTTGGAGTTTTCCTTCGAGCAGTTGACGAGAGAAGTAATGTTTTCATTTGTGAGATGTTGGAGGTAGGTGACGTGTGATAGCGTTTGCTTTTTTTGTTTGGAGTGTCCTGGTGACTTTTTCTTTTTCTTCATTGCGTCTGCTGCGATGGCAGTTTGGCTTCAAGTGCGGATTTGACCTGGAGCGAGCTTCATTTTCTAGTGCACGGACCGTACGTTTCTGCATGGACCAAAAAAGCCCTCGGTCCACCAAAATCATGATAAGCCACAGGAGCAGCAACAGCTATGAACCGACGGCGGGAAGTTTGGGTCCCAAGCCTCTGTACAATTACAACTCGCAGCCGCTTTTTGCTCGCGACGCCGAGCGCAGATCACAACATACAGATCGCGACGGAGATCATTTTTCGTCTCATGCACGTCCACATCATGGACATGGAGGACCACAGTTTGCAGCGGCCTCCGACCAAGTTACAATGGCCACCACTGCGGCCAGCGATGGATATGGCACCACTAATTCCCATCTACCCTCTAGCGGGCCGGCCTCGTCTGGTCCAACCTCCACAGCGTCGTCAAAAAAGACACGACCTGCGCAGGTTTCCTTTCTGAGCACCACCGCTCAACAGCATCCAGGAGGAACCCATGACGCAGCTGCTTCATTTTCTTCGCGGTGCAACGCGGCGTCTGTTAGAAGCATGACGATGAATTATGACCATGGGGATCGCTCAAGAGCGTACAGGTCCACACAGGATGATCACTCACTGCCCTTGGGACGAATTGGAAAGAGTTCTGGGCCAATAAATCAAGAAGTAATGATCCACCAGCACCGCCTTCCACACGAAGACCGCGACTCTTTTGGGCCGGACGAAGAAGAGGAATTGGACGATCCGTTCTTGCAAAAGGAGCAGAATCTGCAAGACTTGAAACTAGATTTGCAATCGCTGTTCCGCGTGTCGAAACAGCAGAACGAGGCTCAGAAAATCAGCATCCAGGGACTTCAGGTGGAGTTGAATCACGCGAACAACTTGAAAATGCAGTTGGAGCAGGACAACGAGAAGCTGAAGAAGGGCAACGATCTGCTGATCCAACGGTGTAACGCCCTCGTGTCGGAGATGGCGACGTTGAAAATATCAAATGTAAAAATGTCTGGGTCTGGAAGATTCTGAGACTTGTCATGCACGTTTTGCATGGGCCATGATATCTGTGATGCATGCCCTAGCATCACAGACTTTTTGAGGGCTCTGTGATGCCTATTCCGCATGGCAAATGCCCTCTCCGCGTAGCCAAAATTGCATTCCCTTTGCTGCTTATGCAATACAGATTTTTTTGGAATCCAAATGCAGCATCACAAGTTCGGATTCTTCCAGACCCAGACATTTTTACATTTGATAGAAAACCAACGTGAGCAAAACAAAACAGGAGCGCGACAAGCTGGAGATATCAAATGTAAAAATGTCTGGGTCTGGAAGAATGCGCGATTTGTCATGCAGCTTTTCCATGACCCATGAGGTCTGGAATGCAGGACCTAGCATGACAGATTCTGTGCGATCTCTCTCATGCCTCTCCTGCATGAGAAACTCCCTTCCGACTTGGTCAAAACTGGACGACTTTTGGTAATCATGCAACACAGATTTTTGCATGTTTCAGATCTAGCATGACAAGTTACATTCTTCCAGACCCAGACATTTTTACATTTGATAGGAGAAGCTCTTTTTCGATTTGAAGCAGAAGAGCGAGGAAAAGAAGCACTTCCTGAAAAAGGGGCTGGAAGAAATGAAGCAAAAACTGACGATCGAACGAAGAAGAAACAAACACCTCGCGTCCGCGTTGCGGTCCCTACAGCGCGACTTTTTCGTTGAAAAAATGCGCCGAAATTTGGCAGAAGAAAGTTGAAGAGGGACTCGTTTCTGTTTCATGTGTTGCAAACTCGATAAGCACTGTTTCACTTCTGAATTTGCAAATAAGAACGAAGTAATTACATAGATCACTTTTGTTTTTGTTGTACGCGAACACGTTTCAAGTTTAGGAGCAGGCGGTGGAAGAGAAATTGACTCTCAACTACATGAGGAAAGCGAAAGCTATGCGTAATCGAATATTCGATGTGTTCTTCGAACTATACAAGCAAGAGGATCGTAAAAAAAAGGACGGCTCTTGTGCATCGGTTTGCTGTTATTTTTTTTTCCTTCTCTTGCTGCATGACAAGAAGACCAAGAGGAAGAGGCTCAAGTTCAACTCCAGAGGGTCTTCGAATCGCATGGCATGCAGGAAAAATGTGCAACATACGAGCGAAAAATTGATTTCCCGGACGAGAGACGAGGCCACGATAGTAAATAACTCATCTGGGCCCGGTTTTTTTTTGCCGAGGTGCTTTTACGGTCCCGCTGAAAAAATCAATACAGAGGATTGAATATCATGTGCACTGCTCAAGTTCATTCTCAAGACCGCTATCTTCAACAAACAGGTTCGCGGTAGGTGTAGTAAGCATAGATTGATAGTATTTCGCTCCCCTGCTCCCCAAGGACTTTGGTCTCGTGAGGGTACAACGGACACGGAACCTACTGTAGGCCTCCAAACTATTGTGACTGTTGATTCCGATGCCGCTTGAACATTTAAAAGTTGCTCGTTTGATTGACGCGTGAGAACTACCCTGTTTGTTCTTGTTTATCTGCTTCTCCTCCTCGCAAGAATTCCATAACCATGTCGGCGACCAGTATGGTTCTCTCGTCCACGACCCCTTCCCTCTCGTCCGCCGCGTCGCGGATGGTCGGTCTCGTGAGTAGCGCTGGGTGCAGAGCCGAGGCCCGGCACTTCTCCGCAGCTGGAAGACGGCACGGGAATAGGTCGTCTCCCCTCTACGTAAATTCCCCAGCGGATAGCTCTACCACGACAACGACCCGGTTAGTTCTCGGCGGAGTCGGGGCTTCTACAAGTTCCGTCGCGTATCCCCACCCAGGTCGTGGAACCAGTTTTCCTTCCTCGTCCTCCACTGCACCATATCTTTCAACCTATAGCAGCAACACACCCTCGTCCTCCTCCACCAGAAGTTCGCCTTTCCACCACACCTCTCAGCGTCGCTGCATCGCGGTGATTGCTGAGCCTACCCCGAACCCCGAGTCCATCATGTTTTACCCGCAAGCGCAGGACGTGCTGGGCAAAGCCGCGAAGACAAAGACCTTTCAAGACAAGGCCACTGCCCGCTCGAGCCTGTTGGCCACCGCGCTCTTCAAGGTGCACGGTGTCGCGCAGGTCATGCTTGCAGCGAGACACGTGACGATTACGAAACAGCCAGATATCGACTGGGATTTCGTCCGCCCCAATATCGAGCTGGTACTCTCTAGAATGTTTCCATGCGGCCGAATAAGTTGAATTTCTAGCTATAGCAAGGTTTGGTCCTATCTTCGACCCAAGAAGGGTCTGACTAAAGTCGCGTCTGGCGACTTTATTCAGAACTCGAACAGAAAAGACAGAAATGTAAAAACTTCTTCTCTGCATTTGGAGGTTTTGCTTTTGGACAGTGAAAACCAATCAACAGGTGATGTCTCAATTTTTCGCTGCTGGCCTCGAGGTAATCGATCCTCAAGAAATCGATTACTACCAAGATGGGCAATCGCGCATGCCGAACCCCGTTGCGGATGGCGTAGATGTTCCAGAAAAGGTACTAAGCATCATTTACAGCCTGGGTTTATTGCTTGGGCGCGGCATCAAATGATTGCTTTCGAATTCGATTCATTATCTTAGCATATTCGCGTAGTGCTGGGCCACTTGCACGGAAGATGCTTCGTCCTAGTTTCATGTAGTTAGGTCATTTGAAAAGTAGTCACCTATTTTTACAACCACAAAACCCCAGCCCGACGGCAGTTCGGAGAACTTTGAGCAGGAGCTTTTGCAGCTGCTGGAGGAGCGGGTGCAGCCGTTCGTGCAGCAGGACGGGGGCGACGTGGAATACGTCAAAACGGAGAACGACGTCGTCTACCTGCGGATGATGGGTGCGTGTTCCGGCTGCCCGAAGAGCGGCATTACGCTCAACATCCAAATCAAGCAGCTGATCCAGCACTATTTTCCCCATATCCAGGATGTCGCCGAGTACGTGGACCCGGAGGAAGAAGTGATCCCGAGGGGGCACTAGGGTGGCGCAGCTACAGATACAGTTTGCTGTGCGGATTGCGTATTTGAAGTTTCCTCGAAATAAATTGAACAAATGAATCCCATCGAAAAAATTTCGTCGAATCAAAGTGCCACACTATTGCGGAGAGCAGGCTTTGCCTTCAGCGAAGCGATTTCCCTTGGAAGCACATGGCGAGAACGAGAAGCAATTTCTATGACGTTCCCTTTACTTTTATGCATTTCGTTCGTGGATGCGCGATTCGCGCACCGTTGCGCGACTCGCGCACGAACAACAGGTGATGCTGTGTTCGACGAGATTTTAGAGACGACATAAACACCTACTTACAACCGTGTGAAACGCTTTCGCCAACTTTCTTATTTTCTTGACAGATGTTGTCGAGGGTGGATCTGGATACTATAAAACGTGAGTACTATGTTGAGCGGAGGGCACCAATGAGTAGAGAACACACGACATTGACTAATTTTGATTCTCTACCACACCGATGTATCTCAACATCAACTTTTGCAGTGTTGAAACGGCAGCCTGAAGCCTGACCTGGCACTAGTGGCAGGTTTTGTCGAAGCGGGTAGCCAACATTAAGGATGAGGCACGAGAAATGGAAGGACAAAGGACCGAGTTCATCCAGTAGAAGAGCTCGCGGAGCATCGTCACAGTTTCTTGTTCCATCGCCATCGCCGTCAACGACTCTGCGTGCTGTTTTCCTTTTGCTTGCTACAGGAGAACGATGCGCAGCGACGAGTACAACGTCAGAAGAGGTCGGTAGCCCAGCATTTACGCAACTCTACTCCCATGTTGATGAATATGGAAGCGTCAGGTTTGAAATCGTCAAAGTTGAAATAGAAATAGTTTGTCACGCATAAAATGCAGCCCACAAAGTGCCTGTCTTGCAGGGTAGGCAAGTGACGCAGATTGTAAGCCTGTTGAGGGGTAGACACTGAGCTGCTAAAGTAGCATGACAAAAGGCGTCTTCCTTACCCAAACAGCATGACAAACTGGATTTCGGCTCTACCCAAATTTGTCATGCGCCACTTCGAAACTGGGTCACCACGTTCATCCATTTTATGCATTACAAGTTACTTTCAACTCTGACGATTTCAATCCTGACGATTTCAATCCTGACGTTTGCATAATGAAGAAAACGGATCCCAGGATGACAATTTTCAGCGAAAACTTCTGGTGTGTAATGCCGTCGACCCAGGAGCGACTCCTCATTACGCAGGAGCAACGCCCGACAGTTCGGTAGGGAAAAAGCACCAGGAGGACGGGGATTCTGGCGAGCTTTTTCTGGAGAAGAACCATAAGCGCACGAAATCCAACCAGCCACTGCAGTTCCGCGAGTGCCGCTTTATTAGCGGAAAAATCAAGCCGAAAGATGAGATCGGGTTCACGTGGTGGAGAACGGCGCCAGTCGACACCGGGGGAGAAAAGATAACTGATGTTGTTGTACCAGCGCGCGGCAGAACCACTGATCCGGGGAGGAGTTCTTTTCGTGAAATATACACAACAACAAATAACGATCATGATCGTACAACTGGTACCTCCTCATTCGGCACCTTCGAGATTAGCGAGCAGCTTCCGCAGCAAGATTCGGTATTGCTGCTGATCGTCCAGAAGAGCGTCGTCAGTGGCGTTTTGGACTTCCAATCCTTCGCTTTTGGGTCTACCGACGAGTACACGAAGGAAGCCCAAGTCGCGTTTCTGAACGCGGCGGGGGATCGTGGTCTGCTTTCGACCGAATTGCGGAACGAAGTAGACGACGACGAACGAAGTGGACGCCCGGACGGCACACCTCGTACTAGCCTCCACGGGCCCGACGGTGCACCAGGTGCCAGAGTATCAAATCAGATCTTGCTCTCAGACTTAAAAACGAAAGGGAAGCTGACCCGGCAGGAATCCGTGTCGTTCAACAAGGTGTATGCCGTCCACCCGGGCGATTACGAGCTGCAATTGAAGGAGCCGCGGTTTGGAAGTGGTGGAGGAGCAGCAAGATCGGCTTCCAGGAGTGCTGGTAGCAACGTCGGAGATGTTGAAAGTAGAAGAGCACCCGGACGATCTTCTGATCCTCGTGATACAGCACGACACTCTTCGCATTCAACTCCAACGACGAAGTTACGCCTTTCCGCCGGGAAGGATTATGTCGTATTCAAGACGGGATATGGCGAAACCGCGCGGCTCACTGTTTTCCCAGATGAGTACAAGCTGGATCTTCTCTCGACTGGTTTCCTGTTTGGCAAATCAACCGACGGGAGCGGAAAGAACACGGCCCCTCCCTTTCTGCAACTCCTCATCGCGATTGCGTACTGCGGGCCGATTTGTGCGCTCCTGTATTGGATGGTTGACAGAACACAGTTGTGGTGGCAACTGCGCAGTCTGAGAGAAAAGCGCAAAAAAGACGAGGGGATGGATGTGGGGATCGAGAAGTTTCACGACAAGCTGCACAATGAACCCTTGCGTGCGGGGGAACAAATAAATGTTGCCGTTGCTGGCTTGACTCATACGAAGAAACCGATCGATGAGGTGTGAGCTGTTGCACCACCGCTGTGCGCCGGGAGATTGTAAGCTTGCAAAATGAATACGAATAGGAATATGAAATAAGTTTCAAAAAGAGAAGCTGCGGAATGGTTTGAATAGAGTCGTCGTTGTTTCAAGAAACAGAAACAAAAGCGCAGCATTTTTGAGTAGGTTCAGCTTAGATATAACAGTTTCAGTAGTTTCAGCAGTATCACTCTTTCTGGGACAGGCTACAAGGAAGTGTTGTACAAAATGGGCTTCTACTGCAGCCTCCATTGCTGTTTAGTCGATCCTTCTTCCCGGTGTTGGCCATGGTTCCTGCTTGTAGCCGCGCTACTGCGGACGTTGTTTCGAAGCGATGCTGTCTATCGTGTGACCACTTTTTTCCTGAACTGACGAAGATTCCTCATGTGGAACAACGCGTAAGTAGTGGCTTATTATTTGTGATTGTAAGTACAAGTGCACATGCGCGGTGAATTTTATCGCGCTGATGTCCACTGCATGTTGCTTCTAGTTCTAGTGTTTCTGCGACAAGAAGACTTTTTACTTTTTCACTCGTGTTCCCGACGCAGATAGAGACAAAAAGTGAAAATCAAAAGACGCTCATGAACGCGTACGGAGCGATGCTGCACTCGATCAACCAAACAGCCTAACGAGATAAAGAAAGTTCCACAATACAGCCTAACGAGGTCCGGGATCAGGATCAGACCACGATCAGAAATCACGCATTTGGGCGTCCAGTCAAGGCATTCGGCTTTTCAGTGAGCAATAAATCGCATTTTCAAGTACATGTTGATCCGTCGTCATATTAATTCGGGTCTTCTTCTTGTCAGTGGCAGAAGAAAAGAACGTAGCCCATAAATAAGATCATCGGTCGTGATCGGTCGTGATGTGCCTCATCGATATCGTTTTTACCTTTTTTTAAACTCGAGGCTGCAGCGCCAAGCATGATCGCCAGCGAAGATCAAAAAATGGACTGACGTGACAAGTCTGGACTTGGATCAGCATCAATGGTCGACCAAATCACGTCGACCACGCTCCTCGGTGTGTTGATGATCAACATAGAAGAAGTACTTTGCTAGAAGATCGCTTGCCCGTGAAGACGACGGTGGCTACTGGAATTCAAAGAAGGAGCAAAGCATCGTTGCCATTCATATCGTCGCAATCCTCCCCGCAGATTATTTCAGGTTTTTGAAATCGTACAACTACAATTATCGGGCGAAGTCCAAAGTATTTTCTCAAGCCTCGGTGAAAATCAGTATTCGAACAAGCAGCTAGCTTTCTTTTACTTCTTACTTCTTGTCAGAGACGCCTCAAATCGGTTCGAAATGACGTTGATCGGAATCCTAATCCCCTAAAGACTACGAAGGCAAAGCCAATACGTTCGGAATCAAATGAGCGGAAATAGCTCGGTCTACACGTTCAGAATGACCATCCTGAGGGACTTGACTCGGAGCAAGATCGCGCAGTAAACCTAGAGCACTGACATACGTACTAACCTGCGGGCTTACCACTTGACTCAGAGCCCGATAGGCTCACATCAAGAACCAATCTGCAACAACCTTGAATGCTTATCCTCACCCACAGGATAACTAGCGATAGCCATCATCATCCTCCGCGTCTAACCTCGAGCCCCCTTGGGTCTAGCTTGTGTTTATAGGCTACGCCGCGAGCAGGAGCACTTCTAAACAAAGTTATTTTTATTTTTCTCCAAATCCGAAGTACAAAACGCGACTCAAATTTGAGTCCTCAAGTCAGTCTCTGTAGGATTTTGCTTGAAGTAATCTATCTTGCCAACTCGGGAAGGAGTTTTTTCGTTTTCTCATATTTATTCAAATAACCCCAAAAAATGCCTACATTGACAAACGGAAGATCCGTGATGGATAGGATGATGTGTCGCATGCCCAATTGCAGCAGCATGCTGCGTCGTCTTCCAGTCACGCTGCTTTGTTGTTTCTCCCTTCTGCAGAGCCAGTTAGACGCGGTGGGGGCGGTGCAGCTCCAGCTCGGCGCGACGGGAACGAGTGCAGCCGCAGCTTCCTCGTCTTCCCCGCTGCTGACCGGCCGCGTGCCAAAGCTCGCCAAGGAGATCTTCACACTGCTCCAGCAGGACGAATGGACGATGACGTCGGTGACAGGGTCCCACCACAAGTTTCTGAAGGGGAGTTGGAGCCTGATTGTGGCCGTGCACGGCGCGGGCGAAGTGAGCCCGCTGCTGCGGCAGCTTATCCAGCAGCAGCTAATTTTGGCGGACAACTACAACTACGATTGGGGCGCTTACCTGAAAGCGCGCCAGAGTGGAAACGTGTACATGCGCACAACACGAGGCCGGACCAGCGCTGCTACCGGTACTTCTCTCCCCGCGGGAGCTTCCACCGGCGTTCCGTCCGCGCCGGCGGCGCGAGGGGGTCAACCTGTCATGGAGCAGGGCGGTCAATTGCTGTTGCCCCACTCCGCCGGCGAACGTGCGTCTGCGCAAGAAAGCGCCCGTGAGCGGCAGGAGAGGAGGCAGGCTGTGTTGCAAGAGCAGTTGGATTTCGCGTGGTATCTCCTCTCGCAACAAGAGTACCGGCTCGCGAACTACTTGCTGGTCACGTACCTGCAAAAGCCAGACTCCTCCAATATCAACTGCAAATATGTCTGCTGTGTCCGGCAATGAGAATTTGTATACGCTATGCGGTACAAAATAAATGTATGACCGGGCAGCCGTGGTCTTGCGAGCCTGTGAGTCAAGGCCGACCGCTGGTCGGTCGATATTTTATGGGCGTGGCCAACGCGTCCATTCTATTACGGTATCCAAAGCCTGAGAAGCTTGACATGAAGATAATCGGGGGGCGCCATTTCGCGCTTTTCTCCCCTGTTTTGTCTGTGTCTCGCTGGGTTTTCAGGGTCTTGCGCCCCTGCCGATGGTAGCTGTGAGTTATTCTGAGTCTTATGAGTTTTCTGAGTCCCCGGTGAGACAGGCCGACACGAGGTCGGCCTGGTTGGGTTGCGATTTTCCTATCCTAGTGAGACAGGCTGGCACGAGGTCCGCCTGGCTAGGTTTTGCGCGCGATTTCCCGGTGAGACAGGCGGGCGAGAGGTCCGTCTGGCCGGAAGCTTTATTTCTTTTCCCTAGCGATGAGCGCTAGTAAGTCGGGTGATATTCCCCTGTTGCGGTATCTCGTTATATTTCCCACCTTGATTTTTCGGCGGCGGAGTGGAGTTTTCTGGCTACGCTGGTCGCGGTTTCTCCATCTCGGACTTTCTCGGCCTTGTGGCACTGGCGGTTTGAACCCGTTAAACCTAAAGGAGGGAGGGGGCGAGATGGAAGGGCTGGGCATCTTCGGGCGGCTTATTGGGGAGATTTTTCGTTGGCCGCTCTTTGGCTTTGTTGTCGGTGTCCAGCGCCATGGGCCGAGATCTTTCTGTGATGGAGGAACCACGATCAGCGTGGGCAAATTCCCTCTCGCTCTCTTGATCTTCGACGCCATGAGAATGTGGCAAGCTCTGAGAGAATTTTCGCTCTGATCTTGGAAATCCGCGCTCTTTATTCCGATGTCTTATCCTTGACGAAAATCTCCGATCCTCACCACGGGTTCTTGCAAGTTCCTACCAATGTTTCTGGTACGAGGGCCGGATCAAAATGATTTCGCTTGGTCGAGGAATAGTAGGATGCTTTACGCCTGGGGGATCCCTCGCTGTCGCTTTCCGTTTTCCATTCTTCCAGGGACACATAGGGCCGTCTGTGGTCTTTGTATATATTGAGCTTCTTCGATAGCATTTTTCTATCTGCTTGCTACCTTTCTTTCCAAAATGTATGGCCGGCGAGGAAGAGATTATTGAGCAGCCGGCTGCCCAGGTGGGGCAGGGTGGGAACCAGGGCGCTGCTCTTTTGGCTAGCTTTGGGGACCTCCTGCAGAAGACGATCAAGACTGCTGCAGACGAGGAGCAAGTCGTCGAGGCAGTTGTGAAGCAGAAGGGTCTCGCGTCGCTGGTAGTGGCGACAGTGGTTGTCTTTGCGAAGTATATGCGGGTGCTGAAGAATCGCGAGGCTGAGACCCTCACCTTCAAAAGCTTGAGAGAAGTTGTGCAGTTTGCTGCCGCGTGCTTAGTCGTGTCCGGGAAGCAGGTTGAGCATGCCAACCGCTGGGGCCTCAATCTTTTCGTGAAGTACTGCGCGGACCCGTTTGCGGTTTCGGATATCAATGAGATTTTTGGGGACATGAAGGACCTGATGGGTGAAGATGAGTATGAAGATGTTGCCCCTGCGCAGGTTGGGGAGGCGCAAAACGCCCCCAAGCTGGAAACTTTGCCGGAGTATGCCTACAAGGTGTGGACCTTTATGAACTCGCTGCTTTTTGTCCAGTTGGATGCGGTTCGCCGCGCCCGCGCGGCGGGCAAGAAGAACAAGGGCGGCGAAGATGATGGGCCCGCAGCGAAGCGTGCCCGCGGGTCGGGCTCCCCTGGGGTCTGCGCGAAGTTTTTGAAGGACGGGCATTGTAAGTTCGGCAGCGGTTGCCGTTTCAGCCACGACGCCCCGGAGTCCGAAGATTTTACTCGCCAAACCGTCGAGCGCATGGGATGGACGGGGTTCGATGTGGCGGAGTCTTGGAAAATCCACGAAGCAAAGGCCAAGAAGTGAGCGGGCCGGCTTTGGCTCAGTTTTTCCCGTTCCGCTGTCGGGGTGGTCTTGTCTTCTTCTGGGCGCCTGTCTGGGGGTCTTCGGTTTGCTTTGTGCCTTGAGCTTAGATCGTATTTTACTTCTATGTGGACCATGAGTAGCTCTAGAATTGCAATGCGTGTTTTTGCTATCGAAGTCGCGATGTAGGTATTTTTCTCCGGGGGTCTCTTGACTGCCCGGCCATCCAGTGCGGTCTGCTTTTATGACCGGAAGTGTTCTGAACCAACATCGGTCGTGCTTTCTTTCTCTTGGTGCTTCATTTTATGCCCCTCTTCTCGTCGGTGTCGCCACTCCGCTCTCGCTTTGGGGCGCTGGTGGTTCCCCAAATTCATCTCCAGTACTGCGTCTGTAGGGTTCTTCGGGGTTGCTTCGGTGCGTTGCGTCTCCGCCGGTGGGGGTTGGCTCTCCATGCGTTAGCGGGCGCCTTTACCTCCTGTTCTCCGGAGGAGAAATCTCCAATGACGATCATCCCATAGGGTGATCCGTCCGTGCAGTTTGGGAATGTGCATAAAATGTATGACCGGGCAGCCGTGGTCTTGCGAGCCTGTGAGTCAAGGCCGACCGCTGGTCGGTCGATATTTTATGGGCGTGGCCAACGCGTCCATTCTATTACGGTATCCAAAGCCTGAGAAGCTTGACATGAAGATAATCGGGGGGCGCCATTTCGCGCTTTTCCCACCCACCCGCCCCGGGGCACTTTTTCTTTTTTGCAACGGAAGGATCGCGAGGTCTCGCGCCACTCTGACTCTGATTTCAGGGTGTGACAGAGACCCACACTACGTCTTCTGGATCGGGGGGTTGGCTCTCCATGCGTTAGCGGGCGCCTTTACCTCCTGTTCTCCGGAGGAGAAATCTCCAATGACGATCATCCCATAGGGTGATCCGTCCGTGCAGTTTGGGAATGTGCATAAAATTGCAATAATGTTCCACAACCAACATGCATGAGAAAAAATTACTATTTGAGCGGTTACGTTTGTGGCATGCCGAGTTGCAAACTGCGCCGTTGCAACATGACGAGCTTGAACGCGGCCTTTTCGTGGCCACGCACGACATTTTTGCAATGCATATCCAAGGCAAGGAAGCAAAACGCGTTTCTGGAACCTGTGCCAAAGCTGCTGGAAGTCAAACAGCCACGGCCCCAAGAACAAGGTAAACTTTTGTTCGCTTATGTTGCGGTGCTAGCCGCAGAGGTTCGACGGACCGAGGAAGCGGTCGACGCCGAGGACTCCGGCGCGGCTGAATGGCGGAACCCGCTCCGCCAATTGCACCTCCCACTGCTGAGCGACGCGCAGCTGGCGGTGAAGGATTCGTACCTCATCGAGTCTCTGCGAGGCCAGGTTTTGCTGTACGGCTATTGGATCCTGAATCCCCTGCAGTTTGCAGAGGAATATGACCGGAAAGAAGACGGATCCTATGGTCGGAAAGAAGACGGGTCCTATTCTTGTTCCTTTCGCGCGAAAGTGGCGGAAACCACGCAGACAGACATGGAGGAACGCCTGCATTTCCTGTGGACCGAGATGCAAGAAATTGCTAACGCTCCCACGACGGCACCGGTTCCTGGTCGGCAGTTGCAGGTCGGCCCCCCATCTGCCCTCACGTCTGCAGCAGCCGCACCCTCGGGAAAGAAAGGACGCAGAAGTCGGTCCGGCAGCTCACGAAGGTCGTTGGCCTCCAGGAGTAGTACCTCCCCGGATGGAAAGCTGATAGCAGATCACGCGACGATTTCCGGGGTTGCTGCTGGCTTTCAGGGAGGCTCTGCTCGGAGCCAATCATCGGGCAGTGACGTCAGCGAAGGAGCGCGTAGTGGGAAGACCACAAGTGGTAGACGGAGTAGCTCAAGGAGGAGTAGGTCAAGTGGTAGGAGTAGGAGTAGCTCAAGTAGGCGTCGCTCAAGAAGGAGGAGCAGCTCTCTACCTTCGCGACTTCCCAGCCAGAAGATGACGAGAGGCGAAGGAAAGAGAGGCCGTGACAGCCTAGGCCGACATCACGATTCAGCGGAACAGAGCAATATCGCACAGAGCCACACCGAATCCCTGTTCCCTTGCTTTGTATAGCTACTTGTGTGCCCAACGCAAAACGAACACGCACACGAACCGATTTGATTACCAACGCGGTCATCTTGTTAGTTGTAATGTTCTGTGGTCGCATCGAAGAAGATGCTGCCCTTTTTTGTATTTTGTTGTGCTGGTTCTTAGGTTTTCGTTTTTAATTTTATTCCTTCATCTATCACCATCAGGAGAAGAACAAGTAGGAGTGTTGGCGCATTTTGGCGGAATGCAATTGCAAGCTCGCAGGGATATGGAAGGTTTTCCCCCGGATTAGTGTCCGACAAGGTGTTGAGAGCATTGGGTTGGAGGATGGAGAAGCGGTCTCTGTCTTGGATATCAAACTGAAAAGCATTGTCCCGTCGTCGGAACAGACTAGGCGAGAGACAAGATGTAGCACGTGGCTGCTAGTATTATCTCCAGTGGAAAGATTCACAATGTTGCACATGTTGGCCATGCGAATTTTCCGAGGCGATTCGTATATAATTTTTCTGTATTGTAACGCCACCAACGATAGTTGGTCAGTTGTACCTGTGATCATGTAAAGGCTGCAGTCTCCTGTCCCTACATTCTAGAGCAAAAAAGCAACAGTTTTTCCATGTGTGTCTGTTGTATGTAGTGAGGTCACCGAACGGTTCTAACCAGGGAGTTTTTTTGACATATACCCTGAAAAACGACCGGCAGTTTTCAAGCGGTCGGAAGCGTTTTTTGACATAAAAAATTTTCAATTATCAAGCAGGCGGGGCTTTGCCATCAAACAAGCCCGGTCGAAAACTATCGATTCGCACTTGATAAAACGACGCAGGGGAGCCGGCAAAAGGGGCGCCCTTCTGAGGCGCCCAGCGCACCTATTTCCGCCGCTTTGGGGCTCCCAAAAAGGGGCGCGCAAAAAACGCGCCCAAAATCAGAACAGCGAAACAGCATGGCACGGCCGCGGTTTCGGAGCATTTTGGGCGGCCGCGAAAGCGGCCGCCTTTTCGCCGGTTTCAGAGCCTGGAGAGCTTTGCAAAAAGCGCCGGCGTGAAAAATAAAAACGCGAAAAAGAAAAAGCGCCCCAGACGCGCAAAGCCAATCCGCATGCTATGGGCCCGATTTTTCTTCGCTTTTTGGGCGCCCCCCGTGGCACCCGGATCGGCTCCATAGCATGGGGGCTGGCTTTCGGAAAGGAATTCCGGAGATTTGCCAAAATTTGCGATGTTTATCGAGCGGCCGCCATACCGTGCGGCCTATCGTTATTCACGGCGGTATGGCGAGCCCAGAAAAAGCAAAGCCGCGGCCAAGGCGACGGCCGGCAAGAAAACGCCCACGACCTCACTACCCCCGCCCCGGCGGCTATATTTGGTAGTGTAAAAAAAGTGCTCCTTTCCATCTGCAAGGGTCATGTTGCGTGGACCTTCACTAAGCAGCCCTGATTTTGGTAGCGCGGTCTAGTGTCCTCTTTGATTAGTTGAGGCTTCAGTCACTGCAAATATCATGTATTGCGTGTGATAAAATAATTTAGAAGTTCATGGCCTGCGCCTCAAGGTCTGGGGGTGGGCGTGGGGCACTTTTTGATTTGATATTCGAACCAGAAGAGAAGAAATTCTTGTTGGCAAGCAGCTTACGAACCAGCGAACTAGCAAGGAAGTGGTTTGGTCGACTGGTCGAGTTTCTGTCGGTGCTCGAAACAAAACGCGCTGGAGAGTCGGAGGAAGACGCTAAGAACCGTCAACGAGCGAGCGTCCTGAAGAAAGTGGTCGCCTTGTTTCCTCCAGGTGTCCAGGGCTGGGTAGAGCAAAATTCTGAAGAGAAGGACGACTGCGGGAAATCGTTCCGGTCCACCCCCAATTTCGAGGTGTTACTGGGCGTGTTGAGTAGGAGCCTTTGGCAGGACGTCGAGAGTTGTAGTCTTGAAAGGATACTGCAGCTGGTCAAGATTCTCACCGCAGTTTGGCTTTCGACGGAGGATGGACAGAACGTGATGGCGGCTTTCGAGCAGAGCTTGCAGGCCTTGCTGGCACAGCTCGCAAAGAGGCACGTCGAAGCGTCAAAAGGATCCATGTCCCTTCTAGGAGCTCCTCTTACCGATGCAAGAAGTGCTGGCGCAGTGGCGCCAGGACCGGGCCGAGCCGCAGGTACTTCATACATAGAACTGCCACAACTACAAACGAACCATTGATAGTGATCACTCCTGTGTCGCACCAGCAACTGGCATCTCGTGAAATTGGTTTCGCAACTATCACTTTAGTGAAAAGTCCTACAACTTAATAAGTATATCTTGTTCTGAACTCACTTACATCTTGATCTTACAGAAATATACACCTGCTCCTGTTTCCGGGTGGTGAATCGATGGTGAGGCCTTGCTTGGCATTGCGCACTGGACTACTGAAATGTTGCATCCCATTAGCTAAGAGGGCTTAGACTCGAGAAATATTTTGTAGTGGCGGACGCGGATAAAACCTCGGCCATAAGTGTAAAAAAAATCGAGGACATAGGCACAAGAAGATCGTTGTGTCAACAAAGGCAACGAATTTCGCTACAGGTCCTGCCAGCGACGGCGACGTACTACCAGGGCTAGTGCTCTATCGCAAATCGCGCATTCGCAACGTGCTCGAATACTCCCTGCTCTCGGCACTGCGGGCTTCGTTGGGGATGCTGGTTCTCGCTACATTTTCGGTTGAAAGTATGACAGGTTTTGACAAGCTCTTCGACACCCGGCGTGCAGTCGAGTCGGTTTTCTCTCAGCGCCTTAAGTTTTTGATCGAGTTGTGTGCGCCGGGCGCCGGCGTGGGTTCTTCCGAACAGAAGGGTGCAGGAGCAGCCGCAGGGGTGAAGATCAGCTCCGTGATCAAAGCCAGTGCTCTGTTGCCGAGGGATTGGCTAAAAGAGACAGGGTTTCTGCACAGCGTCCCGCATTATGAGTGGCAGGCCGCTTTCGCCAACAGTGTTGCGGATTACTTACAGCAAGTTCCGGGTGCATTCGCGCTACGGAAAAAGCACTGGGACGCCGTGCTTCGGCCAGCCTTCGACAAAATTGCGCTGTACAAGCAATTTCAGCAGTACGTCCTGCAAAGTGAGCCGCTGGCTGGATTGCTGCCAGCATGGAGGGCGGGCGTGTTGGGGGAGCAGAATAAGCAAGCGTGGAGCAGGCGCATGGATCCAGCACTCGCGTCAGTGTTCTCCGGCAACCGACCTGGTTCCTTCTTCCTAACTTTCGGAGACAAGTTGGAGTCGTTCTACGAGCTCGAGAAGAAACTCGTCATGCACAAAGGGGATCAATTGGATTCTATTGAGAGGAAAAATCCCCCCTCCCCATATTGAAAAGGTATGTTTCCAAAAATTTGTGTTGCGGATTTGAGGTCGCAAATCACATCTGTCTTGCAAGAAGACAAGGGGAGAAGCTTCCGCCCCGTTATGGAAGCGATTTGTCATGCTGTTGGGCCTAAAGGAAAGCCGTTTGCCATGCTGAACTACTAGACCCATACGCCCCAGCCCCAGCCTGGGGATCTGGCCGCAGTGCCTCTCTGCAGTACAAAGATGATTTGTGGCCACAAATCAGCATCACAAATTTCCGTTTTGATATGGGGAGGGGGGATTTTTCATTTTGATAGATTCGGAAGAAGTTTCCCCCGAAGACCTCAAGAAGGCTTGGACGGAGGGTGGGACAGGGATGCACCCTGCTCTTACCTTCGTTGTGAAGTCGGCGTTTCCCAACAAAAGCATGCCCGGCGACGACAGCACGCTGCTCTATCCGCAAGTTTTACGGACAAACCGACGGTTTGGTGGACTGATTCTTGGGCCCGTCATGCGGAACCTCGTGGGGTTCGAGACGGAGAACCTGGCTGCGTGCGGGGAAAGGTGTATATCGGATCTATTTATCAAGTGTAAACTAGTTGTAGCACGCGTCAGTCTGAAGAAGGTCCACAGGAAAATAGCAATAGTCGGTAGCTCTGAGCACCACATGACAGTCTTTCTTCATTTATGATTTTTGATTAAGACAGAAATTCAAATCCCACTAGCTTCAAGAAGCGGGGTTGGAGGAAAATGAGCATCTTTCTTGCGCCAAGTTGTTTGTCCCGCTATGAATCGCGAGGCGAAGATCGAAAAAACTCCTTCGATCACGACCGGAATGAAAACTCCGAGTTTTCATTCCGGTCGTGATTGATGGAGGATTTTTTGTTGAAGAAACTAGAGTAACAGAAACAGTGATGAATTTTTCATTTTTTTCCTGTGGATGATCTTTCTGATCGCGATTTGCAATGCATACGCCACTTCGTGCAGCTATTTCTACATAACATGGTCAGTCTGTACGCTGGTGGCAGAGACGTTTGGAACCACGACGGCGGAGTGTCTGCCGATAAGCGCGAGATCCTGCTCAACCCTGCAATGACCATGTTGTTTTCCTACGGAGGTAGTTTTTCGATGCGCAACGGTGAGCTACGACTTAACAAATTGACCGAATGGCGTCGCAAACCAGAGTTTCAAGGGCGACCTGTCGATCCACTTTCTTGGCAGCAGGAATATGAAGCCCGCACTGCCAATCCGGACCGGGAATTACTAGGAAACCTGCTTTCAGTCCACGTGCTGGCGAATCTAGAAGCGGGGCTGCTGTATGACGAGTTCTACAGCAAGCTTCTGCTGACCACCATGCCGGTGCGCCGAGGGTCGAGGGACATAAGCTTTGGTTCGCTTCTATCAAATGCAAAAATGTCTGGGTCCTCTGGAAGGTTGAAACTTGTGATGCGCATTTCAGAACACAGAAAAATCTCTCATGCATAGGCAGCAAAAGTTGCCCATTTTCTGTCACCAAAGTCAGAGATTTGTCATGCGGATTCTGCATTGCGAACGCTTCTCGAGACCTGTGATGCTAGAGCTTCCATGCCAGACCTTCTGTGTCATGCAAAAGCAGCATGATTCTTCCAGACCCAGACATTTTTGCATTTGATAGCTTCCCCTGTGGCAGGGGTCCATGATCGGAGGATCGTTGGACAAGCCTGCGGGACGGGAAGCTTGGCTTGAGGTCACAATGTTCAAATTTGTGCTGCACCAGTTCGAAGCCGCTTTCTGGGCGCGGAAGTTGCTGTATCCAGTGCAGGAGAGCAAAGTAGAGACGGAACTCCTGCGTAGAAGCGGCCTCGCGGCAGTGCTCGCGAGCGTCGTGCAACTGCGGCAAGCGCTCCTGGTCGCGCCGATCTTTGTTGGCAATAGCGCGAATGGCCTCGCGGGTCTGACGGAGTGGAATTTTGCCTACATGCAGCAGGCTTACGTCGAAATGCGGTTCTCGCCAGTGCAAGCAAACTTGCTTCTGTCCGACCCTCAGGCACGGGAGGTGCTTGCGGACCTGCGCGCTTCTGTTTTTTTGCTCCTGCTGCTACAAAATTTTCAGGAGCAAGCTCAGCTTTCGAACTCGGAAGTCGAGCGAATGAAGCGGAAATTCAACGAAGAGGAAACGATGCAAAGGCCGCATGATAGGGCGAAACTCCTAAGCGGTGCAGAAGCCCGGGACATGATGGAGGGGAGCGCGCGGAGTTGGCAATCAGTTTCTGTTTGGATCGACTCGAAGCCGTGGACGATGTTCAAGACGGTGCTAAAAAAGCTCCATTGTGAGAAAGTGCTGCAGATTCTGGCGAGGATTGTGGAGCGTATGACGACGCTACTAGTACCGGAAGACCTGCACAAGGGTGGGAGCGGGGTAGTCGGCGTAGAACAAGATCCACAAAGGAGTAGTCGCCTGTTGAGTTCCAACATAACGCCGCTGCAGCTGCGGGGCGCTGTCGAGGCGATGTTGCGCGAGCCTTGGCATGAAGATGACTTCGACTCGACCAAGTTCGTGCTTGAAGAACTGAGGACCCTTGCGGACTTCTTCGTGGAAAACACGGAGGACAAAAAAGGGGTGCGCTTTAAGCACCAGAATACCTCGAAGGGCGGATTCGAGCTGCTCAAAAGTTTCTGGATCCGCGGTCCGGGGCCACAAGGTTTGGAGAGTCTGGGCAATACACTGTCCGCCTGGCTGTTTCCGTACAAAATGGCGTTCACTACTGCTTTGGCGGACGTCGACAGGAAGCCTGCGTCTCCACGAGCTCGTGCAGGTGCTTTGCCTGTGGGTCACGTCGGGGTGACTCCTGGTAGTACAATTGGAGAGGTCGTCTTTGCGCGGGAACAGCAACAGACGCAGCTTGTGCGCGATGCACTGCAACCTGGCGCCGAACAAACTGGTCTTGGACACACACTGCTCGACTGGCTGTATGGCCCCGAGCTGGACAACGTTCTTGCGATTCTCACGGCGGAGGCGAAGGCCGCAATGAAGTCGGTGCCCCGCGAGGAGCAGCGAGGCATGCTGGCGCGGATGACGGACTTTACAGCGCGCGTGAAGGCCAAGCAAGCCGCTCCCCCGGAACAAGCGTTGGAAATGCCCGCAGCAGTGATTCTGTTTCTGAATGTGGTCACCCGCGTCAGGGCTTCGAAGGCGGCCCCCGGCAAAGCAAGCAACGAACGAACGAAGAGAGCGTATAATTTTGTCACCAGCGATCCAGAATGCGGGAAGCTGCTAGAAGAAATCACACAAAGGCTGCTGCCGAGGTTGACAACTGCTGCTGACGGGCTTCTGGGTCATTTATTCAGGGGGCAAGCTCCACTACCCCCGCGGGAATACAACGCGGCTGAACTACTGGGCGCGGCCGGCGCTTCCGCTGGCGTTGACACCCGAGAACAAACTCGCCACCAGTCCGATCTTTTTGTCAAGCACGAGGCGCAACTCTACGACATTGCGAAGGACGCAAGCGATCTGCGTAAACACGTACTCAAGCTGCTGTTGCACTTCGATGCGAATGTGATGGCCACGTATGTGAATCCGGGGAAGATGAAGGGGAAGGCCAACGCCCACCACATTGAACGACTTTGGCCTGACATTTGCGAAAAGCAGACCATCGGGGACAAGAACATAAACTGGGAGAACATAGTATCCAGCAGACATGAATAAACAGCCCCCGATCATCTTCTCTAGCCCTTTGAGCTACTCGATCTTGTGACGTGCATTTACTTATTGAAGATCACCAGCGCGGCATGAATAGGAACTGGCGCCGTCGACTCGTCCCTTTGTCATGCTATGCAAGATGATGTTAGTTGGTTTTGGTTACGGTTGCACGAGATTGACGGCAAAGCGGATGGTTCATTATCACTTGCATATTGAAGAGTGTATTTGACGCAGAAGATCGGTGCTGTTATTCGTGTTTTTTCTTTCATCCGCTCCAGTGAAGACTCTTTCGGCCGAGGACGTGGAGGGGCACAACTTTCCCTACGCCGGCTACGGAGAAGTGGTCCCTGCTCTCGAGAAAACCGTTCTTCCGTGGCTGAAGGCGGGCTTTCCGAAAGCATTCGAGGAGAGCAAAAAAGCGCTCGAGGAAGCTCGCGTGATGCCGGGGTCAGCGGCGTCGAGTGCGCCGGTCAAGTAGCAGCGATGTGTATGCGTAGAGGCAAAAAATAACGCTACGTCACGATGTAGAAGTGTCGACACCGATCGACGTTCCATTCCAAATGAAAAAGATGATGCGTTGTTTGCAGTCAGACGAGCCGAGTAAAATCATAGCCCATCCTGCACAATTTAAGTGCAATATAGTGGCTCATTATGACAGTCCGACGCCTCGCGCTCCTCCCACTATAAACGGTGGGGGGGACGTGGGCGTCAGATTTAATCGAAATTTATCTTTTGTCGCCGACACGAATGGAATTATTATTATTATCTTACTGTGCCGGAGCCGGCGGAGGGAGTGAAGCCGAGCCCAGCGCGGTACTCTTATCACTTTACTGCGCGGCGGGGTAGTACCTTAACCAATATATCGACTTTGCAAAGAACAAGAACGCAAAGTCGTTATTTGTTGAAGACGAAAATAAACTTTTACTTTGACCACCGCCCAGCCCATTACCTAAAATGAGAACCCCCTTGGGCAAAACCAAAAAAGCATCAATTAAAACTAACGCTGCGCATCGCATCGAAGAAAGTGAAGGGGTGCAAACTTGTAGAGAACGCCGCTAAGCAGTTACAGTAGTAGTATGAGCCAGCGAACATGAACAAAAAGAGCTTAAAGTAGTATGTAGCATGTCATTATCCTTATCTATCACAAAGGTTGTCGTTTTTTGTATAATTGTGATGGTGAAGCAAAGCGGCCGTTCCCTGTTGCTGTTCTGTATGATTTCACTGACATCAGATTAGCATGCGCGACTTCTGCTCTAGAGTTCACCGTCGGTTGTGAGATCGAAGGTCGACGCCGCTTGAAGTGCACTCGCACGCGATCGAGGGGCGCGGTACTTCAGGAGAAAACTTGTAGGGTACGTAGTAGTTCTAGAACGCGCAAAAATGAAGCTGATCCCTTCTTCACCCATGATGGGACGCACTTCTGTTTTAATCATTCCTCAAGCCTGGAACTTTTGTGAGCTTGCTGATGGAACTTCTTTATGTAAGAAATCAAAATTATTAGTTTTTCTCTTTTCTCTGAATGCCAGCGGCAAGAGGTGACGCCAACGGCAAACTCCTCCCTGGTGGCCGGGCACTTCTAAAGCGGGCGGTGAAACGTCACTGGGGGTGTAGAAGCGGTTCCACCACTACTGCAGAAAGATTTACCTTCTGAGACTTACATTACAGTATGTGGAAATGCGGCCGGGTAGACGACAGCCCCGCGCACTTCCTCGAATGCTATAGGATAGGCAACCTCCAAACGCTCTCATGCCCGGAGCGTCTCGCTGAGGTCTTCGCTTACGTGGCACACGTGCCGCCAGATGACTCAAGCACCGACGAGGAACTGTGACCCCCCGCGGGGGCACCAAAATTTTGTATGAAGACGCACCTGATAGGCATGCGTCAGCATCTGCTAGAGGGCGAGATGCGAGATGTTTGGCGCAGTCAGCTCGCAGCTGAAGCTCCTACACACATCTAAAAACCGTGGCAAAATCGATCGAAATGACGCTTGTAGCGAAAACCACATTGATGCAGCCATCAGGAACAAGGAATAGAGATTGCCGGAGCGCACACAGACGCCCGCCCCCCTAGGGGAAGCACAGGCTCCTCCTGGCTCCGATGTTCACCTCTCGAGATGATCACAAGGTCTTGCCAGACCAGACAAGTTCACAGAGGGTCGCTTCACACTCTTGCTCGTCCGTATAAATCGTTTGAGTGGATCGCTTTCCTGGTGTCAGGATCAAAAATCGAGCGTCGCGTACCCCAGACAGGGACCTTAGGTGGCGCCGCTTGTGGTTGTCACGAGGTGGCTCGCACCTCCCCGGAGTGAGAGAAGGTTCGTTACCAGGCTTCGGCACCTTTTGTCTGGCTTGGGCTCCTGGTGCTGCGTTCACCGTTAGGAGTATAATAACATAAGAGCATAAGCCTGGCTGCATTGGCGGCCGACCTTACGCGCACCATCAGAAGTGCGGAACTGGCCGGCCTTTGTGGTGTCTCACCGTCAGAAGTGCGAACTACGAGGGCCGGGGCGTGCCACCTCATCATCATCATCAAAGCGAATCGCGTATGTATGTATTACAGTATGTGGGAAGCTATACCGCTCACCTTGAGAAGGGTAGTTTGCGGACCGAAAGCGGGGCCCTGAACATATCCTGACGACACGCCTCGGATATAGTACAAGGATTAGCGTAATAATTACAACAAGGAAGCTAAACTCCTCGACAAGATCAAACTGATGAGTCCAGGGCCCCCCGGTGTAAAGAAGCGAAAGCATGCTGCTGAAAGAAACTAGCGTCAGGACTGGAGTCGCCGGAACAAACTTTCTGGGATACCTAGGGACGAGGACCAGTCGTGTTCATTACTAAATCTTCAGTGGTGTAGGTCTCCCGAGATTATGGTGACTACCTAGTGACACGTTGCCTTGTCGTGCATTCTTGACTGTGCGAAAATAAAACACTAAAGCCTATTTTGATCGAGAGATTTTTTTTTACGAGTGTTTTTACTTACTCTGTCGAAATGGCAGTGGGTTCAAGCAAGGGTCTGCTCGTTCGTTTTTCGAGGTGGCCACCGCATTAAAAGCTGGAGTGTGGTTTTGTTTTCTTTGTTGGAGTTTAAGTGCGTTTTTTTTTGTAAAGTTTTGTTTTTGATGACTTCGGGGTAAAACGTCATCGGTCGTGCTCGGGCTTTCTTCATTTCGGTCAGCTATCCTTGTTGTGTTGTTTTTCTTGCAAACAGAGGAACTGCTGCTGCTCAAGGAGGATACGATATTCCGATTTCCTCACAGCATAAAGTACCTACTATCGACTCGATATTTAGTGCTCTGAATCCACAACTTGGTCCGTTGGATATATGGAGTTTTTTTCAACAACGTGCATCCATCTAGTTGAACTGTGACCGGTACAGCACTGCCGATGCCGAAAGCGGTGGAACGCAGCTGAAGAAGGTCGGTTTCTTCTTTGGGTTCCGTGATTTCTGCCCGTGCTATACTTCTGCCCGTTCCTCACGCCGGAAGTAGAGCGAAAATACACACAGCCCTTCGTCATGGCGACCGCGACACTGCAGGAGGCCGTGCAGCAAGCCGCGGAGGAAGCAGCTTCCAACACGGACAATTCAGAGGAGGAAAGTTCTTCGTCATCTTCCTCTAGAAAGGATGAAATTGAAAACGAGAGGGAGGAATCCCGAAAACCACCGGCTGACGAAGTGGATGAGGAAGCGAGGGAAGCTAGGAAATCGAAAGACCCCCCTGCTCTTGACGCCCCCACAGCAAAAACGAAATTTCTTCTCATGCTGGATTAGCAGTTGTGTACTCATTAGTATTACACTAATTGAATTTATTTCCATCGTTGATCTTGTATTGAGGGACTGAATTCAGATCCAAATGCTCTGGGCGGGGATCATGTTCAGGCGTCTGCCATTTGGCAGGACAGACGCCGTCACTTGAGGCCCAAGCCTACAACGTTCGAAATAATCACCCGGGTGATTATACGGCGGAGACCTCTCTGCGATTGTCCCTTAGCAAGACAGGGGCGACGGATGAGAACAGCCAAGGAGTTAAGAACGCACAGTCGGTCAGTGTAAGGAAGAGGGGGGCTGTCTTTTTCCCACGATAGAGGCACGGCTGGTGGAGGAGGCCAACCGACAAGCCGAGCAGGCGCGACGGAACTCGCTGCAGCAGAAACAGCCGGAGAAGACTGTGGCGCGGGGGAAAGGGAGGTTTGGGAGTGGGAACTCGCCGGGCACAGCAAGTGGGCAGCTGGAGAAGACGTTCGGCAAAGCGCCGGTGAATGCCGCGAACACCGTGGTCAAGTCTTCGTCGCTGGAGTCCGGAACTTCGCTCGCCAGTGGCGGGCGGGGAAACATTCTTGCACGGTCCTCGATGGAGGACAACGTGCAGAACCACTACAAAATCATGTTCTTTCTGCAGTCCTTCTCCATCTTCTACGCGGTCCCCACCCTGGTCTTTGTGCTCGTGCGAAATCTAGTGCACTGCGATCATGATTACGTGGACGGCGCGGTACAAATACATAGAAGTGCTTTTACGCGGTTTTGTTTTCTGCAAAAAGAGAGAATTTTCGCGTAAAGTCGACTACAAAGTAGATTTAGGCTTGGAGCGCCGCTTCTTGATCTGCTAGTGTATTAATCTATGGATAATGTGTAGTGCGAAGCTCTTCGCGAACGGTATATTGCAGGCGTCTTAATAGCATTTTCTCTGGATGAGGATGTGAAATAGATAACTGTCCGCAAATGAGCAGAGCGTAAACCTGCGAGCGAGGAACACGAAAAATACCTCCCACATGAAACAATTACACCAGATTCCGAAGTTCTTCTGGCATGCCATCGTGGAATACGGTTTTTTCTGTATCCTGAGTAAAAACGTCCCCACCCCAGAGTTGTGATGCAGATCTGCAAGCACAAGAGCGTTTGTGATGCGCGATCCCATGAGGGGCATTATCAATCGTGTTTTGGAACTTGTAATGCTGTAAACAGCATAAGGAGATTGATTTGTTATGCGGCTTCCCTTGCTAAACTGCACTACACTACAGCCTGCAATTTGTCATGCGTGACCCCCAAAAGTTCTAGGTTTGTGTTGCAAAATCCCCATCTTGTTTCTGGTGTGGGGATGTTTTTACTCAGGATATTCTGGTGGTACGCGCCGGTGATGGCGGTGCAGGGGTTGGTCATCGCGTTTTATCCCCCGGAGATGCTGACCTCCAGGCAGTATCCTGAGTAAAAACGTCCCCACACCAGAGTTGTAATGCAGATTTGCAAAGACAGGAAGACTTGTAATGCGCATCCCCATGAGGGCCATTTTCAATCGTGCTTTGGAATTTGTGATGCTGTGAACAGGATGAGCAGATGGATTTCTGATGCAGCTGTCCTTGCGAACCTGCACTACACTACGGACTGCAACTTGTGGTGCGTGACCCCCAAAAGTTCTAGGTTTGTGTTGCAAAATCCCCATCCTGACCCTGGTGTGGGGATGTTTTTACTCAGGATAGGCAGCAGCGCGTCATTATTGGGTCTACAGTGTTCCTAGTAATCGTCTTCGGCACCTACGCGGTGCTGCACCGAACGACCAACTCCGATCCGTCGAACAAGATCACGATGGTACGTGTGCTGGCCGGGCTCGCCGTCGTTGTGGGCCAGTACCTCGGCATGTGGCACCAGTTGCGACGAACGCTCGCGCGCGAAAACGCCACCGAATACACCCCGCGACAAAAGAGCCTGCTGTGGTGGAGCTTGAAATTCGGATTAGTCTTCTTCGCCGGGTTTTACGGGGCCCTGATCTTCGCCGACCGGCTTTTTCCGACGGCGGTGCTCATCATGAGAGAAAAAACTGAGGGCAAGGGCACCGGGGGGTTGGTGATGCAAAGTACTGTTCTCTTCGGCGTGTAGGAATAGTTTTTCGTTCTTTATTAAAGAATTGTCTTTCTCAACACTCACGGTTTTTTTTTTGCGGTTCTTAGAATAAATGGCAACCAAGCTCACGGTCGTAGCAAGCAGTGTGGTTAAGTACCAATATCGTCCGCCGGGCGCGACATGCAAACATAGCATTTATTTTGCACAACTTACCACGCCACTCCAGGTGCCTTTGAGATGTTTCTCGCGACGTTCTTTTTTTCCCTCTTCCTCCCTTTCTGGAGCAAGCGTGTGAGTCGGGTTGCGTCGGACATCTTGTCCCTGTACCACGAGGGCGGGGAGCGCAACACCGTGATATACGAGCGCATGCAGTTCACGATCAACTTTTTGCTGGACATCACCAGGTTTGTGTACGGGCGCGGCGTGCTCTTTTCCGTCTCCCGGATCGAGGTCTTTTTCCTGCTGATCACCAAAGACATCGTCTACCAGTTCTGGCACTTCGGATTCAAGTAATTACGCAACTTTGATATAATATGAATATCTTGTTTAACGCTGCTGGTCGGAAGAACTTCTCGAACAGCAACTGAACACCATTTTTCGATGCAGCACAGCGCGCAACGAGCATCTACATCGTTGAATACCACAGGTACAGTATCCTGAGGAAAAACGTACCCACATCAGAGTCAGGATGGGGATTTTGTAACACAAACCTAGGAGTTTTAGGAGTCACGCATGACAAGTTTCAGTCCGTAAGGTAGTGCAAGTTAGCAAGGAAAGCCGCATCACAAATCGACGTTCTGATCCTGTTCACAGCATCACAAATTCCAAAACACGATTGGAGATGGCTCTCATGGGGATGCGCGTTACAAGTCTTCCTGTCTTTGCAAATCTGCATTACAACTCTGGCGTGGGTACGTTTTTACTCAGGATATACAGCGAGCTCTACATGGTTTTCGTTTTGAAGCTGTCCGACCCCAACGCGGTGCAGGGGCTCCCCCCAGCTTACCAGGTGATCGCGCGGTACTACAAGACCTACAACCGCGTGGCCAAGATGACGGAGGACTTTGTGCGGTTTATGGGGATCCCCAAGTCTCTCGCCGTTTGTTGGGAGGAAACGGTTGATTACAACGACCACCTGGGCGTCGGCGAACGCCCGGAAACCACGCCCATGAAGATTCGGGTGGTGTTTAACAACTACGGCATCACGGTGGTAAACCTGCCCGCAAAGCTCAAAAACCTCTTCAAATCGGCAGCGGAAAAGAGAAAGGAAAAAGACGCACAAAGTATTTTCAATTTTGGTGAAGCAATGTTGCAACTTGTGCGTCCCGCAGTAGATACCATGTCACAATGAATAAGAAGCTTGCCGCTTTATTAATTTTTTTTCACACGGCAGGTTGCGGCGCTGGCGAGGGCATGTTTTCGCGGTTTGCGAGCCGCATTGGCAACTTGTTTCACAAGGAAGCGGACGACGAGGCGGCGACGGGCAGTATGCAGCTGGGGAGTCAGGGGCTGCGCGGCGGGCGCGGCGGCAACCATTACGAGAGCAGTAGCGGCCAAGTGCAGCAGCTCCCCGCCGGTCTCCCCGGCCTGGGCGGCGGCGCCGCAGGACCGTCCTCGTCCAGTGGCGCGCAGCCACCCGCGAAGCCCGCCGGGCGCGCGAGGCGAGCAAGTCTGTCCGTGGACCTAGGAGACATGGACGACGACTGGAAAAAGCCAAAGCCGCAGCTGACCAACACGTCGAGTGACAGTGGCAATTCCCACAGCAACAATACCGCGGCGGGCACAATAGTGCAACCCAGTTCCACCTCCACCTCCCCGACAGCAAACAACAATCGGCGAAACAGCCAGTCCCGCCGTGGGTCGGAGCGGCGGACGTCGCTCGGCCACGAGTTGGAGCTGAACGAGGAGGACTTGGATGAGAGCGCCAAAAACCCAGCAGTGAAGGAGCGACAAGCGAACTCGCTCGGTTTGAACGCGGCGCAGCACCAGTTGCTCCTGCAAAAGGGGTACGCGGTGTTCCGGGACGTGATTCCCATCTCCAAGGAGGAGCAGGAACTGCTCGCCTCCGTGGTCGGCGCCTACCAGTGGTACGTGTTTCTCCGCTACCAGTCCCGCGCGGGGTGCAAGTTTTTCACCTCCTTCCTCTTCCTGTTCGCGCCCCTGCTGGCCACCGCCGTCCCGACGGACGGCGACAAGCTGCCGGGCTTCAAGGGCCTGGACGACTACCGCTACTTCGTCGCCGGGCTCACCTTTCTGATCGTCGACATCCTGGAGTGGTTGTTCGTCACTTTTTTGTTCCAGTTTCCAAATACAAAAGACATCCACAGCAAGGTGGACTACTACCGGCAGCTACTCTCCAAGGACCGCATGACGCTCTTTTTGCTGTTCACCTTCTCCTGGGTGGCGGGGGTGTTTATGTTCAACGTCTCCTGGAACCCGTTTAACGCGAAGAAGCTGGCGAAGAAGCTCTACGACATCGGGATGGGTAACCAGGCGGTGGTGCCTGTGCAGAGCAGCTACAGCGCCGCGGAGTGGGCCAATTTGAAACTCTGCACGGGGATGTACGAGGACAGTGTGGGGTCCGTCGACTCCAGCATGTGGCGCGCCGAAAACGAGGCCAATTTCATCATCACCCCGCCCGGCGTGGTGGACCAGTACTGTGCCGGGGCGTTTCTCTACCCAAGGGAAGACACGCAGAAACTCGGAACCTTCTTCTACGGCTTCGTGTTTGACCACTGCAACTAGAGAGACCATTGTGTAAGTGGTGATGTGCGTGATGGAAAGGAAGCGCTGCGCACATCAGTGGTCCGTGTGCTTGTGCAGCGTACATTTTATTCTCCTAGCAGATTTCTTTTTTGAAGTTTCAAAACAAATATGTGCTGCAGCTTCGGGTAGCACCAGCAGGTTTAGATCGTTGCCAGTTTTTGAACCTTGTAGGATTGTTGAGGAAAAAGTAAAAGCCCGGAAAAGTAATGAACGTGTAAAAAATTATCAGAGATTGAGAATGAGATAGTGAAAAATAAAACCTGTTTCATGAAGTGAAGTGATTCATAGAGGGCGGGTAAGCCTCCTACCATAGCTGCATGGGGTACGATACGGTTTCTCTTTTTCCGGTTTCAGTTTCTGCAGTGCTTGAAAAATTATTTGCTTTTACATACTTACGCACAATCTGGCGCGCTATCGCTACTGAAAGGCATCGGAGGAAAACCGATGGAATTATAGCTGGCTCTACAATCTTGATCTTCAGTCGTGCAAGTGAGGACTTGACAGGTTTCCGAACTTTGATTTATTTTGGGGGCAGCATTAGCAGACTGCCAGGCTTGTCTTTGTCAGTTGTTGAAAAAGTATGTTGGAGAGGAAAAAAACAGCAGGCATGGAGGTGAGCGAAGACATGGTTTATCTGAGTAGCACCGGTATCAAATACCACTTCTAGGACCGAATTTTTTTACTAAGTAGCACCGAATTTTTTTACTAAGTAAAAAATGACAATCCCAAACCCACAGAGAGAACCATCGGTGTGTTGTAAGTGTTTTTTTCATCAACCAGTAGGTACGAGTGTGAAATAGATTTTAAGACAGGAGAGCATAGCACCACCGAGTGCTCACTTCTTTTGTGGAAGTTGCATCATTGACTATTCGCAGGGTCCTTTTTTGGTGTTGGTCATCGTATCGCTCGACGTCAACTGCAATCGGATTATCCCATCGTACTACGTAGTCACGTATCCCCTTTGCTAAGTTTAGTGTACACAACCACGACTTCCTAAGAAAACTCTAGCCACCCTGAACAAGAGTGCAGTTTTTTTCCCACCTATCAAGTGTTGCATGTAAAAATCCTGATTCTGATTGTTTGATTCAACAAGGCAAATAAACGTTGAGTTGCGCCACAGCTGAGCCAGGAGCATCTTACTTGGCATACGAAACGTGTATCCGCAAGAACGACGAACCCTCAACAGTTTAGCAGTTTTTGTGAACAATCGAAACTAACCAGTAGGAAAGGTTCGAGGAAGCTTTGATTCAAGACCTATCCCAAGAAAGATTGATTGTCGAAGGAAATAGTACCAGTTTCCAACGAGTATATTGTAAAACTCCACAAGCAGCAGCAAAATGGCTTCCGCGGCAGAAGTAGCGAAGCACAACTCCGAGGGGGACTGCTGGGTGATCATCGACGGAGAAGTTTTCGATGTCACCAAGTTTCTGCCGGACCACCCCGGCGGTCCCAAAGCGATCGTCATCTACGCTGGCAAGGACGCCACGGAGGAATTCGACATGCTGCACGAGCGAAAGGTACTTAGTGGGAAATAAAATGAAACGGGTTTTATTTCTTGTTGTAAAAATAGATGAAGTCTGCAAGAAGATGTAGAAGTGAATCCTCCGATACTGCACTCGATATGTGAATGCTCTAAGCTCGATGAATACGTGCTTGCTGGCATAGAATTACTTTTCGAAAACGAAACAAAAACAAAAAGGTGATTGAAAAATACGGAATCAAGAAGGGCGTGGTGACAAAAATCGGAAAATTCTATGAAATGCGGAAAATCTTCCGACAGAAGATGGTTCAGTTTCAAATTTTACACGTTCCGAATGTGAATGCCTTTTCAGCGGGGCCAAGTCTTTGCGTTTTCCCCAACTGTTTTATGGAAATTTAGAAGTACACAAATTGCGCAATAGAAATAATCGCGGACCGACGGCCTGCTGTTGCAGTAAAAATCGACGCGTGCATATCTATTCGAAAAAAAGAGAAAACAAAACCGTTTTCCGGCACGAGAGTTTTTCCGTTGCATATCGGGAAGTGAAGTATCACTTTTGGCGATCCTTGAAGAGAAGATGATAGAAGAGCAACAAAACACCACCACCAGAAAACGTCAACACAACCCGAGATTCCGCATCGCCGCAGAAAGACCAGTTTTGATGACTATCAAGCGTATGAAAAATAAATTTTCCTTCTTTCGGACATGTCATCTCATTTGTGTGTTGGAAATTCAACTAGAGACGATGTCGTCTGGTGTAACTATACCAATCTACCACGACTTTTTGAGTAAGTAAGGACAAAAAAAATATATTTTCCGAAGTTTGCAGATTGATGATTATCCTCGGAACAGTGGTATGAAACGAAAACGTAAGTACAGGAACCAATCGGATGATCACGATCAGCAGACTCCTAGTAGCCATATGAAAGATTTGCCGAAGATCCATCTGGGTCAACGTTCCGTCCTCAGCCCTTCGAACCTCTGTTAAAACTTCTTGGAAAAATTTTTTTTCTGTGAAGGGAAAAAAGCTTTTATCTGTGATTTGAAATAGCGACAATTTTTCCAATACTTACAAAAGTTTGTAGTTTTGATCGAAAAAAGAAAAGTTACCGGAGTAGGGAAGGAACAGATCAAGTAGTTGCGCCTCGCACAAGAAAACTTCTTGGATGTATTTTGTGAATGGTAGACAAGAAAGAAGGAGGCAATCACATGATTAAGCAACCTCGATGGGACGAGTCTTGACATAGGCTGAACACATGGAGAAAAAATGGACACTGAAGCGCCTTAGAATAGTAGCTAGGGCAAGTATCAAGAAAGAATGTGTTACCTCATGCAAAGTAGCTCACTGCATCATGTAGTATTGCCGTTGTCGACCTCGATGCGTTGCACACGTCAAAACTGTATTGCGAAAGTCATCTGATCCTGCGCATGCACCAACAATTGCGGCATTTTGCGAGATCCCTGCGTGCGTTTCGATCTCTTTTTTGCGGCGTCGTGCGTAAAAGCGTCATTTTTTCTTTTGCGATTTGATTTTTTTTTTGCTAAAGAAGCTGCGATGGCGAATTCATTTCGACGATCTCGCTGCGTTTGGCTGGAATATGCATGATTTTCCTGCGACCGCGTTTTAACAAACAAGATCTCGCTTTCGACAATTATCTCACGAAGTTTTTAATAGGCACGCCTCATCTACTGATAAGGCATTTTGATGCACACAACTGATTTTGGATTCGAAAAAATTAAGATACCTTCTTAGATTCGTGTAACTAAGTCGTTACGACGAGTATTTTTGACTGCGAAGCAATTAATCTAAACTTTTACAAAAACTATTCCGTCGCTGTACACAAACGCGGAAAGAAAGAATCGCATTGAAACAAAATGACGAAAAGCGGCTTGCTGCTCCTTTCCGCTGTGTGCGGATTCCTTTCGACCACCTATGCCGCCCTGATTGACTCCCCGCCGGGGGGTGTGGAGGAGCTTTCGCAAGTGCTTCTGAAGCAGCTGCATCGCGACGTTGATTTGCGGCTGTTCCATTGCACTAGCGGACCGAATTACAGGTACTCTTTTTGGCGTTTTTTTCTTCCTATCTTTTTCATAATGGGCAACTCATCTCCTACTCTTAGTCGACAACGCTTAGGTAGAGGTACGCACATACTCACACTTTATGATTTACGATTACGGTGGTCGTGTAGAGTAGTAGCTTTGTATCAATACCACTGTCAAAGTAAATCCATCGTGGTTAGAGCGGCATTTTTTCCTGCCCCCAAAAGAAATTTAAACTCGCAGATGCCCGGGCAATATGCCTGCCCGCGAGAATCTGGTCGACCGCTTGGCCGAAGTCTTGTGGAAAGAAGAGAAGGTATCGAAGCCACTGCAGCGCTTGCTGCAGTCCGCCACTGCAGAGGACATCAGCACTACCCCCGCGGTCAGGGGAAGGGGCCATGGGAAGAAATACGGTATCTACTTTGGTAAGTTTTCACGAACGAGAGCTTGTTTAACTCTGAACACGGCGAAGAATAAATGTTGAACGTACCAGGACGGTTGTGTTGATGGCTTTTCATCTGCACGCCACAGCAATTGATCTTCAGCATTCTGCGTAAGTAGTTCAATGAAAATAAAACAGCGAACACCAAGATTTTTCTCGATCTGGTGAAGCGCAGTGCGGCGAATCCGGTGACGAGTGGGCAGTTTGACTCCGACCAGCCGCTCACGTTCAAGGAGAGCGTCCAGCTCAGGTCTTTCTTCGATCGGACTCTGTCCTGGGAAAAACAAAAGATCCGTGGCTGGAACAGCCTGGTCGTGGGGAGGTCCACCTCTGTTGGCAGCTCGAGTTTCGGGTCGCTTCTCCACACATCTAAGCACGCGCAGATGTCGCCGAAGGTCACGTTCACCACGAAACTGTTCCTCTTCTTTCTCCGGTTCGGGCTTCTGCGCGGGTTGTCGTTCGATTGCGACGGAACCCTGATTCACAGCATGGAGTGGTACTGGTACACGTGGGACTTAGGTTTGAAAGACTCGCTAAACCTGCCACTGAATGGTGCAGCGGCCACAGTTGGTGTGGATCTGCCGGAAGAGCACCGGTTCACCTACGATTCGTTCATGCGCGTCTACGGGGGGCAGAGCCCGCAGCGAATCTTGCAGACGCTGGTGGATCTGGGAAAGCCGGAGGAGCAAGAGGCAGAGCTGCGGGAGCTGAATCCGAGAGAGTATGAGAACCTGATCAAGGCGAAGAACGAAAAGATCGGGAAAGGCAATTACAAGGACATTTTGAACCGCCACTTATGGAAAGGCAGAAAACGTAGAATTTTGAGTCAATTCACAATTGCATCTGTCGTTACTACAACGAATGCGTTAAATAACCGGCGCAGACTTGTATGCATAATAATTTTCCTAAAAACGGCAAGAGGAATCTTTATCTTTTCTATTGAGTCGAGATCAGAGATTTATATAAGCAATGCGACTCGCATTGAGTCGCAAACCGGTCGCGGTTTGTCGCATTGCTCGCATTGCCCGCATTGCTCGCAAATCGCGGGGGTCTGCCAGCAGTTAGGTGCCCAGCGATTCCGCGCCCGCCTTACTGCCTTGTTTCGCGAATTTCCCGGCGGGGGCCTGGCCTGCAGGTGCAAGATTTTTGCTCTTGGGTTCGGACTGTAGCTTGTGGAGGTCTCCCCGCTCTCTTAATTGGGGGCGCAGTGCTTAGGTTTTAGATTGTTTCTCAAGCGAACCAACAAAAACAACCCGCTACACGACTGAAGGCGGTCGTCGCGGGGCCCGCGTTAGATGTAGCTAGGTTGGTCCGGAAACGAGAAGAACACGCAACCACGCTACCGCTGGGGGTAGGAACATTACATAAACACGGCGCCGAACTGAGGCCCAAAAGTGGGCACCCGCAGGCGAAGTCGCGAGGAGTACTCGCAAGACTTGCGACAGTTCCGCGCGCTCGCAACTCGCAAAGCGTCGCACCCCTGTCGCATTGCTCGCATTGCTCGCAAATCGCGGCCGTCAGATCCTTATATAATTGCCTGCGAGATTGATGTTTTCTTTCCATATCCACCTGTCCCGATGACTGAGCTCGGGGAAATTCTGTACGGCTCCTCGGCTTTTAACAAGGACGGTCAGGCCGCGGGTCCGGTCGCAAAGAAGCCGCGAACCAGCGCAACCTTGTCGGGGGCGAGCAGCAGCAGCACAGGTTTTTCCCCCGTGAGCTTTGATGACCTTTCCTTCGGCACGCGGCCGCAGGAGATTAAGGGGGTGACCGAGATCGCCAGGTGGTTGGACACCCAGTACAACAGGTTTGCCGCGAAATCCCTCCCGAGCGGCCCGATCCGGCTCGCCGTAGCCAGTTCCGCGGACCGGGTCTCGTTGCAAAAGCACTTGGGGCACATCGGGCTGCTCGAGCATTTAGATTTGCTGGTCGGCATCAAGGTGGGCGAGAAGCACGTGCTGGAGGCGTTCTGGCCGGGTGAGAGGTTCGCGAAATTGTACCTGGACGGGACAAAGACAGCAACAGCAAAGCGTTCGTCGACTAGTAAGCAGAAGAGAAACTTCGCGACGAATTTGATCACCAGCAAGTTCCCGAGCGAGTTTGCGAAAAACCTCTTTCCAAAAGCCGGCTCCATCTGGCAGAAGTCGAAGTTCGTGCGCTCGCAGGCCGGGTGGGAGGTCGAGTTCGAGCGGGACTCGGAGGTGTCGAAGCCGTCGAAGGAGCTGTTCAGCACCGCGGCGCAACTGATGAATTTGGAGCCCAAGTACTTGATCGGCTTCGAGGACGCGCAGAACGGGATTGAGTCGTTGGAAAAGGCGCAGTACCCGCTGATCGTGGATGTGACGAACTTCGTGTCCCACCCGGACATCCGCGGTTTGGTCTTCTTTTTGAACGAGATCAACGGCGGCCTGTTGAACCTCGTGTACGAAGTGATCCGGCAATACGACGGGTTCCACCAACTATGATAGTGGACAATTTTCATTTGTCCCTCGTACGCCTCGTTTTTTGCAGGGCAGTAGCAGCACCAGAAACAAGGTGTCGATTTTAGCTCTTGCATGAGAAATTCAGGTACAGACACCATTTGTAGTTTTCAGGTTTATTTAGAAGCGTTTGGCTTTGGCATGAACATGAAGGTAAGATGAGCAGTACCGGGGAGCAGGCAATTGTCCATTATCATACCGACTTGCCCTAGTTTCCGCCTTTGACGAGCAGACGACGGATAAAATTTTGGACACGTTGAGCAAGTTCAAGGGTGAAGATTACTTCGAGAACCGTTACCGAGAGAAGCAGCCGCTGAAATCCTTCTTCCAACGCATTGTGTACAACGGCGATGTTGTAGTTGCGACTGGCGGGGAGCAGCAGCAGGAAGCCGCTTCACCGACAGAGGATTCGATGAAGGCTATGAATTTCAATTGCCTGTTCAGTTCCATTCTACTCGATTCCGACGCGGATCTGAAGTCTAGCAGCGCGATTTCCAGTTCCTCGTCCAGCAGCGACCACAGTGTCTTCAGCGCTGCCAGTGGCGGAACTGCCTCAGCGGGAGCCGGTTCTGCGGGGTCATCGTCGTCCTTTTTGAGCGTCGACGTTGGACAGCGGCAGCAACAAGCTGCACAACGAGAGCTGACCGAAAAAGCTGCGGCTTCTGCGTACCGGCGGCGCAGCAACAATTGCAAGCTGTACTTTCCGAAGAATGCGCCAAAGTGGAGGATCGGGGCGGACAAGGCCATGCTGTTTGTCGACAATGAAGTGGTTGCCGACCAGGGGAAAAAGTTCGGCTTCAAACAGGTCTTCGACGTGCGCAACGACCAAAAGTACTTGCAACTGCTGAGGAAAAATACGGGAACAATCTCGACGATCAGCTCTAGCAGTCCTGCTATAATCGCAGCTCCCGTGTTGACCACGGGTCTGTCGAACCAAAATATGATCACGCAGCTGTTGGAGAACCTGCACCGCGAGCGCGACGGCCAGCGGACCAAGCAGACGAAGAAAACCTTGGCGTTTGTCTTCGACATGGACGGGACGCTGATCGACTCCATGCCGGTTTACTACCAGTTTATGGAAAAAGTTCTGGAAAAGTATTTCAGCGAAGATGCTACTCAAAATAAATCCAACTCCGCTGCTGGTGCTCAAAATGTTGAGCAGGCACAGTTGGCCGCGACTTCCAAAAGCCAAAGTTTCCAGAGTAAGAACAAGTATTACCCGAGTTTACAAGAATTTCTCACAGAGCTCGCGGGCATGGCGCCGGTGGACATCTGGCAAAAGGTGATCGACAAAAATTGCCAGCGGAAGAGCGAGCTTTGCAAACGTGGCCTGCCCTCGGCTGCGGAGCTTTTCGAAGAGGAGAAAAAGTCGTCGCCGAACCAGAGCCAGGTCCGAATCCCGCGGATCGACGTGGTTGCGGACTTCGTCCAGCGGCTGAACGAGCTGAAAGAGCTGGCGCTGGAGCGGAAGAATGTGGACGTGGAGTTCAAGTTTGCGGTGGCCACGTCCAGTTCGTACGAAAAGGCGGAGAGGTACCTGAAACAAGCCCACCTGTTCCACCACTTCGACGTCGTGTTCGGGGGTGACGACGCCGAGCTGCAGTACCGCGTGGAAAGGCTGAAGCAGGTGGAACGAGCGGCCCCGGGCGCGTTCGACATCAACTTCGCGTTGGAGAAGAAGCAAATCCTGTGGCAGCTCGCCGCGGAAAAGCTCGGGGTTTCCACGAAGCAGTGCGTGGCCTTCGAGGACGCGGTGGTCGGGATGGAGGCGGCTTACCGCGTCGGGTACACCAAGGTGTTCGACGTGCGGAACGAGCGCAACTACCCGCACTACAGCGCGTTCGTGCCCTTTTTCGAAACCGAATACAAGCAAATGTTCCAGCGGCTGCGGGACGGATTCGTGGCCGAGAAGGAGGCCCTGGAAGGCCGGGAGTCGTTGAACGTTGTCGAGAAAAAGCAGCAGCTTGCACGCGCGGAGTTTTTCGACTTGAAGGTGGAAACGGTGGGCGAAGACAGTCTGCCGGCTCTCTTTCCTCAAGCGCTGGAGCGGCAACTGATCTTCGTCGAAGACTACCTGAAGGAGGGGGAGGAACGAAAATAAGTACATGGAATAGCGTTAGCGTGCTCCTTGAGTGTGCCTGTGTTATCAGTATGGTAAACTACGGAATTCCTTGCTTCTAATTCTATCAACGATTTTCACTACCACCGTTTCCATTAGTGACACTGTGCGATTTTCGTTTTGATAGACATTGACATTGATACTTGCACTTTTACTTGCTAATTTCCTTAGCTTCGCTAGCAGGTGGCAAACGAAACCTAATGACTTTTTGGCCAGCTTTAAGTCGAGCAGTGAGTGTGCAGGAACAAAAAAAGCATAAGATCACCACATCTAATGACTATTTACAAATCTAACGATGGATGTTGCTACAGCAAAGTACTGGATTCTGGATTTAGAAAATCTAACGACCCCTTGTGCTCACAGTCACACAACTCTGATGAACTTCCGCAACGCAATTTTTGAAGGAGAAAGCAGTCTGGCCTCTCACCCGTTGATGCCGCAGGAGGAGAACCAAGAATGTGAACTGCTGATGACTTTGGAAGTGGAATAATATTTCCGATCGTGGCGATACTGCGCTTACGAGCTTCCATTGTTCCGCACTACGCGTGGTATTACGAGAGGCACAGGGCAGAAGTTGTGCAGCCATTACATGCTTATTCTTAGCGCGGAAATTGTACGGCGCGCGTTGGGGTTCTGGAGAGCCCGGGCGGGAAGGCCTGCCCGAAGCTAGGCCCCGGGAATTCAGCCGGTTCGCCGCGGCCGCGATTCTCGGCGCGGCGGCGCGGCCCGGCTTTGAGTATATCGGCACGGCGAAGATCATTCCGCGGGCCCATTGCGGCAGCGGCCCCGGTCTTGGAAAGGTCCTGCAGCAAGAAGGCGGACGCACTCGCCGAGTGGGGCCACGGGGCCCGCGAATTCGTGTTCTGGGACCCGAACAAAGACAGCGACTTGATGGGCCTGCCCGTGGACCGGGAAAAGGAGCCGGCCCCGGAGCGCGAGCGAGGGGGGCGGCTCCGGCTCAGCGACTTCGGGCGCGGCCCCTTGCAGGCTGGACGGCTCTGCAGCTTGCCGTGGTCATCGCCCACCTCAATGAATGGGGCGCAGCCACCGGAGCGGTGGGCCTCGCCCGGGTAGCCAAAAAAACCGGGGCCGCATTGGCCCGCCTTGCTCGGCGGCGGGGGCGGCAGAGAACATGGCCGTTGGGTGCCCAAAAGCCCGGGCATAAAGCACGTGGATGCTTTCGGGCGTCGCCGAAGGTATTCGCGCGAATTCGCAGGCATGCCCGCAGGGAGTCGTGAGGAGTGCCCGCCGTCTTGGGGCGCTGTTAGTTTTTCTTTTCTCGCCGCCTCTTCAAATCTCGCCCGAGCATGATCGGAAAAGCCGGGGCACCCGCGAAAGCCGCGCCGCCCGGCAACGCCGGGCCTCCCCCGAAAGCCGGGCCCAGCGGGAAAGCCGGACCACCGGCGCCTTGCCCCGGAGGTTTTTTGAAAGCGAGGGGAGACGCAGACACTAGCGCGCGCGAGTTTTTCCACCGGGGGAGGATCGTCTTCATCGGCCGGGGCGGCGACGCTTCCATCTTAGCCGAAACCACGCGGCAGGCCAGGCGCTGCAGGCGCTCCCGGGGGACGACGCCCGGCCAACCCCACCGAAGCAAGGAAAGGTCACGCCGGGCATATCTCGCCCGAGCATGATCGGGGCCGCAAGGAAGAAGGCGGCAAGCCCCGGCCCGGCGGGCCGTTGCGTGCTTCCGTCCGGTTGGCAAAACCGTGCGCGCGCCGTGCCGCGCCGTGCCCGCCCCGCGCCGGGAGTGCCAGCGCGGGCGCTTCTTCGAGGGGGGAAGGCAAGGGGGGGGGCCGGCGGCCGGCGTATGGGCCAGGGGGCTGGGCTCCGCTCTTCCCCCGGCCTCCCGGCCAGACATGGTTCGGTTGGCCCCGCTTTGGTGGGCTTACGGACATCGCTCGGTGTCATTAGATGGCGCGAACGTGGCCGCGCGCTCGCCGCATCCATCCATCGCTCGGCGAAGCCGATCCGTCGAAGCCAATGGCCGGCGCCCGTGCTTCCACTCACAAGATAGACGGGGACTGGCGCTTTTCGCCATCATCGGGCTTTGAGGTGTTAGAACATCGCTCCATTGGGCCGGGCGCGTTGCTGCTTGCGTCGCTGTGGGACAGCGTCACGCTTGCGCATTCCTTCTTATTCAGCAATTAACAGAGCAATAAGGAGGATGCTTCTGCTCGCCCTCACGCTCGCCTACTCATAGTGGAGGCCATTCGCGTAGTGTTCGAAAAATTATTATATTTACTAGGGAAAGCAGTCCGGCCCCTGGCCAGTATAGTTAAAGCAAAAAGTTACAGACTGAAGGCTGCAGAATTAGGGCGGCTAGGCACAAAAAGCCCGCGCGTTGTCGTTCGTTCGAAAAATAATAAGAAACTGCGCGCCAAGATTTTCGTCCAAACGTTAAGTCAAAAAGTGCCGTCGGTGTCGTGCAACCGCGCTTCGGCGCGCAGCCCCATCCAAACGCTAAGCCAGGGGCCCATCGGTAACGGGCCCCCATCGGGCCGTGGCGCCCTCGCCTGGCCCGCTACCGATCCCTGCCGCCTGCCCGCCCGACCCGCGGCCGCCGTTCCCCCGCCCCCCATTCCCCTCCCCCGCCAGCTACTGGCCCCTGCCGCCTGCCTGCCCGGCCCCCCCCCCCGGCGGCCGAGGGGGGGGGAGGGGGGCGCGGCCCCCCCCCATTCCCCGCCCCCGCCAGCTGCCGCTCCCTGCCGCCTGCCTGCTTGCCCGCGGCGCCCGGCCCCCGGCCGCCGAAGAGGGGGG